TCATCCCCCAACTCATCCAGCACCAGCAACCCTCATCCAGTCACTGTGTATGCACCTTCTGCATGCTTCACTGCCCATAGATGTACAAAGATCCGCTTGTACTTTTCTAGAGACCTGGGGTCAGGAGGGGCATTGAGGGGCGTGTCGACCTGCACTTGAACGTGAAAACACCAAGAACTTTTGGTGGGTCAATTTGAGCGCTTGAAGTACAGATCACAGTCTCGAGTGTTGCTGTGACACTGTGTCGGTCCTCTTGCTTGTGTTTGGGAAACTATAGTAACTGCAACCCGATAGTCTCGGATGAGTTCCTGTACGAGAGTGCCCTCAAACATTAAAGCTGTTCATGTTGATGCTGGCACTCATGGTACTCCTACATTGTGTAATAGCCTAATATAAGCCTACTCAAGGGTAAGCGGCAGGAGCATATCCAGAATGCAGGGTACTAAGTCCATGCCTAGAACAGAAGGTAAAGACGGCAGTGATGAAACCATGGTGGTAAGGCCTCACAGAGGATTACTTAGTCGCCTGTTGACCAAAGAAAATGGCAACATGTTCTCCTTGAGCCATGTCTTGAATACAGCCTCATCGACCACAAGGACTTTAACCTTTGTGCCCGGCCTCTTGCTGGTCTAGCGCACCATCCTAGTTGTCTTCATACAACGGTGAGGGATGCACATTGAAGTCCTCGTCTTCAACCCTCAACTTAAAGCCAGACTTTTATATCATTTCCATTTGACTTTGATGGAAAAGTATGTGTCTGCCGATGTAGAAGGACCCGCACTCTGCCTCACACTCAGTGACTGCCTCAACTAATTTCGTGCATGCGTCTTTGTGAGACCTGTAATAGCCAACAAGTGCAGCACTGTGGTCAGTGGGGTGATGACGATGAGACCTAGGACATCTTGATGAGGCAGGTTATGCTTTGGTGGTGGGGCGCTGGGTAGGGGTTCTGGCAGTTGAAGAAGAGAGATTAGGTTCTGTAGGAAGATCGTGAGGGTTGATAGAGAAGTGAAATTGTTGGTGGTGGGGATGGGGAGGGATGACACCTTTGAAGAAGGGGACCATGTTTCCAAGTGGGCGGACCCATTTCTCAGAGGTGAGCCTGTGGAGGTTGGGTTGAGAGGGAGAACGAGGAGTGTGAATGTGTTCACAATACTCTCAAAGTCGAGGAAGGAGAGGTTGTCGTTTGATTCCACTACTGCACTGAGGGCGTGCCCTACTTCCCAGAGTAGCCATTCAGGATCCCCATCTTTCTCGTTGGTCCTAAGCTTAAGCCGAAGGTGTTCATACTGCCTACACTTGGCTCTTGCATCTGCATCCCATACCAGTGCAGCAATAACCAAAAGCCTCAGTTCAATTCCTAGGATCTCCAGGTTCTCAGCCAACTGCCCAGCAATCGTCCTAAAATGTTTGGAGTAGAGGCCAGCTTCACCCACTCCAATTGGTATAATGTGGCTATACACCAGTCACTATCTTCACTTTCCAAAGGCCCTGCCACAAACTCCAGTGCTACACCCACCACCCACCATGTGGCAATGCCTCTGACAAGCCTCTGCAAGTACTCTGGCTGGGCGACACATGATCTGTGGTATACCCCTCACTCCCACTGCTCTCACCCTTACTCGCACATTTACTGGAAGAAGTACTGCATTCTCGACTGGCTCTCTCTCGATGAGAATAGTGTTCGAGGTAACTCATCGTGCTCAGTGAAATATGCAGGTTCAACTTGCCACTAGTGAACTCAAGCTCAAGCCAAAGCCTGGACTAGGCTTGGCAGAATGAGCACGTGTCACAGCACAAGCAAATTCCTCATCTAGGGCTGCTGTCATATCCCACGTTCTGAACCCGGACCAATCACGCAATCATCTCCAGACTTCCGGACTTCCAGATCCAGTCAGCTCCTATCTTCTGTGCCTTTTCCCTTTAATATTTCCCTTATCAGTTAGCATGCTTTATTTTCTGTCCCTGATTTATTTTTGTCTTCATTTTACTAAGTTCTGATAGACTAGTGATAGTCATCCCACATGCTCTGCCATAGCCTCCCATAGCCTCGCACTGCACTAACTGTTTCTCCATTATGTCCTCAGTAGTATATAAACCCTGTACAATCCTTGTAGTTCCTCAGTTCAAATATTATCTTAGACTCTGCTCATTCCCTCCTCCGTCTGACTTGAGTTTCTCCTCTCATCGTCCTCCATTAAAGTCTTAGGATTGACTCCTATAGACTGCTCACCTCTGCCTCTACCTCTGGTAGTCCTCTGCTGTTTCCTTTCTAGTTCGGACATTGTCCGGATTAGTCTTATCACTCATTCCTGAACGTCCGCCAGAATTCCTGCGCATCGGACATCATCCAACAACCTTCGGACATCGTCCAGCAGCCCTCAGAAGTTAGGGGCACATACTCGGGTAAGGGGCGCAGCGCACAAGCTGAAGCCAAGCCCTTCGGATCTGAACCATTGAGCACGTTCTTAACAGGCTGGCTGCATATCATCTGGTATGTTTAGAAGTCAAGTAATTACATTATGAAGCCATCTTCAATATCAACTTGTCATACCCCATTTTTCCTCAAAACTCTTTATGCCCTCAGCTGCAAACTCAGCCCACATGGAAGCCTGCTTTTCAGCATATGCCCTATGCCCATTCTTGATGCTTTCATCTGCCCTTGCTCTCCACTCTGACTCCTGGTTCTGAAACCACTGTACTGTCCAACACATTTCATGCTGTACTAACTTCAACTCTTCACTCCAACGGTCATATCGTGCTTTTGCTTTCAACCAATTCACTCGATAAACTAGGCATGGGGAACATAAGCTCAGTACCTTAATAAAAATCAGATAATATTAAAACTCACATTTATTCATCCACTCACTCTTCTGGCTGTCCTCTGCACTGTTGATTCTCCAAAACCAAGCCAGTCTATCAGAACCCTGACCATGCCTATTTTCCTCAGTGACTTCTTTGCTTACTATAAGGTCCTCAGCCTTTAGGGCTTGATAAGATGACATTGTATCAGAGTTAGCCACCAATCGTTGCTTTGCTGCCCTTGAACGACAATATTCTCGAGCATGTTTGTTGATAGCCAAGGTGATTTTTTGAAGTTCCTTGGTTGATCTAGTACCCTGATGATGAATTGATTTGTTGGAGTGTAATTTCTCTGGAAACACCATAGATCTGTCACCGAGGGCTTGATAAAGCTTTTCCAGGGAGTCATTTGCTTAACCCTTTTGAAGCTCCAGTTCTTCTTGACGTAATTGAATGACAACATCATTCATAATCGGATCAGATGTTCCCCATGATGGCATCCAAAGTTCAGCAACCTCTGCAGGTGAGTCAGCATCATCTCCGAGGTCCAAAATACTCTCTTCCCCCAGCTCTTCAATTCCTGGAAAATTAGATCCATCAGCCTCCCCCAGGCACAGTTCAGGGTCATCCTGGTGCAATCCCTCTTCCCCCTCGAATTCCATACCATTTGTCATAACCAACGCAGTCTTGTGGAACTTATTAATACAAGACAAGAGCTTCTGTCTTTTTTCTTCCATGAGAGTTCTCTGAGAAGCAGTTGGATCCTCTGGCAGTTGTCTTATAAAAGAACGTAGGGCATCTCTAATAACCCAATTTGAGTCAATCACATTCCAAATATTGAACACCTTACTGAGCATTTTCTATGTTGATACCCTCGATCAACTATGCAATAGCCCCAGTCCTACCATTGGTGGACACTTTGTTTTCAGTCAACCTTAGCCTTATTTCAGCCATAGTTGGAGCTTTTGATGATTCATAATCAGGTCTAATCAAAGTTGAATTTTACCGAACCTACCTTTATCTATTTTAAGCTGATAGATATCAAGAAGCTCACTGCGATCAAGAGCTGCTAGTTCAGCTTCCTTCTTCCATTTCTGGACATTGGCCTGATTAAGAGACTTCATCAATTCTTCGTATGGACCCTGAGTGTCTTTAACACCCTATATGGCTTGATTATACTTTTTAAGTAATAATTTGACTTTTGAAGTGTTCCATTAGTCGAAGTTGACATCTCAGAAGTCAAGAGAGGGGACTTGCCAATTTTGACAAGCTTCTTCCAATTAGAATCCCTCATATGGTCATCCAAGACTTCCTGTCTGTGAGAGAGAGTCATGGATCTTGCAGTTGGGGAAATCTTGTTAAATGGGACCCAGAGGGTCTCCAAGATTTCCCCATCAATATGACCAGCTCCTGTAATAAAATTGAGGCTGAATCTGGAAAAGCACAGTAGCTTATGAGCGCTTAGATAAAACTTGCCGATCGCTAGCAATATTTTGATTAATGGAGGAAGAGACAGGTGATAGCTTTGATTCACCTGTTCATTGAAGTGAATACTCCACTGGCATGCAACATCATAGATTATGAGTGCACTGTCAATATCTTCTGATGGATATTTCAATGTATTGCAGATGGAATAGTCCATGTTCATTTGTCTGACTACGTAGTCAGCCTGAGGTCATAATACAACAATGTAACCACATATCTCTCTCCCTTTTGGAAGTCAACCACTGCATGGGGAACAAAACATCCATGCCTAGCACATGCTATTGCCCCAACTCCCGTAGCTCTTAGGTTGCTTCTCTGGATATTTGCTGCATTCACAGCATGGTGATTGCTGCAAGATGATTTCTGAAATTATATTAGACATCATTTCTAAGGAAACATGTGATGAAATATGACAACTCACCTCTTTCTCTTCCACAGATTCTATTATGTGACTTTGATAAGGTCCTTCTGTCACCATATATCCCTTTCCGTCTGCTAGTGAAACATCATCTTCTGGGGTCTTTATCTTCATATGTTGAGCTGTAAAATTTCCATCGACAACATATCTTTGCATGACCAACCAACTGCCACCCACAAAAATCAGCTCAGTTGTCAGTTGTTAATGAACTAACTTACCTGTCATAGGTATCCTTCCAAGAAGAAGGTAAGTTTATTCCAGGCTGGGAATATGCTGGACAATAAAGAGCTAAATCCCCTGGACCAGGAGATCTGTCTGACTCATGTGCAAAGCCGAACCTTATTCCATTGACCAAATCCCTCCATATACGAGACACCCACATAAGTTCATAGTAATGATCCTTTTTATCATGTAAGCCTAGGATATAGTAATAAAGAAATTGCTCACAGGTATTTTATGAGGGAAAGCATTATTGGTAAAATAACATAGCTTTTGATAAAAGCTCATAGCTGAGGTCTTGTACTCCAAAGCATCTATGAGGAAGTTATCTAGAATATTGAAGGTAAAAGCAGATTGAGACTGAGTGATGCTGGCAGGAAATAACTTTGCTTTTAGGAGATATAGATGTCTGTCCTTATCAGCACCAGGACACTGACACTAGGATACATGGTGTGAATAAACTCCAGTGGAATGCACAATGACCAGGTTGGACAATTCTAACTGAGTGTCATAAATAGTATCCCCCTCTCCATGTCCAAACACATCTTCCATCATTCCGAGATCCGACCAGGGTGAGGGGTTGGACTGCTGCAACAAATTGGGGCAAGGATGTCTACCATGGCCAAGATATATGATATATCTGTGGTCCTGTAGAGTAGTAGACTGGTAGAACTTGCTATTCCAAAGTTGAAGGTTGTGGAAGGGATGGTGCTGGTGGGCTTTGACAGCACATGAGGGACACCAACTGTGCTTTCCTGAGCAGGACAGACAACAAATAAAGCTCTCCTCTCCTCCATAATCCTCACATTTCCCATTGTTGATCAGCTGTTCCAACTCCAACAACACTGAAAGATATTCATCACAACAAGGCAAGTATTGCCAAAGAAAATCATTTTGGGTCTGCAATGTTAGCCAATTGTTGATAATGGTGTCAAAATAACTCACTTTGGTTTCTCATTGGATATCATTTGAGCCTCCTATATCGAAATCACCATACACCTCTCTGTTATATTCCACCAGAGAATAATCTTCAGTATGTTGTTGTTGTTTTTGTTTCAAAGGTAAGACTGGCTCTGTTTTGCTATCAGAGTCTTCATAGACAATTGAAGCATTGGCTTCTCTCCATGTATTTTTTCCCCTTCAAGTTTTTGATGATATATATGTATATTTGTAAGCACCCTGTTTTCTCTTTGTTGAAGTATCAGATGAAGATGGAGCTACTCTGAGCCTATTGTGCCTCTATGTGGCTTTTGAGCTCATTGAGATTATAAATGACTAGAGTGCAACATGAATTTTTGCATGGCTACACAATCCCCCCCCAAAACAGCAAATATCTTTGGAATTTTCCAGTACTATTTTCTACACATTTTCTCCCTCTTCCCCTTCTGCCTCCTTCCTACTAACTCTAAAAAGAAGCTCTGCATGGGAAAACCTGGCCTTGGCACCCCCACCCTGTTGTGTACAGCATCCTTCATAAAGTGGGCAATTACAAACCTTTCTCTATTAAGCCAGGGTCCAATAGAATGTTCTAGCACCCTTCCTGAGATATAAACCATTGTGCCAGGAGAATAATCAAGCTCTGCTTTGAGGTCTGCCAAGGCCAACGTTGTATGATGGTTTCTTCCTAGACTGACAAGAAGATCTAACAGTGAAGGAGATCCACCACCATCTCTGTGGCTAAATGTGACCCGATTAGCAATGATTTCAAGTTCTGAAAAGATTGAGGACCAAGATTCTACTGGGGCAGGTTTTTTTGGGAGTGTTGAACTTCCTTGATAACCTCAGAAAATGCCAAAATGCCAGCTTAGAAAAGATCTGGCGCCACCATAGCAGTTATGGCATTCCATAGAACTTCTGATATTGTCAAAGCTGCCATCCATTGTTGGACCTTCTTCGATTTATAAGACTCCGATGTCACCAACAGATCCATTAGTCGCTAAGAATAGAGTTAAAACTAGACTAAAAATAAACACTTGGTAAAAATACCATACCTCTTGTCTTTGCATGAAGTATGCAGGAACCACTGTTATTCTACCAGCCCCAAACTCCCCCCCACCATCTGGGACCATATAGCCCTCATCCCTCCAAGTGTTCTTATTTGTAAGGGATTTGAGAAGAGTATCCCTCAAGCCAACAGTGATATGGTTGACATGCTCCTGATTATTAATTAATTAGCCTTGAAGGGGAATCCCAAACCAGAAACATGTTAGGCGAGAAGGTATCAAAATATTAGGGAGGTAAACCACTAAAATTTTTCCGTGCCTATCTATAACTATTGTTGGAACCGAAATTTTGCCAAGCACTACTTCAGGGAAGAACTTCTTCAGTCTATCTGTTTCAGCAGATGGCAACCCGTCCAGATTTGGTGGTGACAATTTGACCTTCTCAGCATACCGGTCCACATCCCAATCAATATTGACTGTAGTTCAGCATTTGAATTCATATACAGCCATAAATTTCTCTTCACTCACTGGGGTTGACCATGGCATGCGCAATTGTCAGGGTGGCCCGGGTGATTTCATATTCTGAAATTGACCCATCATTGAAGGTTAAATTATCAGCCAGTGATTCCAAGTACTGCCGAAGCTATACTGCTATTCTCATCCTTGATTTCCTCATTAATTAATAGTCAGCTACAATCAATACTAAACCATAGTTACCTAGCTTTATGCAGTAATTCAGTTTCAACTCTACCATCTTGAAGGACACCTAGTTCAGTTGAATTGCCTATGATCTCTCCAACCCTCCTGGTCAGAGCTGCCACTAGCTCAGTTGTCTTGCTTTTGAGGTTGTCCATTATGAAGAAGAAAAAATGAACCAAAGTTCTCACGATCTGCACTGATGTCGAATCAAGCATGATGTAATTAGACAATTAGACCATATGAAGGCAAATTTATTGTGACATAATAACCTAATATGTTTTGATTAACTTGGGCCCTTGAGAGCCATTTGCAGAACACCAGGCCAAAATTGTGGCAAGGAGTATTTCAAATGACAAAGATGTATTGAATGAATTTGTGAGGCTGTCTAGCCAAGCTGACTCACTCAGTATGAGAATATTCAGATTATTTATTATTCTTGTACTGGATACAAACATTATTTTGTCTTCCTTACAGTATAAGAATAGTGATGAAGACAATACTCTCTTCATGTGCACTCTGTGTGCAAGAATAGTCAGACTACCCTCCTATACTAACTGTGCAAACATCTACCACTAAGAGGACCAGTAAAGCTGGACAGCATGCTTCTGGAAGCGTGAAGAGTCCCTCATCTGCTGCTCTGTCAGCATCTGCTCTCAAGCACTCTACTACTGCAACCATGAAAACATAGTGCAAGAACAGAGAAATGGTTCACTATTCTTATACTGGGCGAGCTCACTCTCCCAGTGCGAGAATAGTCAGACTATTCACTATTCTTGTACTGGATGCCAACATCATCTTATCTTTCTTACAGTACAAGATCACAATAGACTAAAATATTGAACAATGAGGATTATTCCTTTGTTGTAGCGGTCAAATTCTAATTTTTAGACATGGTTGCCCTTTATATCACTCTCACACAATCACATGACTTAGATTTTGGGCAAAAAGTTATGAGTCACATGACCAAATAATTCCCATCAAGGGTAATACATTTGCGCTGCTTCATCTAATCTAAAGTGTATAAGTGCGAAAATTTTAAAATGACACAAAACTAAGGTAAATGATGCAAGACATGGATGGAGGGGCCCTCTCCATCCAAGCCTTGCACCCTACAGTACAAAAGATAGGTAAAAATGTGTAGTAATTGATAATCTAGTGTAGTGAAAGTGAGTATGAGACTGAATATTAAATTGGCACTTACCAGATTAGACCAATGAAGGAGTAGTGAAACCAAAAATGCAGAGTAATTGATAATCTAGTGTAGTGAAAGTCAGTATGAGACTGAATATGAAATTGGCGCTTACCAGATTAAACTAATAAAGGAGTAGTGAAACCAAAACCATATATAAGGCTGGAGAAAGAAATGCGGTTAGTATTAGAGTATGTAGGAAAGAGAGACAAAAAAACCGGCCCAACAAACAAGCCAGGCACGCCAAAAGCTAAAGAAAATGCAGTTAGTATCTGAGTATACATGAAGCACAAAACACAGACTCAACAAACAATGCAAGAGCAAAAAATCTAGAGAAAGAAATGTAGTTAGTGTTCTAAAGTTCAAGATGTCAATCCCTGGGGACATGGACAGCCAAGAATAAATCCCCCAGATCCCAAAGTTCAAGGCACCAATCCCTGGGGATATGGATAGCCAAGAACACATCCCCCAGATCTCAAAGTTTAAGGCACCAATCCCTGGGGACATGGATAGCTAGGAACATATCCTCCAGATCCCAAAGTAAGAGGCACCAGTCTCTGGAGACATGAATAGCCAAGGACTTAAGAAGAGAAGAAAAGTAAGAGGTGCTAGTCTCTAGAGAGATGGATAGCCAAGAAACAATTCAAACAAAGGACAGGAAACTGACCTTGAGGCGCACTAACAAGCAAAAGCTTGATGTGCACCAGCTATCAAGCACAGCTGTAAATAACAAATGACAAGTTAGTACTGAAACAAAGGAAAGAAAACTGACCTTGAGGCGCACTATCAAGCGCAGCTGTGAATAAAAAATGGCAAGTTAGTACTACAAAGCATAAGTCAAACAAAACATACTAAGAGCAGTTGAAAATTAATAGTAGCACTGCCTTTGACCACTTGCAGCTGCAGTCTGCAAGTGGCCAAAGGACAGGCCATAGAATATGAGTGGATGATAGAGCATTGAGAGAGTGAGGGCGGAAACATAGTTGAAGTTGAGAAAGATGAACCGTGTGAACAATATTGATGGTTGATCTATTGTTTGTTTATTTTTTGATGTTTGCGCCAGCTGTTCCTGCAAACAAATCCAAGAGAGCAAACAAGTCCACAATCGGACTTTGCTGGTGGACGTCACATGTATCTTTGGTTGGTTTTTGCACAAGTTTCTTTTGTCAACACGTCTCTTTGTCATGTGAGTTTGTTTTGTTTGTGCCATGTGATATACTGACTTCTTTTGTCAACGTGTCTCTTTGTCATGTGAGTTTGTTTTGTTTGTCCCATGTAATATACTGACTAGTTCTTGGACATTTTTTTTTTGTCAATGTATCTCATTTGCTGACGTGTCTCTTTGTTAATGTGAGTTTATCTTTGTGTGGCCTTGTAGTATACTGACTACAGGTTCTCTTTTTTCAGTGCATCTTTTCTCAGCGCCACTCTTCTCCAATGTGTCTTTTTGAATGTGAGTGTCCTTATTTTGTCTTTGTGTGGCGCATGCAATTCTGCTAACACTGACTACAATTCTAGCATTTTGCGCACTCTCCCTCATCAATCATGGCCCGCACCAAGAATACCACCAAGAAATGTACCGGTGGCTCAGTGCCACACATCCTCCTCAAGATCTCAAGAGTGCAACTCTCTGGAGGGGACACCAGAAAATGAAGGCTTTGAGCGCCACTAGGGGCGCCTTATCTGTGGGAGGTGGGGACTTAGAGAAGAGGAATGGTCAGCATGAGGTTAGTCTATATTCTCTATGTTCTCTGTCTTCTATCTGCTAATTCACTTTATCTTTCTTATCAAGGCTTTGACCGCCACCAGGGCCGCCACCAGTGAGGACTTAGAAATTAGAAGTGCCCACAATGAGGTGCGCACATTCTCTCACTCCTCTATTTGCTAATGTACATTGTTCTTCTTATAGTATTGTATACTCTGCAGGGATGGTGCAGTGCACTATGAAGACAATACTCTCTTCATGTGCGTGCTGTGTCCCAGAGTCGTCTGCAGGCTCTGCCTGCAGCTGCCGCCTGACATAGAGACCAAAGTCCTACAAGAGGACATCTCATTCAGGTGCATTTGTTGCCATATCAAGATGGAACAAAGTGCCGCCTACTTTGTGAGTATTTTTTTTCATTTGTTCATGCCTCATTGATAACATCATATCACTACAGGGTTTCTATAACAGCAACGGCCTTCCCTTCTTGGACAAGTTCCTATCTGTCACTGGTGCACTTGAGGTGTCTGCCCGAGCTAAAATATCGGTGGCTCTGGTCATTTTTATTTACCTTATCCTCGTCGACTTTGAAGTAGCTGGTAGCCCTTTTGAGTTTGCTCACAGCTTCCTTAAGTGTCATATCCCATATATCCACGCTTCTCTTCCGGACCTCGGACCTTAGATCCGATCTGATCTGATATATAGATCCGCTTCTGATCCGATATATGATAAGCTTCTTAATTCATTTCCTGTTCATATAATGTTAAACACAGCCTATTCCTTATTTCTTGTTCCCGGTGTCTCAGTTATACTTACTACTGGTATGCTTACTGATCTGTTAACCTATGCTTCATTTCCGACTCATGCTTGATAAACTTTGCTTATGCTTCATACATAGCCTTGGACTCTTGCTTACTAATCTTTCCGTTATTCACTTAGTATATAAACCCTTGTATATGTGTTGTAGTACCTCAGTTCGAATATCAACTTAGTTTGTCCTCTTTCTGTCCTCCGGACTTGAGTCTAAATAACTCTCGTCGAATCTCTGAGACTTAGGATCGATTCCTTTAGTCTATATCTCTGGCTCTATCTTCAGATAGTCTATCCTCTAATTGTTTCTAGTTCGGACTTGTCCAGATTAGCCTTACACACGTTTCTGATATCCAGAAGTCATCCGGATAATACTATGAGACTCATCCGACCCTCCGGACACATTATCGCTAGTCTCTGAAATAAGGGACAGTACTTGGGAAAGGGGCACAGCATACGAGCTGAGGCCAAAGTCCTTCAGATCTGATCCTCCAAGAGTACAACCTTACATTAAGCCGTACTACTCCGGTGATGGCATCAAATATGTTGAGGTGTACTATGACATTGGTACTGATGGCAAGCTTGCCTCCTACTGAACCCAAATCCGCCACATTATTAAAGGTTTGAAGAACTCATTCATCTGGGAGCGTGTTGTCATTGGTGTGTCCACTCACACTGACGAGGACTTTGGAGACCCTTTTACTGGGTATGGAGATGATTCAAAGGGCCATGTGAGCACTCTGGTCAATGATGTGAGTTTTTCTTTCTTTGGAACCAGCCAATAGTGACTATTGTTACAGTTCTTGGATATAATCCTCCAACCCTAGCAAAGTATCATTGACCATGCCCAAGAATCATATCTCTGGATGCTCTGCTGCAGCTCCCTTATCAACAACCTAGACTCATTTCATGGCTTGCAAGAGGCTGTTGTCCGGTGACCTGCACCAAACCGGTTCGGTGCATGGATGACTAATGCTCACTCACGAGCCCGATACCCTAGAAATCATTATGAACAATCTTCCTTTACTTTATGGTTCAGACGGCAGTTCAGATAGTATTTTCATTTTCTCAGACAGACTCAGATAGGCTGAATATTCTTGTATATTTAATTTTGCGGTAAATTCTGCTTAGTCAGCAATAACAATGACTCAGACTGAATCCCACACATGTCAAGTAACAGTGTAAAATAGTTCTTGCATAATTTGCCTTGTGGGAACTTTCTTAACACTCTAAATACACGGCTCGCGTCATTTCTACGGTCAATAAAGTAACATTATAACAAGACACCAACAAATAACATAATCAGTCTGTTACTTAATATTTGTCACATGATACTAAGTTATATGACTCTAACAGTCAGGTGACCTATGACCCTAAACCAAATCATGACAAAGCAACCTTTTTGAGATGACTAAAGCTTGATGACACAAATTATAAAGCACATGACTACAGTAAATAGTATTGGTACAATCTGACTAAGCCTATTCCCCTTAGAACGTGGGAAATAGTAACACAGCCACCATAATTTATCTATATAAGACCCCACTTTTTGCCAATAAATATAAGGCATAGAGGGAACTTTTAAGCCCCACAAAATAAATTTGAGTGTGAAGTGTGATCAGTATCAACAACAGTGACAAGAGCTGTTAAGCAACTAACTGAGAGGTCATTGTAAGCAACATCCAGCAATACCTTTAAGCTCATCATCAACAACTGTGAAATATCTTGAGCTCACTGTGCTCAACAGTGAGCAAACTTTTTCTTTGATTTTCTACTGGTGAACCTCTAGTCTCTTTCTTTTCTTTTCTTTCTTCTTTCTCTCTTTCTTTTTCTGTTTCTTTCTTTGTTTCTTTCTTTTCATTTGTCTCTTTTTCTGTTCAGTTCGTTCACGTCTCAGTGTTATTGTCTGAATTTATTTCAAGATCTTTGTGTTGTCTTTACGTCCATCTAAGCACCGGCTTAGTGGGAAGACTTCAGAAGTTGATAGTGACGCTTGACCTCACTCATCTGAGTAGTGATACTGAGCCAGGGTTTTCTTTGTCTGCTAGACTTTAGTTGTTGAATAGGGGACTTGGTACTGAAATCCAAGGACGTCCGTTCCTGATTCTGTTTAATACTCATCGTGAGTTCCTTGGCAGCAGGTTCAATAGTGAACTAAGAGTCCTACTGATCACTGATTAGTCCTGACCTTTGATTCTACCTGTTTGTGCTGAGGGGGTGATTGCTATAATTTCGCACAACTTTCTGTAGTAAATTTATTACAAGAAGCATTGTTACTGAAGGAAGGGTTTCCCTTATCAATCTATTTCTTTTTTTCAGTACCATACTGTTGGGCTGACTTTTCTCTGTTCTCTAAACACTGCCATACCATTGGAGTGAATCAATTTCTTTTTGTCATCACCATACCGTTGGGCTGACTACATTCTGTTTATTTTATTTTCTATTGCGTCCATACTGTTGGATTGACTGGTATTGCTACTGACCTCACAGGAAGTATTTTTGTCTGAACATAGCTTGGGGAAGTGTAAACAGCCACCCACGAACAACCACGTTATCAGTCATTGGTATTTGTCTGAATCACTGACCGTGGAGATTTTTGATTTTGTAGGTGTTTATCTATAGATCATCTATCTAAGAAGACACCGGTAAGTTTTTTTTGCCTTTATTTGACATAGTTTATCTAATGTTTTCACAGACACAAATTCACCGGTACCATTGCCTTCAATGCTCCTCATTTTCAACCTTCTTTTGCCTCACACTTGCTCATTTTATTTACCAAGAGGGTCCTCATTGGGCGGTGCCCACTTTGGTTGGCTTTCAAGGATATGCTCTCACAGTCCTGGAACCTAGGCAGCCACTCTGACATATTTCTGTTGACCACTGTCAAGGAGGGTGGCCTTAGTATTTCTAGGTTTGCATGGACTAATGTGGAGGTCTGTCCTTGGGGCAACCCCTTGCCTATCCAATGTAGTGGGTGTGGTAGGGTTAATTCTTGGAGATCCGCCTATGTCAAGAACAGCAAGTCTTACATTTTTGAGTGCAAAAATGACTCTTGCAAAGTAAGCCACACATTCTCTCAGCCACCAGGGTCCACAGTACTCTATTCTGGTAGGAAGAATGGTAGTACCTGGTTGGATATTCCATTGAAGGTGCACTTAGCTTAATTTACATGTTTTCTGCAATACTTGTCTTACACTGTTCTTTGCTCATGTTATCACTGTTCTAAGTTTAAGTAATCTTTTATTTTTCATGTCTGAATCTTGAGATTTGGTGTATAAACTAATGTCATTAAGTCTGAGTCGGTCAGAAAGTGCAACCAGTCCACAACTCACTTGACAACAGATCAACAAACCATGTCATATGATCAAAACACAGTCATGTGACATGGTTTGTTGATCTGTTGTCAAGTGAGTTGTGGACTGGTTGCACTTTCTGCAAACTTATACCGGCCTACGTTCTTGAGATTTTTGCATATAATGGCTGACTGGACACATGTATTCAAGAGTGTTTTGGATGAGCACAAGGTTGCCTATGTTTCTGCCAAAGGAAACACGGCCAAGACGGCTACAATTCTCAAAACCATCAAGGATACTATAGTTGAAACTGATTGAGCCAAGGATCCTTCTATCATGCTTCCAGACAAAAACTTTCAGAAGGTAGATTTCCAGTGTCTTTACACCTACAGTAATCTAATTTTATAGGCTATTCCAGAATGTTGTCATCAAGAATCCTTCTTACCTGCAGAAGGACACCATTAGCACCATTTTTTTACATTAGAAGTTTTGTGCTAATCGTAATGAACCAATTTTACGATTCATTGGGTATAAGGAAGGTGACTTCTATGATTCTCTGGCTAAGAAGGGCGATGTAAGTCAAAAATCAAGAAAGAACCAAAAATATATGGAAGTATCAGATGATGAGGATGAGGTACTGAAGAAGGTCCCCCAAGCCAATCTTTCTTCGGATGAAGAGGAAGACTTAGCAATAGGTCTGAGCCACACCTTGTCTCTTTCCCATTCCTGCCTGAAATTCCATATGGGCAGTGATACAGTTGTCCCTCTCCACTCTCTCATCATACCATCATTTGTTGGCCACAGTTCAAAAGCTTGCTGAGACAGTATATATAATTGACAAATTTTATGATACAGTACTGAATTTAACTTGTTTTTGAAAGCAAACTACAGATCCTAAGGGCAAAGCTAGGAAGCAACATCTGCCTGGTTGGTCATCTTGGACGTGGTCTGAGGAATATCTACCTCAAAATATGCACTATGATATTCAGGCGTCCTTCACTGCTTTGAAGGAACTAGAGAACTATATCATCAGATCTCGTGGTTGGAGTATGATTGTTGTCCTTGGACTTGGACTCCTCCTTCATGAGTGTCGCCATACTCAGGAGTATGAAGCAGATGAGGCTGGAGATGATGTACCTGAATATTTGGGCACCTTCATCCTTGGCATTCAGGTAGGGGAGAAGATTGAGGAGGCAATTACTAGAATTCAGGCGAAGGTGGAGGCAATACTGCCAGATGATTATGAGAAGCAGATGTCAGTGACCAAAGAAGTTCATATGAGATGTCTGGAGAACAAAAGGCAGGTGAAAGAAAGGAGGGAGGCAGAGCAGGCAAGGGTTGCTGCAGAGAAGAAAGCTGCTGAGGAGGCTTGGATGGCTGAGGAGGCTCGAGTGGCTGAGGAGAAGAGAGTGGCTAAGGTGGCTTGATTGGCTAAGGAGAGGGCTGCCACATTCAAGAAGGCAAGTGGTACTAAAGCTAGGGGAAAAGGAAAGGGTAAGCAGCTAGCCACAGATGTGAATGATTCACCTATGAAAAAAGTGAAAAAATCTGCTCCTCCTGCTCCTCATCATTCTGCCAGAGGGAAAGTACCTTCAAAGAAGTATAAGGACTGAAACACTAGTATTAGCACAATGTCTTAGAATTTTATTTTTGCAGTTTGTTGTCATATAGACTTCAATTTTTATGTCTATATTTATATTAGCACTAAGGATACTTTACTCTATGTATGATATGGTCCATGTAATTTATGCAAGTGGTTGTAATAGGCCTATGTACCTCTGCTGATTGCACAGGTAGGACAGCCTGCCCCACAAGAACATATTGGCCTATTAGGCCAGCCCATCTACGACATATGTAGAGCCTGGGCGGCTGTCATCTGATATCATATTGGCCCATTGGGCCAACCAGCCTATGTGGCATGTAGATCAGGTGCGGCCACCCTACTGATCACATTTTGGCCCATTGGGCCAGCCTGTTTGTGCAGCATGTAGGCCAAGGGCAGCCAGCCCTTAATAACATATTAATCAATGGGGCCGGCCAGTTTGTGCAGCATGTAGGTCTAGGCTGGCCGACCTCTGATAACATATTGACCAATTGGGCCGGCCAGTTTGTGCAGCAGTAGGCCTGGGTCGGCTGACCTCTGATAACATATTGATCAATTGGACCAGCCAGTTTGTGCAGCATGTAGGCTGAGGCCAGCCGACCTCTGATAACATATTGATCAATTAGGTTGGCCAGGTTGTGCAGCATGTAGGCCTAGGCCAGCTGATCATTCATAATATATTAACCCTTTGGGCCAGCCTGCCTAGTCACTAGGTAAGGAGTATAGTTGTAGATGGTACTTTTTCTTCTCAATATGTCATAGAATTTAGGTCACCATCTATGTCATCCTATATGGGATATATCTTTTATGAGATGAGTGAGGTTGGCTAGACCTAATACTGTATGAAATCTCATGTTACATTACAGTATTTAAGACAACCTACATATCTATCCAGGATACATAGTAAGTCAGATCTACATTAATATGCTGATTTCACTGATATAAGTAGTGTAGAAATGACATTCTCTATATGAGGTATGAGCTTGCAGGAGTTCTACATCATTAGCCTACATAGGTATGATAAAGATATTATTGTGTGTCTAGGGCACTGGTTTGTACAGGTAGTATAGAGACATTATTTTGTATCTGGGGCACCGGCCTACACAGGTAGTGCAGAGACATTATTTTGTGTCTGAGGCACCAGCCTGCACAGGTAGTGCAGAGACATTATTTTGTATCTGGGGCACCAGCCTACACAGGTAGTGCAGAGACATTATTTTGTGTCTGAGGCACCAGCCTGCACAGGTAGTGCAGAGACATTATTTTGTGTCTGGGGCACCAGCCTGTACAAGTAGTGCAGAGACATTATTTTGTATCTGGGGCACCAGCCTGTACAAGTAGTACAGTGACATTATTTTGTGTCTGGGGCACCAGCCTATACAAGTAGTACAGAGACATTATTTTGTATCTGGGGCACCAGCCTGTACAAGTAGTGCAGAGACATCATTTTGTGTCTGGGGCACCGGCCTATAAGGATTTTGTATGGCCAACCTACACAGGTGGTGCATAGGCCGGCTGGTGTCCTGTACATCAGGTTTTGCAGGCTAATGTACATGTCCTATCAACAGGTTCTGCAGTACTATAAGACTGAAAGATGTGGCACTCACAAAGTCAGCAAGTATCTCCTAGCTATGCACAACTGGCGCCGATGAAACTTTCACATACTACAGGATGTACGCAAACTATACAGCAAGCTCTTACACACCTGTGAGGTTGTGAAATGTGGCCAGGCTTATTTCACATCCTTAGAACACATGCTTGGTGTCTGTGCCAAGAAGCTCTATCTCCTGTACTACCCCATTAAGGACATCGAAGCTGACCTATTATGGTGGTCGGAACTTCTACAAAATGATGGTGCCTCCAGGTGCATCTATCCACCAATTTCCTACTCTGACCCTATGCTTTCTCAGATGTGAGTTCCACCATAAGAATTGCCATAGTAATAGGTCAGCGTTGGAGAGCCTGGAGACTAGTCCCAGAGTGGCAGATACAGAATGGACAGCGAGACATTAGCTGGGCAGAAGCTGTCGGTTTTGAGCTTCTCATTCAATCCTTGTCTTCTTTCCCAGAACTTGGTACTGCACTCATAGTATATGGAGACAACACAGAAGTCATTGAAGGTTGGTGGAAAGGGAGGAGCCATAACAAAGAAGTCAACCTTGTATTCAGACGAATCCACAAGCACATCCATCTTATACCCAGATGTTTCATAATCCAGACTTCTTATGTTGCCAGCAATTTCAATCTAGCAGACAAACCTTCATGAGGCATCTACCCTCCCATTGAGTTTCTACTCCCTGTAATTAATATTCCCCCAGCCATTCAACAGTTCATCGTTGATGTCACAGATCCTCCCACCCCTACCGAGCTTAAGCTTCTGTACAATGGGAGTTACCCTCCTGTTGCTGCAAAAATCATTGACAGAGCTCATCTCAGAGCTTAAGGAGCCAAGTGCAATAGAACCTGCTGCAAAGAAGAAGACTAGTTACTTTGTGAGACCCTCTGCAGTGCTTCAGAGTAACACACCCTTCTGCTTCAAATCCACACTACCAAATAACATTTCATCCTCCTCCTTCACCCCGCAATGCTATAAACACAACCTCGCACCAATGTCATCCTCTCTCCATCCGCACTGCCTAGCTCATGATTAGATGCATCTGTGGTTACTACCTGGTGAGAGCCTGCACAAAACCATCTCCTCAGGCAGTAAGAACAGGATTCTCATTTCCAATGACCAGCTCAACTACATCCTTGAAGTCATGGGCTCCTCATAGGTACCCTCCATGAAAGAGACCTATGGTGCAAACCTATTAGTATTTCAAGTCTTCTGCGACACTTACAGAATCTCAGAAGAGAACAGATGCCCTATCTCACCTGGTTTACTCTTAACCTTCCTATCAAGCTGTGCTAGTACATATTCAGGCTCTTCATTGGCCAACTATGCTACTGGTCTCAAAGTGTGGCACCTGCTACATGGTCAACCTTGGCTTATAGATGCCAAAGAACTGTCTCCCTATCTTAAATCATTAATCACTTCAATCCCTGCTCACGCTATCATCAATTGCTTTCATACACATTTTCTAATTTTTATTTTTATTTTTTTCATAGAACACCTTAAAGCCATTGACATCCTTTTTTGCCTTAATCTACTTAGATTGTTCTGTCTTTACAAAATAATAGTATCCTCAAAGTGCTTTATTTGCCTGATTTTAAGTGAACTGCCTTAGTTTAAGGAAATGGATCTACTTTTTTTCCTTATTTTAAGACAGGAAAACAGCCTTAAAATTGCCTTATTGTGTGAATTAAGGCACTTCAAAAGCAAATAAGGCACTCAATGATTTGCTGATGTTATTGGTATTCCAATACTAATAGCACAACACTACCTGGTGAGCTCATTGTGGTCCACCTGAGTGTCAATGATGTTCAAATCAATTACTGACATATACAACCTTAGACTACCTGGTGAGCTGGTGTGATACTCAGACCTGCACTGGGTAGGAACAAGTGTCTTTTGATATATTTGTGTCAAGTCCTATAGAAACTCACAGGATCTATATCATTCCAGTTCTCTTTAGCAACCAGTTTCCTTTGGCTGATAACCAACTGGCATATACCTGCACTTGAGCCTGTTCTCTGTACTATCCATCCATGTCCTTTCCATGTCCACCTATCTCCGCTGGTGTGTGTTCATTTTCTCTCTTGGTTTGACTAAATGATAGTAAAACTTATTACATGTAACTGCATACTCCATTCCACACATATTCCCATTACATATTCCCTATCTGCCTTGTTTCATCCCTACAGTTCTCGCCTATAGGTTTTGGACACTTATACAGTAGGATAAAATCTCGCATGCTATATATAGTAGGACACTTTCCTTCCCTTGGACACTACCTTTGTTTTGAGGAGTCATCTTATACATTCTTAGTACTTTGTTCAATTGACAAGCTTTGTTCATTCTCACTCTGAACCCACATATTCTTGACCACTCTGAGAATGCACCTCTAAATTTTTCTTACCTAGGCTCTGTGTGGATCTGAACTGCTTTTGGGTTCTGACTTAGCACCTCATACCTAGTTATACCTCGGCCATAAATCTCGTCTATACCTAGCCGCTACTCGACACAGAATATCTTTTCTGTGGGGAAAATCTATGTATTTTTAATAATTAGGAGGACAACAAATAAGACTAGCACTTTATTCAACAATATTAAGAGCTTAGCTGCTTTAAGACTACATTAAGAGGGTGTACTCTGTTCTGATTCTGCATCATACTCATTGTGAGTGCCTAAGCAGCAGAAAAGTTAGTTTTGAAGCCACATATTTCGGTTGATTCAGTTATGTTAGTCTTAGTTTGATCTCCTCTAATTTTTGAGAATAGGGAGTGTTTACAAGATATTACTCTGATTCATTGTATGCTGTTGTGATTCATATCTTCATCTTTATATTGCATACCTTTGCAATCCTCTTCTAGTAGTATTATAGTAATCCATCAAGCCAGTTATCAATTCAGCTACATCATCTAGGATCTTTATCTTTAGTGTCCTAAGCACTGCATTAAGCCAGTTAATGGTCACTGTCTCAACCTACCTAAAGTCATTAGAAGTTTGTTTAGAACAACTCTGCTATTTATGCCTCCTTCCATGAATGTCCATGGATGATAGTAAGAACTGGTAATTTTATTGCCAATCACATCTTAGTAAGACAGCGCAAACTAATGTCTCATTTTAACCCTCATACTTCAAATTAGCCACTGTCATTCAATCCTTACACTACCCACCATCCACAGGACTCCATGCACCATCAGCATGAGTCTGCTCCTCACCAGCACAAGTCCACATACTATCAGCATGAAGATCTCGTGTACTATCAGCATCAGAATTTCGTGTACCATCAGCATGAGTCTGCTCCACACCAGGATGAGTCTTCTTACTATCAGCATAAAGATTTTGTACATTATTAGCATCAGGATTTTGCCCACCATCAGCATGATTCTGCTCCCCACCAGCACAAGTCCACTTACTATTAGTATAAAGATTTTGTACACCATCAGCATTAGTATTTCATGCATCCTCAGCAGGATTTCACATACCATCAGCAGGAAGACTATATGGATGATCCACAGAACATTATATCTGACACTGGATCCTTGACCAGATATGTTACTCCATCATATGGATTATTGAGTGAGTCTACTTCCTTGCCTACACTAACAGATTTATGTCTAGTGCTTAACTTTCCACCATAGCACTCAGTTGGGTCGGTAATGATGAGAAATTCCAGGCCCTTTCAGTTCTACCACCAGATCTTGAACACTTATGGCCAATGTCAATGGGAGAGATCTCCAACTCCCATGTGATACATGTAAGTTATTGTTAGTTTCTGCATCATCAAAAATTGACCTGACTATATTAGACCACAGGACCTGCAAGGACATCCAAAACACATTGTCATACAACTAGATGCATGCCTCTCACACCACTGTGTCTTGTCATTCCTGCTGTGACACCCACAATGATGACAGTGACAGTAGTGGCAGAATCCATCAAAGATTTCACCATTAAGATCAGTCCCAAGACACACAAATAAGTGACCTTGGTCTTGAAAGAGTGCATCTTAGCCATTATCTTTTCCAACAATGTCAAAAAATGCATTGTCAAAAAAGTCATTTCTGAAGTCAGACTTAGAATACTAGCCCTTCTTAGTATGGATTAACATGCAACCACTGACTTATACTAATTCTTTGATCCTACTAGTTGCAACCCAGTAGATGGCTAATGCAAAGGACACCAGAAGTATTTGGTGTACAGTGACAAAATTTTGCACTGCATTTGCAATAATCATCCGACAGGCTATTGTGATGGGATATTTCCTGCTCCCTCCACAGGGCTGTGATATCCCTCCAAATACCTTTTGTACTGATTGAGTACACTGCCTCATTGTAGACAATCTCTTGGTGTTTATGCATCAATACACCTTTACTGCAGTAAGTTTTTATTTATTTTTGAGAACACTCTTATTTGATTTCAATAGGGCAGTGTGCTTGTCATTCACTCGAAATTCACTAACCATATTCATCCTTTAAACTACATGGCACATTTCTCGATAAATCCTTATGCTGCCAACTATGTTACGCTATTGATGCAGCCGGTGCCATTACAGAGTCTGTATTGATGGAGTAGGGTGTGTCACAACTTACAAAGGGCAGCCATGACACTTGTATACACCATCAGTCCCACAAATTATGCATGACCAGCTGGCAGGAGCTTCTCGTTGGAGCAGTATATTGAGATACTCTTTGGTCCTTGGAACCCATTGCTAGAGATAGTTGTTTTGACTCTTGAAACAAGCTGAACAATGGACAGGACACCAGATATTACAGAAAGTGCTCACCAGGGACTTGGGTAGCTCCAGTGGCATAACATTCTGCTGGTCCAGGTCTCCAAAGTAATCTTCTCCTCCATGATATAGCATATTCTGGGATAGTTGCTTCATTGGCAACTTGGTAGGGGTGGCTGTAACTGATCTTATTTTCTGGATCTTAGGTCTCTCTATCTATTTCCCTGTTACTTTCCTGCTTCAGAATGCTTTCTTCTATTCCACAACAGAAATATTGCTGGTGGGTGTCCACTCCTGGACTTTAGATCCTCCCATTCTTTGATTTTGATGATGAGTGATGATTTAAGCTAGGAATTTGTTCACTACTAGATTGAGACAAACACTGAAGTCATATACATAGCATGTTTTGGCATAGGTATTATTGCAGACTTTAAATTCATCCTGCTTTGATCAGTCCTCGAACTCCTCAGTTTCAATAGGATTATGTCAGGCCTGTATCTCAGTCATATGTACTTGTAGAATAAGCAGCCAGTATTACACAAGAAGAAGCAATACAGGTCTGTATGCAGGTGGATCATGTAGCTAGACATACATAATATAAACATTTTGGAAAGGCACTGAAAGAGCTGCCAAGTAGGGATCTGGAACCAACAATTTTCAACTCTCCAACCATTTCATTTTATCAACTGTATAGTAACATAGCCAGGAGTGAATCCCCTGCCATCATGTCCCAGCAGACCAAGCTTTCCCTGATCAAGGCAGAAATTGCAGTCCTCCAGGCCTACCTGGAGGTCTGGAGGTCTGTCAAAGGTAAACAATGGTACCTCATTTTGAAGGCTGTACACAAGGAAGCTTGCCTTCAAGCTCCCACTCAGTGTAGCACTCAAGCTCATGCTAGGCTCGTATTCAGCTATTTTCCAATGCATGTCAAATGCCCATTGCACACAAATCACTTTCCAATGTTATCCAACACTTATCCGCTAATCCGACGCTAATCTGATGAAACCTGACACTAATCCGACGGACCTGACATTTCCCGTGTATCAGACCCGATATTTTCCCATGCACTTGTCCTCCCTATGTCTTGTCCTGTCATATATTTCGCATACCTCCTACCTATTTTAATTACCTTTCTACCTCTGAGTAGGAGGAGGTCATCCGATATTTGTAGTTCTTAGTTGGATTCCGCAATATCATCCTTTCTTTATCTGAAACATCTGACAGTAACCTGCCATTCACTATCCCTGACATTTGCTATATTCCCAATACAAACCCGACACTAATCCATTGCAACCTGAGGCAAACCTGCTAACCAGAAACCTAAAAACATTGGACCCGACATTTTTGACATCAGACTCGTAATTATACCTTCAGACTTTGTTTCCCACACTTCGTACTATCTTCCTTTTGTTATAACTGATTATTACAATACCATACAGCAAACCCCTCGGGTCAAATGCACTTGTCTTGCAAGTATAGCAGACTAGGCTGTGCACGACCACAACACATTTTTATATTGCTGGTGACTTTCTTTGTGTAGTGTCCAGCAATTGTTGTATCTCTACAACGCCCTGTGCAAGCACCTGATTGAGGTGCATATTTTCAGGATGAGGATTCTAATCATGACAATGTAGGAGTGACTGACATGTATCAGAACAATCGCACCTCTAGCAGGAAGAGTAAAGACCGGCACATCAACATAGCTCAGGCGCCAAAGCAAGCGAGCCTGCAGAGCACTAACAAATAAGCTCAGAGTCATTCGAACACCCTAGTGGTTGTAAGTACTCACTCATATTGCTACTACTGTGTATTGACACCGTTTTTCAGCCTAATATTGATTATGATGTCTTCCAGGCTCACCACAAGAAGAATTGTCGGCCACGTTCACCGTCCCCTACATATTTGAACAGTGTACAGAATCGCCATCCAAAGACTAAGCATGCTCGCACAAGAAACACCCTGTCAAGTGATGACTCTGACCAGTCTGAGCAGGACGACTTGGAGGACCTCGCCAATGAGGTCAAGATTGATACTGGGAGGCACCGTCACACCAAGAAAGTGAAGGGTGCTACTACTAATTGTGATGCAACTAATGTTGGGTTCTACCCATCACTCTGGCAAAAACTTCTTGACCATGCAAAGGCTAATTTCAGGCTTCATATCGCTATTTCAGTCCCATTCCCCGACAAAGAGGAATCCATTGGCAGTACTGGAGTCTGGTGAAGTGATCGTGGAAGCGATTGTGCACTGGCAAGAACAGAAATGCAAACTTGAGAAAGGTATTTTATTTTCTCAAATTACAGTTAGTACTGCCCACTGACAAGCATATGAAGGCTACTACCCTGAATTCAAGATGGGGATGGCTACTGTGGTAAGTCGTACTAACATATATGTTTTCATTCACTACTATGTAAGTCATGCGGATCCAGGTTTTTAACAATGCTGCGACATTCCGCAACAAGGTCAAACAAATCGCACTTACTGTCGTTCCAATGGCATATGAACTAGCACTTGGCATCAATAGGAATACAATCAATAGCATCAAACTCAGGGCAACCGGTTTGTTGAAGAAAGCAATGTATCTATGTGGCCATCCTGATTCTGATGTATGTTGTTCATTGTCCTTGATATTCAATTCTAAATGTCTAGTACTAGGGTCATGCATCTAACTTTGCAAACAACATGATCCAGATCGCTTGCCATAAGTCATTTTATGACAATGGTTCCAAATCACTCAAGCAATTCACTGAGTTTCAGAAGACCGTTCCACCCCCAGCACTCTTTCTCGTTGGAACTATTTTGAGTGCACCTGCAGCATGCTTAAAGCGTGTTTGCTGATTCTGAGTTTATTCTACTAAGATTCATAATGTGATCTATATCTACAGTAAATATGGCCAGGTAAATGGTGCCAAGCAGACACCTATCGAGGATTCGGAGGCTTCCTATGATCGTATTTCGACATTGTTCAACTGCACAAACAAAGACAAGTATCACGGACCAAAACTACATCAAATGCTCAAAGCTTAGGCATTGGAAGGCATGTAAGTCCAGCATGATTTTTCACAAGTAACAGTATATTGACCATTGAGTTAGGAATGCACATGGCACCATCTTTGATGCTGACAAAGGCAACGACGGCTGTTCAGAGTGGGACATTGATCTCAATTAATTTACTACTACTATCATTGTTTTATTTTGAATTGAATTATCATTGGTTTTCATATTAATGTATTAGTGTGTAAGAATAATCGCTATACTAACAGTACTGGTAGCAGTATATTGAAAGTGCTACTACTATGGAACACCATACACCACTGTATGACACTGCATAGCAGGTTTGTGCTATGCAGTGTCATACAGCACTACAGTGCTGTGCCCGATGGCACAGCATGACACATCCAAAGCACACACTGTGGCTTGGCTGCACATGGAGGGACCTCCCTGCAAACCCTGAGTCTCTATACAGCAATGTGCAGTGCCACACATCCCATTTGGGTTTTGCTGATACAGGATAGGTTTGTAACCCCTCTGAAGCCAGATAGTCAGTTAATGTGTCCAGAGGCACATCACTGGCATCAAGACCACTGTCAGTTTCGTCAAATGGAGATTCATCACCATCATCCTCTGCTGCCACCTCGGCATCTATGGCACCCAACTTGTACTGTACTGTTGATGTGAGTGTGAGGGATACATGTTGATAAAGTGATGGAGTTTGAGTTGAGGTTGTGGTCAAGTGCGGCGATGAAATTGGTATCAAGCAGCTGCATGACAGATAAGGTCTGCAATGGGATGGTTGACCAAATCAATGCTGGAACAGTTAACAACTGTTTGATTTCATGTCTAACAGACGATGGAAGGTGGTTCTGCTCAAAAATGCGACCACATTCAAGCCAATCTGAGGCAACAAATGCATCAGTTTCAAGTTGTGGCATGACTGGGAGTGATATTGAAGGCAGACTTACAGTTCCAGTAGGTCCAGTGTTTAAGACCACATCCAGTGTTGCTTGACAGTTTACAGGTGAAACAATGTGCAGCAATAGCGAAGTACCAACAGACTCAGAGATCCGCCATCGACGACGGCGATGCAATAGTATGTTACACTTTGTCACACCTGACTGAAGCTATTTTGGTCAAGTCACAGGTCACACCAACATTTGAAGCTATGAAGCTAAGTGTAAGATGGTCATGGCTGGATGTGGTTGAAGTTAGTGTCATATCTCTACAGTATGAATCAATATTGTACAAACAACAAACATACCATATGAGCCTGACCCCAAAACATTATTCAGCCTGAAACTACCATCGATTCAATTCAGGGCCTTATTTATGCTATGTGACAGGACTAAATAATACAGCAATGGTGCATACCATGGTTGATGGCACAGACAGAAAGTTGTTCAACTTCCATGTGACTAAAGCTGACTTAAACTAACTCAAGTTGATATTTCTGGAGAAACAGCTTGTAGCCGATTCACATGACTAGTAAGTTGAACCAAGCCAGACAATGTGGTTCAACTCACAAAAATAGCCAAACTACAGATGTAGCCGATCAAGAGATGTGGGAATCTACATTTCAGAACATGGAGCTGGTGTAGCTTCGAACATGCCCCCCCCTCCTGTAACACTGTGACCATCACGTTAATTAGTCTAAATCTGGTAGCTTAGTAATACAAACCCAATATCATTCAGTCTGCAAAAAAATACGAGAAGGCATACAAATGATAGTGTGATAAGCAAAGTAAAAGCAAGGTCTGTACTACATAAACAACAAGTGAAATGCCTGAGGAAGCTATGTAAAGTAATCAATCAATGGATCAAGTGAAGGTGATGGAACCAATGGAACAACTAAGTTACCAATGTGTGTGAGGTATGCAGATGAACAGCTGTACAAGCTCATTTGGAGGGCATAGAACTAGCAGAATTCAAGGCAGGGTGTTTGGAAAGACATGATGTAGATGCCGGGACATTCTCCTTCTTGGTGTGGTCATATGACGTTGGCCAGTGCTCCTTTGGAATGTATGCAGCCTTCTGCTCCAGCTCCGAAAATGCCATAGTCGTCAAGACACTGGACAGTAAAGCAACCCCAGTCTCCCTACATCCAGGAACGACATACTCCATGTGCGAATTCAGGACATGCTCGGCCATATTATAGCGCCAAACAGCATCGACAGATATTGCCTGCACCTTTCGTGAGGTCCTGCCAGGTTGGGGAGGAAGGGTCAGGTGGCATAATTCGCATTTGATGGGGACATTGCGAGATGGTGTGTTCTTCAATCCTACAGCTGCAGACCCATACCTGAAATTGTGCTTGTAGATGCACTTTGTTTCCCAGGTGGGTGCTGCATCCCCTTTCACAACGATCATGATCGCACATTGGGGCATTCCTGAATGACCACAGAAGAATTAAAAACATACCATCAGCCAATGGATAAGGAAAGTTTTTAGGATCAGAAGGAGAGATGGATGATATCGATGTAAAGAGTTAATTCTATGTGGGCGCTACAAAAGTGTTACCTTAAGACTCAGAGTGCGAGTGAGATGTTCGTCCCAAAGAGACTGCCTATAGAAATGCTCCTTGATATAAAGCAAGGGATATCTTGTTAAGATTGAAGGTGAGAGAAGGGAAAGCTACCAAGAGTGCACTCGGTGTCCCGAGGATGTGTCCGAAGTACCAAAGTACTCGTCCGAAGTGGTCCGAAGGTGGTCCAACATCAAGAAACGAAGGTCCAAGGTTGTGCGAAGCGTCTGAGGAGCTTCTGATGAACAGCGAGTGTTCCGAGAGAAGTACGGCGGGTGTATCAAAGTATAAGACTCGCAAAGTAAAACTAAGCAAAGTCTATCGGAAAGAACTTAGAGACAGCGAGAAGCAAAATGGCAGCAGTCAGGCCAAACAATCATTCTGAATGAACAAAGATCAATTGTGCGAAGTATGACTATCCGAAAGTGACTCTACTGACTATGACTCGTAGCAGGGAAAGTGAAGTGAAGTGCAAGTATCTAGCGAGGCAGATTATATCCTATAGCGTGAAGGTCCAGAAACTGTGTAGGCGAAACTAGTAGCGAGATAAGACATCCAAAATGTAATAAGACTCGAGGCGAGCCACTACAGAGATATGCATGTAATAAGGCGCGAGGTGTGCAGCAGCGAAGTCAAACGGACACAGATGGGACATGGTACAGAGGATCGGAAGTGTATGCAGGCCTCGGAAATGGACAGACAACCTTTGGACAACTCGGACAAATGCACGGAACTCTCAGAAGGTAAGAGGAGTGTCAAGGAGTGTATATGTGGAATACCTATGAAATTGGCAGGATACGAACCCAACACCGATCCGAGTGTTACATCGAGTTTAAGGGAAACTTCATTTCGATGGCCTTGGCCCACAGGATATCACAAGCAGCTTGCAGTGTATCAGCCGACACCTGCCAAGTACTCTGTCTGCCTTTGATCTCAGAGAAGTCGTCAGTGTTGATGTCATTGTGAAGACGAATGAAGGTTGGCTCTGGATTTATTGGCTCAATCATTGATCCGGTCATGCTAATACTGCGAAGGCCCAGATGATTCAGTGGAATCAATTGAACCGGAATGATGGCAATGGTGAGATCGAAAATCTAAGTCCATTTGAGATGAGTCCTTCGAACTTGTGCTGTCCAAGTCCCAGTCACTGTCATCGTCTGATATCTTGAAGCCTGATGATCCGAAAATCTTTGAATGCCATTGTAGTGAATCCATGAATGAGAGTATGATTCAGAGATGCGTCAATAACAACGATGCGTATGACGCGCATATAATTGATATTGGTCACATGATATCACTCATGACATCCAAAATACTGAATTCAGTGAGCAGCACCCTTCAACACGTGTCTTTCATTGATTCAACTATCTAGATGTGTTCTACAGTATTTAAAATGACCCCTTCTCAGTCTTCAGCAAACGATTCTATCAACTCCTGATGCCGCTATCGAGGAACTCAGAACGGTCCGCTGGTAACTTCCTGTGTATTAAGGTTTAAAAGCTTATCTAATGGTACGCTACATATCCGGAATTCTTATTTTGCACACCTCTTGTAGCCGATCAAAGCCAAATCCGAGCCGGGCCGAGCCGAGCCATGAAATAACTACATTCGGCCTCGGGAAGGTGTATCGACTTGTCATTGTTGATGGTAGATGAGGGTGAATCGGGGCATTCGAGGACCTCATCCAGATGGTCTGTGCAAGCCATTAAGCTTCATGCACCACCAGAGACCACCATCGATAAGGTATAATCAGGTACTCCACTTTCAGGTCTGTCAAGACAGGGGTATCAGACGTCCCTCACTCTATGCTTCCGCTTTCTACTTGACACCAATAGTGTCATCTTCCGTATCCGTTCATGTGAGTTCAATGGTGTCGTCACAAGCCTTGTCTCTTTTCCTTCTCAAGATCCGACTCCGTGACTGGTGAGCTTTCTTCTATCGTCACTTGAACAGCACCCTTCTCGACATCTCCTAACTTCTTCTCGCCGCCACGGATGATTTTGCGCTCTAGCGTATAGCCACGAATAAAGATAACTAGAAAGAGACCGAATGCAGATAGTGGCGTGTTGACCAACCAAATAGTACTGATAGACCGCGAGTAAGCATGCATAACCTCACCACGCACTGCTGGATTCTGGTAAGATCGGTAAGTAAGCCAGAACACAGATCATGAAATTGTTTCTGACAGAAATGGAAGAGATCTGCCTGACACTATCATTCAAAGCCGCTGCAGAAGTGTTCATGGTGAGGCCTTGGATGCCCCGCAGTTTCTGCTGAAGGACACTAGAAATAATAGCTTCTCCGATCGTAATACCGATCGTACCACCAAGAGTTCTGAAAACCAATCAGTACCAGTGAAATGCACATTGTAAAGTAATACTCACCGGAGGAATACAAAAGCACCTGTGCTGGTGGCCATGTCTTTGATAGGCATTGCTGCTTGTATAGCAACAAGCGGGGTCTATCACAGAAGCGACGCTGAGCACGGATCGTTATGATGATGTAGTAAACTCACCTGGAATAAGCCACCAACACCAAGCGCTGCAATTAAGGGGTAGATTTCCTTCTCTGCGCTGTTTAAAAGGGCTATAGTTATCACCTGACTTCGACAGTGACTATAAACATACGTAGTGCTCGTACTGTCCAACATGATCATGAGACCCCAACCAAGCGTCATGACACTCCATCCGAACCAGATGGCAGGACGGTAGGATCCCGTTCTGGTCACAACTATTCCGGAAGCCACTGACATGAGCGAACTGGTCAATGAATAAGGTAGCATTCTGCGTATGTCAGTAACCTGGAAACAACGACACATATTCAACGCTCACTGAATGCCAGAGGTCGTTGCCGATGCGCCAAGAACTGGTGTTGAACTCAGAAAAATGCATACTCGAAGGCTCTAAGACAGATCTACCTTGGTAGTACATTGGAAGGTAGCTAGAAGATCGCATGAGAATGTCAGATGCAAACTCTGTCTACAAAATACTCACTATGAACCTGGAATAACGATATGCATGGTTACTAAGACCCAAGACAGGTATGCGCACATACCTGTGAAGAATACCACACCATGCAAGAATGCAGAAACTAATATCAAGCCAGTTGTGCGTGTCTGGAAAATCATGAGAGACAAGATGAATGACTCTCTTGACAACTCACTTTAAAAAGACGAGGTGGGATGATGGGGGATCGCTTCGTGTATATCTCATTAACGCCACCGAGGATTAGCAACGTGCCTCCCACAGCAAGGAGAGCAATGGTTTCGCCGCTTTGCCCTAAAGCCGGTAAGATTTAGTTCTTTAGAACAGAAAGCATAACGTTACATGTTGTTTCGCTTGAGTTGAAACCTATAAGCAGGCAAATGACACCTATAACAATCACGAAAAGCCCAACAAAATCTAATTCTCGGAGATGGTCACGGAATGGTCTTCCTTGATGGGGGTTTAAATTTAAGAAGAAGAATAAAAGAATCCCAGCTAAGCCGCCAGTCGGTCTGTCTCAATAATGAGCTTCCGATCTGAGCACGAACGTTGGAGATACATATCAAACGCACAAATTGATCCAGAAGCACCTGGTACGCATCGATTGAGATTTTGATCAAAACAGAATGCGAATACTCACCACCTCCAACTTACATGATCGGTAAAAACCTAGAGTACAGAAAAATGATCAATTTTTAGATCGCTTCAGAAGATGTGGGGACCTTACACCGCCGATTAATGGTCCAATAACGCTGAGAAAATCGATAAGGTTTGAGCCTTTGAGGACTTGACTAGTCAGTCTTACCTTGCTATGCCCCAGGTGGCACCGATGAAACCACCATACTTGCCTCGGCTGAAAAATAGACAAGATCAAAAACCAACCAGGGTTAGTAACAGATACTCACTCTTGCAATGACACAATGTCAGATATAGTGATCTGTACGAGTTGCATGATGCCGCCGCCGCCAATTCCTTGTACAGCACGACAGACAATCAACCATGTCATAGTCTGGGCTGCGCCACATAACGCTGAACCAATCTGATCTATAATGTCAAAGTCAAATGGGATCCACGTGGTGGGGACATACTAAAAATATGACGATGGATCCATATAGTACGGGTTTGCGGCCTGCAGATGGCAATCATTAATGATATATGTAAGCATAGCACTGAAATAGCACTGGCCTAGAATATTGGATAGTTTGCCGTATAAGGGGCCCAAAGAAGCGGATGCCAGCATGTACGCACTGTATGAAAAGATGTTGGTGTGATGGCACCAACCTTAATTTGCATAGACGAACCTTCCTACCCAACTGTAGTTATTCCCCCCTCCGAGGTCTGCTACGATTGTGGGCAAGGCGGTGGCTACAATAGTCTCGTGAAATGTGAGTGAGATTTTGACGAACAACACAAGAATTTGCATACTTGATCTAAAGCTGCCAAGAATGCACTGCACATCAAACCAAAGAAAACAATTCCCAATCGATTTTTTGGGACGATATGCTCCTCATCCTTTTTCCATGATGCGCCTGGGCTTTGTTTGGCCTCTTTGACTGGAGATGACGGCTCTGCCATCGTTGTCATTTTGTGAGAGTCTCGTCACTCGAGGACACTACGAGTGGATTTCAAGAACGGACTGACGGCGTCAACAGAGAACAAAGAAAGTAGGTTCATGACTAGCTGGTATAATACTTAAGGGTAGAGGGCTCGAAAGTTGTGCCGAGGTGCCTGTATTACTGAGCAAAACGATTTGGCTGAGTCAGGTACATCTAGATAGTTGAACAAGATTGGTCACAAGAAAGCTTTACTTACCATGAAGATCGCCTATTTACGGCGTTCCGTGCCGTAAAATTGTATTCAGTCCCGCTCCCGAGTCTTAGGGTCCGCTCGACACGCACCACTACATGTTAGATCTTAGTCAGTTATTCGGAATTATATTTAGTTCCCGGCCAGTAAAAGTCAGAAGAAAATGAACGAGGGTGAGCATGAATCCTTCCACGGACTATAATAATATAGCCAAGGTCGTAGTGCTACTCGTAACTCCTCGGGATTAGTATTTTTCATCGCTTTGGAATCGGCCTGCGCACTGATAAATTAGTGTCTTTGGTGTCTCGAGAGAACTCACATGTTCAACCTAACTATCCCAGACTAGCTCCTCGAAGACTATCAGATGGACCCCCCGGCTGCGCATTTTCTGCATCCTAGTAAATCTGCGTCCACCCGCGCGGTAGTACTGATTTGCTGATCTGTATTATGTAATGGCGCCAGTGGAGGAATTCAAACCATTATTTGTTCCTTATCGATATCTACGACTGAGGTTTGACGTCTGTCTAGTCATTAATAATAGAATCATCCAATATCTGCGTGGACACTAACGCATCTAGGATAGTTTGAAGTCTGTCTAATCATTTGTCATCAATAAGCATTTATTGCACGTATCTTCGACTCCATGTACATGTCATTTTTGATTTTGTGACGGTTATAGATTTATTGAAAGGTCTAGCAGCAATGAACTTTGTTTAGCCTCCAAAAGCACCCAACGGATCACGGATACCAGCAACAACCCACGTACTGTGCCATCAGCCATAACTCTAATCCAAAACCAGAATCATGCATGAATATTGAATATTGAAATCATTGTCACCATGTGCAGGCAATGACAGAATGACGTCGAACGTGCTCCACACGTCGACTCTCGTTAACTACGGTTAAAATTAGGTTCTCCTAGACAGCCCTTTATAGACATAGGAAGATAGTCGTTCCGAATGTACATGGGACGTCTCGGGTGCAATAAGCACTGAGTTACTTGTACTCGGTCCGCGATGAAGGAAGCACGCGCCAAATATGCAGCAGCAGATGACCACAGCAAACACATATGCAGCTGTTACCCTCAAATTGGGATAGCGTCCAGAGCTCGATCTCAGTATTATGACCTTGAGCATTTGCCCAGTCTAATAAATGCGATTCCAAAGGCAAGGAGGAGAGCAGTGCAGCGGTCACAAAATCTTCAGGCTTTCCCAGCGATTTTCTTGGAACCACCACCCATAGCAAGCGGACGAAACAGAAGATCGGCGACCGAAAGAGTAAGATCACAGCACCAGCCAGGTCACTGACATGGCATCCAGACCCTAGCACGAGACTCAGAATTTCAAGTACTAGCATGCGGGGTAATCAGATTGGTATTAGTGACCGAGCCAGGCTGGCAAAATAATCGACTCAGCCCAAGGGTACATGCATGCATGTGCAAGTACTGCTGTTATTTACGATGCAATAGCCAGAACTCGTGACTTAGTTCCGGGACCACGCTTCACGATGGAAGATAATTAAATATTGCTGCGCTACTTACATCAGTACTGTTGAGACTGGCCGGAGCCTATGAGAAGGAACGACTTATCTTCCTTCGCGTATAAACTTGAAGGTCTGGCTAATTAGGGCCACCGCAACATTAAGGGTAGTCAACGCACAGACGACTACAAGCTCGCAAAAGAAGCTACCAGACGCAATGACCTGATTGTCGCAACATGTGCGAATGCACGACGACGTAACATGTTAAAGAAGTAAACGGAAATTGCGATTGTCCCATTCACCCGTCAGCGCATCTACCTGCGCACGGTTTCTCGCAACCTCATAACAAGTGAAATCATGGGTGCAGAGAAAGAAATCAAATTGAAGGCACTGGTCAAATTTATGGAAGAGTCCGACTCTGATAGATCAGGCAAAGATAATGACCACATTGGAGGAAGACGAATAGATGAGGTTGAGGAGGGGCAGGCTAGACTCTAGAGGGCTTTGGAGAGAAACGAAGGAAAAAATCATTAGAAGAGAGTGTGGGAATGGAACGGAGAGAAGGACGGAGGGGGCGGAGGGTCGCAGTGCACGTGCGTGGTCTTATGAGTGAACGGAGGGGGCACCCGAAATCATATTCGGCCATCAAAAACATAAACGCAGATATTCGTACTACTAATAAGCATACAAGCTTTAAATACCCTTATCTCGTACGCTGATCGACCCCAGGACAACTTAAGCTTGTAGCTATATAAGCGTCTTAACACGTTTGTTGCGGTATAAAAATATAGAAATTCTTGGCAAATTGTGACCAGTTATGATACTTTGCTGAGACCCCGGATGGATGGCTCCCCGGACACCTCGGAATACAATTGTTCTTCTACACAGACCTCGATGAGCTCACTCATCGGAGAGCCCTTCCAAGTATCGAGCTACCCTGTTCCAACCAAAATAAGGCACGAAAAAGTACACAATCCCACATATGCGTCATACAGCCGTGATTTTCCCGGACATGCAACAGTGACCGTCCAGGCAGAAGGCATACATATCGTTGATGTGAGTTTTCTGGACTCCTGCAGAGACGCGTTGATGAAAATTCTATATTTTCAGCTATCTGAACTTCATACAGTAGTCTCGCACACCTGTGGATCTAATGTCTCATTCTCTGGACCTGCGAGCAGCCGGTGCACACTAGAGGATGATGAGCGTATATGCACAACCTATGCACTCGTCTCTTCCGCACCAGAGGTTGCTGTGAAGAACAGGGACCGGACAGTATGGATTATGAAGCAGAAAATATTAGGTGGCACCTTGGGTAAAAGTGACAAACGCGAAATTGTGGTATGTCTCGCTCATTAAAACATCCCAAATTATATCCTACACTGACGGAATCATTAGTTGCCTCACGAAGTCGCGCGCATCTACTCAAACGATAAAAGTTCAAACATTTTACTCGTATCTTCCACTGGTGATATCAGTGTCGCAGATGATGAGTTGAACATACAGTCCACTCTCGTATGTCCACATCAACAAAATTTCCTGGACGTATTCTTCTTCCCTGGCACATCATGTACTTTTTTGCCGCCTCATGAAAACCCTCCAGACACCATGATGGTGTTCTGCTCGAGCTCTGACTCCACGCTGCTTCTGTCCATTGTATCTGTTACCGGCAAGAATATGACCATCATCGGCCAAAACCAGGTTTCGATCTCCCATGGAGTACCGGGACGGAAAACAGAACACCACGTATTTGCCCTTTCTTGTGGTCCCTGTGGGGTGTTGAGCTACATAAGTGAGCTTCTGTGTCTATTGTGATTTGAAGGTGTCTCATACCGTCAAGATGAATCCCATACTTGGGCTGCTTATCAGCTCGAGGTAAACAACCTAACAATATCCATGACACAGATTCGCGAAACATTAGCTCTGGCCCAATTATCGCATTCGAATGCCCATTCTTTTGGACGCGGCATGTGTCTCCTTTCACTGGGTTCCTCGTTGGTTCTCCTCGCTGCTATGACCGCTACGCCATCGTCAGAGATATCAATCCTTCTCTGGGACATGCGCTACGGTGTAGTTATCGCATCGCATGCTATCCCAATCCCATCCACTATTGCGCCGAGCATCAAACAGGGCATTAATATGAGCTTATTGCTCGCAGATGCAGGGCAAGTCTTATTAACGTTGTGCCCTGCAAATATTTCACGGACCGCCTCATCGACCTCCGAGTCTCCATATCGTTCGATAGTTTACATCATTCCCCTGGATCCGAACTTGAAATCTACCATTGCTGGTGCAATCGGAAAAACCCACGCAACTTCTGAATGGCTGGCACCGAATCCTAAAGCTGAAACGCTAGCGGAAAATGACCCTAGATCTAAACTGCTTGTCGACATGTCAAATCATTTGCAGCACAATGAACCCCATAAGGCGGATGAAGCATTTTTCAGATGGGCCAAGGCACACACCTCAGCTAGTGGGTCACCCTCAAGTAATGCACTGTCAATCTCGACACCGGTGCGCAGTTACAGCCTCGATCGGAATTTCTGATGCCAAGTTTGACAATAGGACGGAGCGGCGTTGGAAGCTCTTTATGGTTACAGTTTTGTCAAAGAGCTTTTAGCCCTCTTCTTTACAAAAGAGTACACTGACAAGCCTCAATATTCTCCGCGTGTCATTCGGCACTTGATTGAGAGTCGCGTCGTCAGCGCAGGCATGGTGGACGGCAGACTTCTCACAGCACTAAAACAATACGGCGACTGGGTGAGTGATTCCTGTCTCTAGCATGATAAAGTCAATAATAGCTTGTGCAATAGGAAAGCATCATGTTGTCGTTCAACTCAGTAGTCGATATCTCCGAGGACGAGATGATTTCCCTAGCCAAGGCGCTTCTTGATGAGCAGCGAGAGCCACAGCCCGATCCAGAGGTCATGAATGTGGATAGCAATAAGGCCTGGACCCCAACTCTATCGGCTTATATGCTGATGTGCGTCTCATATCCAACGTCTCCTGCTGCACTGCGTCTGGCCATCAGAAAACACTTGCCAGATGCACAAGATCTCATTTTGATCTTAGAATTGCTGGACGGCTGGACAGTTGGTGGAACCGAGGAGTACATTCGTACCCTTTTAAAATCTGTGGCATCGAATACCTCAATAGAACACCGTGGCGGTGCGGCCCCGCCGTACGATAAGGTATGCTTGCATCCAGTGGCCAAGGAGTCTAACGCTCTACCTCTACAGACAATATCATTCCTGCAAGTCTTGTTGGACGCTTCGTTTGTTTCCCTATTGCAATTCCCTCCGTCGCACGATTTGCTTCGAAGTATCATGTCGCATATAGAACCCGAGATAGGGCTTCATGAGCGTGTGGGGAACCTTCGAGGGGCATTGGAACCCTTCGCCAAAGCTCAGAACCGAATAGTGAAGGAGAGGGCTGAAGGAACGCCGAAGGAAACTCCGAACGAATGGAGAAAAAGACGCAAACATCAAGAACAACAGATTGCGCTCGGTGTTGGGCTGTATAGATTGGAGGAGCTTGTTATCTAGCGCAGATCTGTATCTCCTAGAATTCCGTGTTGGATGAGTGCTGTGCTCTGCAATGATTATCTCAAACAAAATTTACAAGTCAAGCCTCTAGACGCTGAGGTTGAAAATGTTTCTTCACAAGGAGGCGTTCTGTTGAAATATTAAAGGGGCATCAGTGGAACATCATGAATGTATCAACGGTATGGACAATTGATAGCAATGAGCGCTGACTCCTGCACTTGAAATTGTCAGTGGTCTTTGTCGACCTGGTTGTTCAGGTCCTGGGCTGCATTGTTCGGAGCCCGTCACGAACGTCATTTCATCAAAAGCCGACTTGCCGGATGTACAATCGCAAAGGTGTCACCTCGTGCCCGACCAACAAAGCTCAATGTTGGCATTTTGAAAATCAGTTGCCAACTGTCATAAAATTTTTGTGACCGACAAATACAATACACATTTCATCTTCTCGTACGTTTAGAGTCTGACTGTCCAGGAGAACTCCACACACTCCGGAACCTTGGAATTTCAGCGTCGAACCTAGTACACATGTGTTAATGCAATGCATCATTTGGGTAGAGATGAACACACCATATCCAATTCTGTCTTATTAATTGTGTGTGGTTAAGTCGGCCCTGGGACAGCGACCAGTCACGAATTGCCTTGGCAAGCTTGTCATCAGGATAGATATAGTTGTAACGGAAAATGGTGATCATGACTAGATGAGTGCGAATTCTTGGTACATGGGTAGCGGTAGAATAACCTCCGCACACCATTATCCAACCATTCTCGACTGAGGGGTCCCAGGAGAAGTGTTCTGAGGATATGGACAATTGTGGGCGGGGCGTGACCCCCGTAGTGTCCAGAGGAATGGACCAACAGTGACGATCGCCCACCCACCTCTTCTCGTCCAAAAGAAATAGTTGGGGACGAGCGGCATGTTCCGGCCCGAACACTGCGTAGACTCTCCAACCCCTCTGCACATACTTTGCGACGGCATTCAATTGGTTCGACCCGGGGATTTGGATGGCCATTCGCTCCTCGAAGGTTGCAACGGGGTAAAAGGAATAAGCTGCGTTGAACGTAATGATATTCATCACGCAAGCTACGAGTACAGTGTCAAAAATATTCAAAGGAAAAGCGACAATTTGACAAACTTGAATGAAATTGCGTGATAGTCTGGATAGGATTGCACTTTGTTGCGATGATTTGAACCTTGAGCACTACCGTCTCTGTGTCCATAGCTACAGAGCGCGTGAACGTGTAAACACCAGCGACATCAGAGTATTCCATGTCTGGTTCATGATTGATCATCATCTCTCCGTTTTGGTCGACTCTTCTTGCTGTGCCGTCCCAGTCAGCTGAAACTTCATCATGCCAATCCTGTTGCTGCCACGACTCAGGTTGGAATTTATACCCAACAGAGTCGAGCCACTCTAGCGCCTCGTAAACGTGACCAGGATGAGCGTAGAGGTCAAGGTCTGATTCGGGATAAAAGCTCCTATCAAGGAACTGCAACGCATTGGAGCCTGAAATGACTAGTCCGGTGCGTGCTTGGAGGGATCGAAATGCGAGGGGATCCGGGAAATAACGAGACAAGTGTCGGTTGATATTGTACGCACGGCGGGTGAAGTGAGTTACTGCCTCATGTGCACGACGACATGTGCGCGAAAGCCACACGAGGGTGCGAGGGCTCAGATCACATAAAATGAGGTCGTAAATCGGTGCTGTGGAAAAGACTTCTTGCAGAATGCACACTGGCAACGGTCGCGGGGGTTCTGGCTCCCACATCATGCGATAGTGAGGGTAAGTAAAAGACTGAAACTGAGGTGTCAAGAGTCCCAGGACCTAGGATAGGGACTGGTTTAGCAAGGTTCCGGACGTCTTAGTCATCCGTGGCTGATTCCTCTCCTTTCTTTGTCCTGCATCCAGCGTTTTTTTGCAATTTTTCGAGCGCGCCTATCGGCGTTGAAGCAGTATCCTATGGGTCATTTGTTGCCTCGTCGTACGTGCGGGGCTTTCCGAGCCGCAACATGTTGAGATTTTGACTCGTGATGCGAATCAATCTCACAAGCCGTTGAGTGTGATCTTTGCATGGTTTGCATTTTGTTGACTTCTCCCTGGTAACTGATGGAGGTCCTGGGATGCCCGGAGGGATGTGACGAATACTTTTTGCATACTAAATGAGTCAAATTTACCACATCAAAAAATATACAGAATAAGTACAGTTTTGCATGCACAATACCAAAAAAATCAAGGTGCAAAGGAACGCGAAGCACTCCGCTTGTTTCCTGTGCCGAGGGTGTGGGCTAGTATCTCTGATTCCAGAACTTTTACTTCGTCTTCAAGTCGCCGACGTTGTTTTGAGAGCATTTGCAGGCGTCTTTCTTCGCGCTTATTTGAGGTGGGTGCTGTCGCGACTCTAGACTGCATGGCCTGTGCAACTTCAACCTTCGCACGTCAAGTCATGCTGTGCAAGACAAGAGGTAAATTGCTCACCTTGCTTTGAATCAAGCCCTCTCGACGAGTTAAAGCATTAAGACCTTTCTCTGCACGGTCGATAAGTTCATTGATCTGAGGCTCAATCTCGTCTGCAAGATCAGCTTTATATTTGTGCACTGTGCCCTCGTCGATTAGAAGGAATACCTGTAACGAGTTACACGTTGTGTACTTGTAGGGAGCTAATATGGTGTTACCCTTTGGCTTTCAAGGACCTTGCGCATGCGGGGCAGATCAAATGTTCCGTTTCGAAGAAGTTGTTGAGCTTCATGCGCCTGATGATGGTGATGTGAACTATAGCACGTTATAATATCCACCTAGTTCTCCCACCTCTTCGCAGCAATCTTCCATAGCAAGGACGCACTCGCGGAGGTTTGGCGAACAAACGACATTGACATCACCACGATATGGCTCGAGGCCACCTGTAAACACGGATTCTCTTGGTCTCGGTAACGTCGACGATCTTGACATCGAGGTACAAGATTATTACGACACGACGCGTTGCCTATTATCGGCAAACGCGAGTCGGGAGATAGCGGAGTTTCAAAAATATGTATATAATGAGCTGTAAATTTTCAGAGTGAAGTTCTTCAGTGTCCATTCAACCACCTGAAGCGTTAGCTAACAGCACAGAGGTTCGTTCTTCTGGATGGCGTTGTTACTTTCTGGTTGATGGAGCGAGGCGCTCTTCGGGGTGCTCACAAGATTGAGCGTTGTTGCTTAGTTCGCTCTCGTTATATCCTTTGCGATGAGTCCACCTTACGGTGTTGATTTGTTGCAGAAGATGAGGGCTGAGCTATTGTGATGGTGCGGCGTCATATTCCTGTATCTTCCGTACCCGCTTTCCTTTGGGAAAGTTGCTACTATGTGGCCTTGACGGTCGGGTGAAACCATGACGCATACATATCTTTCTATCAGAAGTACTTAGTCCTAGTCTTTGTATCTGTACATATCCAATGAAACCCTGATACTACTTTGATCCGTTATAACAACTTTGAATTTGAGAATTGGATGTAATTTTTCGATGCGGCTTCGTCCCTCAGCTAGATCATCCGAGATGTTCATTTTGTGAACAACATTGTAAAACGTGGGAACTTTCCAGATATGGGAAATTTCTCGTCAAAGTGGCAACCAAACCTTATCTCATCTCCTGATTTCTGCCTTTTGACTCTTGTTCATCGTTTTCTTTCTCTAACGACGACAGTCTTATCATGGCACAAGCTCAGATTCCTACCTTTAAGCTGGTCCTTGGTGAGTGTTTACATTCATCTTGCTTGCAGTGATCACGATGCTGATGTTCTGTGGCTCATTCTTGATGATCTTGATTTTGTGTTTCTTTCCAAACATCGCGTGCTTCGTATTGCACTATCTGTCGCGTCTTTGATGGGGAAAATCAGTCGGTGATGGTGGTACCGGCAAGACCACGTTCGTGAAGGTGAGTGATACAGTTCCGCGTCTGAGCGATCACAATCTGATTTGCCCGATACTTAGCGCCATCTCACTGGTGAATTCGAAAAGAAGTACATCGGTAGGTCATGCGCCTTGAAATCGCAGAGCAGCTATAATAATCCGGTACCGGTTGATCTTCTCTTTGTATAGCCACTCTCGGTGTCGAAGTCCACCCACTTTCCTTCTCCACAAATTTCGGCACGATCTGTTTCAATGTCTGGGATACTGCTGGACAGGAAAAGTTTGGTGGTCTTCGTGATGGATATTACATCCAGGGCCAGTGTGGCATTATCATGTTCGATGTCACTTCCAGAATCACCTATAAGAATGTGCCAAATTGGCACCGCGATCTTGAGCGTGTTTGCGAAAACATTCCCATTGTATTGTGCGGAAACAAGGTTGATGTCAAGGTCAGTCAGGATCATGTCTTCTGCGTGGCCACTTTTGACTCGATCGTATAATTCAGGAGCGCAAAGTGAAGACAGGCGCTGTCACATTTAACCGCAAAAAGAACCTGCCTTACTTTGAAATTTCCGCCAAATCAAACTACAACTTCGAGAAACCGTTCCTGTGGCTTGCAAGGAAGCTGGTTGGGTACGTCCATTCTCAACTAGCGCCGCTTCCATTTCGTTGACAAACATCATGCAGTAACCATGACCTAGATTTCGTAGCGGCCCCTGCCCTGGCCCCGGCCGAGGCTCACGTTGACCCTGAGTTGATGAAACAATACGAGGAAGAGTTGAAGAAGGTATGTCACTATTTTCCTGTCTATGGAGTGCTAATCGCTCAATCGTACTTGTGCCAGGCGGAGGCTGTCCCGCTTCCGGAAGAGGACGATGAACTGTAATCTCGTGATTCATCATATACTTACGCTTTGATACGACCGTTTCATCCCATATTGTGGTTTTCATATTAAATCTCTCATCGATCAGCCACCAATCCAATCGATACATTCTTTCTTACTCTTTTTCCTGCTTAGCGCAAATGCAATTACCCACATTCATGAAACGTTTTCGGACCGCACACACGGTTACTTCTCCTGCAAGTTGTGGCAATAGAACTTGCAGCTGATTGTTCGGAATACAGTTGCGATCATGCCCCGTTACCCCCATCTGACAATCTCTCTATGCCCAGCATCAGTCCACTGAGTTCCAACGGTGTAAGTTGGAGGTACAAATTTTGAGAGAGAATCCAGCCCTCCCGTTCAGATGCCTGCCATCGGACGAAGGCATCCAGCGTAGTTTTTGAATCAAGGCCGATTCTCTTGAACTCCTGAATCTTGGGCCCCAAGTCGGGCCGCAAGGAGCTCAAGAAATCCCTCACATAACCATCGGGATCCGTATTGCCGCACGTTCCCCGTGGAGTCACGATATCGTGTGTCGTCCTTTCTTCTCTGTGAACAAAGGGTTCACACCTTGTCAACGTCCTGGAGCTCTGTACTTTCATTAAAACTAGCTTGAGAAGCAAAATTTCACTCGCTGTGGAATCTGCGTGATTGAGCACTTTTTTGAATCTGATAATTGCCTCATCATCTTGCTGATTGAAAGACCATCAGATTAGTCATGTTGTCGACGCATAGCGATCACTAACATACCCAATGGATGAGATCATCAAAACCTTCGCCTTCATCGTCTTGTTCCCTTTCAAGTTCTCGATCTTTGTTGATAGCCCTACTGCGACGCTGCGCGGATTGCCGACGGGTAACGCAACCAGTAGAAGTTACCTGAAATCATTAAGCTTGATGACTAGATATTCAGATGAGGTTGAACGCCAGTGACACCCGCACCTTGCTGGCAGTGGTAGCCGTTGTGGAAGAATATTGTGTGCAAAGTCGGCGTGTGGAGGACCGACGATCATGATGGCGCATTGATGTGATTGTGGCACTAGTATGCACTAGTGGTTGGCGGTATCTTTAGATAAGAAATTCGGACAAGGAAATCGATCCGATTAGAAGGACTCATAAGCGGATAAATCGACGACCACGCCTCCAGGATCGTATTGCCCCTGTCGACCCCACATGCATTTATAACCTCCGAGGACCGTCAGAACAGGGGCATATGCTGCGAAACATACCACACAAACTTCCGAATGTTTACAAGATTTGATGGATAGCGCTTGATTGCTGTGGGTTTAAACAATTGCACTACCACCTCCACAGCAGCTTCCAAACGATAAGCTGTAATTCGGACTTGACAGAAAACTTGCCTTCACAGCTTCAGTTATGATATAAGCTCTCATCGGCTTTCAGCGGCACCACACATAGACGCCGGCAAGCATCTCCAAATGGGCCGTTGAATTCAAGTGCCATTATGATTTTTTAGGTTCTTTCGTGATGATCATCGATTTAGAAGTGGAACGTTAGCGTGACGAAAGAAAACACAGCAAACGATACCGATCAGGCTGGTTTGCACCATGTGCGACAACGTGCAGGCGCTTGCTAGGAAGCCTAGGCTGATCGGAACTGTGCGTTGATCGATCCCTCGAGCACGCTCAACTGGTGGGCGCTAGGTGGATCTTCAATGCTGTACTGGCAGAGAATTATGGCCTGAATAAGCATCCATAGCCTTATCATGTAGATAGCCAACGAAGCAATATTTTAGCCGCCAGCAACGACAATAGGATTACGCGTCGTGCGGCTTTATTGCTACTATTCAGCTTGTCGTGCAGACGCCTGACTAGTAGGATCCAGGCGCTAATGGAGACCCTACATATCACGAATTACTGCGGTGATTTCGGGTATGGTGCACCTGAAATGATCCGTGGACTCGTGTTGCAGCTGTCAAGTTGACGGTATGTAGATGACCCTGCAACAGAACTTGAGCACACAAGTCGAAGCTTGGCCTCGGCCCCTTGGCTACTATGATCTTGGGTGGAACGTTCACAGGTTGCCACCAAGTTGTGACAGGCTGCAGCTTGCCATGTGCCGCATGCACCGAGTGCCAAATGCCACTCAACCTATTCTCGAGGCTCGAGCGTCTGAGAAGTATCGCGCGAGATTCGAATTTCCAACTCAACCGTGATACGATGAGCGTCAATGATAATTTTATATATGAACCAACAAACGCGTGGCCTCCCAATTGAGCGCTTGTCTGGAGCGTAAATGAAAGAATATGTAGAAAATTCAGCAAGGACTCAGCGACACTATTGCTCGTGATATGAGTCCCTTGGCGCCGGTTGTTGTCAGCCCCAGTTGGCCTGAACAAGCCGTGGATTCTTTGAGGAGCACGTGAACGGCTCAGGTACCAAAACTGTCATACACATACTCAAGTTGACAACCAGACCTCGCACCCACTTCAGTTTCTCCCAAGTTCAGCCTTCAACAATATGCCAGTCGAAAACACATACTCTCTCATAACAGATCAAACACCAACAGAAGCTGCTCAGGCAACCAAATATTGCTTGTATTGCAATAACCCACTCGATTCATCCAATGCTGTGCTCATGCAGGACGACCACGATTCCAACACTATGTGTGCTTGGTGTCGTGATATGCAACCACAAGGACAACAAGATAATGATGCCTTCGCAGATGATGATACCGGCGCTTCATTTACCCGAACTACGCTTACCACTGTCTCTGGCCAGTTGAATAGCGCACCGCTCGGTCATATTGCAGACTTGCAAGGCATCTTTGGTCACGATATGGACTTAGACGATGCTCCTACACCTAGTTCAACAATTTCTTCTCTCTGTCCTACAATTTCTATCCCATCTTTCCCCCATTCTACGTGTTCGCAGTCGCCCATACCCGTCACCCCAAAACCCATCCACACTCATGCTACCACATCGTCAAGACCCCTGTCCAACCAGTCCCGCAATAACGTCTCCACGGATTCTCATTCTCTGCGTATAAATACCTCCTACTCTTCTCCAAACCCCCTTCTTGACATCACGCATATTCGTGTGCGCTCTCAAGGCCATCACTGTTTATATCCTGGTGCTGTGTTCCAAGGTACACAGAAAAGCGGCAGGAATAGCTATGAAGTGAATGTCAACATCGTTGTACGTCGAGACTGAGGATTAATCTTAATGTTCAGCGATGCTCATTTTCCTACTAGGATGTAGACTTTTCTTCCTCGTTTCTTTGTGGATATCTCCGCATCCGCGGCTTGACCGATGACTGGCCTGAATTGACCACTTATTTTGACGCAGAAATCATAGGAAGTCGTTATGGATTCTTGACCCAAAATTGGGGCGCCAATGAACAAGAGGACATGGTTCACTGGCAGCGCTTCCCTGCATTCCGACATGTAAAAAATGAGTTGAAAAAACCTAACCTGACCATCCCCGATCGTGATCGTGGCGCGGTCTTCATGAGATGGAAGGAACGGTTCTTGGTACCCAATCACAGAGTACAAGATATCAATGGCGCGAGCTTCGCAGGTGAGCGCCTGTCTTTTTATTTGGCGCGGGTCACAACGTGGCCGGCCCGACAAGGATCTGCAGTTTCTGATATAACAATACGTGCTTCTACGGTGACCAGGCTTTTATTATGTTTGTGTCGATTTCAACCCCCAGCCTCCTTCATCGGCCTCCGCGCTTCGCCCAGTCACACAATCTGTTCCGTTCGAGAAGGATGGAATCAATGATTCGCCGTTGTCCCATTCGCCATCTCTCGGGAAAACGGAGACGACCCCTACTGTGCGGAAGCGGAGGGATTCCAGCGTCAGACGAGGAGGTCGAGGCCTATCAGTTGGTCCACGTTCTCATCCTCCTGCTGCAACAATGAGCGGATTTTACTTCCATCAGAACTCTGAACCGTACGTATATGCCATTTTTGAGTTTGATACTTCTAACCGACCCTGCTAGATATCAACAGCTGTCACTCAGTCACGTCCCGGAACGCTTTAGCTCCAACTTTGAGTTTCGATGAGAAGCTCAGGGGTGGAGCGTTGCCTCGCTTGTATGGTAAAAACGCACTACGCACGGAATACTGGACTGAACTTAATTCATTTGTGGCAAGGCTCTGTCTGAGTATGTTGATTTTTAGTTACCCTCCTGCTTGCTGTCCTGATATCATCTTTCACTCATTCTCTGTATTTGATGTGTTCTACATGACATGCAGTCTTATCTTAGTCTTCCACTCTCGGTGCCGTCATTCTAAACTTGGTACTGACGAGCATCGCCAAGGAGAATCTAATATCAATGATTGAGTGAACCACAAATCTTCCAAGGCAAGGAATATCCTATTTGGATACACGTAGACGTAAAACTCGACGTTGTACTACACGATTCTCCCGTACAATGACTTGGATGTCAACCATTTGTCCGGACCTTGTCGGAACAAGGTACAGCCTTGGACCTATACTCCCATAGGCGTGTTACCATGCTGCGCAACCTTCTTTCTACTCACGACCAACTGTCAAACATGAATCGCGATACACCCCGAGTGGTTATAGTTGGTGCAGGGTATGTTCTTGCTGTCATGTCATAGGCTATGATATTTATTCGAGCACGACAGTGTTGCCGGGATCACCATGGCTGTGAATCTGAGAAACAAGTTGCACCATAATAACTTCGTGGTGAGCCATCCTAAACAATATCCTGTAGGGTACGAACTTGACCTTTTTCAGATTTATGAAAAGGCGGAATCCATCGGTGGGACGTGGCGAGTAAGTCACTAGTCATTCACAGCATTGCGCAGAATTAAATTCATTGTGCCTTACAGGACAACACATATCCTGTATGATAGTAACTTCTCATTAAACTTGACTATTTAATCTTCCACCAGGGTTGTGGGTCCGACGTTCCTGGGCACTGGTATTCGCTTTCGACGGAACCAAATCCATACTGGGAGAACTACTACATCACACAGCCCGAGATACGCACATACTGGGAGGAGATATATCAAAAATACGACCTGGCTTCCCGCACAGTATTCAATACTTGCGTTAAGCTTGTTGAATGGGATGAAGAAAAGGGCGTGCATAACCTAACCTTAGAAGATGTAACATCTGGTCAGATGATACAAATCCAAGCGGAAGTTGTTATCCAGGCTGTCGGATTTTTTACAGCGCCGAAATATCCGGATATTCCTGGAAAGGAGAAATTCACAGGACCACTCTGGCATTCTTCCCAGTGGAGGCATGACGTAGATTTGAAAGACATGACTGTCGGCGTTATCGGCAATGGCTGCTCTGCGTAAATTGCTGCTGATCATATGCCACGTCTTAAATAATTTTTGCCCTACAGAACTCAGTTCGTACCGGTCATCGCTGCCGAGCCTACCACTCGGGTCATAAACTTTTGTCGCACCCCACAATGGATCGCGCTCAGGGTATGATTTTATTCTTGTGCTCGATATCGTGCTGAATGGTGAATCACTCAAGTCGAACTACCATTACTCAAATTGGGCCAAGTGGGCATTCGCCCATGTTCCGTTTCTCATGTACGCATATAGATGCTTCATGATGATAACGGTACAACTTCAGACATTTCTCGTTTTGGCTGAAACTGACTTTTTAAACCCCAGGGTGATCTTTTATGGGGCGTTTTCTTGGCGAATTCACCTATCAATACAGTCTTCAAAAAGGTAACATCAATTTCTCTGTCTATCCGATTATGATATCTCTAATAATGATGTTCAGCTCTTAACGTGGTACATCCGAAGCACCGCACCAGCAAAATACCACGATAACCTGGTTCCCACCTACCGTGAGCAATTTACAATATTGATGATCGTGACTTGACAGCTGCGAAATAGCTCCTGGATGCAAACGCCTGGTTCTTGACTCTAACTACCTGGCCGCTTTGCATCAGCCCAATGTTGATTTGAATTGGACCGGAATCCAAGAAATTGTCGAGGATGGCATCGTTCTCAAGACTGGTGACAAAGTACCACTTGACGCAATCATCTTTAGTACCGGTTTTTACTTGGTGATTTTCAATCTGGCAATAACCCTCACGTGTACTTAATGTCTGATATTGTGTAGGTCGAACGCGAAATAGTTTTCCGCGGAATCGGTGGCCGCACTCTGAAGCATTACTTTGAATCAGAAGGTGGCTATTACGGAACGGTTTTCCCTGGGTTTCCAAACCTGTTCACAATCGTGGGTTAGTGGTTGGCTGATTCAAGGTTTCTTCCATTGCAATTTGACATCCGATAAATTTGTCAGGGCCCAACAGTGCTTCGGCTCATGCTTCCCTTATTTTCATCATTGAGACTCAGGTATGTGTTTTTAGAAAGTTGGAGTTATTGTGATCTAACATGAGGTCATGTCACACTAGGTCGGCTACATTCTCAAGCTGATGAAGCCTATCATCAATGGCAAGGCGAAATCACTCCAAGTCACCCAAAAGGCTACAACCTCTTACAACACCTGGATTCAAAAGCGTATGGAGAGTACCGTATTCTTTTCTTGTTTTTCATACTATCGAGGCGACAATCAGGCGAGCGCCAAAAATTTAGCCACGTTCCCTGGTATGATGTCGCTCTACTGGTGGATCACGCGAAAGCCACGTTGGGATGATTTCAAGGTGGTGGGTGGAGAGCAGTGGTTTTACCAGCAAAGGAAAGTAGCGCTGACGAACTATGCACTTGTTGGTTTGATGGTTTCCATCGTTGGTTACATTTTCTCCGTGCTCTGGAAGCTTGTCCCCGGACTCAAGCTTCTTTTCGGGTGAGATGAGAATTCAAATAACGTAGTTTGTGCTACTATTTATTATTTATACGTATCGTCGACTCGTTAGTTAGGTGTAGACCTGCTGAGCGCTGATGATTGATAATGTAACGTCACACGCAATTGATGCCAATGCAACTGTATAGGGAGTCGCTTGTTTTGGCAAGCTCGGTTTTGACCGAGGTCTGTACCCTCAACGTTTGTCCACCGCCGCCGCAGAGGCAGTAGAAGGCCTTGAAGGCCTTGTCCTTGCCCTGTACACGGTCTATCTTTCTTCTGCATCATAACCTTTCACACATCTCTCATGTCTTCCCATAACTCTGGCACGGCGAATGTAGTCGGGGCGCATTACCGTGTTGGCAAGAAAATCGGGGAAGGCTCATTCGGTGTTATCTTCGAAGGTTCGCACCTCTTTCAACAGTATTTCGGTTTGAGCTGACCATAGCGTCTTAGGAACGAACCTGCTAAACTCTACGACTGTCGCCATCAAGTTTGTGGGTGCTCTGCTTTAGTGATCCCTGCCTTTATTCCTTATATATCTTCTTTGGTTGTAGGAGCCACGCAAAGCAGAGGCACCTCAGCTCCGAGATGAATGTCGTTCATACCGTATTCTAGCTGGCTGCAGTGCGTAAAATTGTTGAACTCGCAAGTAAATGAAGTCTAATTCACGCGTATTGTAGCTGGTATTCCTCAAATATATCACTTTGGGCAGGAGGGCCTCCACAACATTTTGGTGATTGATCTTTTGGGCCCGAGCCTGGAGGATCTATTTGATATGTGCGGCCGCAAGTTTTCTATCAAGACGGTGTGCATGGCAGCCCGACAAATGGTGCGTGTCACTCTGTTTTTCAGATTTCTTCCATCGTCTAACTATCAACAGTTGTCCCGGGTACAAACCATCCATGACAAAAACCTCATTTACCGTGACATCAAGCCTGACAACTTCCTCATTGGGCGCCCTGGTACGAAGGCGGCCAATCGTAAGTTTCCTACGTTCATGGCGGATATTACATTCACATGTGTCTCATAGTCATTCATGTCGTTGACTTTGGAATGGCTAAACAATACCGCGATCCTAAAACCAAGCAGCACATTCCTTACCGGGAACGTAAAAGTTTGAGTGGCACGGCGCGATACATGAGCATTAATACTCATTTGGGGCGAGGTATGTGTTTCCATCGCGATCGGTCGCATTGTCTTATTTCTGTAGAGCAATCTCGGAGAGACGATCTAGAAGCGCTTGGGCATGTCTTCATGTACTTCTTGCGGGGAAGCCTACCTTGGCAAGGGCTAAAGGCTGCCACCAACAAGCAAAAGTATGAAAAGATTGGAGAAAAGAAGCAGACGACACCCATCAAGGATTTATGTGAGGGATATCCAGGTTCGTTGATTCTTCAAGTGTCTTCTCAATGCTCCAGTAACTTTCGTACAGAGGAATTCGGTATCTACTTGAACTATGTTCGAAAGCTTGGATTTGAGGAGACTCCGGACTATGATTTCTTGAGGGATCTCTTTTCCAAAGTCATGAAGAATAACAACGACCTAGACGATGGCATTTTTGACTGGAACTTATTGAATGGTACAGCTTTCATTGCGTCTGGTAATCTCCTTATTGATCTTTCGTCAAATTATACAGGTGGTAAAGGTTGGGAGGCTTCGCAAGTAGGTGAAGTTTCAATTTCCGAAATGCGAGGATTTCATCGTGTTGCGCAGGGGCAATCGCAAGTACTTGCTCAAATACAGAATGCGGCCGTAACACCTGCGCCGCAAGACCGTCGGAAAGATATGGAACGACGTCGGGATACAGATTGGCGTCGCACATCTCAGACTGGTGGGGTCAACCCGCCTTCACCAGCGCTTGTTAGGCAAGGCTCGAAGCGCAGAGTCCCTAATGCACTTACCCCTGGAGCAGGAAATGCACCTGGTGGCACTGCTACCCCTCTTTCTGCTGCTGCTCAGATTAACGTTCCAATCTCGACACCACAAAACAGATCTAATAATGTTGGTGCGCAGCAACATCCTTACGCGAATGCAGCTACTGGTGAATACGGCTGGGACGCAGGCGAGGAACCATACGGATCTCAAGCTGCATACGGACGTGCATCTCCTATGGTGTCAACTGTTGGGGCTGCTCCTCCCGCAATAAGTACAGTGCGTGCCCACGGCAATGAAGCAGGTGTTTCTCGCGGCGAGGACTACCGTCAGCAACAGGATGACGACCCTCCCCAACCAAAGTCGAGTATCTGGAGAATCCTCACATGCCGGTGCGGCTGATTGTCGCTAACTTCTGGTTCTTCCCCTATTTCTGTTCCATGCTATGATCAACGTAACTCCATCCATCGTCAGTCATTACTTTCGACGCTTTGATATACCCATTCATTACTTGCACCTAATATCCACTTTCTCGGTTTATGTTTGGACGCCTGCCGTAGCTTTGATCAAATGATCAAATCTTGCTCTTGACTATCTTTGTACGGGTTCACAGACTACCAGGAGTGTGTAAGTAAATTGGTGACGGAACTGTTCTGCAGGAGTAATTATGCTTTGAGATATGTGGAGTAAAGTGGTCAGTTGAGGGACAATTATGTAAAGTTGACTATGGAATCAGATTTGATCATTAAAATTAATACTGCGCAAGCTCAGTGCTCCATGCCAGCGGAGATAGATGAGAAAGTTTCAGTTTCCAGGAGTGAGAGAAATTTGCCTTCGTCATCAGAACCAACTTGGCTTTGAGCTCGGGTAGGCTCCGCGACGAGCGTCTCGGGTGGATCATTCTCATCGTCAGATTGGGCATAGGACTGCTGCGTTGTGTCCATACGCGGCCCTTCCAGCTCATGACGCGGCATGCTTTGGATGGAGAGATAGTGACCCGCAGAAGTATGTCCAATATGGAAAGAGTGGCCCATCTCTTGGGTTTGGGTGCCTATAATGGTAGAAGAACAGTCCATAGGTCGTGCTGGGACACGCGACTGGGTAGGAGGCACTGCTGTGCCAGCGCTAGTAAGAGAGCCTCGACTTTCCTGGTGCTTGTGAATCGGAGGAGCGGATACAGAAGGATGTCCAAGAGAGTCAAGACTGTTGCGCTTCTTGCGGGACTGTGCGCGGAAGCTTCTCGACATGGTTATTAATTCCACGTTTTGTCTTTGTAGAGCGCGCAACTTGTCCTCCAGTATTTGATTGTCTGTCTCCAATTGGGCATTAGCAACTCTCAGCTTTTCATTTTCGGCCAGCGCCAGGCGTAGTTGCTTCTGGGGCACTGCTTGAACGTTATCGGGTATTGCTTCTTTCTTGGCGGAGCTGTGAGAGTCTGGGAGTAATTTGACGGGGAGTCGAGGCTTGTTCGTGAGATAGACTTTGCCATTTGACGCACTATGCAGGATACGCTCAGCCGCACTCCCACTCTCGACAGATGAACTTACTGTTTCTCTAATCTCAGGGGCCCTTTTCTTGACAGTCTGTTGCCGGGAGGACCAACACGCTGCTTCTTTGAAGGCCGACCGTCCGAACTGCTGGCAGAGGCATTGAGCTGCTCATACTCCTCATCGACATCCCGCGTTTGGGCTCGAGAATAAGCGTCAACTCCTGGAGATGTACCATCTTCATCTGGCTACATGTCCTACGTCAATACCTGATACGTGAACACGAATGTGGGGCAGATACCAAAGATCCTATATGAGTCGTGGTATCGTCGAACATGCTGGATGAAGGCCTATCATATGGAAGGGGGGGAACAGATACAAAGTCCATAACAAACCTTCGCTTCTTGCCATTTGCAAGTGGTACGCTTGGACGTTTCCGAGTTGTGGGAAATGATTTATGAACGCCGAAAGTACCAGCCGCATGGTAGCTCGTTGAACTACCTTGAAAATCGCTTGGAAGCGATGCCAATTCATTGGAGCTTGCAGACCTACGGAAAGGCGATGATGCAACCTTGTCAATATTTTAGCTGCTGCGCGGAAACAATAAGAATGGGAACCTCTCACAGACGTGCTAGTTAGCTCTATGCATTTATCGTACCACCCCGGTATCGTCGCGTTCGGGTTGACAGACTTGCATGTACGAAATTTGGATGCGACGTATGCCAACTTCAAGTGAAAATCCGGACGTGCACCAGTCTCTTCGTCGTGTTGGATGCGTGCATACCCTTCCCTAAACGCTGCCTTGGATTCCTTGTGGTAGCTATGCCACACTTTGATATCATTTGACATCAAGAACGCCAGTGCAGCATGCGTATGGTAGCCCTCCAATATATGAGTCGTGCACCGTCCGACATGACAGAGTGAGCAGTAGATTATCGCACTATGAGAATCTTCATGCTTTGACAAGCACATGCGCAGCGGCTCTTCAATGTCAGAGAACATCCGTCGTCGTTCATACAAGACGCATGCAGCTATGAAGACGCCGACATGACGTGCTGATATGATAGAACTGAACACGCAATCAACCAGTAGCCTCCTACAAGCACGAGTATACTCACTTTAAATTCCCTAGTAAACATTCGTGGTCTTTCACGATGTCAGGACATACTTCTCGAATAGCATGTAGGGCTTCATCGCGGGCTCTTAGCAGATCGCCAAAAGGCCGACATTGAGTGGGATTCATGATCCCGCAATTACAACCACGACCCTCGACGTAACAAAGAGGACAAACCACGATACCATCTCCGATCTTCATCTCGTCATCAGTTCCAGATAGATGAAGAGCACAGGATATGCACTCAAAGAAACTCTGGAAGATATCCGCGCCGCAGAAGTCGCAGCAGATGTCATTTTGATGGCAGGTATCGGATTGCGAAACATGCAGCATATCTTGATGCTTCGGTGAATATTCTTCCCCGAGGACATCATCAAGCAACTCAAGTAAGTGATGGAGATCATCAGCAACTCGCTCAGGGTCCAAGTCTACAGTGAGCGATGATCGATTGGGGTGAGGAGAACTTGTCTGCTGCTGAAGTTCACGAAGCATCTGTGTCTGGCGGTGAAGGGCGCGATATATATTCAATTTGACCTTGTATGTTTCCGGTCGGCATACACTGCATAAGTATGTCACTGAGTTTGCGAAACGCACGAGTATGTTAAAGAGACATACCGATGATATACAGGAAGTTCATGATAAAGAGCATTCGACAACCCTTTGAGAGTCATACGCGACCAGGATGTTTTCATCGTGATGCCACCATTGTTGATGACTTGGTGACAGCTTCTTGGGGGAACGAGTACTAAGTCGCCAAGGGTTTGTTCCGCAATGTAGATTTTTAGTCTCGACTGCTCCAACTCTTTCGTGGTCACGACATGTGTCTCAAAGTCTAATTCTTCGTTCATCTTCTGGAAAAATGCAGCCATGGCTGGTGCAGCTGAACTCTCTGTCATGAACCAGAAAGATGAACCACCATTCTCAGTATAACACATAAGATTTTGGCCAGAAGATGCACAAAGATCCTTGTGGAAAGGAGTGAACGTGTCCCCTACTCCGAGGTAGCACATCAAAGTCTGAACATCACTCTGATCGAAGCTGATTATATGGATAGCCACAAAGTGTAAACGAACTGACCGAAAGGTACTTTAGGTAATCATTGGTTCCGTGAGGTAGAAGATCACTTGGGAGGACGCTAGACGTTGATAGCCAAGTTGCCCACTCGTGCGGGCATTCCGCATCTTTGCCATACAGTCGCTCGGTTTCTGGCGAAAGTGAGCTGACATAAAGAGTGACGTGATACAACATCCTCACCATTTTCATTAGCGTATACTGGTGTCGCACGAAGTTTATGGATGAGCTCTGAAAGGGGCAGGTCGAAATCAGCCCAGGTGTGCACGTTGCGTGCGAACGCCCCTTTGGATTCGCGTCTCAGTCAAGTGGCACGCGTTCGATCATGAGAAATAATGCCATACCCGGTTTCCCATGCTCACTGAGCCAATCCAAGGTGAACAGATCGGTGGGCCAACTATCGTGTTCATGGAATCCTTCAATGATTAAGGGGGCACCAGAATCTTCGTACATCCGAATTGTCTGGATTAGCATCGGATCGTCAAAACGGACCCTGTCCACTGGACAAAAATTAGGCGATTTTTTGATCAGCTGCGCGAGGGTCCAGCCCTTGGTGGAGATTAATGGTTTGGTTGGGTATCTAGCACCATCATTGACAATGGAGTGGCGTCCGTAGTATGGGTTCAAATCTGAGGCCGGACTACGTGTCGTATCTGATCGCAGCTCCGAATGTGAAACTGGAGCAGTGGTATTCGACATGATATGGTGAAGGCTGACAATCCTTCCAACTCCTTCGTCTTCAAAATGCGTCCTTGAGTGGATGACAAGAATCCTGTGGCAAGAAGCGAATTCAAGTTTTCATTTGACCTTCAATTACATAATTACGGGCGTCTATTCTAACGCTCAAACGGGATAAGATACTTCTTACGTCCGCATTGCACTCTTTGTATCATGTCCAACACAAACGAGCAAGTCATGCAGGAAACAGAGTTTGACTTCTGGGACTTTGTCCACTGCTCCACATGCCAACTCCCGTTCACATCAAGCGATCGCGGACCACCCGTTCCATTTTGGATCACAGAATGTGGTCATGTTGTTTGCAACAATCATCTCAGTAAGACGCTTTCTCCCCCGCCTTCAAATCTTGTGCATTGTGAACTTGTATTGACTTTTTGATTACCCAATGAGAGCCAGATCAGAGCTGTGCGCGATGTAACGCCCAAAACATCCAGCTGGTTCCCCTACACCGAGATGTATGTTTTACTACTTATGTGTCTAGGGAGATGTCTGGCTTATGTTTTGGGGAATTATAGCTGGAGCCTCCGATGTCAGATTGGTTTAGACCTCTCCCTTATTCACTAGATTCGATAGCAAGTGCTGTAAAAGTGAGTCTTCTTGACGTAGTCTTGCTATCATTTAGGCCTCAATCTGCATCAGTTTCAACAAGACACATTCGCTGGTCTCATTCGCTACTACCGGCAAGCTTGTTTCCAGCTAAGCCAGACATGCGAGCGTATTCGAGCGGAGAGAAAGGCTCTTAGAAAGTCCGTAGACTCACAGTTCATAACACCGCTTATCCTCACTGGGAACAGAGAAGTAGATAGTTTGCAGCGAGAAGTGGAGCACCTACGCCAGCGTACTTCTGGCTTGGACCCCGCTCATGCTCAGGAACCCTCATCTTTCTCCAACGCGAATGGCAAGCGTCCGATGGCTGATGTCCATGAGTAGGTGAAAGACTGCATTTATTTTGGATCTAACCACGCTGCCAGTTTCAAGGCAAGCTCCAGCCCTAGATCTATCGTCACCCCAATCGGACCAAATCGAATGACACTGCCGCCCGGGGAGCAACCACATTTCACCCGTCAAGATCAGGGACGAATTCCCAGCCAGAGCCGTCAACCGGAACGACCTGGCACGAGTCGTTTTGTAGAGTAAGACCATCTATAATTTTCCCACTCGTTGGCTTCAATGTTATATATCAGACAATATGCGTACAACGGTGAACAGGGACCACGCATGCAAGCCCCTCAACTCTCTCACGAACAATCGGCACCTACCCGGCATCTGCGATTGGCGTCCGGGGATCAAGGACATCATTCTATGCCACCTCCACCCCCTCCAGTACCCGGGCCTCGAGGTCGCTTCAGACCTGCAATGAGCCAGACGGATACAAGGACCACAATGGCGTCGAACCCCCAGACTGCTGGACCGCAAACGACACAACATCGACCTCAGCAACGCTCATTCGCGGTTCCGCAAACTCCTCATCGCGCTAGCGGCACACACTTCACTGGCCAGACCTCCGATCAAATGCGCTCACTCCAATCCAACCGTTTCATACAACCATCTTCGCACGGACATTCGAACTCTGGTGCAGGTGCAGTGGCTGTGACATCCTCGAACGTCCCGGGGACCTCGTCTGGAAGACATAGGATGCCATTCGTTTCAGGGAGTACCAGTGGATTTGGGTGACCTTGACTTTATCATACAATCCTCTTGATCGAATATGCAATGAATGCAGTGTCCACTTGCAATTGTGTTGTGGGACTCTCGGTTAAGTACGTAAGTAGGTCAACGGAATATCATGGATGATATCATATGTCAGTATCAAGCACTGCAAAACAAGACAACAAGAAGTAATCGACTGAAGAAGAATATTTACACTCAGTTGTTGCAGCTGCTGTACCAGTATATAGGAATCGAGCTGACTAAAAAGAACATATCAACAGACATTCGCTACGATGACTGATTACCTTTGCCGTGCGTAGCTCCTTCCAAAATCTATGGATCCTACTGTCCGACGAGATGGTACAGGTACCGAAGGATTTGGGAATGAAATTCCTTGAAGGGACTTTCGCATTGGATGCCAGTTGTCCGTCGTACGTTGATCGGATAACTTGGAGGCACTGCTGTTCCTGTGGCGAGTGATAGTGTCAGGCTCAGAGATTTAGCTCATCCAAACCAGTGCCTATAGAAACTCAAGGTAAGGGTGCGAAATATGCGAGGGATCCGTGAAGCTCAAGTACAAGTCCTGCAGGAGCGGGTAGTATCGAACGGTGCTGGAGCCCGGGTGGGGTAGTCCTAAAAAGGCAAAAGTGTAAGTTTATTCTCATTAGAATCCATAGATTTAAAGTTTATTGAGCAGAACCCTTGAATTTCAAACGATACATACACCCGGCATCGCGGCACACCTTCCTAAAGCGTGAAATTATATTCTGCATTCTATTAATTGTTTAAATTTGGTCGTGATACCAATTTCGTCCCCTTGCACCACTTTGAAACTGTGCAATTGTCACAAGTTGCACAGCTATAATTCGGCTCTCGTGAGTCCCGCAGCAACTCTACTTCTGCCATCTCGCACATCATTCATCTACCATGTCTCAATACAGAGACCCGTATTCTGAGCAGCAACAAGGCAGTCACAACCAGCAGTATGGTGATGCATCATACGATACCAGGCAACCACACCAGGCGTACGACCAAGGCGGCTATGATCCCCACACAACGGGCGAGTACAGAGACGACCCCAATGGGAGCCCACAAGTTGCCGCTACGTCGTATGCTCCAGCAGCACAGGAAATGATGAACCCTTATGAGCAGCCAAACTATGCGAAAAAAAATGGAGGGTGAGTCGCCAGCTCTTTGAGGCTCCCTGACCTATCTGATTCCATTTCACAAGCCAATCTCAGGATTTCAAGACCTGGAGAGGTGAGAACACTGCTGGTCTATGGACAAGGGTGAGTAACTCAATGTCTCACTTATTTGGTGACGCGTTGGAACCTGAGTGCCACTTCTAGGGCAGCCGAGTTAGCTGCATAGGGAGGTTCTGCTGTTGCACAATGATGATTGCTGTCTTTCTCATTGTCAGCATACTGCTTGCACTGCTTATGGTAAGCCCTGCAAAGGGAAATGTCAACGATATACTCAAATGTTCTTGCAGTGGGTCCGTCCTCCGGATGCTATTGTTGGTAATGTAGGGCCGTCTACCACTCAAAATGCGGTAAGGCAGCCTTTCTTGGTGTTTGTGTACGTTTCTCATTTTTATCAGGTTCAACTGAACTCGGGAAGCATTATCGTCAACCTGGGCGTTAATCTAACGTACGCTGATCGTGCACTTTGTCTAATCCATTTCATTACCGGAACTACAGTGTTGACAACCCAAATTACTTTGGCGTATCTTTCAAGTCCATAAACGTTGATGTAGGCCGAACCCTGTTCGCCTCATTTTATCGCTTACAATTCATCAGGCATATTACCCAATCAACAATACTCTTGTCGGAACTGGCCAGGAAACTGACATTACCTTCAATTCTAACTCGCAAACCAACTTCACCTTCCCATTTTCGCTGGAATTCAGTACAAACATGACTTCAAGCACACAAATCTTAACTGATCTCGCTACAAAATGTGGTGTAGGTGGTGGAGCAGTGCAAGATATTACAATCGATCTTGACATCACGGTCCGTGCACTCACAAAATGTTATCTATGGAGTTCTCACTTGTGTTTTCATTGTTCAGGTTGGATTACGCGTCTTATTTTTCGTGGTTTACCCGGTGGTGAGCATTCCCGCTAGTTTCGCATGCCCGATATCTGCTTCAGACATTTCGGTATGATCATTTTTTTCCTGGTGTAAATCGTCTTTGACCGTCTCCTCAGAGTTTGATTCCATCCCTTACTTCATTGCTACCGTGATTTTCCTGGACGAGAATGTAGCTATGCATTCCATTTTTGTATCTCTTCTTGGACATAGATTTACACGTAGTTACACCGACTTTGTTGCCAGTTTGTATAAAGGATGGTTATTATCTTGCTATTTGACGCTCGATAGGTTTCTCGGTACCGTCACGCACATCAGTGAACACGTGAAGAAAGTCAAAGCCATATTTGCCGGAACTTCGGAAGTTGGGAGGTGCTAATTAACATTGTCACGTGACCTGTCGGGAGTTCTGAGGGACTGCTCTCTACCTGAAGTACAACAATCCCTATGTTGCTCCATCAGTCTGAGATCACAGAGTCCCGTCCCAAGCCCCTGCAAGGCCTCTTAGGGGGGATTGGCATTGCGCTGTCCGTTCATTCTCTTCTGGTGCTAAATGGATCTGTTCTTGGGGTCTCTGGCTTTGTTCACCGCTCACTTCGAGGAGATAAAGCAGCGATGGCTTCCATCGTAGGTCTGGTTCTGGGTGGTATTGCAGTCGGTATCATCGGTAATGCGGACACCTCGGAGCCCCGCACTGTGTCTTCGCTTCTCCAAATGGTGTTTTCTGGATTGCTCGTCGGTATTGGGACCAGGGTATGTTTAGCATTTTTTTATCCGAAGGTGTAATCATTCATTCCGCAATTGGTCCATAGTTAGCCAACGGATGCACCTCAGGGTTTGCTTCCTCGATATTCCTGTCACGCGCATGCGTCTGATTATTTCTCAAGCCATATGATTTGTGGCTTGTCCCGATTTTCTCTCCGGTATGCTTTGAACTCGCTTAGAATCTCGGTGTCTGTAGATTCAATGTATTCAAAGTTCCCTGGTGGCAACAACCACATTCTTCGCAATTGCTGTAGCTACAACCCACTTCGCTCATGGCGCTCTTGGAACATCTGGATCCTTGGATTGGACCTTCGATAACCAGGGACGACAATTTCTGGGCGCAATTCTTTCCCTTGGGACCCTGTGGCTTGTTTACACGTGCTTGACCATCAAGAATGGCACTGACAACAGTTCAAAACTCGTGAGCCGACAAATACATTCTTGTGCTAATCTTGTGCCAAACATTCCAAAGTCCATTCTTCGCTATCTGGCAAGCTTCCTGACATCGTTGGCTTTCGCGTTCTCCCTCTTCCTTGGCAATATGGTCGATCCACACAAAGTATTGACATTCTTGGCGTTACCGTTGTCCTCGGCATTTGACCCGACCCTGGCGTTCGTTGCAGGAAGTGCTCTGCCTCTAGCTACCCTGCTCTATTGGTATGTACGTGTAGAGCAACCCAAGCTTGGTGGCAAATGGAATATCCCGACCTCCCCAAAAATAGACTGGAGGCTCATACTTGGTTCAGTGATATTTGGGATTGGCTGGGGGATCGCCGGTATTTGCCGTACGTTGACTGTGGACCTTAGCAGCAATATTACCAAACCTTGATTTCAGCTGGTCCTGCTCTAGTCAACTTCGGACGTTCTCTGTATGTTGGTATTGGTTTCGCGGAGTATGCAGCTTGGCTCTTGTTCATGGGTTTCGGTGGCTTGCTTGTGAGGTGATGTGATCCATCACGAGTAGTTGGATGCTGAAAGCTACAGGCACTAAGGATTATTGGTTTTACATCACTCTTTTTATTCGTTCAATTCTGTTTACTTAATGTCACTCTAGGCTAGCCTAATGTCGAATGCAATACGTATGCATATGTACATCATTGCAGTTTGATCGCAGTCAATACGAATAATGTATATCATACACTCCAACTACAAATAGAGTAAATAATAACAAGCCTAGTCAAAGTAGTATAAGATCGCAAGATGGAATGATACAGGCACGGTTCATGTCATCTGATGGACGCATTCCTTCCTGCAAGGATAAAAGGCTCACGCAGGTGCAGGAACTGCTGATGGTCCCGCGGTAGGCGTTGCCGACTTGGAAGGACCCTTGCTCCTTCCCCACTTCACATGGACTCGTTCGCTATCCATGTCCAGGCCATTCGCCCAAGCTTCTGCTGCCCTCTCAGCAGAATCTCGGTCTTTGAAGTTGATGAATGCACATCTAGAATAGGTTTTAGCTTTGAAACACCACTGAAAGATAGACCCTGGCGCACCGTGATTTTGCGACGTGGACGACCGACCGCAACTGTGACGACGGTATTTGAGGTAATGAATTAATGACATCAGTCCGTATGCTAAGTTCTGTAGCAGAGGCAGGGAGAGAGGAAAGGAATAGAGAAGTCTGTTGTGCCGAACCTTCAAATACAGCACCAGAGAGAGGGGAAACCTCACTCACAACATTCTCGTCTTCTGGTGGCTTCAGACCTTGCGCCTCCGAATGATTGGCCAATATTTTTCGTGCAACTGGGTCATTGTTACCATGATATCTATCCTGAATATTTTGGTGGGAAAGCGCATTTTCAACAGGTTTTTCATGTCTGGTGAAGCAAGCGTTATTAGGAATTGAAGCGAGAAGGACATTTTATGTGAGCTCACCGGAACGGGCACTCGTCTCCTCTGTTACACTCTCCTTTTACAAAGAAGGAGCAAATGTGTGGGCGATTGCGCTTATAATATGGGTTTGTCCGAGCTAGCTGCTTCAGCATTTCCTTCCCAGCAGATGTAGCCCGCGTCCCGACTTGCATCAGGGATTGATTTCCGTCCTCCATCTGAGTATGACTTAACAAAATGCACGTGGGCGTATGCTAGACATCAACGCACCTTGTTCTCCATGTTCTGCGCATAGTACTCCCGGTTGATGTCACTGGTTGGTGCTTCGTTCTGAATGGCAAGGGCGGTGTCTCGAACTTGAGTAGGTAGTCCGTACTCAAGGTCAAGAAGACACGTTTGGCAGACATTTTTCACTTTGGCGCACGTCTGGCATATCACAGTAGTTTTGTACCGTGCACCGGAGCCTGGGTTCCATCGGAAAACCGTGAATGGACGAGCACATGTGCCACACGAGCGACCGAACTCTTGTTTCGACTAATCACCAAGCCAGGCGGTCAGTATTTTGTGTTGGTTATGGGACTCAACACTGACCATTCGGATGAACGGGTTAGGTCCCAGACCTGGTCAAGCGCGTTAGTTTCTGGTCTAGTCAGGTTTGAAAAATGACAGCGCACATGTTTCACAAAGAATGGGGAATTCACTTTGTTCCCAACCAGCCTTGTTGATATCTGCCTTGGGCATCTTATTCGGTGAATGGACGTTAGGATATAAGCAACAATGTCGATGAAGTTCACTCGAAGACCAAGAATGTTACGTAATCGCAATGTCAGCACATCGCGGGCGCTGACATTATGTTTTCTTTGAAATTCTTTCGCAACTGCCTGTCTATGACGGCACAACCACAAGCCTGACTTGGAGGTAGGATTACTCGTAAACAAACCGTGATAATGCGTGCATTCAAATGTCTACTGCTACATTGCGGATAACCATGGAGAAATGTAAGATACTGTACCTTCAACTTGTTCACGTGTAAGTGACGATGAGCGACAAGCTGAAAGGTAAACTCGAAGCAGTGACCACAACTTCTCCACCATCAGGGACAAGTTCAGAGACTTTCTTCTCTAAGTTCGGGCGCGTAGATTCTTCCAGCTGGGGTGGTTGTTGGAAATATATCGGCTTTTCCGGTGTCGCAAGAGAAGGTTTCTTAATCTGACTACACCAGAGTGAGCCATGGATGTCAATGACGAATGAATACATACATGGTCTGCTTCTCAGTCAACAGTTCAATGAGCTGCTCGACAGTCCAATCTCGACTTATGGACATCTCCAGGGCTTCACCTCCGCAAACAGGGCAATGATCGCGCTTTTCATGCTCAAAGGTGTACGAATACACTCCTTCGGTCCCAATGAGCATGAAGTAGTTATTCAGATAAGCCGCTGAACTTGTTGCAATCTTGAAGGCTTCGTTGCAACATGAAGCTGCGAACACTACCATCAGATAGATCAAGTAGAGTGGGTGCTTACATACCAGCGATGATGGCATTAGTGGATGCAATTGCAGGGATGACGTTCTTGACAACACCCTGTGTAAGTGACCAGGTCACGCCTTCAATCTTGAATTCCTTTGCACGAGCAACAGCAATTGAATACAACCACCCGATGTGCTCAGGATCATCAGTGTCGAGTTTCTCATCTGCTTTCATGTGAAATAGAAGAAAAATGGGACGTGCAGCGTGACTGACCTCCGCGCACGCGAGGCCATTCAAGCACAGAGGCCCATTCTATACAGTGCTCAGGGAGACGGGGCGTGTTCGCGATGGTGCAGATAGGGAAGGTGGTTGGCTTGTTGAGCATATCAAGCGAACACTCATAGCATGATGATACAGTCGGAAGGATGACTCGAGCTTGCCCCTTAAAACCTTCTCACAGCTATTAAGGTCGCGCAGAAGGTAAAAGACACATACTCACCTTCGGTACCACCGTCTATGAGGGGCTTCAAACTTTCAGGGTTCTCAGAATCCACTAGGTTAACGAGAGTGGCATTTATCCATCGACGTGCTTCCACAGAATCTAGACCACAGATGACGAGGTTAAACTGCATATAATAATCGTCGTCCTTGTCTTGTATCTTGCCGTAGTACCTGCATGCCTTGTATATCAGAGATGATACGCACGGCGCGCAAGAAATTGCTGACTTACGGTGTGACCTTGACTCCCGGCACCCGTTTCATCACATACTCTGCAGCAACGATGGCCTTTGGTCTTCCAACGTCTGCAGGTCTTAAGGAAATTGATCCCTAGGCCGCACATACACTCCATTTCATAAATGTGACGTACCTGAAGAGGAATTGACGATTGAGATTGCTGATGTCGATAGTGTCCATGTCGATGAGATGGATATCCTTGAACCCAGTCAGAGCAAGATTGGCGAGTATCTCGCATCCTAAACCACCTGCGCCGATGACAAGAATCTTGCACTTGTTCCGCAAAAAGTCCTTCACCTTAAGAGCATGTTTCAAAACTGAGTTGTCTTGACATTTGTGAGATGCTCACCTCATCCCCTGCCAGGAATGATGGATCAGTTCGGGGGCCAGGTCTATCAAGGATCTGGTCAACATGGTAATATCGATCTTGCCAGTCGCTTGAAGTCGCTGCACCATTCACATGTATTTCCGTGGCCATTGAGGGGAGTGAAAGGGAGTGGAGCTATATGTTTGTTCTGCCAGCAGTAGTAGCAGCGGATTGACGCGATCAATATTTCCTTATGTAATGTAAAAGTCTCTTCGAGGTTTACATCCATGGAGTCAAGATCATTGGTGAACTTCAGTGGACACCAATATTTGCGACAACGTCTAGTACTCTCCATTCTCACCGGAAAGCATGTTCGAATTGATAAAATACGTTCTGAGGATAAGGATCCTGGTTTGAGAGGTATGTTCAGTTCTTTGCAGTCTGGCGTTTCTTGACGAGTAATGCCATCGCCCAGACTACGAAGTCAGCCTCCTGCGGCTTCTGGAAAAAGTCACCAATGGGTCCGTCATTGAAATCTCAGTGACCGGTACGATCTACTTTACTGTCCATTTCGCTGGAACTCACTTATATGCCTTCAAGGTACCGCTGTACTTCTCAAACCAGGAGTCGTGTCTGGCGGTCCTGTTACTCATGATTGTCCATTGTCACGTTCAATAGGTTATTTTTTGGAACCACTGGTCATGATCGCGCCCTTCTCAAAGAAGCCGTTTCAGCTGACCTTGCGAGGCATAACAACGGATGATAATGATCTTTCTGTAAGCCAAATCCTGTTTAAATAAATGCCTCCTAACGGCGTTAGGTTGACCTCATCCGTACCGTGACACTACCACATCTCCAACTTTTCGGTATCTCTGATGGGTTGGAGCTTCGGGTGAGCCAATTGTTCGATCTGTGAAATTGCGCCTTCATATGCTTGTACAGATAAAGAGACGTGGTGCTCCTCCAGAAGGCGGAGGGGAAGTACAGTTCCTCTGTCCTATTGTTAAAGAAGTGAAAACTGTGAACTTTGTTGATCCTGGAAAGATAAAACGAATTCGAGGCATTGCGTGCGTTCATATTACCTTTTCATGAAAGGCATTCCACACTGAAGTATTCTCCCAGGCATTCCGTCCGTGTTAATCCGCAGTTCTCTAATCGTATGATCGACGCATCACGTTCGGTTCTCAACCGTTTCATTCCCGACATTTACCTGTACTCCGATGTTTACAAAGGAGATGAAAGTGGAAAGTATGTGGGCTAATTGAACATATTTCCACTCTACTAATTCTGCATGAAGGTCGCCGGGATATGCACTCAGCTTACTTGCGGAGTCCACCACGTCTGCCATACATTGTTCTGAAGCTGCATCCTCACCAGGTGAAGCCCCTGAAGATATAGCTCTGTTGGCAACTAGAGCCCTTTTGTCAGAGATCAGACATGGAGGATGTGTTGATAGAAAACACCAGTCTCTAGTCCTGTTGATGATGGTTCTAGGTAGTGAAGATATTGGTCAATGTAGAATGGGAGAGCCCTCCGTTAGAACGTGCGCGATGATCAACTCTCCTGGTTCTATGGCTCACATCATGACAGCGTTCAATTTCTCCGTGATATCAAGATCTTCTTCGGCACCGTCTTCAATATTACACCGGTAGATTCCTCCAACACTGAGTTACTTTACTCGTGTCTTGGAACTGGCTACGTGAATGTGAACCGGTCACTGGCGTAGCAAGCTGTTCAGTAAAAGTATATGTATTCATGCTTTATAATACCATGCAATGGATAGATTGATCGATCACTCATACGAAACTCCCAACAAAATTCACCTAGAATTTCATTTAGGATTCCGTCATGATAAAAAAGCAAAAATAACGCATCACCGAGATTACCAAAGCACGTCGTATTCGTATGGCAGACGCATATCAACGATAAATAATGGACACTCTCCCGAAATTTCCATCTCCATCGCCTTTGCCACCTCCAATAGCCACTAGCCATTGCTGTAATTGAGGCCACCCGACTTCGAAGCGCGTACAAAGTTCATCTGTATGATGATCTCCATCGAGAAGTGGCAATAATTCAGGGGGTGGAGGAACATTCATTGGACCCGAAGAGCCTTGTGAATTTAGGGGGCGAGTACGAGAAGTAGAAGGGGACCGTGATAGTCGTGGTCTTGCAGGGAAGGCGTTCTGGGATTCCGATGAATTGCGGTGTGCAATGCTTTGACTCCCAGTAACACTAGATGGTGGTGGCACATGACTCGTGGGCTGTTGATAAGTTGAGTGTCTTCGGGTATCAGACAGGACACGGCTACGGCGCTCGTGATTGCGCTCCGAGCCTTCTGGGGAAAGAGGAGGTTGTCGCATAATAGGATTGGGTCCAGCCCGCGGGAGTGTTTTGAAACGTAGCTGCTCGAGAACCTTTTCTGCTGCGCTCGTTCGTTGTTGGGCTCGTGTGACCTCCGTCTGGTTTATGGGAGAACCAAGCATAGGTGCAAAACCAGACGCATCGGGACGGCCACTAAATCGAGGGGTCTCCCCGATTGGAGCAGAAGAACTCGTAGGACTTGCGTTCGATGCGGAAGATGAGAGGCTTTGCCTTCTTCTGCGAGTTGGTGACGGTACATCCACAGGAAGTAAGATTGGCCAACGATGAACTCGTCGTAGAAACTCCTGAAAGGACTTCAAATTCGAGAACATAGAACAATTGCTAGGAAATACCTTGATCACCCCGAAACTTGTGAAACGTCGAACGTCAATGCCAAGTTCATAGACATTGTAGGTCTCCATCCAATCCAGCACCGTTTTTCCCGACTTGAGCCGCGAATATAAGTGCAGAAGTTTCGGCCAATCCGGTACCACTCTTCCTGCTCACAGGTGAGTTAGGCATTTCTGTGGAAGGGATGCACAGACCGGGTGCGTGCTTTGTGACATATGGCCCACATTCGTCCTTGACATGGCACTCGTCTGCAAGCCACTGCACATTCTTACGAAGAGTGTACATATTGGAGTACTGGAAAATGTCGATAATCATGATAACTTGATAGTAACTGCGAGACTGATGAGGACGGGATCGAAGGTCGGAGTGAAATATCTTACAGTAAGTGAGATATTGCTTGACGGGTAAGCTCTATATCACAGTCGGCTAGGTGTGCAATGCGACTGACAGTGATTCACACCATCAATATGTCTGCACACCTTAATGCATGTCAAGACAGTCGGTCTATAAACAAATCCGGCCTACCTTGCTCATCGTTAGATCCCAATTATCTTCTATGCGCTTGGACAAGTTGATAAGAGCCAGAGGCACCTGCCAATCTTTTACTGGTGGTGGATTAGGATAAAAAGGAAAGATCTTCAGCTCTATTGAGTTGAAGGCATCAATTGGAATCGATGTTTCAGAATAAGAGTTCAGATCCTCGTATAGCTGCTCGAGGATGGCATGCATGGCTGGCGATGATTTTGAGAGGAAAAATGACTCTTCCTAAAATTTCATAAATACAGGGTTTTTTTCGTGTAAGGTAAAGAGCTAACCTCGCAGGCCGTCAGTACACGGCTGACCTTGCGAACTATTGGTTCATAGCAACTTAAATCCGCAGACCGTTCGAAGACAAAGCAGACGTTGTACTGGAAGTAGTTCCGCTGGTAATTGCCAGGAAGTAGAACAGGAAAGCCAATGATACGGTATTTCCGGGTGGCGCATATAACCAGCCGCCCACAAAGCTCTCCAGGAGGTATCACATACTTTGAGATGTCATCGAAATTAAACAGAACACGACTGGACGAAGAAGAACGATGATGAGGCGACGGGACGTTGAGAGAACTCGCACGCCGACCACCATGAGAATTAACAGAAGGGCTTGACCTTCGCGAAGGCGTTATGTCTGGTTCCAAGATGACCGCACCTATCGACGGCGAAGGGGAAGAGGTGACCGAATGGTTAGAGTTTTGATTAGCTATCGATCCCGCGATGAGACCTTCTGGAACCTGATACACAATTTTGGGCCCCTTCTGTAAATCGAATACGGCGTAGAACACGCTTTGTATTCTGGGAAGAAACGTATCTCCTTCTGAAGGCATATAGCTGAGTTAGTGATGAAGCGAATAGTACATATGGTAGTGGCTGTGAATAATATTCGTGATGACAAGTTGGCCGTGACCCGCGTCTAGTAGGCCCGGGGGGATTTAGAATTTACTAATCACACACTCGTGTTCGCCTTGAGAGTTGCCTCGGTCGTACTCTGACGCTTGACTTCCAGGACAAAGAATACAATCCGCTTAGCTTTCTAGCGACTTTGATTATGGCCTCCCCAGTTCTTGCTGGGTTTCGTGCCCTGCCACTGTCAGACGTACAGCTCTCCTTAGCAGTTGTTTTGAAATGCGGCCAGTCATTTCGTTGGACATGTTACCCCTTACCTTCGTCCCCTGGCACATCTCCTACTCACGAGTACCGTCTGTGCCTGAGGGACCGCGTAGTATGCTTAAGACAGTCTTCTGACTATCTTTTCTATCGCTCTGTTTTTCCGGGCGAGCATCTCTCTGCAGAACAGGAGGCAGCTCGCGACGAAGAAACATTGATTTGGCTCAAGGACTATTTTCAGCTCGACGTCGACTTGCTGAAGCTTTACGACCAGTGGAGTGACCGAGATCAGGTCTTTAATAAACTTAAATCTCGCTTTTCTGGGATCCGAGTATTGAGACAAGATCCTTGGGAGAACCTAGTATCGTGCGTGGTCTACTTCTGAACTGGCTCAGAGGCTTGACAAGTTTTCGTCATGTCAGTTTTATCTGCTCTTCAAACAATAACATTCCCCGGATTACCAAGATGGTGCACGCTCTTTGCAAACAGTACTCTCCTTCCCTGATTTCCTTGCCACCTCCCGAGCTCAATGAAAGTGATTCTCAAGGTTCCGCAGCGTATCACTCCTTTCCCCCGCCCTCACTCCTTGCAGCTCCTGACGTCAAGTCCACTCTTCGGGGTTTGGGGTTTGGCTACCGTGCTGATTATATTCAGCGCACTGCGAAAATGCTTGTGGATACTCACGGTTCCTCGATATCCAACTCCGAGTCACGAGAGAAATGTGAGGAGTGGTTGACGGGATTGAGAGGCATGAGCACCGAAGTTGCTCGTGAAGAACTTCTGAAGTTCGTCGGCGTTGGACGCAAGGTAGCAGACTGCGTTCTTCTCATGAGCTTGGACAAAGTCAGTCAAGCCCGGTTACTCTTGTATCTGATCCTGAATATATGCCATCCTAGAAAGAAGTAATTCCAGTGGACACTCACGTTCACCAGATTGCTATCAAGCATTACGGACTACGTACCGTAGGCGGCTCCAAAGGAAAAAGTGCCATGACCCCTCGAATCTACAATGAAGTGGCCACTAAGCTTGCCGATATTTGGGGTGGATATGCCGGCTGGGCCCATACTGCACGTATCTATTTGAAGTTGTCTTCCTTTTTCAAGTTGTTCATTCTCTTTTCCTTAGGTGCTTTTTACCGCGGATTTGAAAGCCTTCTCTTCGTTCGGCATTGAACGTGAACCCCCGACGCCTGCCACATCTATCATGAATGTGGGTGCCTCAGCATTGACATCGTCGTCGTCATCCAAACGAAAACATAGCGAGACTCAGAACGAGGTTGAGATGCAGAAAAAAGTCATGTTGATGGGCGCTGCTGTGGCTGCTATAGCCGCTGCCGCTACTGCTGTTGCTGTCGCTGTCGCGCACGATGTCCCGAGTTCGCTCAAGGATGACTCGGATGTGATAAGTTCGGTTGAAGAAGACGCAAACTCGCACACTAGTAGGCGAGTGAAGAGGAGATGTTGATAGATGTACTTGAGTGTTTATTCACATCTGTTTCTTATAAAGTATGGTGCGATGAGCACGCACATGGTATGTATCCGAAATCGCATTCATACATGCAAACACTAAGTGGCAAACCGTAACGAAGATGATAAGGACGAGATGTTGGAGAGGTCTGACACCCACTACACCACACAGATAAGATGCGTGCGTTCATAATCCTATCCGAAGTACTCTTCGCATTACCGAATCGCCGTCATTCTCCCTGAATAATGGCAGAACGGGCACTGTCTAAAAAGCTGCGGTGAAGATCAACCAGGAATTGTTTGAGGAATTTATACCATCGTTTGTTTGTACTTGTATATTCTGGGTGCCTTACACGCTACCCTATGCGAAACCTCCAATTTTGGGCGATCTATTTAAACGAAGTCTATTGTATGAATCACCGCTCTGGACAATGGTTCCGATGGAATTCAACGGCTAATAGACCATCCTAGAATTTGAGCCCAAGTTTTGAGTGTCTTGTATCAGAAAAAATCACGATCATGGGAGTTAGGTCACAGTAAAAGTTGTTCCCAGCCAACTCCGCAATGAGGCTAGGCCGTCAGTAGCTACTCCTTCTTTTTCATCATCCTTAAGCTCTCCGACGTTTACCCATGTTCCTGCAAAATCAACTTCTCCGCCTTCCCAATCGGCAAACTTGAAGATTCCGCCAGGACCACTGCAGTCCAGGCCTCCTATATCAGAACGTTCGCCTTCAGCGCCCAAGCCTTCGACCCCCATGCCGCCAGACTGAGCCTCTCGTCGCTTCTCCAGCTCACGTTCAAGAATCGTTCTCACGCGTGAAATGGCAACCTCGGTGGGAGAGCCTGAAGACGTAGCTGTCTTCATGAGGTCGCACTTGTTAGCGAGGATGAGGAGTGCGGGTGCTAAATGTGAAGGAGGAAGCGACGTTATAGCATGAAGAACATGATGGAGGTGTCTAAACGTCGCATTTCGTTAGAACTACTGTGGCCATAAAAGAGTCAAATATACGCACTCTGCTACTGTAGACCCGTTGCGTGATATGGTACTTGCATCCACTACAAAAGCAACTGCTCTGGCATTGACTAAGTGCTCCTCGAATTGATCCCTAATTCGAGGGTGCCCAGGGATGTCGATCACCGGCAAGATGCCTACTGGCGAGAGAGGCATGAGAGAAGTATTGACTTGCAGTGACGTGTGCGATGGTAGCGTTCCAGTAAATGCGAGCTAGATACAATTGATTTAGAGTTAGACAATCAATGTAACTTCATTGATATGTCACAAACAGTAGAAAGTATAGCTGTTTTGCCAGCATCTGAGGGCCCGACAAGGAGAAGTGCGGTACCTCTGGACCTTGATTTTCTTCGAGAGAATATGATAACTTCAAAGTGTAAGAACTTCTTCCAAAATCAAGTCTTCCGAAACGTACCAAGTAGTAAACCCACGACCAGCGCCAAGGAAAGCAGCAATAAGCTCTGAGGTGAAAGACCATTGGTGAATGGAACCACCTCAGGCGTCACCGACACAGTCTCGTCGCTCTGTGATTCCACTCCCATCTTATATTAAACGTCCTAAAAGATGGATAGGTGGACAGAATTACTCAGTACTAGTGCTGTAAGTGCAATAGAATGTTACGGATGCGTACTAAGTACTGAGTGTTACAATGAAGTAATTGCATGTTCCTGTTTGACGTTGTTGAGAACCTACGCAGCCACTATTTACATAAGACATCAAAGTCGTAAGGTTATCGTAAGTGACATCAGAGTTGTGACCGTAGAACAAGTTGTAGCATCAACTTAGCCATGGCGTCTACAATTCAACGCTATTAGCATTGCTCCTAACTCCAACGCGTTCATTTTTCCAACAAATGTCTTGAGAAGAAAGTTACGTTGAGCCTTCTCGGGCCACGTGAAGAAGTCTTCCAGATGGCTCTGATCATAAATCCCAGCAGAAAGGAAATCCGGAACAAGTTTTACCAGACTGGGTGTCATCGAGTCGAGAAACCGAAAAACTGCATGAGAGCTTTGAATGGGTACTATGCTGTGGGATTGTGCTGAGGCGGGAGAAGATGAGCTCCCGCTGTGCTGGTGAGCGATGACAGCAGAGCATTGCATTGCAGGTGACACGCTAATTTCTGGACCAGGTGGGGAAACAGGCCGATCACAGGTAATAGCCCTCCCTCGAGTTCTCTTGGCTACACGGGCTTGTGAAGCACCGGTATCGATTTGATGGACGGACGATTGATTTGTGTTCTGCGGGGTGTTTTCAGAATCTAACTATCTGGTGATACAAAGTACAGAGCATACTTTTGTGCGAAGTCGTCTGAGTTGGCTGGCAGCCCTCTCACGAGCGATTTTATCAGACCACCGTTTCCGATATACTCGTTTCAACAGATATATCCTTAGATACCAGACCAGAACCCATGAATTGGGATATTTCGCTGCAATTTCTGGCCATGTAGCGTGGACCTGAAATAAAGGATGGAGTAATGAAACAATGCAACAGAAGATTCGATCGAAGCTCACCGCCTGGTAGAACAAACGAACCATTTCGGGATCCTGGTGTTCATATCTACATTGTGTATTGAGAAACCTGGCTGCTGCATCTATGACGAGAGCCTTTGACTCAAAATCAGTTAACCAGATTTTCAGAAATTTATCTGGTACGTACACGCAATCTCTGCCACTGCCATGAATTCATCCTGGATGCTAGTTTTACCTCTCGGACATCCTTACATCGCCTCGCGGGTTGAGAGATGAAGAAAAGTTCTGTGCGCATGTCTGGGGCTGGCGATGAATGATAACACAAAGGGCTACAAAGGAAGATGTCTTATACACCCCCCTTTATTCCACCTTCGGTTGCGACACGCGCGAGCTGTCACGGGAAATGCCCCACGGGTAAATATAAAAGTACACTACAAAGATACACGAGTCCGACATGCACAAAAGATGGATTGATAATTCGGCACAAGGTCTCAACAAAATCGATCACTGTGGTAAAATCAGATGAGAGATACATTCAGAATGGATTAGAACATACCTCTTTAACTTCGCTCGTCGGTCCAGCAATGCTTCTGCCAAGCGACCTTCCTTGCGTGCTCGCTTGAGCTGATGCATTATTCAGAATGTTACCGATAATCGCATAAAATATGAATATCAACGAACCTCCTTCTTATCCTCTTGAGACACCACCGAACGTCCAGCTCCCCAGGCTTGGTGCATATGGCTTTGGAATCTTTCAGATCACAAACCAGTTCATCTTAAGCGAAACGTACTTGGTGGAAGTTTCGTCTATGACTGTCAACTCTGAGCCCGCTTCTCTTTTCTTCTTCTCCTCATGGGCCTCCTTCTTATACTTGCTTTGGATCTTTAACCAAAACCGCTCCCGAAACCCGACTTCTTCACTGTCACCTCGCAGCTGGAGCGAACCTCCTGCGACCTCGTCAACACTGAGATGATTTTCATACACGTTCATGAAGGCTACCATGCCATCGGGTAAAAGAACGGGTGTCCACTCCTCCTCGGGCCCTCGTGCTTCCCTAAAAGCACTCACAATACCATGCTTGTCACAAGACAGAAACTTTCCTTCGCCAGTGCCCGTCCGAAGGTTGATAGTGGCCGATCCCGCGACGCACGTTGTAACCCAGACCTGAGCTACCTCTGTAGGTATGCGATCGAGTAATGACGGGGTATCGGTATCAGATGTCGAGTCCTTGTCCAGAGATGACAACACAATCTTGTTTCTTGTAGAATCAAAATTCACTGATATCGGCGAAGGATCAGAAGGGTGTATGATGAAAGTAGGCCCGCGAATTTCTGCTGCATTCTCCGGTAGGACCCATGTTTCCGGGTCCTCATCTTCTACACGTTTGCTGGCGGAGCCTTCATCGTGGTGTTCTCTCTTGCGCTTCTTCTTGATTTTGTCCCCTTTGAATTTGAGCTGCGTGGACCGAACTTTCTCCATCGACTACACGCGGCGAAATGTGTGAGGGTAAAGAAGCTGCATCATAATGCCGTGGTACATGCGGCAAATGCCGACGAACAAACTTTGAACCAAACAATTCGTTCCATACACCCAAATTGAACTGCCCGACACCGTTATCAGCGTCCTCCTCAAGATCAAGATGAAGTATAACCCTGGTCAGTACGATCTTTGTACTCACTGGTGTCCATTCTACCTATCTATCGCCTCGGAGTCAAATTTTATGCACAGGAGAAGTTGGATGGAGACTCTGAGACTTGGATGAGATCTGTGGGGTGAATAGCTTACTGACGAATGAGTCTACACAACAGACGTCTCCTCTTCGCGGCGCAAGAACCGCAAGGCCCATTTCAGCGCACCCTCCTCGGTCCGCCGCAAGATCATGTCGTCATCTCTATCCAAAGAACTCCGGGCGAAATACAACGTACGTTGGATCTGTTGAGAAATGAGGCGCGGGGTGTTTATACTACTTACTAGACGCGGTCACTACCGATCCGTAAGGATGATGAAGTACGGATTTTGCGGGGGAAATACAAGGGCCGGGAAGGAAAGGTCACACAGGTGTACCGCAAGAAATGGGTCATTCATGTTGACCGTGTGCAACGCGACAAATCCAACGGTGCTACTGCTCCCATCGGTATCCACCCCAGCAAAGTCGTGATTACCACCATCAAGCTTGACAAGGATCGGTGGGTAATCTATGTTTTGTTTATGTTCATCATTCTAAAGCTTTTTCCACTAGTCGGGCAATCCTTGATCGTAAAGACAGATCAAAGACTGCACAACCTACCGCCACTGAGGATGTCGAGATCGTGGATGTAAGTGACCATAATTAGATTTGACAATTGGCCATAAAAGCTGACTTGTCCCTCATCTTCCAGTGATTTCCTGTCGCGTATTGATTGTCCTCGGCTTTCCTTATTGCATTCACAAAACCACCATGTATCTATGCGCACTATCGCACATGATATGCACCATGATCCTCCTGCTATACTTTGAGACAGCTGCCTTGGGCAATAGTGTACAGATTGATCCAGATTACCCTTGCAGCTTGCATAGAACACAAATAGTACATTGCGGTACTAACTATCGATCAGAAAATGACATCTGCATCCTTGGTACTCAGCAAGTCCACTGTTGATTCTTGTTGTTCATCCAGCTGTTTCAACGATTCCTCCTTGTCGGTTATAGCTTTCATTTCCGCCTTCCCGGCATCTCTCTTCTTCTTGCCTTGAACTTTCTTGAGTCTACAAGCATCATCGGCGTCTAAGCTTGACCAGTAGACTTGATGCGCTCACCTGAAGAACTCCTCGCGATCCATTTCGTCTAATTCACTCATGATATATTTGATGGTATTGTCCAACCGCGGAATGATTACATGTTCAATGGCGTTCACTCGCCGGTTTGTCGCGCGAATAACTTCATCCAAGATGGTGAACGCCGTTTGTAGCGACGCAAGTTCCACCAGCGTTTCGAGAGCCTTAGCGTACACCTCCTTTGCTCGTAGAACCTGTTGGCCTCCCCGACCAAGACCTGTCAAATTGAAGTCTGTGATGCGAACATTAGAATAAAAACTGTATAGAAGTTCCAAAGCAACTACCAGATCCCGGTACGCGATCAACTTCAAATCCTGGGAGAAGAACACCAGAAACATTCTCTTGCTTCGCTTTGACACGGAAAGTGGCAAGTTTTGCTTGCTCCTGAACGATATAGGAAATATCTCCCGTAGTATATGTGACCTCTGCCATCGAGAACGACGCCAATTGCATCACTCTACCCATCTTCCGCTTCGCCTATGATTTAATCATCAGCATCCTGAACAAGCAAGCATCAGGTAGTGTAACACACCTCATCCACCTTCCTCAGTATGGCACGAAATCGCGTGGTCAGGGCATCACGCTTCTTTGCCAGCAACGAATGCCCGGTTTCAGCTCCCTTTAAACGGAGTTTTGTGTTTGTCAAGGCCATACGCGTAGCGAAGACATTCTCCCTAGGACCTGCTCCAGACATTGTTGTGGGGAGTGCTGAAGGTAAGTGATGGCAATAGCAGGCAGTACGTCCCCTTCTAGGTTAAGATGCCATAAGCCCTAACCTGGTTAACAAGCCGGGGTAGCTCAGCTGGGAGAGCAACAGACTGAAGTTCTGGAGGTCCCGTGTTCAATCCACGGTCCTGGCATTTTTTTGCATCCCTTGTTACAGAAATAAAATCTTCCAGACCATCAATCACCATTTTATTTATTTTTGGTGTTTTTACTTCATAACGGATTTAGACATTTTGCCTACGGTCAGCATCTGCACGAAGAAACTTACTCGAGCGTGCGTCAATGAACAAAGGTGCAGTGTGCCAGTTTTGCTTCGTTCATTATTGTTATACTGAAGACAGCCAACGATGTCTATTTGAACGTCTCATTATCTTGCTTGTACATAGTCATCGATCTTCAAAAGTAAGCACACAGTCTCTGTCGAGAGTTCAATCGCGCTCGTAGAGACGAGAAGAGGTTGAACAACATCCTCCTCGAGAATATTCGAGATTAGGCCCTAAGGTGTATATGGTTAAATGATGGAAGTAACTCAAGGCTGCAACCACTTACTGTGCGAACGTTAATACCAGCATTCCGGTCACCTAGAGCATGTCGGTTGCGTAATTCCGTAACAATAGCAATCGGGTTGAGTCCAGCATTCTCCGCAAGCGTCGTCGGTATCACCTCTAATGCGTCTGCGTATGCTTGGAAGCAGTAGGCTTCCATGCCTTTGAGTGACTGTGCATATTGAGACAACAGCCGGGAGACGTGGATTTCAGGTGCACCACCACCACCGATGAGCGCTCTTTTCATCAGATCAGAACCTTGACCAATAGAAATGGGACACTTGAGTCTCACCGTTTCTTTACGAGACACCGGACAACGCAAAGAGCATCATGCAGACTGCGTTCACATTCCTCCACGACAAGGTTGTTGCCACCCGTAGCCAGAATGCTAACTGTGCGACCACGGTTCTTGACGCCAGTGATCTTGACGACCTTGATACCAGCATTCGAAGTCTCTTCGACTAGATCTGCGTAGCCAAGCTTGTCTTCTGTGAAGGCTTCGATGTCGGCAATAGGTTTGCAACCGAGACTCTTGGAAAGAAATTCGATCTCGTCACGTTCAACATCCTTGACTGCAAGGATGTTAAGACGCTTAAGGAAGCTCAGGGACGTATCATCGACTGCATCACGGAGGATGGACTTTTGGATCAGTAAAACGTTGCAATTCGCCTTCTTGATCTTTTTGCAGATGTTAAGCAGGTACTGACGACCCTCTTTGATGACCTTGTCCATTTGTCGGTAGTCGTTTATCACAACAGTGTTATCCATCTAACGAGGTGCCATGAGAACTGAGATGAACGTAGTGAAAAGCACATACGTCAGGTTTGGGAGCACTGAGCTGGAATTGGATTATGGCAATCTTGGCCTTTTCCACGCGAGTAGGACCACCAGCTGAGACAATAACATTTTGGTTGAGGACAACACCATCTATAAGCTCAGTATCTTCGATAGTGCCGCCAACTTTCTTCACAACCCTGATGTCACGAAGGTCCACAGTGGACGATTGAGGTGTAACCAAACGCGTGACAGCAGCTACTGCGATGGGAGCAAGTGTCGATGAGTATTGAGAGACGATCTGAAGCGCGCGTGAGCAAAGCGCGACCACAATAAGTTCAAAAATCCTTGGCACCTTGGAGTTCAGGGAAGTGCTTGCTGCTCGGAGCAGACTGGTCTTGTCGCTGAGATCAATCGGTGTCGATATCTCGGTGAGATATTCGACTGCTTTGACCGATGCTTTCAAAAACGATTCTGCGATGATGGTTGGATGTATGCCTTTCTGTAGCATCTTTTCCGCGGCCCCGAGAAGACTACCTGCTAGAACAACGACCGATGTTGTTCCATCACCTGCTTCCACATCTTGAGCAGCTGAGAGGTCGACCAGCTAACTTGACATAAGTAGGTGATCAGCAAGCATCATGGCTCGACACGCACCATCTTGGCAGCAGGATGTAGAGCTTGAATACTCCGTAGAATTGTTGCTCCATCGTTGGTGATGATGACCTCGCCCTTTGACGTTTGAATCTATGTAAATCAATCGCGATATGATATCTCTTCACCATCAACGAAGTAAAATCAAACCATACCATTTTGTCCATCCCCCTTGGACCGAGAGATGTTCGAACAGCATCGCTGATGGCTACGAGAAAGTCAACCATGCGAAACGATCGCAAACAAAACTCTTCATGTACCTTTGGCAGCGACCAAGTTAGACATCCGAAGTTCCATTGGCTTGACCTGTGGACGCGTTCATTCTATTGAGTCATCGCGATCATGAATGACCAGTACCTTGTCATTGAACGCGGCATTTGAGCCCGTACGAGCTGCTTGAGGTGCCGCTGGTGCAATCTTTGATGCCATTTTGATTTCGTTGAAGGCTCAATAGATTTTAAGCAGTGGACGATGCGCGTACTAGACAAAACCAGAGTACAGCTAAATTAGTGGTCACGGGGTTTGCCGCTGGGTATGCGTATGCTTGACTTTGGCTACTCTCTTTCACTTCACGATCTCGTTTTCAGATGAACTTTGTGGGTGCATCTAACAACAGAAATGATCAAGGCAACTGACCATCCCTTATAGTTTGACGATCAGGATGGCATGGCAGGTGGCCCAGGGGGTCTTTTCGCTCAGTTCGCCCAGTACGCTACCTCTCTCTGGCTCCTGGGTCAGGTTTCCTGACCGGTTGCTATGTCATTCCAGAGGATTTGGAGTTCCTATGGTCTCTCGAGTTAACCGGCCAAATCCTCGTTCGTATAACGTGTACTTGAAGGCCTACAGTGTAGCGATGCTTCCTGGCCGGGAGCGAGAGAATCTCTCCTACGGAGGAAAGAGTACGTAATTGGATCTTATCGTACACTGAAGTCGTGTAGTAACGATTTTCTTGTAGTTATTATGCCTCCATCGGCCCTCGCACATTTGACTCACCTCGATCTCGAGGGACCTTGGATGTTTCAACTTACAAATGCGACCAATCCGGCCGCATCCACACATGCAGGTGTACTCGAGTTTATCGCTGAAGAGGGAATTGTCCATCTCCCTTACTGGATGATGAAGACCTTGCGTCTCAATGAAGGTGACCCAATTCGCATAACTGGTGCTGAACTCCCGAAGGGCAAGTTCGTCAAGCTACAGGCACAATCCACGCATTTCCTTGAAATTTCAGATCCAAAAGCTGTGTATGTGCACATTTTTCGGCATCACTGACTCAGCTAATATCCATCAGGCTCGAGCAAGCTCTGCGAAATTTCACTGCGCTCACTCAAGGTGATATAATTGAAATATATTACAACTCAATAATCTTTGGCTTTCTTGTGATGGAGGCGACACCTGGTGGAGGTGGCATAAACGTACTGGACACCGACCTAGAGGTCGATTTTGCTCCCCCGGTCGGTTACGTAGAGCCCGAACGTCCCAAACCTGCCCCGCCTTCCACTATGGCATCCAAATTGAAGATCGACCTTAATTCATCGAGTCCCGGTTCTTCACGACCGTCTTCATCATTAGGTGGTGGCTTCGTTGCTCCTGGTGGAACGGCTGTAAGCAAAGGTGGCGATCATTGGGAGAGTTTCAAGGGCAAGGGGGAAACTCTCGCTGGTCGGAAGACGAAAGGCAAGGGTATCAGTCATCGGGGAGTTGAAGCAGTTGGGGAAGATAGCAAGATCATCAGGACCGAGTGAGTTTTAAGGAATCTTGTTACATCTGGGCATGCTAACGATTTCAACAGCCAACAGAAGGTTATCAACAGCTCCGCTGAAGCAGATGCCAAGGTTCCCGCTGCACTCAATCTTCCATTCGGGAAACTGTTTTTTGGCTTTAATGTCGTTCCATACACCCCATCGGAACCCAAGGCTCCTTCCTCTCCTCCCCCTTCAGCTGTGAGTTTGAATATAGTTCCTCCTCAAATTGGTCTCACAATTTCTGCAGCCCTCTTTCTCAGGTTCGGGCAATACCCTCACGGGCCGGCCAGTCACGTCACCCCCAGGTGCAAAAGGAAAGGAAAAGGAGAAGCCATCTGCCGAGTCGCAACCGAGCGAGAAGGTTTGGGGCGCTGGTAATACGCTAGGTTCCTCCCGGTCCACCCACATTCCACCAAGCTTCCGTGGGCGTGATCTTGGTAGTGCCGGAGGTAGACCGCTTCCCCGACAAACGACAGCACAGTCGAAGAGACGCAGTCCGACGCCGGATTGGGGTGTGGACGATGACGACATGATTGACATTGACAGTGATTAAATTGGTGGTGGTTGTAAGATAGTTAATTCCACAAAGTGAAGGAGGTCAGATGATGGTTCGTGTGCGTGTGTAAAGATGTTGTACGTAGATACTTGAATGATAGACATGCAATTCACAAAGTGAGCAGATTGTCGGCCTGGGTCAATGTTACAATGATGTTACAACATGACAATCCCGACGCCCTTTCCTGGTTCTACGCCATCAACGGCTGAAACACCTGCTAGAGGCGCTGTTCTCCAGTTGTACAAGTAAAAATTAAGGAGACCGTCCCCGGCACCGAACTACCACAAAACATAAGGACTAACCGCGCTCTCTTTATAGATAAGATACACACCTTTAAACTCTCCAAAAAGCTACAGTTGTCCATGAGTGTAAGGGCATTGAAGACGTCAAATTTGGCCTGGTTCGCGATGATTAGTGCATCTCCCACAAGAGCCTCTAATCGTTTCTTGAGGATGCTGTCTGCTTCTGAGTCTGCAGCAAACGCCGCGTCAGATGCATAATAAAACAGGTAGGCAGCCTCCAAGAGTCCATATTTCGGATGATTTATAATTGTCGAAGGAAGAGAATAAAACGAAAAGAAGTCGGTAATTCGGCCGGTGTGTGCCTCCTAGTGTGCATAGTGCGCATTAGAATAGTACAGGAAGCACATGAATATGGAATTGACCTCAACAACATACGTCCACACCACCTGGCCTGGCCTCCGATAATGTTCTGACGGTTCGTCCATACGGCCTCTCCCGCTCAAGAACTGATGGCGGACCTCATCAAGTGTCATGATTGGCCCCATGCTGAACCTCTGCATGTAGCGCGTGAAGAGATCAGCAACATCTGATACATCTCTCTCCTCCATTTCACGAAGGCCGCTTAGTTGAGGCTTAGCCACCATCTTATAGACACGAATCATTCGAGCAAGTGTCATGCTCCTGGGAACGTATGTAAATTTGATGTCGACAAGTTTCGGGATATTCAGTGAGCGGTGGAAGTAGCTGATAGACCCTTGAGCACTTCCGCTAACTATACAGAGATGTGACATACCGGCAAGTGGACACAGGTGTTGGAAGAACGACACCAGCGGTATAGATGGCCTGGAAGACACCCGTCAAATTCACTTGTCGTGTGACCTCCTTGATGAGCACAGGGGCCAGGCGTTTCGAGCGTAGCTTCTTGTGCACACACAGATAATTAATCTCGCACGCTCGAACAACACTGTATAGTTTCAACTTCCTGGAAATCATCACGATGAAATGTCTTACTTTCCGCGCACGCGTAACGTGACTGGCACGCCAGAGATAAAAGCTACTAGTTTCTTGTTCGAAGACACACGCACACCAATATGCCAGTCTTTGAGGTAGCCCGGGGGTTTGAGAGCCCTAGATGTTTGTCAGGTGCACGTCCTACTATGCACCGAATAGCTTACCATTCTAGAAACTCGGCACTGTACTGGAAACGGAATGCGGCCTCGTCGTCTTCGACGTAATTGAGAGATAATAAATCGTAAACTTCTTTGATCTGTAGAATTGAAAAGTCAGAAAGACTACATATGACACAATCGATACGCATACTTGCTTAGAGTCATTGATGTCTAATATGGCCCATTCGAAATCTTTCGGCAGAGGGTATGGGTCTTGCCGCACTTCTTCTCGAGATTTGTTGGGTTCGATGAAACCATCATCGGGTGAAACCTCATCACCTAGAGCCGCTTAGCAAACCCTGAAATTGGAATATATAATACAACGCATACCAAGCTGTGGGACTGGCTGAGTGGCCCAAAACTATGTCGAGCCTTGAATGCATGGTCCGCATTTATACATGAGTTGTTGTACATACCTTATGTTCTCCCATAGCTTTCTTCCCTCGCCCAGCGATGCCCGATTTGCCTTTGATGACATCCATGATCTTCATCTGCTCCAATGCTTGCCTAATATTATCTTCATTGGCAGCTGGGGTATTCGGCCCGTGCTCAGCAGCGACACGATCCACGACATGACTGATGAGCTCTTGAGGTATTTCGTTTTTGCCACGCATTGCGTTTAGAACCTTTGCAGCCTTGGATTTTTTCTTCTTCTTTGGCTTGGATGATGAAGCCTGAGGTGTAATAGCACCATCCTGTTCATGATCAGCCTCGGGTTCCGGGGTGGAACATTTATCCTCGGGATCAGATCCTTGGGTAGTATCAATTATCTCTTGGATTTGCGCCTTTTGAGAGGATGAAGACATTGGATTGGAGCAGCGTGGTGTCACAGAATTGTTGTCACAGGACACGCAAGACTACGTGCCAAATTGAGCGACCCTCTCGGTTATCCACTCTTGTTGCTCAACAGTCACCATGTTCATCGTAAATTGGTTCTGGGACATTCTTGCTCAGCTTGGTCAGTATTTTCAGCCCAGCTTTATGCTCTATTTACCGTTTTTAACTTGATGTTAGGGCTGATGCACAAGAACGCCAAAATTCTCTTCCTTGGTTTGGACAATGCTGGCAAGACAGTGAGTATCGCGTAACTTGTGCAAACCTTACATGACCTATTGACATATTCCATAGACGCTTCTGCATATGCTGAAAAACGACAGACTGGCCACCCTTCAACCCACCCTCCACCCCAGTACGCCGTCTGCATTTACAATGTTCCTCCTTCCCTAATGTTATGCACCTGCAGCTTCCGAGGAACTGGCAATTGGTAACGTGAAATTCACTACTTACGATCTCGGCGGACATCAGCAAGGTTAGTATACTACCACTTCTCGCGACCTGGGCTGTTTTCCGAACAACAACTTGCGTTTCAGCCCGTCGCCTCTGGCGCGACTACTTCCCTGAGGTCGATGGAATCGTGTTCTTGGTCGACTCTGCAGACTTCGAGCGCTTCGCTGAATCAAAGGCTGAGCTTGACGCTCTGCTTTCTATCGAGGAGCTGGCCAAGGTTCCATTCCTAGTTCTTGGCAACAAGATTGATGCTCCTGGGGCAGTCAGCGAGGAGGAATTGAGGCATCACCTTGGGCTGTACCAGACAACCGGCAAGGTGGGGTTTTGTATTTGATTGATATGGAGAATTACTGATAAGTTGTGACGTCATCACAGGGCAAGGTCCCATTGAACGACATTCGACCCATCGAGATATTCATGTGTTCAGTCGTCCAGAGACAAGGGTATGGCGAAGGTGAGTTGCCTGACATGCTACGGTTGGTGCATAAATGACTGAATGACGCTCAGGATTCCTATGGCTCTCACAATACGTATGTCCTACCCCCACTCAGGTATCTCATTTTGACTGATATATGACCTTTCCAGATATGATCCTATGCGTCGGGATTGAGGGGATCTATTAGACCTTCACTAATTCCCATTCTTCTTCATTTTTGTTGTCGCTGTGGACTGTCATATGCTATTCTTCACGCTTCATACCCTTGGAGTTAACTAGCTCGGCAGACTTGGACATATTGAGTAAATATTTGAGAACTGATCAGTCTCCACTTTCAAGTTGTTTCCTCCTACGGGTCAAGTAAGGTTTCTGCCGACGTAGGCACTTCCTGAGTTACATAATGTTCTCCCTTGGACGTACTAATACTATCCCTGACTTTTGTAAACCTTCGGTGACAGGCAGAACACTGAGCAGACCGCTTATTCCTCGTTGCCGAAACTGGACACTACGTAAGCATTCTATGATTTGAATATTGAATGCTCACAATTTTCAGCTTGAGGCTATTATTGGGTATTTCAGGTTGTTGGACGGTGACGATGATAGATGGGCTATTCATATAGTGATGGGGAGCGGAAAAACAGGCAGATTCGTTTGTCTTCATGCACATGATACATCATTTTCCTGTGGAAATTTAAACCACGAAGTCTGCGTCATTTTTTCTCGCAACCCTGCGATAATAATTGCCCGTGCAACGATCGAAGGCACTAAACTGATTCCACAGTAGTTTCCGAAACGACTGTTGCATCTTTTCGAATGGTCTGGCTATGGGAGACTAACATAGCCTGAGGATGGTCCACGAATTGACAACGAAGGGGAAAGCTCCATTAAGCTGACTAATTGCAGGCGCGTATGGCAGTGTATCATGATAGGGAATCCCGTTGATGAGGCCTAGGTCTGGAGTTTGAAATTTGAAGCCTCGAGGGCACGACTTCGTCGACGTCGACGTGGCAGGTCGACTAAATTCAGATCATAGCAAGCCACTTCTTGACCCTTTTGGTTGAGAAACCCCATGGAACTCTGTTGTCTTTTGCATGTGGCACATCACAATGATGATCATGATGGACTGAACATTCTGCCACATAGGTTCAACATAGGTTCCGTAGTCTCTTGCCGGCCTTTCCCTTGCTAAGTTTTGTCGACTTTGTTGCATATTTAAAGATCAGATGTTACCTTGGTCTGCCTAGGTATTTCGTATCCTCTCTTGTCAGCCATGTCCACTGAAGCGGTGAAAGGGACACCTGATGCCAGCGACGAAAAACCCTGCTGCATAAAGGGGGATATCGAGACCTCCACCCGAGAAGCTGAAACAGACGAGAACGTCGTCCTTCAGAACGAGAGAGAAATTGCATCTCACGTCATTTCCGTGCTCGATGATCCTAGTCTGAACCCTTGGACCTTCCGGGCTTTCTTCATCGGTCTTGGCCTTTCCGCCTTTGGTGGATCCCTGGGTAAAGTAGTCGATCATTCAGTCGAGGCTCTTACTCACTTACACTGTTTCCTAGCTCAAATCTATTACTTTAAACCTGTGAGAGTTCTTTATCGAACATCAAGTCGGAGGGCTCATTCAGTGTGGACACTCCAGCAAACTATCAATGTATCTCTGATGTTCCTCGGCATCATATCCTATGTGATTGGCCTTGCGATGGAGACATTCATTCCACGCTACGGACTGCTCCGATACCTGAATCCAGTGCGTCCGAGTCTTTCACGTAGCCTCTGACCCTGAAGTTCATGCGTATTTATGAATATCAGGGACCCTTCAATAAGAAAGAGAATGCGTTCATTATCATCATGTCCAGTGCAGCCGCGAACTCTGCGTTGGCTACAGAAGTTCTCGCTGTCCAACGGTGGGTTCGCAGTCCAATTCCTCTGTCGGTAGTGACTGACGACTCATCAGTTTGTATTATAACATCACGCCGAATGCGGTTTCATCAATATTTTTGTTGTTCTCTTCTCAACTGCTCGGGTGCGTTGCGCTGGCGTACTTTCTTACTCCACTGAAGGCGCAAACCACAGCTATGGGATCGGCGGTCTGATGCGAGGTATTTTGCTTTCGACAGTAGCTATACTTGGAATCTCAACTCACGACACTGACTCAGGAATCCTCCTCTATCCGTCGAAGATGTTGTATCCTGGCGTTCTCCCGTTGCTTTCCATGCTCGACGCTTTCTATCGCGATGGCATCGCAGCACGTCGAAGGCTCAAGGTGTTCTATTGCGTCTTTACTGCGTAATTTTCTCGATAAATCATAATCTAATGTTCAATTTCTAATTAATTTGAACTCAGAGTCTTTATATGGGAGATTCTTCCCGAATGGATATTCCCACTGCTCACCGGACTGTCAATATTATGCCTTGTCGCTCCTGGCAATGCTACTGTGTCTCGCGTGTTTGGTGGTTCCAATGGAAACGAGGGCCTCGGTCTATTGTCCCTGTGCTTCGACTGGCAGGTGCAGCTCGCTGTCAAGATACATATGTTGATACTTGGGGTTAAACTTCAGTTTAGTACATCTCGAGTAATGCTGGTAACCCGATGGCTATTCCACTGAGGGCTCAGGTGGTTGACAATCCTGTATGTGTGACGCTTCTGATAACACCACTCCTAGCTCTCCAGTTTCATTGGTTATATTCTCTGCATGTACGTGGTTTCAGTCCCATGATTCGCACAATATTACTGAGAGAGGTGAAGTGTTGTCTTCGTCACAATATTCTACAATAACATTTGGAAATCTCAAAACTTCCCATTTGTACGTAAAAATCTCGTTGTACTTTCTAATGTCCAAGCTAACAATGCACCGATCAGTTGGCGCAGCTCCTCTTTTACGAGAACGGGACTGTCTACGACCAGACTTTGATTATGAATTCCAACTATGAGGTGGATCCTACCTTGGTGGCAGAACAGGGGCTGCCATTCTATGCTGGCACTTGGATTGTTAACCTTCTATCAATGAACCTCGTATGTCAAGAATCACTGCTGATGTAAAGTGTTTCGTTCATATTTCCACTGCAGGGATTGGCTGCCACGTTCGCTCACTTACTCCTGTGGAACAAAGATGACCTTCGTGCAGCCTGGACTTGGATCAACATGGACACACTGAGGAGTTGGCGTGCTAATTTCGATTGGAAGTTCTGGAAACACAGTGGAGAGAGAGAAGTCCCCGCCAACACTGAGGACCTCGACCCGCACTACCAGGAGATGCTCAAGGTCAGTCCTTTTGACATCGGATAGAGACCTTACCACTAACGTATTACTATACAGTATCCAGATGCTCCGAATAGTTGGTACTTGTTGACGTTCGTTCTCTCCTTCATTGTTGGACTGGTCGTCATTTACAAGACAAATTCCACGCTTCCCTGGTGAGTAACACTAACATTCTTCATCTGATGAAAAGGTTTATTGAGTCTTTTGAGGTGGGGCTTTGTCATTGCAGTCCTCTTGGCCATTGTGTCTATCTTGTTCTTTGGCGCGTTATCCGCCATTACTGGCCTTAGTCTCTCCATCCGCACGTATTATTTATATGCTATAGCTGTCCTGAGCTGATCTTTCAGCGAAGAAACCCTAGTCCAGATGATTGCTGGCTACCTGCACAACGGAAGACCCATGGCGAACATGTTCTTTGTTCGTATTGATGTACATTCCGATTTTGACCACTACTGATGTTGTCGTTGACAGGTCCTTTACAGCTACGTCCGTATCCGTATGGTCGCCTTGATTAGCGTTTTATTCGGGTTATTGTCCAGAATACTGTGTCTCAAGCTTTGCTGCTACTACGTGATTTGAAGATTGCTCAATGTCTGTGTACATTTTTTGTCAAGGGAGGTACTTCTTACTGACAGACACTCAGACGCCAAACTGCCTCCCCGAGCTGCATTCACAGCCCAGATCATTGGCACCTTACTCGGCGCTGTTCTCAACTACGGTTAGGGAGTTATCTTACCCATCCATTCACCATATTTGACTCCGAGTCGTCGTTCTAGTCTTGATGAATTCCATCATCGACAATGAACGCGAAATCCTGTTGTCTGTACAAGGAACAAACATCTGGTCTGGCCAGCAACCTCAATCATACAACTCGCAAGCCATTGCGTGGGGTGGTCTTGCTCACGAGCTCTTTTCATCTGGTCAAAGGTATCAATGGGTTCCCTTGTCCTATCTCATTGGCTTGGTCGCGCCCCTTCCCTTCTGGATTATTCACCGTTACTGGCCGAGACTGCGCATGGATTACTATTACATTCCTATCATTTGGTATGCTCTGAACTCGTCGGTGATAGAGATCTAAACCCCATTATCAACACAGCTACTACATTGGAGCGCTTTCCGCCGGAATAAACTCTTCAGTTGTGTCGTATTACATGGTATCGTTCTTGTGTCAGTGGTGGCTCCGTACTAGGTACCCACGTCGGTTCGTGGAATACAATTATTTGGTCGGCGCAGGTAAGTTTCGTAGCCGTGTTATTTTGACTGTTAATATTCACACTGTACAATAGCCCTCGATGGTGGAACGCAAGTCATGGTATTCATTCTCTCCTTTGCGGTACAAGGGGCTGCTGGAAAAGCACATCTTATTCCGGAATGGTGGGGTGCTGACCAAAGCGGAAATTACGACCGCTGCTTGTCTCTCTGAATGTCATATACTAGATTGATAGATTGCGGCAGGTATCGGTGACATCTCCTGACAGATTTAGATGATAGACTCATCACGTTCGAGTTAGATGCCAATATTGTATCCCTGTGCACAACAAACATGGCGTTCGCGTCACATGGTCGGTGGGGTAGAGGACCAATGAGCACTACAGCCTGCCAAAGGGTTTTATATACCTCCCGTAGACTTAGAGGAAATATCTGAAACCACACTTCGGCTTCAGCAGTTTTATTACACTGTACAAGCCTTGCGCTCATCACGTATCACGTGACTCTAAATACAACTGCAAATATTGCCAACTCAGACTAGCGCTGGGCTTAGCTTATCATTAAGCTTCCGAGTCAAGCTTTAAGGCCGTATGCAACCCAACACCAGTGCTGCATGGCAGGATCGTATCCCTGGTTTTGGAACGCTGCTGGTTATTTCTGCTGTCCTTCGTGTTGTGCTTATACTATACAGCGAATGGCACGATGCACATTCGATAGTGAAGTACACCGACATTGATTATCGCGTATTCAGCGACGCTGCCAGATTCATTCTTTACCCCAAACCGCAGGGTAATATTGCGAAAGGGCCACTTGCACCTCTCTTTCTTACTGTCGGAGAGTGAGTTTCCCAGTCTGTTCGGTGATGTTAGGCTCAGTGATTCATAGTCCGTACGCTCGGGAGACTTATCGCTATACTCCACTGCTAGCCATCCTTCTCCTTCCAAATGAGTGGCTGCACCCATCATTCGGAAAGTATTTGTTTGCTGCATGCGATCTAATAAATGGCGCCCTCATTTATCAAATTTTGATATCGCACATCCTTCCCCATACCAAATCTTTAGCACCAGATGTCTCCGCAAAGAACTCGAAAACGCTTTATGTGCGCACATGCATCTCTCCTAGCGGCAACACACCTCTTGAACCCTCTTGTATTCACTATCTCAACGCGTGGTTCTTCTGAAGCGATTCTCTGCACTTTTGTCCTCTTGACATTATTCTACGCGCTCGAACGTCGACAGAACGCTGCCGCCGTGATGCTGGGACTCAGTGCTCACTGGAAAATCTACCCGATCATATATGGGGTTAGCTGTGTCTCTGCGATTACCTCGCAGCGTGTCGATGGCAAAGGGTGGAATTTTTCTCATCTACTACGTCGACTGGTCGGACGAGAGGCAATTTGTTTCATCCTGCTCAGCGCAGGGACATTTATTATTCTGGGAGCTATATGCTACGCTGTGTAAGCATCTGCATGATCTTCAAGCACTGAACCTCACTTGCTACCACAGGTGGGGATACCCCTTCCTCTACGAGGCATATCTATATCATACAGACCGGCGTGATCATCGGCACAACTTTTCCCCTTACTTCTATCTCATCTACCTCACAGTATTCCGGTACCTCAGCCAACTTATCAACCTGGCGTCAGCTGCTTCGCTCGCCGTTTACAAGTCTTATACCCCAACTGACGTTGTCTCTCGGGACCGGCCTCGTCTTTGGTCAACTCTCAGCCGGCCTGCCGTTCGTGTGGTTTGTACAGACGTTCACATTCGTGCTCTTCAACCGTGTGTGCACGTCCCAATATTTTATCTGGTATACTCTCTTCATACCTTTACTTGTACCTCGCATTAACCTTTCATGGAAAAAATGGGTGATGTGTGGAGCAGTCTGGATGGGCACGCAAGCACTGTGGCTTGCAGAGGCATACAAGTTGGAGTTCCTCGGTGATGATGTGTTCTTTGGGCTTTGGGTCAGGAGTTTGGTTTATGTCGTTGGCCATGCATGGGTACTTGGGGTCATCATGAGTGGATATATACCCCATGTGTCATGTAACCAGCACAGTTAGATACCTGAGTAGCGCTCATACGGACATATATGACGCCATCATGGACGATTAAAGAATACGGGAAGAAACAAGGAAGAAACGATATTCGGTAGAACGTACGAGCAATTGCAGCACGTTGTCAAGCAAGCGAATCCTGCAGTCAACTCGACCAAAACTGTCTGCTAAAGTCTGCAAAGAGACCGACAATGCCCTAATTGAGAATCTGCTGGGACGGAATCACGAAGCGGTTCGTGGATCCGAAAGACATCAGGAAACGGCCTCGAATTCGATAGGCTGGTCCTTCAATGAAGAAAGTCTCATTTAGCTAAACAGCTCGAAACACATCGGTAATCCACAGCGCTTGACAATTCTTCGACTTCTATCGACACGTATATCCGCCCGTTTCTTGTCGATCTTCACTGGGCTTAACAAGTCACCGTGATGTCGCTCATCAACCAAACTTCCCGTCCAAACGCGTCTCTCAAGCCTTCTTCGCGGCGTGCAGAAACCTCCAGAGTATACGCTCATCTACTCCCGATCATATTTCCAGAGCCAACATACAAATTTCTTGGACTCTCCCTAACACGACCACTCAATCCTCACTGCACCGCGCTATTCGACCCTCTCACCCGCTCAGCTTGGATCCCAAGTTCTGGCGACGCTACCCTATTATGGCAGCGCGGGTTCTTTGGAAAAGGAGACCTTTCCAGGAGTGAGCCTAGTTGGTTGGCGAGACAAATAAATGCGAGAAAAATGAAGGGCAAGGGTATGTCGTTCTCTTGTACTGCTCCGAACATCTTAACTCTTAACTTACATAGCACTCACATCCGAAGAGATCACCGCCAAACGCCGTGCAGAGCGCAAGCAATTTAAGCTCGATCGTGCAAAGGCGATTGCTGCTGCTGCCGCAGAAGCAGAGACTGCTTTCAATGAACAAGGTCGCGTTATCGCGCCTGGTATTGCACCGGATGGCACACGGATAATCCCCTCTGCTGCGACCTGGAAACCAACATCTGCACCCGTGCCTTCGGAAAGATCGCCTCTAGACGTCGGACCAGACGAAGAGGAAGAGATGGAGCCCATACAAGACCTCGAGCATCTGCAACTCTCGCTTCAAGAGGCCTTTTTCCTCGTCTGGGCACTTGACTGTTTGACAATCTTACACCCCCAAACCGTATGTTCCTTTATTCCCTCCTTGAAACTAGCTGGTTCATATCGTTTTTACACAGAATGTGTCTTTTACCCTTGCTGAAATATGGAATACATTCCAAAATGCTCATATACCGTCGTTGGTCCCACAACCAAACGCACCATCACCTTCACGGTTTGACAACCCCTTCCTTGTGTCATATGTCGCATACCACCACTACCGCTCCCATGGTTGGGTTGTCAAAAGCGGCATCAAGTTCTGCGTCGATTACCTGCTGTATAAACGTGGCCCTGTATTTCAGCATGCCGAGTGCGTGTGGTGTTTTTACTCAATCTTCACCCTCCGTTTTATTCTACTGAACTCAGGAGTTCTCTCGGCGAACCTTATTCTGCACTCAAAATTGTCTGAATTCCGCTGACATCTCCTTAGATTCGCAATTGTCGTCATCCCCGTATATGAAGACCCCGAAGATCAGGCAAACTCACCGTTTAAGCTACAGAACGCAGAACCATTCACGTGGTCATGGCTGAGCACGATAAACCGGGTCAATTCTCAGGTTCAAAAGGTCAGTTTCCATCCCTTCGTCACTAATATCCGTCTAAACTGGTCGACAGACACTGGTCTTGTCGTATATCACCATACCTGCGGAATCACGGGTATCTCCAAAAGTTCTCTCTTCACCTGCATGCTTTGCGCATTATTCGGTGCGCGAGGTCGTGTTGAGGCGGTTCATCCCGGCGCGCATGCGGGACTAGGGTCCGTTGAATGCGAACCTCGCGGAAGTTGCATTGCCAGGAAATACTGTATTCCACTCCAAATTACCAATGGATCCTGCTTCGCAAGGTAGATGGTCAACTCTCAATAGGACAACTTATATTCCTTGCTTGCAAAAAGACATCAACCTAACGTAAAAGACTAATTGAGATACGAGCAGCGGTCGTAGTTTCCGCTTTGATTTGCACCCCACCATTCCGGAATAAGATGTGCATTTCCAGCAGCCCCTTGTACCGCAAAGGAGAGAATGAATACCATGACCTGCGTTCCACCATCAAGGGCTATAGTATAACATGATATTAGTAGTTGAGATAAGAAGGCCACAGAACTCACCTGCGCCGACCAAATAGTTGTATTTCGTGAACCAACGCGGGTACCTAGTACGGAGCCACCACTGAGACAAGAACGCGACCGTGAAATACATCAAAATCGAGGAGTTTATTCCAACGCAAAGCCATCCGATGTACGCACTGTATGCATAATGAGCTTAGAATATCGATCATTGATGAATTGAGAGCGTACCAGATGATAGGTGTGTAATAGTAATCCGTGCGCAGTCTCGGCCAGTAACGGTGAACAATCCAGAAAGGAAGAGGCGCAACCAGGCCAATGATATAGGACAAGGGAACCCATTGGTACCTTTGACCAGATGAAAAGAGCTCGTGAGCAAGGCCACCCCACGCAATGGCTTGCGAGTTGTATGATTGAGGTTGCTGGCCAGACCAGATGTTTGTTCCTTGTACAGATAACAGGATTTCGCGTTGACTGTCGATGATAGAATTCATTAATACTGAAACAAGTCAGTTGTGGAGAATGGATAGGAAAGACGGCTCCCTAACCATAGTTGAGAGCAGCACCGAGCAAGGTGCCAAGGACCTGGGCTGTGAATGCAGCGCGGGGAGGCAGTTTGGCGTCTAGGAATCTGCCAGTGAGAAATATTCTCTTTCCGACTAACAATGTGCACATACATTGAGCAATCTTCAGATCGCGTAGTAGTAGCATTGCTTGAGACACGGTATTCTGGGGAAAATCAAATCAAAAGGAGGTCGAGGAGGCGAAAATGGAAATGCATACATAACTGTAAAGGACCTGTGAATACTAACATCAGTGGTGGTCAAAGACTGGAAAGGACGTTAAACGAACAAAGAACATATTCGCCATGGGTCTTCCGTTGTGCAGGTAGCCAGCAATCATCTGGACTAGGGTTTCTTCACTGAAAGATCAGCTCAGGACAGTTATAGCATCTAAATAATACGTGCGGATGGAGAGACCAATGCCAGTAATGGCGGCTAACGCGCCAAAGAACAAGATAGACACAGCGCCCAAGAAGACTGCAATGACAAAGCCCCACCTCAAAAGACTCAATAAACTTTTCATCAGATGAAGAATGTTAATGTTACTCACCAGGGAAGTGTGGAATTTGTCTTGTAGATGACGACCAGTCCAACAATGAAGGAGAGAACGAACGTCAACAAGTACCAACTATTCGGAGCATCTGGATACTGTATAGTAATACGTTAGTGGTAAGGTCTCTATCAGATGTCAAAAGGACTGACCTTGAGCATCTCCCGGTAGTGCGGGTCGAGGTCCTCAGTGTTGGCGGGGACTTTCCTCTCTCCACTGTGTTTCCAGAACTTCCAATCGAAATTAGCACGCCAACTCCTCAGTGTGTCCATGTTGATCCAAGTCCAGGCTGCACGAAGGTCATCTCTATTCCACAGGAGGAGGTGAGTGAACGTCGCAGCCAATGCCTGTGTTGGAACTATGAGCAAAGCACTTTACATCAGCAGTATTTCATGGCATACGAGGTTGGTTGACAGCAGGTTAACAATCCAGGTGCCGGCGTAGAATGGCAGCCCCTGTTCTGCCACCAAGGTAGGATCCACCTCATAGTTGGAATTCATAATCAAAGTCTGGTCGTAGACAGTCCCGTTCTCGTAAAAGAGGAGCTGCGCCAACTGATCGGTACATTGTTAGCCTGGACATTAGACAGCGCAATGAGGATGTTCCTTACAAATGGGAGGTTCCGAGATTCCCAAATATTGTTGTAGAATACGGCGACGAAAACGACCCTTCACCTCTCTCAGCAATGTTTTGCGATGTAACTGAAATCACATACATGCAGAGAATATAACCAATGAAGCTGGAGAGCTAGGGTGGATGTAAGAATTGTCGTACGCACTAGGTGGGCCAACTAACCTGAGCTTTCAGTGGGATAGTCATCGGGTTCAATCCACCCGAGATGTACTAAACATATTGAGTTCAACGTAAAGTGTCAACCAAATGGAGATGGTGGGCATTACCTGCCAGTCGAGGCACAGGGACAATAGACCGAGGCCCTCATTTCCGTTGGAACCACCAAACACGCGAGACACAGCAGCATTGTTAGGAACGGCGAGGCAGAATATTGAGACACCGGTGAGCAGGGGGAATATCCATTCTGGAAAAAGCTCCCATATAAAGATTCTGAGTTTAAGATGATTGAAAATTGAAGATTAATTATGATTTATCAATCAAGTTTAAACGCACGCAGTAAAGACGAAATAGAACACCTTGAGCTTTTGGCGTGCTGCGATACCATCGTGATAGAAAGCGTCGAGCATGGAGAGCAACGGGAGAACGCTAGGATACAACATCTTCGACGGATAGAGGAGGATCCCTGAGCCAAAGTGTCATGAGCTGAGATTCCAAGTATAGCTACCGTCGGAAGCAAAAATACCTCGCATCAGACCGCCGATCCCATAGCTGTGGTTTGCGGCTTCAGCGATGGGTGGAGTAAGGAATACGCCAGCACAACGCACCCGAGCAGTTGAGAAGAGAACAGCAAAAATATTGATGAAACCGCATTCGGCGTGATGTTATAATACAAACTGATGAGTCGTCAGTCACTACCGACAGAGGAATTGGACTGCGAACCCACCGTTGGACAGCGAGAACTTCTGTAGCCAACGCAGAGTTCGCGGCTGCACTGGACATGATGATAATGAACGCATTCTCTTTCTTATTGAAGGGTCCCTGATATTCATAAATACGCATGAACTTCAGGGTCAGAGGCTACGTGAAAGACTCGGACGCACTGGATTCAGGTATCGGAGCAGTCCGTAGCGTGGAATGAATGTCTCCATCGCAAGGCCAATCACATAGGATATGATGCCGAGGAACATCAGAGATACACTGACAGTTTGCTGGAGTGTCCACATGAATGAGCCCTCCGACTTGATGTTCGATAAAGAACTCTCACAGGTTTAAAGTAATAGATTTGAGCTAGGGGTGCAAGTGAGTAGGAGCCTCGACTGAAAGATCTCGACTGCTTTACCGAGGGATCCACCAAAGGCGGAAAGGCCAAGGCCGATGAAGAAAGCCCGAAAGGTCCAGGGGTTCAGACTAGGATCGTCGTCCACGGAAATGACGTGAGTTGCAATATCTCGCTCGTTCTGAAGAACAGCAATGTCATCAGTGTCTTCTCCAGTAGAGGTCTCGATATCCCCATTGACGCAGTAAGATTTCGATTTCTCCTTCACGTCCATGGATTTCTCGTCATTGAGACTAGAAATTCTTTCCATAGCAGCCATGACTAGAGGGAGGGTACGACGTGCCAAGGCAGACCAAGGTAGAAGAGCTGATATTTATCGATATGCACCAAGCATGCCTCAAACATAGTGAGGAACGGACCAATGGGCCGAGAAAGAACCGAGAAAGAATCGAAAGATAGATAGATAGATGTCCTATCCTTGAGATGTAACAGGCACAGAAACTTGAAATGATACATGCCCGTGGCTGCGGTAGAAGGTGCCAGCAGTGTTGGTGGCGCACTGTCTCTTGCATGACCATAATCAAAAGATAACGGACTTTGAGTGAAATTCACACTGGACTAAACGAGTCGAGGGGTTAGACGGCATTGATATAGATTTAGTCAACCTGCCTTCTTAACTTGTACGAGAACACTCGACACTTAGCCTGTTTGCTTGCCAATTGACTGAGTACCAAACACACCTGCATCATTCTGCAAGAGTTAACGAAGGGATTTCGTATTTGAGATGTTCTAGACTTGATGAAAATCTGGTCAACAGTGTGTCGCAACGTAGATACTATGACACTGCACGTACAAGAGGCGAGGTCCGATATCCAATTGTCAGTCAATTGCACGCACTATGCACTTGATGGAAGATAAGACATTATGGGGCTCAATAGAGAGCTCCACAAATGGGCCAGCAAGTGTTAGCAACATTGCGGCCAGGAAGCCAAAGTCACAAGCCACGGATACACTTTCCAGTTACATATGATCTGCTGCCAAGGTAAAAAGGATATCGCCCTAGATTTCAAAAGAACCAATAGATCCGCGTCACTTGGGCGTGGAGAATTCCTACAATTGGAATCTATTACTTGTTACAAAAATGATTTTGACGAGGAAGATTGAGTTGGGTGACTACTTGCAGTTAGTCAGGTGAGATCCTGTGTGGTTGAACTGAACTGCCGGACCTCCGACTGTGCCGATCTTGCTCAGAGGCTTCCATGATGTGGCACTCGATATTGGATCTTGACGTGGCCCTATTGGAAATTCATAGTACTTGGTAAGACTCGGCGATTCTCCTATGAATTCAGCTCTGGATAGATCTGGAACAAGTCGTCAGCCACGTGCACAAATAACCCACTACACGAGAAAGTAATGGTGTGCGGAAATTAAAGAGTACGGTAGACACAAAGCGACGAGCGTACGTAGTACGGAAATATAATCAAAATGTACCCATCAGAATACGCAAAAAATTATTTGCAGACACAAAGCATCTGACGATAGGGTTGTGGCGCTGGTACTTGTGCAGAGAATGCAGTGACAAATGTGTAAATACCTATGGACCAGAGTGACCGTTCGGAACCCAAACTCGAGGCTGGTTGGTGATGATGTGGGTGACTGGTGCCGGTGAGGAGCGGATTAAAGGCATGAAGTTGAGTCGCCAGCCAAACAATGATATAAGCCATCAAATTAGCACCACTAAACAGACCCTTACACGTCGGCACATGGCGCCCAAACTATCCACAGTTGAGATCGAGATGCTTTCCATCCAGTGAGGGATGTCAAAGCACAATATGCTCTTAGGTTAGCAAATAGCACTACCTTCAGTTCTCTGTAGGGGTGGTCTAGCCAGCTTGAGTCTGTTTGTCTTGGTAGGAGGTCTTTTCAAAGTTTGGACGACTTGATCACAACGTATAGTGGTGCGTTCTTGGAGAGGGTCGACATAGTTGTGAGGAGAGCTCCAATCTCGCCTGCTCCTGGTGCGGCCAGGTGTTCTGGCACATTGGTAGAGATGTTGTGTCGTCATCTTGACCGAACCATCCTCCATCCTCCAACATATAGTCACCATTTTTATCCAATAGGTGCATAACACTGATAGTTACATTGATTAATTTTGGTGTATCCCCAGGTAGTCTGAGACCCTGACTTGCTGGTATGGTGCAAGGGGGTCTCGATGTTATGAAGGCGCAGAAACTTGCTTCAAGCGATTCTGGGTAGGAAAAGGTGGGATCGAACTTCCATTCCATCAATTTGTTTATCTTGATCCATATCATTCGCTGTGATATGTTCTAGCGCTATGTTGAGAGAGTAGGGGGAGGAGCCCGTTTGTGAGTGCCAATTCGGAAGTAAGTATTTGAGAATGTCTTTTACTTATTTTGTGCGCTTAAATGGCTTACTGGAGGTACTATCCTCTGTGCGGTGCTCGCAGGGACAGTCTTTGTTCTGTCGGAAGTGTTTTATTGCCGAGTAAAGTTGTCGATTTGAAACAAGTTGATTCAGGTTGGCTGACTAATACGTGACGTTCGCTAAAACAAGGTCATAGTAATAACGTCCTGTCCGGTGCACAGTGCTGTACTGTAACATACTTGGACCCATCCCTTTAACTACTTCAAAGTCCATCAAAGACCCACTTTTACGATGTCCAGTGACGGAAATTTGTTTGTTCAAGTCGGTTCATATAATACAAACCTTCAAGGCGGAGCTGGCCTGCCTCAGGATCTTGTCGATTGGCTCGTTCCAACACTCCAAGTAGCCTCTTTCCTCTCTAAGGAGTCTCGTGCACCAGACATTTTTGCGATTGGCTTCCAGGAACTTCTGCCCCTCCACCTTGGACGTATGTCGTCGTGTTTGTACATCATTATTCTAACATAACACATGCACTAAGTGGCTGGATTGTCAAAGGCTGTGCTCGACGATAGGGACGCGCATATTCGTAGTCAGATTGAGAAGCACACTCTCGGTAAGGAGTCTTACACGCTAGTTGCGAAGGCTGTGAACGTTGGTGTTGCACTTCTCGTGTACGCACGAGATAGTGGCATCGCGCGCCGGGTTTGTGATGTGCAAACTCAATGGACTGGGACAGGCCCAGCTTACATGGGTAACAAAGGTGCTGTTGGTATACGATTCCGTGTCTCAGACAGAGGGAGCAAAGCTGGAGAAGTTTTCACGTATGTCTCATGTTCATGATGGCTTGTGTCCCGAACAAATTCTTTCCAGGTTTGTGTGTGCTCACCTCACCGCACACGAGGCCAATCTCGCTCGACGGGTCGCAGATTATCGTCACATCGTTAGCACTCTTCTCTTCCCTCCACTACCATCATCTCCTTCCTCTTCCCCGACTACCATGTATTCGACGTCACACCTATTCTTCCTCGGCGACCTCAACTTCCGTATAACAATACCCCCGTCGCATCCGCATGTGCAAACTTCCCAACCATACGATGCTCTTACGATGATGAAGGACGACGCATCTCGTGAACAGTTGAAGGAATTTGACCAACTTCTGAACCAGCGGAGGAAAGGGACGGCTTTCATTGGTTTGCATGAGGGCCCATTCTGGACATTCAAATGCACATATAAATACAAGCTTGGCGAGGTCGACCGGTACAGGTGTGTCATCTTTTCTCAATGATTTTCTCCTACTTACCCAGCCTTGACAGTACGAAACGGACCCCATCTTGGACCGATAGAATAATGTATGCGACTTATACTGATTCCCCCGACACACCTGAGAAGTCTAACATCACCAACATTTTGTACACATCAATACCATCATACGTCACATCAGACCATGTAAGTTCTTATCACTGTTTTACTTCGCATCTAACAAGTGAACAGAAACCTGTTGTCTGTCTACTACTGCTTCCATCACCCACCACTGCATCGTCCCCAGAAACGTGTGCACCTCCAATGCTTCAGTTGCCCTCGTCGTATACGCCTATGCCTGATCCGCGTGCTACGCTGAAACGGTATACCGGCCGCACGCTTGATCGTATCATTGGATCGATATGGTGGCTTCTCACAGTGCTTGGAGCTGGCTCAGCCATTGTTGGGATTCTCAACTTCTTTCTGGGACTCATCGCATGGAGATGGTGGAAAGTACCAGCTGCATCTTTTGCCGATGCTTGAGTCAACGTTGATGTCAATTGTTCAAGGTGTATATGCATACCATTATGGATCACAGCCACCTATCTATCACTATCTATTTGTCATTGCGCTCACCACGTCATGCTAATTAGCTGTGTTGCTGTACGTTCATAGTTTTCTCTCCTATTTACGGTTCTTTCCTCACTATGGTGACCTCTGCTTAATTTTACGACCTTTAAAATGGAAGCAAACAACCAAATGAATTTCTGGCGATGTAATATTCGTGTAAATGTGTTCATACTTGGTGCCAACACCGCTTCTGCCGAAGCTGGAAACTGTCTACCGCCGAATGCGAGGACAACTTGAACTACTGGTCTTATCATTGACGATGAAATGAAGGCAAATTCTCTTTGTCAAAGATGTACGTGGCTTCGAATCTCTTGATTTTCGTGTCTTTGCTCATTGCTACCCCTTGCCGATGGCTCACTCGCGCGCTCATCATAGCAGGTAAAGTTTTGCGCAATGCCTTTTCAGTCAAGCAGGAAAATGGATTTGATATGGATGCCTCAGTGCACCGAGTGCGACTGCGTATGGTCGTGGACGCACGGCACCGGCACATCATATATTTGGCATCTCTATAACCGACGACAACATCAATTTGCATGCCTCATTCACATCGCGCGGATCTCATTCGAAACACCACAGCGTTCATTGGGGTACATCTCGTAGCATGGATGACACGGCTTTAGTAGAGCAGAATGGAGAAGACTGTTCCGGAAATCGACAAAATTTCGCGCTCATACCCAGTGACCATCATGATAATCTTTGACGACGCCATTGACTTTCTCTTCTCACCACATATTCTCCAAGACAGTTTCCTGTGCGACCCGCGTATGCAACTATATTTAATGGTTGTCAATAATTGCGCTAGCACGGACCGTGCTCGACCTTCGAACGGGTCCCTTTGCTCACGGTTAATTGAGAACACAAAGAGACACGCTGTGTCTATTTGCAAAGACGAACGAAGCACATGATTGTACTACTAGTAATGTCCCGTACATACCGAAGAGCCGACCGAAGGGGTGTCCTTGTACTGCAAAATTATCTATGTTGACTCTGAGCGTCACGTCCTCCCGCCTCTTCGTCCTCACTGTGAACAAGATCATCCTCCTGGGTTATCTTGACACGGATCACTGGAACTTGAGTCTCGTCGTTCAATATCGTACTTTCAGCATCATCCTTGTTCGTAGGCGGGTGTACTAGTACGAGCAAGCCGAAAGAAATTATCATCAGCACCACACTCAAAGCAAAAATTGCACCAGGGAAGGTCGCGACGGTCTTGTAATACACAAAGCCAAACAATGCGGGACCCAGGATCTGAGAACTATATTGAATGTGTCAGAGCTTGAGTTGGCCAAAATCGACTCTCCTACCTAAGAGCTTGTACCACACCAATGGCGCCAAAAAGCTTTCCAGCTTCGCCCTTTCCTCCCCTTCTGCTGTAAACATCGAGCGCGAATGCTTGGACAGCAGGCGAGTACCCGGCGCCCAGTGATTGCAAAATAGATCCGAAGGCGAAGACAAGACCATCAGAAGCAAAAATCATTGTAGCGAACGAAAGAATGTCAAGAACGATAGAGATTCGAGCAAGATTGAGATCAAACTTCGCAGAATGAGAGGGTGGTCCTGTGTTACTCTGTCTACTCGGAAGGGTCTGTGATGACAAGTTCTGAAGTGGCTCATCTGGGGCAGTGGGGAGCTGCACAGGCGCTGGTTTCAGAAGCTTGATGATAACTAGGGAATTGAATTCATATTGAACAAAGATGGATATGAGTTATTTTTACAGACCAGGTAAGATGACAGCCAAGAATAGCGCACGGCCAGCTCCAGCGAAGGCGACGTAGTAGCTAATCTAGAAGGTTATCAGATTTAGTGACGACATTCTTGCGTGCTTTTACCGTTTCCGATGACCACTTGAAATTTCCTGCGGCGTACTGTAACACGTATGTCATCATACCCTGCGAGAAAAGTAGGTGTAAGTATTGGAGATACCACGAAGATACAATGGCGCCATACCATCGGGAACATCGTAAAGCCATAGCTAGCAACAATGAAGCATAAACTCCAATCTCTCTTGGAGCGTTTGAGTGGGTTTCCGTTAACACTGATACGCTCGGGCTGAAGAACGGCTAGAGGGCTGAAGAACCTCATGGCGCTCTTTAAGATGGATACAGCGTCACCATTCCGCCTTTCAAGTGATGCTTGCCGTCTTTTCTGTGCGCCAAGTGCTCTCGCTTTTGTCTGTGATTCGGGGACAATCAGAAACATAAAAGCAGCGTACAGCGCGTGGACAGTCGCAGCTAAATAGAACGTGGAAAGTGTCGAGCCCGTCGCTCGAATTAAGACACCTCCAATGACAGGACCAAGGGCCACACCAAAAAACATGATACCCAATGCTAGGGAAAATATACGAGATCTATCAATGATCATTTATTTGAGTAGAACATGGGTGGATTTTCAACCCTACCGCTCAGAACGATGGGTACTGTCGGCGAGATAGGCATGAGAAGCAGCAACCCCAGTGGTCATCCCTTAAAATACGTTAAACACCGACCTATCCCCAGTGACATGCTCTGACTTACCACCAGCCATACCATCTGATGCAAAACCGAGTATCAAGAACCAGTATCCGCCTGGGAGCCGCTCCACAAAGAATGCTGTGACAATGAAAATTAAATCACATGAAAGTAAACCAAGCATCGAGATGCCCATGATTGATGTTCGGCCAAAACGGTCGGCGAGCTGGCGAGCAGGAGGTCATGGGAACATCAAAAAAACATGAACGTAGTGACTCACCGAACCCCACCAAACGGTTGTAAGGCAGCTCAAGATACCCATAGTAGTGCTGAGAACTACCCCGGTATAAGTGCCTCTCTGATGTATAAAGAAAGACAATGAACCCAACCTGCGGACAATTGCGCGACGGTAGCTTGCACGACTGGGTCAGACGCGCATTGGTCGCGGTCTGGAACGGGTGACTGTTGGGAACCAGTATCTGCAGGAACGTATACAGACACAGATTGAGCAGACACGACTGGAGCACTGAGATCATTTAGATTCAGTCCATCATATAGAGTCTTCGCCGTGTCCACGGATAACACTGAATGCGGCTGAGCTAGATGTAGCATGCCGTTCGGTTCATACTGTAACTCGAGCCCGGGCGCATGAACACGACATGCGAGAGCAGTGTACATCTCCACCCGAGGACCAATGATTGCAGAGAAGCCTAACGATGCCACAGGCGTGGAAAATATCAACCTGCTTGAAAGGTCAATGATATTATCTCTGACACAGCAGGCTCGCTCGCTGACCAGTAGGGCGAAGGTCTTTTCCACCATGGCATTACCTTCCATGCTGTAACTTCTTCGTCATGTTCCTCATCTTCTCGGTCAAGCGGAAACGACCCGTCCTGGTCCACGAACGTGCGTTCTGACTGTTGATGTGAGTGCAGGATATGTTCATCGACTGGCTCGCTAGGCAAGATTAACCTTTCGGATTGGGGAATATTTACACCCCTCGGCTCGGAGAGAATCCCAGAGGTGTTTCTGGATGGCCTTCGGGACATGGTGGCCGTGGAGTGCTAAGTGCCTGTGGATCGAAAGGTTGTGATACTTTATTTTAATACGTACCGCAAGGTGCGCTGCCGCCCCAAATTAATCATCTGCATCATTGCAAGCACATGTCACTGATCAATATACTGTGAAGTAGTCGGTGTCATTATGTAATATTGCTAGTCAGAACTTGGGAGTTTTAGTCCGCCGGGCCCCGGCAGAACACGCACTGCAGGCCTGGACCTCCAAGGTATCCAAGACTCGCGGAGATGATCTGATAACGCAGTTTGAATTATGTAGAACATCGTCCCTAAAGTAATTAAGATGATGCACCTCTCGCGTCAGTAGTACTACTGTTCTACTCAATCTCCGAGTCAATGCCTTTGCCGTGACGATTCTCTTACTCGTAGTCTGCCGCGCAGCCCTAGCCTACATAGTTTCGCCAAAACAACCTGTTTTGCCGACCGGCAGACTCTGACGGTGGCCGCCAGGACCCCAAGTGGTTCTGCTCTTACCTTATCTTATCTTACTTGACTCAGATCGTTATACATGGCGGTAAGTAGTAAACACATCTGCCTCTTCTCGCTATAACTTCATTTCTAGTCGAAAGCAAGGACAGTGGACATCAACGAGGATGTCACAAAGGCCCTCAAAACATTTCGGTTCCAGCGTAGGAGCCAGGGACACGCAGCAATCGTTATCAAGATTGATAAGGCTGCTCTCAAGATGGTCGTAGACGAGGAGCATGACAATATTTCGATCGAAGACCTTGTCGAGGGTACGATCATCTTGGAACCATTCTTCATCTCTTCATTTCCACACTCCAGAGCTGCCCCGAAACTCTCCCAGATATGTCGTGTTGTCATATGAACTCAAACACCGCGATGGCAGGATATCATTCCCACTCGTGTTCATCAACTGGGCTCCATCATCATCCGAGACAACCATGATGACATTGCATGCTAGCGCCCTCCTTGACTTTCAAAGAGTCGTAAGTACCGTGCCAAGGCTTCAATTCTATCGAAACTTCACTCAATGACGCTTACAATGCTCTAGGCAGAAGCAAACAGGACCATCGAAGTTCGGGATGCGGAAGAAGGACTCACTAAAGAAATCGTCGACGAAAAACTTCTATCTTAACCTGTGAGACTTGTATCCGCGCCCGCAGTACATCAGATCGAACATACCGTGGCCATTACGCTTTTACTTATCATAATCGATCACTGTCTACAGTGGTTTCGGAACGTTCATTGACTGGATCTTGTTAACTCAACAGTAGAACCCCGCTCTCATTTCAACGACCACGGGCTCTTGCTGATACGAATCCTACCGGATGGATGAGTGAGCCAGTTTATATTTAATACTCGCGTGAAGATTGCTGGAAGCCTCGAACATGACCCTTTGGAGTCTGAGAAGTTAATGCTTTGTTCATCCTGCTCGGGTCTTCTTTCCCACTCAACTTATAATGAGTGCAAATCAGTCACTTCTCAAGTCAAAGATCGGTGTTCCGACCAACATGAAATCCAAACCTGAGACAGCGAGGAGGAAATGTTGAGCAGGTTTACGATCACATTAAATTATTGCTCCGGACCATCTAGCTCATTCACGTACCTCTACCATAGAAAAAATAGGCCAATATACTCACACCAGCAATGCTCCAAAAATTAGAATAAAGAGTGCTTGAGAATGCGAGTGAACTTATACATAGTCTATTCCCTGGGAATGAATGGGCTACTCCGTTTTGAAGGAGCTTCGATTACGGGAGGGAGGGATTGAACCATCTCCTTAGTCCCGGCGGGGAAAGGTAGATCATCCACACCCTTGGGAAGGACACTCTCATAAAGACCTTTAGCTTGGTTTGCATTTGCGAGACAGAGCATTTTCTTCTTTGCATCACGAACAAGGACGTGTGCATCGTCGACCCCTGGTACTGCGCCCTTGACAAAAATCAGGTCGAGGGTCGTGTCAACACGGACCACTGGAAGATTCTGGACAGTGGTTCGTTCGCCTCCCAGTCGGCCTGCCATCTTCTTACCAGGCCAGACTCTACCCGGGTCCTATAAATCAGAGTCAGTAGGGATATTACTCCATTTAGTAGACACTAACTTGGTGCTGTCCAGTCGCACCGGCTGAACGATGTGATACAGAAACACCATGGCTTGCACGCAAACCCTTGAAGTTCCACCGCTTCATCGTGCCTTGAAATCCCTTCCCAATACTGGGAAGGCCTGAGTCAAACATGCAAAAATGATACGGAGAACTCACGAATCGGCAATCACATCCACAAATTGCCCGGGTACAAAGTGAATAGCGGAAAGTGTTGTTCCTGAATAACTTCACTGTCATGAAAAAGTAGAAAACATGCTTGCGAGGAACTCACCGACAGGGACGTGTGCATCGGGGGTAACAGGAAACTCCTTCACGATATACTTCGGCTTAACGCGAGCCTTCCGGAAATGACCCCTCATCTGATGCGTTGTTGTCCTCTTTGGACGGTCGGATGCACCAAGTTGGACTGCATGATACTCGGTGCGGTCCGGACGCACATGGACAATGTTCTTGGTCACTTGGCAGTTCTCTAGCTACGACATATATGAGGACGGGATAAAGGCACATGCAAACTCGCTCACCTGCAATACCGTGACCGGAACGCGCGCACCATGGTCGTCCCATATAGCAGTCATTCCACGTTTACGCGCAATGAGACCAGTACGTATCGAATTCGGTGACCATTTGGCAGACGTCGCAGAAGTACTGGGGTTTACGGTCCGCGCCCATGCAATGCGGGTCGTACTAAATTGTCGACATTGTGAAAGGAGTTGCCGTGGCCTCGGCGCAAGTGCAAGCATAGTCGAAAACAACCTTGACACTTTGCAGCTTTACTGAAAGAAAATGTTGTCGGAGATCGGAGCTTTATTTTCCACGCTCATAATTACTTTCTTGGTAAATCAATTACAACTTGTGCTGATTAGCTTGCATTCTTTGAACACTTTCTGGTATCTGCGCAGATGGAATGGAACATTGGCCTGCAGATGAACGACATAAATCATTGCCTGTGAAGAAGAAGCAAGGAAGGGGAAACAAAAAGCCCCAAGTTCACGACACTCAACATTGGAATAATCCTTCTCTCGATTACGGAACCTTTGGTGGAGCGACCCTCGTGTCATCCGACGGAAGGCTAGCTTGGACAACCGTTGTTGATACATCAAATGGTAAGTTTGAATCTTTTGCATGAGTTAGCATGGTCATAGTTGACAATTCATTCAGCTCGAAGAGTGACACCAGTTGGGGCAGGGCGTTGTATTTTTCCTGCCACTCGATCTGTGAATCCGACGCCAAGTCGTCTTAGGCAGTGGAGACGAATCGAAGAAGGGGTACGGGCTTCAACCATGTTCCTAGCATTATCTTGACGTTGTGCATCCCCTAATAGCTCAACTTTGTTAGAACATGTTTCCCGGACGCCGATTTCCCTGCGGAGCTCATCAAGGCGGAATTCCAGTCCGATGAACGACGAAACCGAGAGTTGCAAATCTACGATCCTTTGAGAGGCAGTCTCATTAGTATTGTACCGTCTTCCAGCACCCCTCAAACATCACTGGTCCTCTTTCCGATGGGAGAAACCAACAATGAATTGAGTAAGCCGCCGTGCCCAATCTCGCCCTCATTGGCTAATCTCAGCTTAAATGCTAGATATTTCATTTATATCCGCCACTGATTCTGACTCGACTTTTCACGCGCCCGGACATGCCGCGTCCAAGTTTGAGACACCCATTCTCCAGATCTCGGCCCCAAATGTATCAAATTCATCTCTGAAGCGTGGTACCAATCTTGTTTTAGTCAGAACATTCTCCGCAACATCTCTGTTGAGCATTGAGTTGGCAGATGAAGCCACCGATCTGAAGGCCACAAGGGAGGTAGACATATTTTCTGATGACGTGGGAGGCAAAAGTGTAGTAGATGCTGCATTTTCACCCCATGACTCGGATATCATTGCTGTGAACACCTCTGGAGCACTTTACAACTGCAAAATATATGAAGGAGCAAAAGCTGTGTTTGTAACCTTCTTCGTTCAATTTCACTGAGCTCATACCTTCATCAGGCGGCGCATAGGGCTTAACCAAGTTCGTTTTGAGAACACAGATGGGGATCAATTTTGGAGACTTCGTCCGTCTGACCAAGGCTACTTCTTAGCGTCAAGTAGCTGCATTCAACATCTCGATTTCAGGGTACGAATTCCAGGAAGACGTATTAAATTCTCAGCTAACTCAGAGATAGTCGAGCCAGCCTAGTGTCGACCTATTTTCTACTGATCAGTTGGGCTCTGTTGTAACATCTTTTGACTCGTCAGAGCGGGAACATCTCCTCACCATTTCGACGACCTCGGAACTCCTATGGTTGGATAATCGGTACCCGAAAAAAGTGCTTCTGAGCTTTAAGCACAACCGAGCGCATGATAGATCGCTCAATGTCAAAACCGTGCAGTTAGACAGCGGTACGGACCAGCGAAATATTGGTCATCTCTATTCACTCACCTTCCATTGTAGGCCCTCTGACTTTCCTAAGTTCGCTTAAAAACGGGCTCATCACCATTTATGATGTGTCTCGAGGAAATGACAATCTGATTCACTGTCATTCCGTTCCAACATCTTTACCTCACGGCGGAGATATGGGTGCGTCTGAGTCGGAAAGTTCATTCTTTGTCCAGCCCGATAGGTCCACCGTTTCCCTCTTGCGGCTCTCTGGACAAAACAGTCTCCACTGCCAGGACTTTGCTGTATATCACAATGGCATGGACGTACTTCCAAGACAGACTCGTGGCACTAGCCACGAATGGTCTGCTGATGTGCAGAAACTAGCTCAAAGAGCAAAGGAGCTTCAGCCTCAGTACGGGCCACTGAGCGCAAGGCATTTCTCAGAGTTAAACCTACGGACTGCGTATCAGAGTGAGTATTTGTGATTCAGTTTAGTCGGGTATGCCCTGATACTTATTTTGATTGCAGAAATTTTCGTTACGGGGGGTGTTAAAGAGCAAGCCGCCTCTGAGGGCGAATTTACCGTGATGATAGACAAGCTTTATCAGTTTTGGCAAAGGACAAGTGATTCTGACAAGACGATGTTGACCTTGTAAGGCGTGTTCAAACATCTGTCGTCCTTACACGCTGATCCGTTGCATATTCAGATATGATGTCTGCCTTAGCGCTGACAAAGAGCCAGACGAGGACTCGCGAGCGGACTTTCTCGCTGGTGGGATGATTAACTCGAATCGTGGGTACAAAACGCTTGTACACAACGAGCTACCGGTCCAGGAAATTACGAGTGGTGCAGCATGGTCTTGCGATTTTAAGCCATTTCTCCGCCGTATGGGGCTTGGTCGCGTGGACCACTGGCAGGAGATGCATGGTGCTCTGGAAGCTTTCAATTTGTCTTACTCGAATAATGTCCCTGGGACATTCGTGCAACAAGAGGAGAATTCACGAGAACAGCTTATCCTCGATTTGGCCCTTTCTAGCATGGTATTTTCAGCTCAGCCTGTTTCTAAGCCCGTTGCTCCGATCCAGGTCGACGATGTGGAGAGCATGTCTCTTGCCGCAAAAGCTCTGACACTTGACGACGAACTTCCCGAGATTCAGTTTGGCTACCTGCGTCCATATCCCAAGCTTGGTATAAACCATTACCCTGGTATTTCCAGGGACAAAGACGCTGTTGCAGAACCTACACAGGATGTGGAATTTTCCAGTCCGCTGGGTGTGCGATTGTTGTTGAGGGAGTGGGAGGTCGGAACGGACGTTGAGTCTTACACATATCATGATCCGTACAACACAAAAGGCGACGATCCTATCGCTCCCTCCCGAGAATGGGCACTCCCCACTGCACCAGTCGCTACGCAAACGACGACTACAACATCACAGCGCCCTCCGCTCATTGTTGCAGGTTCCGAGCCCCGTCCACCTCCCATTCATGTTGCCCAGAATCACTGGGGAATGTTTAGCACCCAGCCTCGAGGCTTTAATCTACAAACCGCAGAGCATGAGAATTATCCTGAACCTTCTCAACCTTCCCAAGAGTTGATGACAAGTACCCAAGTGTTACCTGGACTGTACGGCGGTCGAAATGTTCCGAATAAGAAGCTTGTGAAGAAGAGGCTGGGTGGTTTCTGATAAATATATGCCAGTAGTACACACCCTCGAGATTGGCGTAATTTCCATTGGTTTCCCGGACCATCGTGTTATGTATAGACGCGTGAAATTTTAAATATAGGCACATAAAACGTCTGGTCGGCCAAATATGGGCAATTTTGATGACGCGTGACATCCTCCGACGCTCCTTCAAGCATATACCGAATTGCCTTTGAGGATCCCTATCTCCTCTCCAGCTCTTCTTTCTGGCTCCAACTGAGATCACGCCCAGCCTTTCTCGACACGGACTGGCAGAGGCACGAAACTGGACTTTTCGTCTGGTCCAGCAAGAAGAGCTATGGGTGGAACAAGGTACGCTCGTAATCTGGACTTCTCGCAAGGTCATAGTTCTTGAAAAGTTTCTAGCCCGCCAACAAGTCCCTGGTTTAACAGGGATGCTTTTAACGACGTTCTGAAGCGTATGTAGGATGAAAAATCCACGTCGATTTTGCAATGACTCTTCTGCTAGGAAATAAGCCGGTGGTCTGCGCTCTCTCAGCTAGCTACATTTCGACATTTGTTGGATATCCAGTGGGTTTGGCCTTTCTACATTGAAGCAACTTACAAATCTAGCTGTTTTCCAGTTGGATTCTTTGAAGTCGAGACTGCAGACCACCAAGACAAGGATGCCAGTGCTCAAGCTTGCTGGTATCGTCTATCGAGAAGAAGGAGTGACCGGCTTCTATAGAGGTCTCTGGATACCACTTGTTACGATTTCTTTCGTCCGTGAGTTATCGCACGCTGTCTGTTCTTTACAAGCCTAACGACTATCCAGGTGCTGCTTCATTTACAATATACAGTAGTACAAAAGAATACTGTCGTAAAAACAGCTATTTTACAGGTGATAGAGCATCTGATGCTGCTCTCGCTGGCGGTCTCAGTGGTGCCTTGTCTGGATCATTGATTTCATTTACTAGTGCACGTGCGTGCTTTTTAACTGCGTAGTTCAAACATCTGACATGTGAAACTAGCCTTCGAACTTGTCAAGGTATATTTACTTGGCCAATTTATCTGGGAATGTAATCTTCCACTGTTGACAGGTTCGAAGGCAATTGGAATACAGCATAGCCGCAACTAAAGGCGTACAAATGGTTAAACCCCCAAATACTATCGACGCTGTCCGAGAAATTTTTCGAACTCACGGGCTGTCTGGGCCCTGGATAGGGTTCCGTCTCCACTTTGGCGAGTGATGTACTTCATCATTTGTTACTCTGACTGATCCTGCTCCCCAGTTCGAGATACAGCCGGCACTGCATTATACTTTTTCGAATATGATGCTATGCGACATCTATTGGGCCGCCAGCGCTCGGGAGAGCAGGGACCAACACCAGCATGGTTGCCAATACCCACATCCTTGATTCCCTTTGTCTGTGGTTCGCTGGCCGGCGTGTCTTCATGGGCATTGATATATCCCCTTGATGTGTTAGTCCACGTCTTTCTCTTTGCCACAAAACTCATTCTCGGATCAGAGTAAAGACCAAAGTTCAGCAACGTGCTTTAGCTGGCACTCCTCCGAAAGGAGTATGGGAAACCCTCCGTCGCCTCGTGCGCGGTACGGCAGACCAATACAGTCATGTCACTACGGCTCAAAATTCATTAGGTCCGGATCCCAAAGATCCAAAGCCAGTTCTTGCTGGCATAGCACGTATATATCGCGGTCTCGGCGTCAGTGCAGTGCGGAGCATCACGACGCACGGGCTCCTCTGGACAATCTTCGATATTACGTCGCATTATATCGATCATCTACCCTGACTTTCAAAGCGCAATTGACGGGGTTCTACCTTGCATCTCACTTGCAGACAAGGCATGTATTATAGCATCTGGGTTAGGATTGCCTAGTCTATTCACTATAATCCATATCATCTGAGATACTTATCAGTCAATATATGTGGCATGGCAGACTCTTTGTGCCTTAAGGCCATGCTTATCAGACAACTTTGTCGCCACTCATTGCTCGCCTCCTGGAGATGGGAAATGTACCAGTATAAAAATCTCACTCCAAGTGAATCGCCGGGGTAGCTCAGCTGGGAGAGCAACAGACTGAAGTACTGAATAGCCGCTGCCTTCTGGAGGTCCCGTGTTCAATCCACGGTCCTGGCATATATTTTTAATGATAGTCATAAGATTTATCATGTCTTCAAAACGCAACGTGTACACAGTATGAACGTAAAGATATCAAGCGATGGTGTACTTGCCGTATTCTTTCTCTGGGTCGTAGATCTATGCCTTGATTAACAGGATATGGACCCAGGAAGGACGCTTTGCTTACCTCCCATCGAGAGGCCGGAAAGATGTGTTTGAACCGTTGGTACCAGCTTCTCTCAACCACTTTACCAGCGTGTGACTCGTCTTTCTCCTTGGTCGCATCAGCAAGCAGGCGAACATCATCATGAACGTCAAAATTAAACAATGGCCCGCTCTTTCCACGAGCTTTGTTGATGATGAAGTCATAGAACGTATGATGCTGTCGAAATACATTGAAATAAATAATCATCAGGAAAAGTCAAACTCACATGAGGTATTATGAGGTCCTCCTTGATGTACATCAAATTGTCAACGCTAACGCCTCGCAATTCCGGGAACTGCTGCCGGCACTTTTCCAAGAAAGCACTAATGGTATCACCTTTCTTGCACTGAAGCATTCTGCGAATGAGCGAATGAGCACCAGATCAATATAAAACATACCACAACCGACTTCCTGTGACCACTCCCATCCCAATAAGAATAAGTAATCTCGATTTCTTCCTGTTTGAGCTCCTCTTGTCTGCGAATCCATTCTTGGCGTAACCTTTCACGCTCTTTCCTCTCCGCTTCCTCTCGTTCACGGTCCGGAAGGAACGATGTATCGACATTGGGATTCTTACGGAACTTGGCGCGCTTGGACGGTTGTTCACCGTTTTGGACTTCAGGACTTTGACGCGACGAGGTGTCTCCTTCGACATCCCCTTCGTCATCCATGGCAAATGATAAGGTAGCTTTTGTCTTCTTGCGTTTCTTTACCTTCTTTGTTTCGTCTCTAAACAAATCCTCCATGGAATATAAGCCATCTTTCCACACGGTCGCCACGGCACAAGAGAGAATGGCATTGGACACTGAAAACAACATACTTGAGTTCGTTGGTGCGAGCAGCCTCGCGTGCCTTTGCCTCCTCCAGCTCTTTCCTTCTCTGCTGAAAGTCCTCCAGCCTCACTAGACCGATAGTCTGGTTCTTGAGAGTTTCTTCCATGGAGTCATTTTGACCGACAAATTTGTTGACTGATGGACGGGATTTTTCCGTTTCGTTGATGAGAGTCTGTTTTTGGCGTTCATATTCTTCACGATTCTGAGCGCGCTGCTTGATGAAAGCATCCTCGCGACGTCCTTCGGCGTTGTTAGTAGCCATGGAGGTTCTGGTTGTGTGGTGTGAAGCGCGAAGTCGCGGAGTATGAAATTACTTTTCAAGCTTCAAGCTTTGAAGTTCACCGTTCCCTTCTAATTGTTCCGAGTGAGCCATGGTCCACGTCTTGGGGGTGCAACTCCCAGATTACCAATATGCAAGGGTGCGCTATAGCTATTTTTTTCCCGAAAGCTTTGCTCACTGTCAAGCTAGTTTGCCTTGACTGCATTCTATGGCATTGGCCATAAAACTGCACATCGACTTTGTGCACGTCTTCAAATTCACGACAAGTGCAAAGTCCGAAGTCTAACACCCCATCAAATCACAGAACTTGCCGCGTTCCTTTCCTCTCCATCTACTTCAACACCTATTCCTCGCTTTCCATTAGCCACGTCGTCCTATCAACCTCCCCCGGCCTCCACCCCACTCGCAGTCCTGAAAGAGGAGACGAAGAAGCTCTCACAGAGGGCATGGGCAGATCCACTGAGAAACATCAAGATCGAGAGCGAAGCAAGGAGAGTAGTCAAGGATAATATTGCGCACCAACGCATGATAGGCAGCTACGTTGGCAAGAGGCATGCCATGGGTTTACCTGTCCGCGGCCAGAATACCCAAAACAACGCGCGGACCGCGAAGAAACTCAACAGGGTCGATCGTCGTGGCTAAGGGTGTTCATTATGTATGTTTATATATCCTCGGAAGTTCGCCGGACACCGCGCTTGTCCCAAATTTGTCTTCTATGTAGAAGATAATACACTATTTCTGAGTACATCCAAGGTGGCTTATCTAGTCGTCTCCGACTGGCACTTCTTCTTCCAGGTACTTCAGCAATGTCACCCGAATCTCCGTGCTCTCGTCACCGCGAAGTACATCAGACAAAAATTCCACCTGCACCTGCATCTGGACCTTTGAAATGGGCGTGATACACAGTTGCGCCGATTATTTTAGTTTGTGGACTTACCATCTCAAGTGCTCCTCTGAGAACGCCGCACAGCACGTTACTAAACCATAGCCCTCCTTCCAAAGCTTCGTCAGGAAGTTCGACAAATTCAGCCAAGGGATTCTCATCCAGGGTCAGGATGAAAGACGAGCCAGGAACTCCTGATTGTTGAACTGTACTGGTCGGGCGGGCGGAAGGTGGTGGAACACCAGAGTGCGTGACTGTTGGTGTGATGTTTAGAAAGGATTTAAACCCGACCTTCAAATGGGGTGCCTCTGAGAACGTCAGCTCAGGGGAGTAGTGATAAACGCACACCTTCGCCGCCACCTCGCCCACTTCCCGGAAGTCAGAGCAGCGACCTAAAGAGCTCCTTGCAAGGAAGTCCTCGATTAATCGTGTTCCAATATTATATCCCATTTTCTCGAGTTGCTTGTTCACTACAGCATAATCTTCATAGTCTTGGATCAACTGAACGACGAGGGCGCCATATGTAAGAGAAAACAACTCTGAATTCTGTTTGGGGGGTTAGTTGGGGTCTGATTGACCCAAAGGCACGACACAAAGTCCAAACCTCACGATTTTATCTGTACGACTTTTCCAAAGATCCTCTCCGATGGCTTTATACTGTTTGCTCGTCGTCGCCATCGTCGACGAAAGTTAGATTCTCGTGCATCGAGTATACACTGTGACCGTCACGTCTTGTGTGACGGAATTGATATTTGGAGTCCACATTCGACTTGTTTGAGCGTAAGCTCGGCCAACTTTGAACAATCATCAACCACGTCATGGATGACGACCTTATAGTCGTAGACGATATTGACGAACATCAAGCGGGCCCTTCTACCGTTAATGGCGCTAAGCCGACCCCTCCAACTCAACCGCAGAGAACACGGCCCCTTCGTGCCGCCGCGGAACATGCAATGGCTACAACCCTTCGTCTAAGGGGCACCCCTGAGCCTTCCGAGCGAACGACGCGCTCCTCGTTGGCAAAGAACCGACCCCAGCCAAAGCTAAAACTCAAGCTCAGCGATAAAGCAGCTGCGCAGGCTCCCGGAATGTCATTCCTGGGCTCATATGATCGGGAGTTAGACTCAGATGATGAGGACCTTGCTTTTGAAGAACAATTCATTATCCGTATGCCCCCTGGGGAGGACTGTGAAAAGTTACGCAAGATGGTTTCCTCCAGAGAAGTCGGGAATGATGTATGGTTTAAATTCAAAGGCGAGTGGCCTCCCTCTCCTGCAGTGGTCGGGTTGCTCGAACTTTACCTAGACTCCCGCCGAGGAGTCTTCCATATTGGAAATACCTTATATTCCTTCAAGCTTGTCGATCTTCCGTGTATCATCGAAGCGCAGAAGACCTTGGACAACAAGCAAATGTTCAAAGTAGCAGACATATGTCAGGTTACTTGTCTCGCTTGTTCTGTCGTATCTTCCACTTACGTGCCTGCAGATGCTTGTAGTTGAAAACCGCATTCCCAATGAGGAGTCATTTACAACAACTCGTAATGTAAACGTCGATGAGTTCATCTGGCCGCACGGTATCACGCCGCCTTTGCACCAAGTTCGCAAACGGCGATTTCGAAAGAGGGTGAACAAGAGGGTACGTCCCCCGTATAGTCATATTCATACGCGTGATTCCGATGCTGCCAAGTAGACTATTGAAAGTGTTGAGGAGGCGGTCGAGCGGTTGTTGGCCACGGATGAACTTGCTTCAGAGGTCAAATATGGTATCATCATCATTCTTTGGAGTAGGGTCTGTTTTGAAATGTCTTGCTGCTAGATGTTCTGGAAAATGTTAACCCGGATCTTTCCGACTCAGAATTCATTGAACGAGATGAGCCCATGGATGCACCTACACCCGGTGTCGTTGGCTCCGAGGCAGGCGATGCTCCTACTCCAGGACCGGACTTCGGGGGAGATGAGGGGGAAGCTGAGGAAGCTGAAGAAGATGAAGGCGAAGGCGACATCGACGAAGACCTCGCCGCAGAGCTAGATCTTGCCCTCGGTGATGAAGATGAGGAGGGTGAGGGTGATGACGAGGAGGATGACGAGGAGGATGAAAGTGAGGATGAGGATGAGGACGACGACGACGAGGAAGCGCAGGAGAGGAAACTGTTGAATGAAGAAATCAGGGACCTCGAAGCTGCCGTGTTGAAGAAACAAACTGAAATCGCCAGCTCCGCAAATCCTTTGATCAAGGTATTTGTTTCTACACTGTTTTCATGTTCTGATTTTCATGTTACTTGTAGAAACGATTTGAGGATGCACTACGCAAGTTATCAGCTGACCTCGAGATGAAGATTGCCCAGAGAGACGAGATGAAAGAAAGACAACGGCGGAAGAGGGAGGGTATCGCACCAGAAGATCCAGACACAGATCCAGAGGGAGCTACTCAGGAAGAAGTAGATCAAACAATGGGAGATCTGTTTGGGTCCGACGATCACGCTGCAATGGACATTGGTTAATGCGGTACTACACACTCATTGCGCCGTGTTTGCTTTGCATTTTAACACTATCGCCTGTACATTGTAATCCGACATTAAGCCACGCTGCCATTGATCTATGACCCCTGTAGACATACAATAGCAGCTTGCATGACGAGCGGGGCGTACACAATACATATGAATGGCGCAAACCATACACCCAGCACCTCCCAGTTCCAGATCGCGCTTTCAACCTCTCCAGGTACCAACACTAACCAACCCCATGCTAGCACACAGTAGCCAGCATATCGTAAACGAGAGGTCGTTGTGTTTGAGGATGTATATGACGTCGTCAGAGGGATGCCCATAGTTGTAACAAGCATGGCAGCGAGGGAAAAGTTTAGTAGAGACGTGATAGATATCACTGTTGATGCTAGGCATAGATTCGACGATTTCAGGAGCATCGAAGTCGGAGCTGCTTCCGGGGCGTTTTTCGAAAGTAGCGGAAGGAGGACTGGAGGTATCACAGACACGGTGATAAAAATAACTGGCGCAAGAAACTATAGGACGGGTGGGGTCAGTGTATAGTACCGACAGGTAGTCAAACAACTAACCGAAGGGTACTCGGCAAACCATCGACTGCAAACTAGGTTGAATACGAGAACTCCTAAAACATGAGTAGTCACCACAACGATAAGCGCAGACAGCAAGGGTCGTCGCCTATTTCTCCATGTGCCTTTCGCAGGACTGGACTTCTCAGTCTCGTTGCCTTTCAGAGAGGCCTCAGATATTTCGCAAACCCACCCCGCAGTCACCCACTCGCCAAGCCCTTTGAATAACATGGCCACGCTGACGAGGATGGTGCTTGGGAGAAACATGCCGATCTTCATGAACGTCCCAGGGCTGGTTAAGATATAAAAGAAGAAGGAAGCGTGTAAACGCTCTAAAAGGTTATTCATTGTTCTAAGGGTAGACTCGACGATTCTAATAGGTGTTGCTGTAGTTGGGTGTGAGATAATTTATAATTACTCACCTTCCTAGTGCATGGAACCCATGCGGTCCGTCTGCTGGAACGGCAAACAAGGTGATAGCGTCAATACGGAATCTGAATCAAGTCAGTATCCTCATACAAGCTACTAAGAACAACAAAATTACTGATGCATCAGGCCATGCACCCCGCTGCACATGCCGCGAGCCTGGTAGCCGATGTGTCGGACTACATTCCGAACGCGATACCCGTATTGCTGAAGTTGTGGACTCTGCTGAATAAAGGGCGGAACCCATGGCGCAAAGAGGCTCTGCTCTGGCAATCGATCGACAGAATCTGAATACTCCAGGTGATCGTACACTGTCATTGGGACGCCACCTGTATAATGTGAGATTAGTCGGAAAGAATTGATGAGGTCCTGATTTGGGAGACGTCCGTTCAAGCCCTCTGTAGGCATTCTTGAGTAGTCAGAAAATGAGATGGTAGGTGTGTTGCCCACCATGGAAGACACCAAGGTGCGAAAAAGAATGACTGCTGTAGTCAATATTCAAAGCAGTCCAAATGACCCCCGAGGTATGCTCGAGAGGGTCTGTACGAAGATCTAGTGGTGGACAAGAGAATGAAGGCTAAGTTGATACTGCAGATGCAAAACGACATACTCGACGGTATTGTGCCATGGTATGCATTCAGCCATGCGTGCATTCCATGGAGGTAGTCGTCGCTGATGATAAAGATGATATCTTTCGCCCATAAAGAATAATCTGCCAAGCGTGTTGTGTATCAAAATTTTGAAAGCCACTCAATAACCCTACCTTTTAAGAATGCAGCGAGAGATAATACGGTAGATGTCCCACGCAAATTCAGTGTGCCGCGCCCTGCCCTGCTTAACCATGATGCACTGATTACTATCGCTTCGGTTCCAGCGGCTCGAGGCGAAGACATTACGGCATACGCATTGTTGCCTGAGACGGTCTGGCAACTTTTTATAACAAACTGGCTGCTAAACAAAAAAAAACTCACTCCTTTACTGGTACTGAAAGTGTAATTTTGTATGGAAGCAGCAAGGCCAAGTTTACTGAATTCAGTCCTGAAGAATTCCGCTCTTCTGTTGATAACATGAGTCAGGGCGGTTGAATGTCCAAAGAGGAGAACGACATACTGTTCACTGGTGAGATTTCGTTCTTGAATACCATCCAGTTGGTACAGTTGCAAGTCTGCTGTGTGAACATCGCCCCAGTTCCAATATGTATTGACCTATGGCTCTATTAGCTCATGTAGCAAACAAGCAGTATGCGCACGGACCTGTGCAGGCTGGAGGGCATTCTCGTCTATGTATGTTCCTTGGGAGAGCATTGGTATAGGGATAAGCAGCATCCACGCATATCCAATAACAAACAAGGCAGTCCTACGCAAATTCAGCGAGAGAGCGAACAATGAAGACTCCACTGACGTCAATTTTGTTAAATTACGATGGATATAGGCAGCTGCCTGTCTTCGCCGTCGAAGTCTTGCGATATTCGCGTCTGGTCTCCTGGGGCGCCTTAGGAAACCTCGTATTCTGTCCATGGGTTTACAGTGATGACTGGTTACAAGTATCCTGGAGACGCGTGAAGATGGGACACGTTTATGCAAGTCAGAACATAGAGAACATGTCGATGATCTGTGGTTTCAAGCAAAGAGCACCAGTTACGTAACGTCGTCGAGTTTGTTTGCGCGGAACCTTCGGCGGAACCAGATTAATATTTGAGTTTATGGAAGTCAAGTTGCTCCCTGTCTCCGGGTTCAACTCGTCCACGTTTCTTTCTCCTCCCTCCATCATCTTTATAGCCGAATCCGTTCTTCAGCTTCCATTGACCGGTCATGCCTGCGAAGCGCAAACATCGTTCGTCGCCGGCTCCTAAGGGACTAGCTGCAGGGGAACAACTTAAACGAGGCAAATTGCCTGGCAGCGATCCATGGGGTTGGGTTGGTACGGAGGTCACCCATCCCTCTCAGATCACCTTGGAACATCGTCTTATGTCGTGTGGTCTCTCTCGGAGGAGCAACAACCCGTTCTGTGCCAACAAGTACGCACACAAGTCAGAGAAGCAGAACAGCCCTACTCCCAAGCGTGAACCCGCAGATGGCGAGCCGGGAGACGACATCATTGTTGTCTCGGATGATACACCACCACCATGCAGTAAGAAGTTGTGCAAGAACAACCCCAATTGTTTGAATTACCTCGGACAAGAGACATGGAAAGACGAAGGCGAGTCTACAAACTACCAACGCGACTTTCTACGGCGCAAATTTAACATACACGTTGTGAACCTAGACAAAGTCAGGGATCTATTCCTGAAGGCATCTGACCTAGGGTTCAACCCAGTGCTCAACGCCCGAGATCCCGAACTTCCTGTTGGCTTAAAGGTAGAACAAAATATCGTGCTCTCTGAGATCGTGCAACGAGTCATACTCATACATGCAATTCAGAACCTTGGTGCGACGTGCTATGCGAACGCTTTCATTCAAGTAGGTATCTTTTCGCCTCATCATCTAGAACTGATTAGAACAAGCGCCAAGGTATGGTTTCGAGACCTAGCTTTTCGGAATGGTGTCTATATGTGTCAGCCATCACAAGATAAGGAAGACGTATTCGAGGTTGGTGAGCAGATGATAAATGAGTGCATATAAATCAAACTTGCGCCTAGGATTCGCCTATATTTCAGTTACAAGTGACGTTTACTGCATTGCAGGAATGCACGCAAAACGTCTTCAATCCCGAAAAACTTGCTGAAAGCTTAAAGCTTTCAACCTCAGAACAGCAAGACGCACAAGAGTCAGTCATTGTTGGTCGATTTTGAATCATTTCCTCATGAATTAAGCAGGTTCTCAAAGCTTTTTATGTCTCACCTCGATGCTGAATTCCAGAAACAGTCATCACCATCTTTAAGATCACTTGTATCTAATCAGGTAGATCCTCTCCTCGCCTGACGTGCCGATCAATTTATACTGCTAAAGTTTCAAGGGGAGCAAGTATACGGCACGATCTGTGGGAATTGCCACAATAAGTCTGAGCGATCTACGGACTTCCTTGAACTTGAAATAAATATCGAGGTCATTAATACCATTCACATACTCACTCTGGTGGGCTCATGCAACCTTTGCTCAGAACAACGCTCGGCTGGAGGACCGTATCGCTGCTCTTCTACAGGACGAGAAACTCACTGGTGACAACAAGTTCGTGGAGATGTGGATTGTCTATTCGAACACGTCACTCACGCGTGCTTACCAGGTACCTGTGTTCGAAATGCGAGTCGCTCCAGGATGCCACACGGTATACTGAGTTGCGAAACCTTCCTCCTGTACTTCATTTCTCCCTCTTACGATTTGTTTACGACTTTGCCTCTATGGAGCGCAAGAAGTCTAAGCACAATCTTCTGTTCCCAACGACACTTGACATGGACCAATTTGTAGGTTCTGCTGCCGCCCGAAAAGCAGCGAGTAGCGACAAGAGTGCCAGAAAGGACATCTATGAGCTCAGAGGTGTTCTATTACACAAGGGACCGAGTGCATATCACGGCCACTATGAGGCTCAAGTTCTGGATACCGCGTGAGTGACCCGACAAGTGTTCGTGTGACGTATTGAAGATGGCATAGGTCGAATACATGGTTTCAGTTTGACGACGAAAATGTCACAAAGATCGATTCACTCGGAGAAAGGAGATACACTGGCCGCGATATAATTGACGTTCTAAATGGGAACCCCAAGAAGTATATATGGTCAAGTTATTGGAAAAAGTGAACTAATCGATTGCGGCAGGGGAAGTACTGGAAATTCCCGTGGACGTCCCGCAAAGAAAAGGCGGCGGATCGATGATAGCGACGATGACGTTATCGAGTAAGTTTACTGAGAGATTCACTGGCAAGGTCTTTTTGAACCATGATTGGTAGAATTTCATCACCACCCACGGAACCTAAGATCCCTGAGGCAAAACAGCACGATCTTGAGTACTGCATACCCTTGTCGCTGAAGTATCGCTGATTTCATCCTTTTTTTTTCAAAACGTCCAGGGATATCTTTTTATCAAAAGACGTCTACATGCTTATTTATGTTCGCAAGGATGTCCCATTCCCAGACAACGCCAACTGGCCAGTGACTATTGCTAGCCAAGGATCCGAGCATGGAGCCATGCCGATTGATGGTGGAAGTTTTTTCCCTCCCCCACGCGCTCAGGAGGTTGTAAATAGTCTGAATGCAGCCCATGACGTGGCCTGTGACGCATATGCAAAGAGGCAAGCCAGTTCGATATTTGAAATGATTTCTTATCATGTGTTTTAGGGAAAAAGAAGCAAAGGAACATTTTGATGAGTTGCTCAGGAAGATGAAAGACATCTATTCCTCTTGGAGCGTCAATTCTATGGATGAGGTGCTTGATTTCCTCCATTTTATGTGTTCACTTGTTTATGATTGCTCCTAGGACTCCGTTATCATAAGCCGTCATGCTCTCGAACGATGGTTGTCCAAACCTCTTGCAAAGCCAAAAACCAAACCTAGGGGCGGGGAGGAACCAGAGACCACACCCGAGATTTCGTCAACTTCAGACATCCTTTGCTACCACGACTCTCTGGATCCTCAAAGAGCTAACAATATGAAGCGTGTCTCCGCTGTAGGTCCATCAAGCAATCTCCTGCGTAGTAGTACTAAATCCGAATTTTAGAGCGCCTATAAGAGGCTCGCTGAGTTTAGCGAGTCTGAAATTTCTCCGGTATGCCAGGTGCATGACGTTTGTGAGACTTGTGTCAGGGAATCATTCATAGGCAAGTTCAAGTCTCATTTTTCCGTGATTTTACTTCATTGCCCAAATAGAAAAACTATATCAAGTCGAACATCCTCGACTGGTAGCACAGTTCGATGCAGTCTGTGATGAAACCCCCGATCAACCAGGCTACTGGATATCCAAGAATTGGCTCAAAGGTACTCATTGTCCTATGATAGTGTGCAGTAGATTACTGATTGCATTCACAGACTGGCGATTGCAGAAGCCCAAAATGCACACACCGCTGCAAGGAGATGCATCACCCGATGCCCCAGAGTATCTTGGTCACGTTGTGTGCGAACATGGTCAACTGTCGCTGGTGTCAACAGCACGAAAGAGCATATCCACTAAGGTAGTACTGCTCTATTTATCTCGTGGGCAGATAACATCGCTAAACATGGTCACAAGGCTGGTGACATAATTAAAGGCTTGTTCCCTCAATGGGTACCACGCTCAACTCAGGAAGAGCTCTGCGCTGTTTGTGAGGCAACCATAAATATGTCCAGGGAAGACAAGCGTGAGCTACGGAGGAAAGCTGAAGACGAGAAGGTGTGTTGAAAGTGGGCTTGACGAGCTCGGCGGCTCACACGGTCCAGGCACGGCTACGTCACATGCATGACAACGCCCTAACAGGAAACACTCTGCTCCTCGAGAATGTCCCGTGTGCTATCCTGCCTGCACACTTCGTGCGTTTGTGGAGAAAGTGGGTCACTCGGCCAACAGATGGACCTCGTCCCGAAGGTGTCAATAATTCACAATTCCTGTGTGAGCATGGGCACCTTCTTTTCGATCCTAATTGTCCAAACGATTGGGACACGTCTATTGCCGTTGTACAAATGACAGAGTGGATGCTGTTAGCAGATTTGTGTGTCGTACTTGGATCTCACGATATGTCTTTTTGATTATTCCGATTATAGGTATCCATGCAGCTCCCCCATCACACTGGAGAAGAAACTTGTCGAGAATCCACCGAACGTATTTGACACCAAGTTCGAGCACGATGTTCCCGTGTGTCGTGACTGCCGTTCAAAGAGGTGGGCACTCTTGACTATTTCAACTCCTGTTATTTCAATACAGATACCCCACGCAGGCGGTCTAACTATGATGTTGCTGAGATCACTGTTCGGCTGTTGAGTGGGAAAAACGCATCCAAGGATGTTGTGACGCAAGAGAACAAAAGCCATAAATCCGAGGAGAATGGTCAGCATCCTCAAATGACATATGGATCTAATAGGACCTTCGGTACGCGGCAGTCAAAGCGCATACGTGAATCCAAGGATGGCGTAGAAAAGAAACGGATCACTGTCTCCAAGTCGACCACGGTGAAGGACATCAAAGTGATGGTTAGTGCCTGTCTTGTGTGTTGATCGTTCCTTGACTTTCGTCACAGCTATATGAAGCGCTCAAGATCCCAACAATCTGTCAACGATTGTCTTACTGTGGCCAGGAACTTGATGATAATTCGGTCACTGTCGCAACTCTTGGACTTCTCATAAACGATGTCCTTGATCTTCGGGAAGAGGCAGAAGATGACGAGAATGCAATAACAGATGACGTCAATCGTGCAAAGAAAAGGCGCAAGGAAGAACGAGGTTTCGGTGGTACCCTCTTGGCTTCGTCACATCCAAATATCGTTGCAGATGTTACTGTAAGCTCTGAAGGGGAGCCGCAGTCTGACCATGAGTACCCCCAGATCTGATCTGAAGCTTTGAGGAATGCGATTTCTCGGTATCATATAGAAGTACAGATAATGCTTAATCGACCCTCTTTTACACTCTTGAGTCACGATAATGATTGAATGCCATGGTGGATTTCTATAGGTGTTGATGAAGCAAGTGAGATAAGCAGATAACCCAACGGGCACATAATGAGTCCTGAAGCCCTAAAGAAGATATGCAAAGAATCGTGGAACATCATGATAGTCGGCCAAAGTCTGACAAACTACCAGAAGACATAGCAGATGGATAATGAACGACACCAACACTAGATTGAGTGGTCATGGTTGCTGGATATGATGCGGCTGGAGGTAGTGTCCCGGCAGAGTGGGAGTGCAGAGAGTTCATGGGCATTGATCGTTGAGCGGAATCGAGCATCGCTGAAAATGGACTTACTGGAGCTCTAATCTGCTGTTGCAACAAGGAACTTGCCGTCATCAGGACGTCAACCTCGTTGGATAACGGTCCAGTGATTTCGACAGCCTGTGCAACGGCTGATTGCGTAGCAACCGACACTTCATTAACAGTCACTTGTGTAGCAGCATCAGGTGGGGGAGTGAAACCCGCGGAGATCTGATTCGCAACAGCAGCAGAGCGATCCGCAACTACTTGGCGTGCAGCCTGGAATACGACCTGTTGTGCTGCTGCTGCTAACACAGTAGTTGCCTGTGGGCCGATCTCCGACCGTTGTTGACCAGTCACTTCTTGGTCGAACGCTTGTGCGGTAATTGTCAACACATGCTGTTGCTTCGCGAGGGCCTGCAGCTCAGGGCCGGGCTCGCCTGGTGTCGCGGAAGAGATTATTTGAGACTGAGCTTCTTGAGCGACACGCTGAGCAGCTGACGTCAGCACTTGAATCACTTGCGCATCACGCGTGGCAACTGGTGATACCAGACCAGATGATGGCTGGGACCTCAACGGCCTGGAATGAAACACGTGAGAGTGGACGTCCTTGAATATGGACTGACACTGACCTGGGAGATGCCTGAGGAACTGAGGATTCACTTGTCACCCGACGTGGCTTATGCATCTCCCCATTCATAGAACCGCGACGCGAGGCAGAGAACGAGGTGTCAAGGTTCGAGACAGGCACAATATTAAGATGGAAGGTCTGCGTCAGCAGTTCTTCTTGCCCATCTTGAACATACTACGCCGCTAGCATTAGATAACAATGGACGTCCACACAGATGAAACGTACACGGGCTACAACCGTGATGTCACGGCTCTCTGCATCCGGGGGAGGCGTTCCTGACAGCACATCGTCTTCCCAAAATAGCCAGGATGGGAGGGACGGCGAAGTGTACGTAACTATCAAGTTCGATCGCGATGCCTGTGGATCCCATATACGAGGTGCCCAAGACCACCGAAGGCCAACGTAAGCAACACCAGGCGGCGAGCCAGCCACTTTCCGATGGAAAGGGCGAAAAGTCCAAGTGCCATCATGAGGGCTCTTCTTTGCATCTATGTTCCAAATATGATTACCCTTAGACTTGGTCTTTTTACCATCTTCGTTGAAGCGCGAGATATACGGTTGGTTCCACAGATAGTTGCGGATCTGCACGAAATCAAAGTTCAGTCAAGTTATCATCAGATGATCGATTTCATGGGCTAGCCTTCTTCATAGGAATTTTCTCTTCTGGGTAACCTTGTTTGGCCAGCTGCAGGGGCGTCAATATCTCATCGATCACCTCGTGTCTCCAAAGATTACCCACCTCTTCCAAAAATGCATTTGTGAAAGCCTGTATCCGGAATTTAAATGGTCGAAAATCAGGTGACTCATCTAGACGTTGCATTTTCTTTGCCATTAGTGTTTGATGTATCGGCTCTCCTTTTGCATCGGTGGCATCCACTACAGGAAAAAAGGTTATTAATAGTAGAAATCATTCGGAGGAAATACTCACAATTTGAACAGATACTGTTCAAGAACTCGAAGAAGATACGGTCAACTTCCGCGCGATACTCTTGCGGAACTTCATTGCTGTGCCCTTGCGTTGATGTCGGAGACAAATTCTCTGTAGATTGTCGTGTAACAAGAGAACCTGAACGAACGTCATGCCCCGTGACAGTACGAGATGAACTTGAATGATGAGAAATAGTCCTCAATCCTGAGGATTCAGGCGGGCTGTGTGAGACATCGGACTCGTCATGCTCTCCTTCAAGAGATGAAGTTGGACTATGCGACCCAAACGATTGTGCCGTAGGTGCTGAATTCAAAAAATCAAGGGCATTGGAGGGAGTTACCTCGGATATTCCGAACGCCAATGGATTTACATTGTTAGTCGTGAATGAGCCGGATCTAGAAACTCTGCCGATCGGCGGGGTAATGCCCGAGCCGGCATTCGTGAGAGAACGTGGCTGTGAAGATGATGAAGGGAATGCTCCGGTTGTTGAAAATGGGAGTGGTCCGAGAGACGAGCCATTGCTGGGTATCGAATGAAAATTGATGCCGGCGTTGAGGGAACTTCCCGAAAGTGAATGCTGATGGCTGCGATGAGGTAATGTGGTAGCACTGTCCGACCACGAGGTCCGGACGGTGGGGGGAGGGGGGAAATGAGTAGAATGAGGTATGGTTGTCGATAGCGGTGACGTTGAAATGAATTCCGTAGATGAGGGAGGCGGTGCTGAAGATACGGGTATCGAAAAGCCCATGGATGAGGTGGGCGGTTGATGTGAAATTAAACCATATCCTGAAATGGGAGGTTGACCGGCGGAGCTTGTTGGTCGGGAAGCTGAATCTGCAGGCGCATTTGCAGGAACATATGAAGCCGCAGATCGTATGTCAGTCATGGGGGCCGCAACAGCAGAAGAGAAAGGTTGTTGGCTAGACACTGGCGGAGGGATAATATGAAGTGGCGTGTCCTCTTGCGGCTCACGCTTTGGCGCCTTGATAACACGGTCGCCGGCCATTGATGAAGCACACCGTTTCCGAGACATGTCTGCAAGATCACCATTACTTTGACCATCCATAGTACCTAAGTCTGCTGCAGAGGAAAAGTGCATGCCCGACGCCAATTGCTCTTGCGTTAAAGAAACTGCGCTATGTGTCGATGGGGAAACGTTGGAATTTGCACCCAACAAAGAGAAGCGTCGAGGCGAAGGATGTCGTGATATGACTGGAGTATCCGCAATTTTTGTGGCAGCAATAAGCTCAGAGACCAGTGTAATAGTCTTCTTGAGCTCATCAATTCTGACGTTGGCCTCAAGACCCTGACCGCGAGAACATGCTGTACTTGCTGATTGCGCGGTGTGCGCAATACTGCGCATTTACCCAAACACAATTATTCTTGGTCTTGAAGCAGAAGATACGAGAACTTACGTTTTGAGTATGTCTCCGACGACCAGTAGGTGCGAGTCGCCGGGTGTCTCTGGCGAGCTATCGCGCCCAGTGAACAAATCAGGTACATCTGGGGGCGGGAAGATAAAACCTGGGTCTTGTGTCGGCTTTGATGAGCCATTGCTTAAAGGGGGAAACGCCAGCTCAGAAGCTGAACTACCCAAAGCCCCCGGAGACCCAGAAGAATCCAATGCCCCGGCATGCACAGATTGAATCATAGACTGTCCGTTGACCATGATGGACGAGGTATTCATGGTATATGCAGATGACACGCCATGAACGGCGGATGAAGGACCGCTGGAGCCCGAGGTCGGGCTTTGCGGGGAGTGAAGGGAAATATGACTATCCATTCGCGACATCGAGCCGTATGAGAAATTTCGACAAGGAAAATTAGAAATAAAGCCGGGCGCTGGTGCACGCGATGAGCTAGGCGTATCAAGTACATCCATTGAATGCACTCCAGTGGAAGGAGAGGTATCTGCAAGAGAGAGTTGGAGAGCGTTAGGGTCGCCCCGTCGTTGGAAGATGGAAATAGCGTCACGCGGAGTATGAGACATGGTATTTTGTATGAGAGGATCCTCAGGGCGTTGAGGAACGAGAGCTGGGTAACCCAAAGAAAGGGTATTGGAAGGCGATTGAAGGCAGCTAGTGTCCATCTGAACATTTGGGTCCCGCGTATCATGAGGGGACATCATTGATCAAGGAAATGTGCTTCGGAACCAGTGAGCAGCCGCTGACAGCAAAGTTCCTGGGAGATCCGTTATGGAAGACTATGGCAAAAGGTATAAAGAGTTGAAGATCAAGGCGTGATTTTCTACAGAAAGAGATGGTACGGCGACAAGAGCGTCCAGCAGAGGTTGAAAGCAACGGAAAACCTTTGAACAGAAAGATTGCGATTGTTGTCCCGAAATGCTATGGACTGCCCGAATTTTAAGCTACAGACTGTCAGTAAGATCCACGACGCGGGATAAGGTGAATGCAAGAAGCTTTTTATGAGGATGCAAGGACACAAAATAAAAGCGCGGCTTTATCGAAATAGTAGCAGACACAAGAAAGTGAAAGAACATGCAGATTGCATGCAACAAGTTAATGTCACGATTAAATTGTCACAGGCACAATTTCATTATAATTATACCAAAATAATGTAATGGGTATCTCTACTTCAGGTTAGTTCGAAATCATAAAAATTACGAAACCAATCGTACTGAAGCCAGTCTAGCGGATCTTCCGAGACTCCGAGTATTGCCGTCACGTTAATAGCATTCAACTGTATGCTGCGGCCTGTCCTAAAGTCTCGAACCTTCGACTTATATGTACATACATACCACAATCGTCTCAAAGTTCGGCGCCTCACTGGATCCACGATGCAACCCATCATGGTTCGTATCCCCGGTTGCAAACCCTTTCCAAGAGTAATACACTATCAAACACCTTGCTGAATTAATATCGTCTGCGGCTGGGCGATCGAGAGCGATCACGATCTCTCCGACGATCACTGGAAGAACCATCAGTTAAACGTTATCATTGAGGCCGTCAACAAACTCACTCATATCTCGATGCATGTCTATCATACCCTCGTTCGCGTTCACGATCATCACGTGATGGCCGATGATCGCCACCTCGGTCTCCGCCGGGCTTGCCTGCACCCCCGGTTGCACCGGAAGGAGGTGCAGAAGACGGAGGTGGCATTTTGCGCTTTTCACGCTCTTCTTTAAACTTGCCTAGCATGTTTCGCAACTCGTGGTAACCCAAATGCATCTATCGATACGTGGGAATCCATTCTTCAGAACAAATATGAAAAAACAACATACCTTGCCTCCAAAGTGGTCCGCAAGGCGCCGGTCGGAATCGAGCACAGAAAGGTATGCACCGCAAACGTCACACACCCGAAGTTTCTGATGGCCGGAGGCTCCAGACGTATCCGTGAGTTGTTGAAGCTCGCGCTAGATCCAACGCTAGAATGAGATCTTGTTCCCATGGTAGAAATCAATCGAGGGCGCAACATACCTCCTTTTCTGATTTCTCGCTTTTCAACGCTTCAATGGCGGCCATCTCCCTCATTGACTCATCGACCTTTCCTTGTTCACCTGGGGAATGTAAGAAAATTGGTAAACTTCCAAAGGGAAAGACACATACCAAGGGTCTCGATCTTCTCAGTCCCACCCTGAATAGCCAACTCGATCTCAGCGATTTCTCGCATCAAATTGGTTGTCTTCGCGTTCTCCTCTGGTGTCTTCTCCAACCTTCGGTGCGCAGCCCGAATCCTTCTGTCGCACTCATCCACAAAAGCAAATATGTTCGACTCATACTCCATTTGGAAACGAGAAAATATAGGGTCACTTGGGGTTGCCTCTCTAGCTGCCAGAAACTCTGTCTTCAATCGCTCCGTGTGTGATTTTGGGCATGCTCCAAGATCCATTTTCTAAGTTGAGAAGTTCCATTGAAGCACTCGAAAAAAGCAGCGAATTAACATACAGTGTTTGTGAAAAGCGCATGAGGGCATGTCCCGCACAGAAAGTTCCGGCAAACTTTATCATCAGACCAGACGAGGTTGGCATTGGCAACTCCCATTGCCTCAGGGCCCATCATTTGCTAGACACGTAAATTAAAGATAATGCTTCGGCAGCAAGATGAATGATATACCTCGAGGAGCTTCCTCTGCATCTCCGCTAGTCGACCCATTATGTCAGTGCTTTGGAGTTAGAGATTGATAGCTATAGGTGTAATGAAAGGACCAATGTGGTCAAAGTTGAAACACCGGCAAGCTTGTTTGGCTGTCTTTGTCAACAGCTTTGAAATCAAACAAGAGCAAACAGTTATTAATGACTCAACCAAGGCCGAGGCCATCAAAGAATACAACGATTTAATTTACATACAAGCATGGTGTATGCGCAGAGTAAATATTACACAAGTTTGCGATATGAACATTAGCTCGCGATCATGATGTCAGCTATAATAAGACCATCGAATGATGTAATTGATACTTATGGATGCATGGTGAGGCTTGATGCGAAGGAGAGGTATGTGTCAAGGAATGAAAGAATGAAATGGAAGAATCATGAGACATACTGATGCCGGGAAGCACGCGGAACAGAGATATGCGATCACTGAATAGCGATCTAGTTTCCACGTCCACGACCCCGACCACGACCCCGTCCGCGACCCTGCCCACGTCCGCCATCAGGACCCCGCGAATGGATTTTGCCAGGTTCTGAGGAGCCAGGCGGGGAGCCGGTGTGGGGTAATTTGGCAGATTGAGTATTAGGACGAGTTTGGTCGACGTTTGGTTTTTTGGCGCGAGTCTGCTGACGGCTCTTGGCAGAGCCATCCCGCGCAAACGGCGAAAGGGGAGAAGGCGAATCATGTCTCGTATCCTTTGGACTCGAGACCTTTGGTGTTGGTGGCGGTGTGAATCCTCCGAACGTCATCAGAAGGTTCTGGATCTCGGAAAACTTGTCACTATCTCGGGGAAGTTTCTTGAACAGTGGCTGATTGGTCTGTCCAGACGTCACCTGCGTCCACGCATTTCCGATATCTTGGGTGGAAGCCAGACCCTTCTCAAGGATCAGCCATACAACCTCGGGCTTGCCAGATTCCAAAGCTAGAGAAAGAAGCGACACTGGTGGTGAGAGGCTATAAATCGCGCTATGGTCGTCGTCTTGCTTCGGATCATATGACTGGAAGAAATGGTTTATGATTGGGATGCAACCCTGCTGAAGCGCCAAGTGGAAGGCCGACAGCCCTGCAGCGTTACGCTCTTCCGGATCTGCACCTAGAACGTAAAACATGGAGTTAGATTACTCGTGACAGCGGTAATTAAAACAGCGTGACTGACTGTGGGCGTCTAGCCACTCCACGAGGTCAACATCACCTTGCTGTGCAGCGATATGCAACAATGTTTCCTTCGGATCTTCAGGTGGCCTCTTAACGTATGTTTCACAACCAAGCTTGATTTCGCCTGCAGCGGCATCGACATTTTCTTCCCAGACTGCCTTCCTGACTTTGACGGCGTCTCCCTCACGTGCAGCCGAAAAAGCTTCTGATCTTGTGGTCTGGACACGCCGTTGCTGAGCCTCAGCAGTCTCAGCCGCTCTTTTACGAGCGGCTACAGATTCTGCCTTTTTGGACGCTACTTTAGCTTGTTGCCTCTCAGCTGCCTCTTTACGTTCTAGAAAGGGGTTATTTATAATTGTAATGACTAAAGACGAATCACATACCCTTCTCGCGTTGCCGTGCTTCAAAAGCTTTGCGCTCAGCTGTCTTTTCAGCACGCCTTTTTTCAGCCTCGACTTGCTCTGCGCGATTCCGTTCGATTCGAGCCCTATATTGCTCAGGGGTCTCGGGGGAGAGAGATCGACGACGATAATTACGGTGAGGGTCGGCTACACCAGGCGTTCTATTGCCATCGAACAACAAATGGGGAAATAAATCACTTACGCCGTTTAAAACGCATACGTCCCCCATTCAAAAATTGGGAGAAAAGAAACCTGTGAAGAATGCATCAGGATTGTACCTAGTATGTAAGCGACTGTAATAACGCACATGAAAAATGCAACACGGTCTGCTTCGTTCTCAGAGTTGTAGAGATCGTCCTCGTAGTCCTCGTAGTCGTCATATTCGTCATATTCGTCGTCATCGTCGTCCATGCCATGATGGTACATCCGTCTGGGGCCAGTAGGCGGATTCAGGTGCCTTTGGAGGACAGTGTATGCATCACCAACTGCCTGAAACTGTGCAGTAGCATCGGCGTTATTAGGATTTTTATCTGGATGAGTGCGCAGCGCATGCTGAAAATTATATTATTGGAGTAGCCGCCAAAGTACTTTGGCCGGATAACTCACCTGCCTATAAGCAGATTTGACCTCCTCGAGAGTGGCACCCTGAACATGGTTTTTGATTAAATGCGCTTCTACAACAATAAGAATCTTATACCTCTTGAAGACCGAGAATGGAGTATGCCTCAGCAACGGACGAGTGCTTGACCATGGCACCACGGTGGAAAAGGATAACGAGAAAAGCAGGCAATGAAGGTCGCGCTAACAAACGCGCTCCAAATTGGGAATCGCTCCAATTTTTTTTTGCCTAGTTCAAGCTTAGTTCGTCTAACTTCAAAGAAGCACCTTTCTATTCAGTTTGCCTTAGGGAGACTAGCTTGGGCAATTTGCCTATCTAAAGTGTACAGCATTCTCTGGTTTCGACTGATACTGGCCCATCATGGCTATTCACAATGCTTCTGGAACACCTTCCCTGGACGGCCAGGTTGCCAATGCACCAGGCTTGACAAGTACTGCCAGTACTGGTTCCGCAATACCCCAAGATGCAGGGACAGCCTCATCCTCTATCATTAGCAGCCTTATAGGTGATAAGTACGTTCTCCGTAATATCTCTAGCGACCTGCGAGATACTGAGGGCTATTTGAAAGTATAGCCCCTACTTCCAAGCTGGTTTCGGTCTTATGGTCCGTATTACATTTCCAGAATTTCTTTGTTCACACTTGACACGTGAACCAGGGTGTCGGCGTCGGTTTAACTGTACTTCGCCAAGGTCTGGTCTTTGGTACTACCGCACTTCGCCGACGTCTTCTCGTATCATTAGAGGTGAACAACAAAGACCGCGCATATGAGTGGTTTCTCGCATGGCTTGCACACAATGCACAATCAGCTGCTCCAACTTCTCGAAGAACCGAGTCTTGGTTACGCAGCCATCAACTAAGTGTTGAAACTGCGGTTGAACAACGCAGTAATGGGAGTTCTTCTGTTCTATTCAGGCTGGTCGCAGGTCCAGGAACGCATTGGTTCAAGTATGGCGGAGCTTGGATGCAGGTCAGTCGCATCATGTGTCACACGGAACATATTTTCATAACATTACTATGACAATACGATCAAGATGAAAAGAGAACGTGAGACGCGCTCGATGCAACTCATGTCGGGCACGCCATGGGAAACTGTGACAGTAACAACACTCTCCAGAGATCGCCATCTTTTCTCGAAGCTCCTCGCAGAAGCACGCGACCTTGCTCTCCGCGGTCAAGAAGGAAAACTAGTGATCAGAACCGCATGGGGGATCGAATGGAAGCCATTTGGTCAACCTCGGCGAAAGCGTCCACTACATAGTGTCGTGCTGGATACTGGTGTAAGTGAAAAGGTTGAACAGGATGTCAACGCGTTTCTGCAACGACGCCAATGGTATGCGGACCGGGGCATTCCATATCGAAGGGGATATCTTTTGCACGGCCCTCCTGGTTCAGGCAAGACTTCCTATATTCAGGCTTTGGCAGGATCGTTATCATATGACATATGCCTACTCAATTTGTCGGAACGAGGACTCGGCGACGATAAACTCAATCACCTGTTATCGAATGCCCCGGAGCGTAGCATTATACTCATCGAAGACGTGGATGCCGCATTTAACAAACGCATGCAAACAAGCGAGGATGGGTGAGTTGATGAGTCTGATGCCTCGGAACGCACGGCTAACATCACATGCTATAGATATCAGTCCTCTGTCACATTCTCTGGCTTCTTGAACGCTTTGGATGGTGTTGCCTCGGGAGAAGAGCGGATTATCTTCATGACGACAAATCACTTTGGAAATTTGGATCCTGCACTCATCAGACCGGGGCGTGTTGATCTAAGCGTGCTTGTTGATAATGCGTCACCCGTACAGGCACGCACGCTCTTTACACGTTTCTACGGCGGCAGTGAGTCTATCCGACCGGAGCTTATAGAACGCATGGGGCAGCATGTAGAAGAATTCACTGTGAAAGAGATGTCCAATGGGAGGGAGATTAGCATGGCTGCCCTCCAAGGCTTGTTCATCCGGAACAATGCTCAGGATGCGGTCAAGACCCTCCCCGAGCTATTCGTAGACAGACGGACATGAGTAGACGTAGGTACTTGTATGGTATCCTTTCACAAAGATCCGGTGTTCGTGAAACACTGCGAGAAATTCCACTAGAAGATTGGCTTACGCCTGCGGCCGGTGAATTTTGAATCTCTTGGCACTCCTTCTTTTCCTCGTTGGCGATACAGCTAATGATGTCACTGAGCAAACAGGCATGGTCGGTTTCCATCTGGCTTACCTCTTTTTTCTTCAGGATCCAATCCTTGTCTTTCATATTCTTTCTTTTCCCACTTACATCCCTCTTCCTTTCCTTTTCCCTTCTTCTCTCAAATCTTACTTGCTCGTCATCTTCACCCTCTATGCCCTTAGGCATTTGCTGCTGTGTGCCTCCTCCGCCAACAAACAAGCAGAGGAACACCTTCCTTGCTTTCTTGGAATTTGGGTAATCTACAACGACACCTCCTCCAAAGCCAGCCTTCTGCGCTATCGAGGTAATCAGTTGTATCTGGTCGTCGGAAGTCGGGTAAAATTGAAAGACTGCTCGAGAGGGATTTCGAAGAGCAGAGTGTAGAGTCGTGAAGAAACGAGTAAGACGGTGTGGGGGTGAAGACGTTGGATGCGATGTTTCAGCGTTCAAAAGCCATTGCAAGACAGATATACTAGTAGACTATAAGATAACATCACGAAAAGAAAGTCTAGTCACGGACCTTATCGCTCCATCGAAGCTTCCTGGTCGGAAACCAAATCCCTGACCTATGTCTTGCAAGAAAAGGTCGCCGTCAATATCCCTCTCTAGTGCAACCTCTGATTATGATCAGCCACGTGTAGTTCTTACTATGCTAAAACCTTGGAGCTCACCGAGCATACTTGGCGCGATATCTACGCCTGCCCAGATGTGTCCTTCTTCCTCCAAAATCTCACCTGAAAGCCCCGATCCGCATCCTATATCTAACAGAAAAGCAGGTTCATCTGAAGTAAGATTTAGCAACTCAAGAGCACGGTATGTCATATCCGCCTGGATCTGTTGATTACGGGTGCTTGTATGACACTGAGAAGAGCAAGGGGATGTACATGCGAATAAGCATACTTTTGAGTGTATTTTTTGGCTTCAACATCGCCATAATACTATAGATGTCCAAAAATCAGTCTCACATCGCCTGTGAGTCGACGAAAATAAAATATACAATTTCTGGTGGGGCCTGGTGCTCTGGCCGTGACATATTTTTTGAGTAGCTTTGATGATAGCAGCCTGTAAGGGTCCTAAGGGACTGGTTTTGCGGGTTGGCTCTATCATCCCGGACCTTTTATGCCTTTTTTGTTTCTTGTCATCTGCTTGCTAGAGGTCTATTCGAATTTCCATCCTTCTTTGCTCAGTTATCAATTTGCAGTTTTGTTTCCTTGCCGCATGGCGGCTACTGGTTCTTCATCGTCTCATTCTGTTGGCGATGCTTTGGCTCGTCCCGTCGCTCTGGTGGTTTCAGATTAAGAACTTCCTGAGGATGGAAGCCCCGTTGTGTCGACGTGTGTATCTTGGGGTCACTCGAGTTCATTTGTATTTTGTGAACCAGTTTCCGTTGGGTGATCTTTTGCCAGCCACTGTCTCTAGTCTTGGTCGCATCATTAATCATTTCTAGACCTTTACCTAGGAACGATACTTCGAAATTGCGCGTGCTCATTCTGTCCGTGTCGCACCGGTGGCCCGGGATCCTCGTGTGTGTGCAGGACTTGTTGTGTGTACATGTCTGTGGTCATTATTGTGCACCTAATATCATTGTTTTAAAGCACCTGAGGGTTTCCGGGTGTGATTTTTCTTGCCTGTTCCTTTTGCAATTGATCATCGCACTCAGCTGGCCAAGCATTCTCATACTGATGGGATTGAATGCTTGTAGATGCGGACTCGTGAAATGTCATCCGCGCTCTCCTGATTCTGTTGTTCACGAAGACCAAAGTTTCCGACCATCCGAACTTTTGAAGAGAAGCTGGAAATTATCAAGGGATCCAAGTGTTCGACGCAGAGGAGCATGTGCCATTTGTGCCTATAATGTGTGTGCCAGCGAACTCAAGTGTGTGGATCTACAGAAGTCTCCTTTGCATTTGCCGCGCGATGAATCGATGATTGCTTGCCAGAGCATACCTTACCTCCTAGTTATGATCTTGAATTGCTATTCTATATCCAGGACAGTACGCAAATCAGAATGCTACAGCAGCGCAATCTCCAAAGTATTCAAACTCGAGAAAGGAGAAAAAAGATGTTATTATGAGTCATTGGACCTGCGCAATCGCGCCCATGAACGTTTGAATAGTTTGATTCATTGAGCAGCGGTGCACTGAGCACAATGACCAATTTCAAAAGGATAGACATATACTTGCATAAAACAAATCTTGACACAGCGGTCAGTCGTCGAGATGATGTCATCCTTGGTAACATACTGTAATGGACATTTTATATCTGCCGACTGCAGCGAGTCTTGAGTGCAACGAGCGCACAGGTACGGTGCTATTCATCATCTCACCACATAGGAGGTGAAGTCGAACACCTGTATCATCATAGTTCCGATATGTTCATCTGCGTACTTGTGTGGGTTTGCCAGCGTTACAAAGATGGTGTTCTCTGATCAGCGAAGTCGTCCCCTTGATTTTTGGGCCACTGCAGGTGCCGATTTATATGTGGCGAGAAGAATTAGCTTTTCTAAATCACTTTATGAAATTCAAACATCGAATCCTCGCATCAGGTGGTCGATAACGGAGTCCTTTGCATATCGGGTTATGAATACCGGGTGAATATTCACTTGTTCCAGGGATTTCAATGAGGTGAAGGTGCGTGCAGGGATGCTAGCGCAGAGGGAGGTAGATTTTATGACGATAATCGGCTCCTTAAGTTGGACTACTGCCCAGGCCTGGGTCGCGCTGAGCACCAGTGCTTAGCTCACCACCAATCAATATCCTTGATTTACGGTTGAGATTCAAGTACGGCTACTGCCCGTACCGTGCCATATGTCATAGTGTCCTCGATACCCTCGACGGTACAGTACGGGTCACTGTACGATCATACAGGTGATACAAAAATTACAGTAGCTAGTGTGTAGTATCAGTGATGGCAAACGCCGAAGGGAAGTAGTATCACGAACATTGAGGCAGCGGACGCAAGGTCACAAAATGAAACAATTATTTACTAGCAGCACACAAATAGCACAAGTGGAGCAATTTGTATTTCGGGATTGCAAGAGCGCTGCCAAGAGACGGATTCAGAAATGGTTCAAATCAATAGTTCATGCGGGAGGACTCGCATATCATGAACCATGATGCCCCTAGCACAATAGAATTCCAGTACCGGCAGGTTATGAAATAGTCACAATCAATTGAACACGCTCCTGCAGGCCCAGGTTCTACCGGAATTTCTGCCATACGACAGCAATAACAATTCTGCCAAATCGATCAGAATCGTGCCCATGAGTATATGCAGGATATAAAAGCTCGTCGTCATCCATCAGTGTTTCCTCATCCTCAGAGATATCAATCAAGATCCCCTTCAGAATATTCCATATCACCTTGCACAGAAAATGTGTTTCTCTTTCCTCGCCGTCATCAGTGTTGGTTTGGCAGCATCTATGTCTGTCAGTGCATGTACGGGCCAATCACAAATTTGCTTAACATCTCGCGATTGCTGCGGTGGTTTGACTTGTGCTTATGATGTAGTGAGTATGAGCAGGTCGTTGTGCAACCAGGATTCAACTACATGACTCACCTGCCCGCCTTAGTATGGCCCGGGATCCACCAAAGGATTGACCTGCATGTACGTTGGCAATAAAGAAACCAAAACCGGACAAACACCGGAGTGATTCTTTTCATCAAATAAGTGTTGGATGAAGTGCAAGGGACACGGACATGGTTGACGAGGAAGAGAAACTTGGAAGAGCGTTGGCACCTTGATAGTGGTTTCGTCAACAAGAAGTTGCAGGTGGCAAAGCTACCGGTGGAACATTTTTTCTTTTATGTAAAAGAAAAGAAAAAAATAAAGAAGGTGAAAGTAAAAACGGGAAAAGATCATAATACATCACTCCTTGCCAGGTAGATTGAGTCAACTCAAAGTCACTGAATGTGCGCTATCCGGAGGAGATTGTCATCTTGATACGACAAGCACCTATGCAAATGGGCATACATCTTCTTATGAACGGTATCTTGTACCTGGCCCTCCTCATTTTTGACGAACTCTCATGTCGATGTGCGGCAGATCGCTAGCGCAGTCAGGCAGCGAGCCTGACCTCTTCAAAACGCTATCCTTGGCCATGTCGCCGAACGCCTTTATTTTGCCCTCCGTCTGGCCTCCGACTGTGACCTCTGGAATCGTGCTAAAGTCGCCCTCTTTGGCTCGCAGCGCAGCTAATGCTTCGATCAGCCACACTAGGCAATTCCACTGTGCATCATTCTGCACGAGTGGGACTTGCGCAAGGATATCATTTATGCGCTCTGCCTGCGTGACCAACGGTTCGTGTGCAGGCAGCTTTGCGATGAGTACCCTTCCTATGACCATACCTTCTCGAAGACCATTGGCAGCTTTATTTTCGTACCGCCATTCTGGCATGCCGTTGAGATTGAATTTGACGCCTGATTGGATTGTGTTGACGGTGTGGTATATGTGGCAGTCATGGATGGACGTATTGCGAGTTTCTTGCTTGGGTGAGAGCACGAGAGCGAAGTGAAATCCTGGCTTTGAGTTGCGATGGTGGAGTGCGATGTATAGACGGTGCTTGTTGCGAGGCATGGATCTATGAAAAGAAATATTATGATGGAAAAGAGTAGTCTAAGTAGTTCCTTACCAGCTTCAAGGCGAGATTCTACTATGTGGTACATGTCACTTGAATACTAACATGGTGCATTGGGAATTGACGCGCACGCGTGGGAGTACGTTCAGAGCCGCAAGTTATTGCGTCGTTGAAAGGGAGAATGGGCGCGATTGCGCAGGTCCAATGACTCGTATTGACATATTATTTTCACATTTCTCGAGCTTGAATACTTTGGAGACTGCGCTGGTGTTTTGCGTACTGTCGTGGATATGGAATAGCAATTCAGGATTATAGCTAGAAGGTAATGTATCGCACGTTGAGACAGCGGGGCTTCCATCATCAAAAAGTTTTTGATCTGAAACCACCAGAGCGACAAGATCCGGAGCCAAAGCATCGCCAACAAAATGGAATGATGCAAGGAAAACACAAAGTGTCTGCAGCGTCGCCATTTGAACAGTATATAGATGTCCAAAAATAAGTCTCACATGATGAGTCGACGAAAATAAAATCTACAATTTCTGGCGGGGTCTGGTGCTCTGGCCGTGACATATTTTTCAAGCAGCTTTGATGATGATGGCAGGTTTGTTAGAATCGACAAGCACGTGGATTCCATATTCAGTAATGGAATCATGGAATTTAGAGGTACAGGAGGTACCGCCGTCATGGTTCTATGGATGAGGCGAGCATCGTCACAGTATGAATATAGTGCACCAAGCCGAAGCCGAAACCGCAAGCGCATGTAGACTCTGGAGCCTAGGATCATCCTACTCGTCCCCATCCTGGACACTCGCATCTTCATCTTCATTTTCATCTTCTTTGCCTTCTTCCTCGTCCGTGACCTTTACTTCATGTTCTTTAAATTGCTCAGCCCCATGTCTCTGCACACGTCGAGGTCTCCTGTTGGCCTCCACAACAGTGACCTTTATCCAGAGTTGAGCGACGTAGCACGCCACACCGCCAAAGGCAAGCGCAAACCACATCCATCGCATGCGACGGAACCGAAGGTCTGCTTCATCCATTCGGCTCTCCTCGGCTTTGGGAGGGTTGGTCAGGGGTCGTGGTATTAACGACAGCAACGACTGTTTTTGCGCAGGAGCAACAAGATACTGCCGCGGTATTTGTGAGACTTCTGTCTGCACATTGCGTGCGTGCTCTGTGAGCGTCGGGTATGAGTCTTCTAGAATACATCGCATTAAATGGTCCGGGAATGGCGGATCAAGTAACAGGAGAATGTGCGAGGCTAGGCAAACATCAAGAGTCGTGGGCCTAATAACTAGCTCAGACAACACAAAAGGAAAAAAAAACGCTAATATTGCTCACCGTTCCCCAAAGAAAAACTTCTGTCCATTCAGTAACTTCGCATAAAGAGCAAATGATGCCTTCGCTAGCGCAGATACCTGCAATGTAGTAGACGTCGGGTCTATCTAAGCAAATAAAGGGTATCTCACTTTGTCCCGTTCAAAAGCGCGCGCATAGTTGTCTTTAGGGTCGTCTTTCTTTTGTCGTTTCCCGAATGAGTCCTTCTCTGATTCAGAGGCTGTTTGTGTCCACAAACCTGCAGCCTCTAAGCGTGGTCGATACATTTCACGTATCCGGCCAGGTACATAGTAGCGCTGCGGAATGGGAAGCATAGATGCCATGATGGGATTTGTAAGTTTCCAGAAGTTGTCGTCCACAGAATAGAACGAATATGCCTATGGGAATATCAACCATTGAACGGCCTACAAATGGTATGTATATACTCACCACGAGGTCCCCAATATTCGCCTCAACATGCGAGCACCAAGCAGTTCGCTTTGCTCTTTGTAGTGCACTTAGAGACGCGTCGAGATCCCTTGCACCTGATGAAGTAGACTTTGCCAGCGAAGAAACGAAGGAAATGATGGCTGGGACGGATGACACTGTGGCATGGCCATGTGTGAGGAAGGGAAGCCTTCCTGCGGAATAACCCTATGAGATGGAAGCCCAAGCGACGAGATATATAAACGTACCACTAGGGGACACGTCGGGGTTAGTACATTCTACAACTTCGAATTTCCCTGGAATAGTCAGTTGCAGGTAGAAAACCGCTGCAATACATGTGGGGTCAATAGATGGTAGATTCCATCTAGAAGGCCAAATGTGCAGCGTGCATAACACTGAGGTTGGCTGTGTAGCTGCTGTAGACATCATATCTCCGAGAAAGCAGAAGAGGTGCTGTTTAATTGAACGCCGTTATTTGGCGACGGCTTTAGAATTCAACATGTACATACAAATCCAAATACTCTCGCTTTGCCATTGTCTGTCATTGTGCCATCAAAGTAGCCCTTGCTGTGAACACAGGTCGTTGCAGTAACCCTTCCTCTGTCGTTCAGCAATTCACAATGAAACGCCCTCCGTACTATATTTCCATGAGGCTGTAGTAAGTGATGATATTCCAGATTCATGGTCAACTATTTTACAATTTTTGCAGACACCCTAATGATCATATTCTTCAAGAGATGGTTCTGAAGATACCAGACAGCACGTCGAAACAAACAACAGAACAAAATAATGTGCACTCTCTAAATCATATCTTCCTGGCCCTCATCGCCCGGCTCCGTTGAATTTCCTACCGTGCTGTCCGACTCTTGAGACGCACTGGATGGGCCTTGCATAAACCTTGGATCGAGTGGAGGATTAACTTGAAAATCGAGCAGCATTTCCCCTGCAAATTTGTTGGGCCGAACTCGGCCCCCGACGCTCACGGTCCTGACACTGAGTGCAGGCCTCATTCGACCTTGTTCTGGATATAAGGTATTCTGTGGTTCTGCATTCTACATGATGAATGAATACGTGAGTTGGATGGTATGATGAAACAGCTATACTCACGAGTCGCTCATACCGTTCAGCCTTTTTCGAGTTGGAAGCACTTGGGCTTGGGGTAATCGGCGCGTTCACCAATTGTGCAACGGGTGCGCTGGCGACCCGTCGCTTCACAGGAAGATTTTTTGGCACATGCAATTCAGTGGGCATTATTCCTTGCGCCATCAGCCACTCTAAAATTGTTGTTATTAGGATGAATTTTCACAAGGGATTCAAAACTCACCGGGAGACCTGTACCGGAACAGAAAGGTAACGTGTGACCTGTTACTGCCCTGGTCGGACGCCTTCACCTTCCACGTTATGGGCGACTGCTTGTACGTGTCCATCTCCTGGCCGTACCTTTGAAAATCGTCAGACACGGAAACACCAACAAGCCCTGCTTATGCGCACCCAATACAATGATCGCCTAGTTGACCTTGCGAGTTCAAATCTGGAACATTCTGCGGTGGATTTGCTGCCTTCGACCCATCCAGCGTGACAAGTCGAATCTTGAGCATGATAGAGCCAGCGTCCTTCATGCTTTGCTCACTTGCACCTGTTAAACTTGAGCCTTCATGCCAATGTATTCATTGTTTGTCATGACTCACCCGAGCTTGGCCTCTGTGCAAACATGAAGGGCCTTTCTGTATGCGGACCTGACCTTACCCCATTCCTCCAAGTCTCCCCTTCGCCAAACAAGAACCGACCAGGAACTACGAATCCGTCAAGTGTAATAAACGCGCATGAATGCATTTTTGTCCCTTCGTCTCTCCAGTATACTGTAAAAGTCTGGTGGCATCGGTGAGGCACGTCGTGATTAGATGAACGAATCGAGTTACCTTTCCCACCTCACTTGGGATCCAACACGAGATTGTCTTTGGGTTTTCGCCAACAACAGCAGCAAGATACTCGGGGATCGGTTTGCCCTCAGAGATTATACAAGCCGAGAATCCACGATGTGTAAGCATGTTGAGTGATGTTGACTGTGCTCGAGGACAGGGATGATAAGGACTGTAATAAGTACCAGAAATAAAGGTTGTATCGCGTCGTGTTGAGAGCCTCAAAGTAGAGGTGGACTGTTTATAACTAGATTGGCACTGGTAGCTTTAGCTTAGCTTACACACAAACTAAGCTACAGAAATAAAGCTGTTGCCCTGTCCAAAGCGCGAAAGGTCAAGTCGCAGAAGGCCTAAGCAAGGTTGGTTTTTAAATTAAGCACATGTGGCAAAGAAAATTAAAATGTGCACCCACAAGTATGCTCGATTAGGAAATAGCACTTAGTCGGGTCCATGGCATTGTTAACACTTAGCCTCTACCGTCCACAACTCTGTGCATTGTCCACAATTGGCCTACGACTAGCTCCACTACCATCTCGCCAAATTCACGCGTCTTTCTTGACCCGCCAAATAATGCGACCCAAAAATAAAACTGCAGTAAAGCGTAAAGCGGCATCCGAGTCACAATCGGATGATGAAGCCACACAGTCTGCTTCAAAAAAGGCCAAAGTATCGACAGACTCGCCAGGGTCTGCCGTTGCCAGCAATGGCCAGCCTACTAATAAAGTACTGCCTGTCAACATCAGTTTTCCTCCCCGGATATCAGGCACTGTTCGCTTGTCAACGTGGAATATATGTTCGCTTGCATCGGCTTCCAAGAAGGTGAGCGCGACGAATTTATATTGTACTGACTTTCTAATCATCTCGGTGTTGTATCTCATCAGGGATTCAAATTCTATGTCGAGGCGGAGGATCCAGACGTGCTCGTGCTAACAGAGACCAAGGTACATACCATGTTCTAGTCCCAGTCTTGCTAATACTCTCATATTAGGTGAACGAAGTTCCTGCAGACCCTTTTCTGACGTCGCGATTCCCTCATTGTACCTGGGCTATATCTTCCAAGAAGACTTACTGTAAATGACCTTCATTAGCTCCCCGCTTCTCTAATTTCGACCCGACGCAGCAGGAACAGCCGTGCTTTCCAAGCATAAGCCTCTATCTGTAGACACAAAACTTCCGGGACATCCAGACCCAAATAGCGTCAAGGGTCGTATCGTTACGGTGGAATTTCCTGGTTGTTATATTGTAGCTACATATGTGACGAACGCTGGTCAGGGGCTCAAGGTCAGATCATGAGATATATGATGTGCACACTTATTCACCTATCCCAGACACTGAAGGAGAAGAACACATGGAATGAACACTTCACCACGTATATCCGGGATCTAGACAAGAAGAAACCTGTCATATGGATGGGTGACCTCAACGTCGCGCCAACCGCAATAGGTGCGCAATTCACACCGTCTGCGGTTTTGGTCCAGTGTATCTTACATTTTTATATTCAGACTTGGCAAATGCAAAGTCAAATTGGAATAAGACACCTGGATACACAAAAGATGAAACGGAAGCGTTTCAAAATATTCTCAATCCTCCTGAATCTGCTGCTGGAGTTGGCAAATTTGTTGATGTCTGGAGGCAGAATCATCCAGAAGTCAAACACTACACATATTTCTCGTACCGTTTTAATTGTCGGACCAAAGGCCTTGGTTGGAGATTGGATATGTGTAAGTTGTCAATCTCTGTTAGCTGGCTTATCCTAAATCAACCTCCATCTGCGTAGTTGTGGTGAGCGAGCGACTACTGGAAAAGGTCAAGATGTGCGAGATTAGAAGTGAGATCTACGGTGCATCAGACCATGTGCCAGTGGTGATGGAAATAGAGAGCGATATCATTACGGGAAGCTAAATTTTGTAGCACTCGCCATATGCGAATATCCATTATGTTGCGCACGTCACGGTTTCCTAGTGAAATACATAAAACATGAGGGTGGTGGTATGGACAAGTCAAGAATCCGGATATCATTCATATTCTCCGAATCGTACATGACCCGTCTCCTGGGCGTGCATTCTTGCATCCTTCTCACCCTTCAATCCCTTGCCACAGTCCTGTGCGGGTCATCAATCATTCATTGTGCAGATCATTCGATGAAATTGCCTGCTTACTTCACATTTGATATCAAATGTTGCAGTGTTGGTATACGCTTTCTTTCCCCGTAGGATAGTAGCTAATTCTTTAGCGGCCGACAAAATTGGATCGTCGTCGTCCGCGGAAATCTAATATCAAGAGTAAACAACTTTAGAATAGCATGCACGATACTGAAGCACTCACGATTGGAAAGACAGTTTGATGCCATTCAGGCGGAGCATCAGCCATAGGCGCCAGTGAGGCGGCATCATAATGAATACCGGAATAGATCACGATGCAACTGCGTACCAACGTGTTAGAAGTGCGTCTAAACGAAGGTCACACAAGGTGCCTACCGGTTGCCTGTGCTCGCCTCTAATGGAGGCTCAAAACGATCAAACCTTCCGGTTTCGACATCAATAGATGCAATCTCCGTGCCATAATGCTTGGCGAGGATTCCGAGTTCAATTGCACCTCCCCATGTCGCAGGCTTCAGAATGGTGGCGATGTATGCATCTCGGCTCATGCTGCAAATTCGAGTTAGCTCAGCATCATACTGTGGTATGCAGTGATGTCAATTACCCAAGAATAGCTTCATTGTAGGTTTCCATGTCTGCTCGAATGCCATCTGCAACGACTTATGTGGGGATCGCCAATCAATCCATCTGATAGATTCTAGATCAATGTGATGGCTGACCTTGTCGTATCTGTTGCGCCTTGCGAGCATCTTGTTCGAAAATGAGGGCGATCGACGAAAAAAGACAGGAGTTATCGTCTGGCACGATCTATGGCCCTGGCGCATGACAGATAACCGATCAATATGAGAATGCATTAACTTACCCTGTGCACTAACGCGCCGTTTGGTGTCTCAACACAGTCTGGACCGCTGCTCCTCGGTGCGAGCCGGCTTGAATTCGGTTGTGACAAAGAGGCTTGAGGTGGCTGGGAAGACGCAGGCTTGGCCTTGGGTGGGGAAGGCGGGGCGCGCACCGAGCTTGATATGTTCTGGTTCACAATGACCTGATCACCGGGCTTTAATCCCAGACTCGAAAGCGGAAGCTCCGGGACAATTGTGAGCGATCGCGGTGGGTACCCCGACCTGACTAACATGCATCAAAATCACCGTTTAAATGGGCTTGTTGAAGGCGCTTGCACGGTACATACGTTCTTGCTGCGACGGTGGGATTTCGGACACTCCAAATATTTCCTGCTGGAGGTCTTGAACTAAAGCATTATCGAGGTTGACTTGCAACGTCGTGATGCCCTTGGGATGTCGCAAACGAATGGGTGCCATTGATTGTGAATGTACAAGACGGTGTTAGAGCTCAACTTCGTGCTTCTCATAAGGATATTAATGCATCATCAAGGAACACTGTATGCTAATATTATGTAAGGTGTCCTCTTATGCTGCCTCTGCCGTCCGCCTGGGAACGGCCTCAACCTGAACTGGTGCGCCTTCTGGGACATGAACTTCAATGCCCTGAAGCTTCTCCACAACCGCCTGTTCAGCTGCTGCAGCACTCTCCTTCTCTGCCTCTTCCACCAACGCGTTTAGTTCGGCTTCTAGCTCTGTATCATCTATGCCCGCGTCTACTGCAGCCATGTCTTCGCCCATTCTGATAGCATTATCTATCTCACGTGCATCAGCAGTCGATGCCGCAAGCGCATCCATTGTCTCTTCAATCTTGTTGCGTTGAAGGGAGGGGTGGCTTAAGATTGCTTTTAATGTTGCCGTCGAACTCTCATATGTCTTCATAATCTGAAGAGGTTACCGGTGAGTAACACGAAATTTATAGAAGAGGAGGGGTAACTCACTTCCACATCACCGGCGGCCGTCTCTACACTGATCAATGTTGACTCTAGATTATGAAGGGATCCAAGACGCTTTGAAAGCAGGTCATCCAGATGTTTCTTAAACCGCAACTCTGCTAGTGCAATTGACTTGCGCTGCTGACGCAGGGCGTTTGAGATATTTGAAGCAGTCCTAGATGTATACATGCGTTATTCAACGACGTGCTGTGGAAAAACGCGCTCCTTACTGATCAATCTTATTCTGGATGCCATCAACCTGTTCGCGGAGATTTCTCACTGCTGTCTTGAGCTGTAGAATTCCTCGATCCACAGCAGTGATTTCCCGATCATGGCTCGCTGACACAAATTTAATGACCTTAATGTGATGTCAGTCAGCGAGTGAGAATATGCGACTGAAACACCTACATCACCATTCTGTACAACCACACGTCTTTCCCGTTCGAGAAATTTGATCAGGACTTTGGTATCCTATCTCACTCAGCACAACTCCGGGTAATATCTTGGCCCCAAATTCTCTGCGAAAATCTTCGAAAGTGTACAGGTTGTCAGCTGGGCTGAGTCCGGCGCCGTCTCGCTATGGTTTCAAGGGTATCTGCGGCCTGTACGACAAGCCCAAGCATGACGTAGTCCCCTTCTATCTTCTTCCACATCTCAGCTTCTGTATAAGAGTCTTCTGAGCGGACTATGTCAAGCTGCTGCATCGCCCACCATAGTGGTTTTCCGACCACGAAGGAAGCAATTCGGTATGGGAGCCAGCCTGGGTCGTACACAGACTGCTGTGAAGTAAGAAATTGGAGAGAGTGGTATTATATCATTATTTCGTCGCATCTCGGCCTTTACTAGTGCAGTGCGGTGAGTTGAATGCCAAGAAGTGTAAGAGCTGCCTAATGACGCACTATGGTGGTTCCGAGACCGAGAGGCTTGCCAACACCTTCATAACGCAGCTTATCCACCAGAGCTCTTCGTGCTCCTAGGATAAGTTTGTTGCTTGTTCCGTCAGATCCGTCGCTTCCCTGCCAACCTCGCGAAGTGACATCCTTGAGCGTCCCATGCCACCAGTCAACATAAGTATGGAAAGAAGAAGGGTTGGAATATTTTTGTCTGTGAATATCGGAATACAGCGACTGTAGACGAGATTTTGATGTTGATGAATAGGTTGGCAGCGCAGACAGAGCTGGGGATGACATAGTTGTTGGCAACACCATAAACGCAAGACACTTTATACAGAAATGACAAAAGCCACTGCCCACAATGCCTTAAATCACGTGATTTAGCACTATTCACATTTCAAAAATTCTACAAGTGAGATTCGGCCATGGGCTTCTACGACGACACGATGTGAATTATGGAAATTTATATTGTCCCACTACACTAATCACTGACTTACTCGGACGGCCAGTTTCCAGGCTGAAATGCAAGATGAGCAGAAGAACGTGAGTCATTGTCAAACTCTAAACTTACGAAGTATCTTTTGTGAAGTTTTGCTCCAGTAGTGTCTATAAGCGCGATCTCCTCAACTGTAAGCTCCTGGTACATTCTGCGTGTCAAGGTATTCCCTGATACGTTCGGCTTTCGACGAGGTTCTGTGATGGCTCAAGTATTAGAAAAGAGTCACATCAGTGTGCAGATTAAATCTCACGTTACCACAAGAACACCTTTCTGTTGAAGCCATTTGTTCAACACCTGACCATCAGACACAGGGGCGCCACGAGTTTTCTGCAAACGAGCGCGGATTTGCTCAATCACAGGATCTAGTGGACCACCTTTTCCCCGGAAAAGAGGTGATAAACCAGCGTACGATGACGTAACGATTTTGTATTGGTCATGGATGGCAAGATTTGGCTGCAATGCTTGCCATACATATGGATGAGCCTCGACCTATTAATGATGGTTAAATGAGGCCTATCACACCAACAGGCTTATAAAACTGACCTGGTTGACCGCGGGGGTTATAGTGGCAATTTCCAATATAGTCTTCAGGTGGTCAGCAGTGAAGTTAGAAACTCCGATGGACTTGGTTAAGCCCGCCTTCTGAGCCTCTTCCATCCCTTTCCAGACCTCCTTCAGCTTCCCGACATGGTTGCTGGCTTGGTGTACAAGGTATAAATCGACGTAATCCACTTTGAGTTTCCTCAAGGACTCCTGGAGTGCGCTCTTGGGAGTTGCACCAGGCTGCAATTGTCCGAGCTTTGTCGTTATGAAGAGCTCGGACCTGGACTTGCCAGAAGCTACTATCCCATTCCCCAATGTGTTCTCATTGCCATAGACTTGCGCACCATCGAGGTGCGTAAAGCCATTGTCGAGAGCAAGGCGGATAGCATCCTCAGGCGTCCTTGCGAAAGAGGGCAGTACCAGTGCCAAAAGCTATCCAGGGAACCTGGTTTCCGTCATTCAGAGGGAGTGTAGATACGGTCATTATGGATGATCTGCCTGCAAAGTGGTTTGAACGGAATCCGGTTATTGTGTGATGCTTTATATTCGGTTTCTCGAACCACTTCAGTACTAATGAAGCGGGTCTCCGTAACATGACCTGCTGGATGAGGTCCGATAACGCAATTGATATAGGTCACCTAGAGCGTAAATATTCTTAGCGCGGCCCGGCGGACACATCCATAAACCTCTAGACAAGACCCGAGGCAAGCCCGAGGAACGTACCTGCGTATCGATAGACCAGCCCTAAAGAAAAACGTGTGTATTTAATCGGCTCATTTTTCGCTCGGATATCTTTTTAGAAACAACTTCCAGGTGCTTGTATACCACATGCTCGATTGTCTGTACTACTGGCAATCTTTCATCTCGTAGCACCTCAGATGAGTACGGTCCACCCTTTGGCCGGCCGTCCTAACTTTCTTGGACGCTTCGGTCACCAGGTGTACCAACAGTTGAATTTTTTTACTGTCCCAATCTAATATTATCTAATATTATTTTGGTGTCCTTCAGGACCTGGACTACATACCATCTAGTGACTCCGAATCAACATGCCCATTCTCTGACCGCGTGACCCGCCAAGCGAATCATGCGTCGAGGAACCTATGTAGTTACCTGGCCAAATATAAAATTCCAAAATTCATGCGACGGAGATTGCAAGGGGTTGGAATCAATCTAATGACCGATCTGGGGTATCATCGTTATTGGAATTTGGAAGACTACAAGATATTTCATATATTCTGGAAAGTCATTCAGTCCCAAAGTAGAGCTAACCGCACGGTGAATAGACCCGATGGCATCAGGCCCAGCCATCACATGCACATGTCACTTCTAATTACGATGATGACCCACATGTGGTTGAGATACCCTGGCAGAACACACCAATCGGCTCATGCTGCGTTCTGCGCAAGTCATCACCTTCAGTTATAGACACTGTTACCGCTATGACTAACAGCAACAATTATGATACATTGCTGACGTGACAGAAGGGAGGATGCAATATGATTGTGCCATAGCTTCCTGGTATTAGAAATCTAGATAGATCCTTGGCAGGATGCCCTCATGGCAAAGAACGAAGAATCTAAACATCGAGTGCTTCCGCTCGCCCCCATGCATGATCGTTTCAGTACACGATACTTTCGTTTTCATGTTACAATGGTCCTGCTAGACGATAGATTTAAAGTTCCAATGGATAATCGAGAGCCCAATACCGAGGTTCAAGTGAATGTACAATAATTAGCACTGATGCAAGAAATGACGGACGGACACACAGTTACATGAATATATTAGTGCAATGTCATCAATTTATGAGGGGGAATCATATCCAATGGTCGTTCATCTTCAGGCTCGCATTTAGATCTCCGGAGTACCGCTGTACTGCCCTGGGCGCGACTGTTGGGAAAACACATGTGACGGTATGGATGGGTTTTGGTATATGTTGCTAGATGCGGTGGTCAGGACAGTGGGGGTGGGAGGCGAACCTGGGAAAGTGGACGGGTCAGATGGGTCCTGCGCAAGGAGATGAAATGAGTGTCGATGCATTATAAAATCATGAGAAACATACGTAGAGACGTTGTTGCGTCATTTGGGGTTGCGTTGGGAATGAATGAGTGTTAGGGGAATAAACACTTTGAGTGTATCCCGCACCCCCGCCAATGTCGCTGAAAGCGGCCGATGGCGCTGTGGCAGAGCGACGGCGTTTGACAATGAACCAGGTCACAAGACCTATGATGGCTGCAGCTCCTACAACTCCACCAACAACACCCCCAGCTATAGCTCCAGCGTTTGAACTTGTCGATTTAGTCGATGATGTGGTCGGAGATCCTGTGGCCGCGCCCGAAGAACCGGTCAAAGAAGCAGACACGCTGCTCGGATTAGCAACTGTAGCAGTAGATTGCACTTTTGTTGCGGTAGATTCCGGGGTATCTATAAGAAAGCGAGTGGAAGTGATTCAACGACAGAAAAGTTATGCTCGAATGCTAACCTCCGTCGGCTTGCGCTGCGGCAAGGCTGAATCCCGAAGCGGTCACCTGCAAAAAGTTAAATTATGGTAATTGGGATAACTAGCCATCCACTAACGTCCAGATATGCCCAATTTGGAACCGCGGTGCCAGACGGAATGCTATCCGGAAATCTGTTGATCAGATGGATTAGAAAGCTTGGAGAATATAAATAGCCTTGCGGACTGACTGTTGGTTGTATACCGAGGAACAATTGTAGTTCCAAGAAGACCAGCTACAAGGCGATAAGCGCTCTGTGAAGTCGAACATACTTGACTCACGTCAAATACGTGGCGTTCTGGCAAGCACCGCAAGCGCTAACCAGCGAGTAGACCACCGTACTACATTCGCAAGGGTTGGCTTCAGCTACCGTGGGAGCTGCATAATGGGTGTCGGGAGGTAAAGGACTGATTGAAAAATCTGCGCCAGAACTAGTTAGCATGTTACACTAAGAAATGAAAACTGCGTACCTCCACCATTGCAGACACTCTCAAGGTAGGAAGCGACCACACAAGGGTTCTGTTGGAGGCTGTTGTTCATCTGCAGATAACCCACATCAAAATATGTCCTAAAGGTATATAAAAAAAAGCATTACCCAACCATAAGAGGACAGGCATACTACAGTGGACGTCTGGGCAAATGCACCTCTGGGTCCAAGCACTGCTGCTGCCAGGACCAATATCAACGACCATGCCTTGAAGAGCGGCGACATAATAGATAGAAGGAAGAAGGTGGGGAAGACAGAACGAGGCAGAAGCCTTCAACTTACAAATAGTATTAGTTAGGCGCTTTGTTCCTTATGGCAGTTCGACGTGATGTCGGCTAATATTTGATAAACACAGCTTTGAAAACGAGGGCCTCAGGGTTTTCGATAAGTGCATCGATATGGAGTCAGGAACTTAAAGGCTCACATGGCCACTGATAATATCCGTTTCCTGTCCATGGCAACTCGTCTTTCAGCAGCACAAAGTTGGCTTGAGCGCCGCTCGGAGTCGGAACCAGATGCCACAATCATCTGCAAGCGGACACAGCCCGTCAGATGTAACTATATCAGGATCGGACCTGGACCCGTTCCTGTTCAATTTTGTACCTCTTTTGCAACCCTTTTGTCTTCAGGGCACATCATGTCGATCTGTTGTTACTACCATCCATCATGGCTTTTGCATAAGCGTCAGGCGTCAACTTGAAGTGTCTTTATCGACAATGGCCTTTGGCTCATTCTCTGTACAATCTGTCGGTGCAGCTATGGCACCTCTTGGCACAATTTAATTATCTTGGCAACTCCGACATCACAGGAGGAGTGATCACTATCGTCTTCAAAGAGCTCGTTGCAACATCATCTCCGAGACCTAATAGCATGCATCATTCATGGTCGTCCCCTCAGGCCTCATCTATCGTCACTGTCAGCCTATGTATAGACAGGACAACCGGCGACGGGTATGACTCAATCCAGCGTCGTCGTAGACTTCTGTGTTCATGACAATATTCTGCCTTTCTCTACGTCTTTGGGTCGGTCTGCTCTTGCAATATCTGAGGAAGAATTTCGCTATGACAATGGGAGTTCGATTGTATCATCAATGGTCATGTGTTATACACAAGTGTCATGGGTTCTATGGAGTATGGTTTCCCGTTTCTAATCAGTATCAACCCGGCATCTGGTCGAACATTTGCTGAAGTATCTCGTGCACATTTCGTATGTGTCGTATCGGTGGATCAGTGCAATTACATTCGCGGCTTGTTACGAGTACGTGCTTGCAAGTACTTACTGTCTCCGCGCCGTGATTTTCTAATGCAATCTTGCCACCTTTATCCAAGATTTACCGTACTCATCGTGTTTACAAGCATGTGCCCGAGCTCGCGTTAGCGAGTCATCTGCAAAGGAAGTGCGCTCAGCATCACAAACTTTGTTTCCGTTCACACTAAACAGGCTCGATCCATGGGTCATTGCGGCGCGCCACGAAGTGGGTCATTAAAGGCTGAGCTCAGCGTTAACTATGGTACAGACACTTTGCCGAGAGCAGCCACGCTTGCCACGGCGAACCTTGAAGCAAGTTGCAGGTGAGCACCAAACCATCTATTAGGCCGCCGTCCTAAGAACTTTTGCATGATGATTTGGTAGTATCCCATCAAGTCTGAAAAGTAACATTACAAGTTTCCGTTTACCAAAAAGTAAGTGACATAAACTGACATAAACTAACATAAGTCCAAACTCTAGAGTTCTGGAACGCCAGCATACCGTCCAGGACGCGACTGTTGGGGAAAGACGGGTGAGGGCATCAATGGATTTAGGCTTATACTGCTAGATGAGGTAACTGGGCCGGCGAAGGGGTGAGGACGACCTGGGAAAGTGGTCGGGTCAGAGGGGTCCTGTGCGAGGGGATGAGATGGGTTGGATGTATCATAGAATCATGAGAAACATACGTAGAGACGTGGTTGTGCCATTGGGAATGCATTAGCGTTAGTGGAGTAAAAACTTTGAGTGTGGCCCGGATCTCTGCCTGTGTCGCTAAAAGCGGCTGATGGCGTTGTGGAGGAGCGACGGCGTCTGACAAAGAACCAAATCACTAGGCCTATGATGGCTGCACCAAAAATTGCACCAATAACACCTCCGGCTATAGCTCCAACATTTGGACTTGTCGGACTAGATGTTGATGTGAGAGAAAGTCCTGTAAATGTGGCCGAAGAACTGGTCAAAGAAGCAGAGAACGTGGTCGAATAAGTGACTGTGATAGTAGATTGTGAATTGGTTGCGGTAGATTCCGGGAGGTCTAGAAGATCGTAAGTGAAAAGGTTTCTTGGGACAGAAAAGTTATGCTTAAATCCTAACCTCCGTTATTTTGTGCTGCGATAGGGTCGAACCCACCGGTCACCTTCAGCGAAAATTAGATTACAATAGTTGGGACAGGTAATCGTGCAACCAACGTTCAGATACGCCCAATTCGGAACCTTGGTGCCAGTGGGAATGTCCATCGGATATCTGCCAATTAAGTGTATTAGAAAAGCTTGCTGAATATCAACAACCTTGCGCACTGACTGTCTGATGGACATCTGAGCGCAATTGGTGCTCCAGGAAGACCAGCTAATAGGAAATAGGGGCCTCTTAAAGTCGAGTATACTCGATAAGACTTGAATATGACTCACGATGCATATGTGGCATTCTGACAATCGCTACAAGCGGCCATCATCGAGTAGGTTACTGTATTACATGTGCAAGAGTCTGCTCCAGCGGCCGAGGGAGGTCCGTAATAGGTGTTGGGAGGCAAAGGACCGACTGCAAAAGCTGCGCCAAGACCAGTTATACAAAGCTAAGGCATACCGAAAAAAGGCGTACCTCCACAGACACTCTCGAGGTAGGAAGCAACGACGCAAGGGTCCTGCCCGAGGGTGTTGTTCATCTACATACCATGAATCAGAATCTATATCTTGAAACCTAAAACATGAATAAAGTGATATTATTACCCAACCAAAGGAGGGCAGGCATGTCACAGTGGATGTCTGCGCAAAGGTACCTCTGAGTACAGGCACTGCTGCTGCCAGGACCACTATTGACGGCCTTAGCTTGGCTCGGTGTGGTAGCATGATGGATGAAAGAAACAAGGATGGGGAGTGAAAAGAACAAGGATGGGGAGATAAAACCTTCAAATTATGACACTTTGCTAGCAGTTCGATACGATGCCGGCAACTGTCCGCCTGAATTGGCGTCAGACTTGATTAGAAATGCGGGGGCCAGTGTTTTCGATAATTCAAATGCCCCTTCATTCCAGCGAGTAGATTAAAAAAAGGCCCACCGCTGTTAATGACCATTTCTTGTACATGACAGACTCGTTTGCGAGCAGGATAGGACAGTCAATTTTCCAGTCCGAACTGGCTGATGGCCTAGGCGTGGGATTTGTGCCGTTCTCCGCAAGATTTTGGTTGCTCGATTCTAGAATGTTGTTCTTGTTTGCAAGTCGTAACTTAGAAGCCAGACCTTGTGTTAAGCGTCGCTAAATCTGAAATGGACTTGTATAACCCTTACGTAGTGTTTGTTGACACATAGAGCTTCTCCACTTCTCCTTTGAATTTCGTCGTATGTCTTGTACTGTATACCTTCGTTACTCAGTACTCAGCCACTGGCTCGTAGCTACGCCGGTATCTTGCCGTAGTGTGCGCCAGAGGGGCGATTTCAGGCCTCGGCCTCAGGGATGGTCTCCAATGCATTAGAGCATGGGATTACTTAAGCATTGTGGGCGTTTGGCGGACGAGGCCGGTCGAAGAGTACAGTGCGGAACGGGACGCGGACGAAAAATTCTGGGGACAGTCGTAGTAGGTATAACGGTCAATGATCTGGCTTCGTTGAGCTGCCAAAGATTTTTGAACTGCGAGCGTGTTGCGCAGCTGCAGAGAGCTCACCTCACTGGTTGGGACGGTTGGGACATTAATTTTTCACACGAACCCACACATGATTACTGTGAGAATATATGACTAAGACTATACAGTTGCCAGCCACCACAAGCTTCCACAGTTGTCTCGGCGAAGGCCTACAGCGCCGACAATATCCTCAAAACTCGCCATGGCCCCCTCGACAACGTGAGTCTGCCAAGTTTTTGAACAGTTAACGAGTGTTTACATCTCCACCAGGGTTCCTACAGTCTCGGTTCGTTCGTGCATTCGCAATCTATGTGGAGTCTATTAACTTTTGCCACAGGACATCGAAGTTCCGGAGACTCTCCTTAAAAAGCGCAAGCAGAACGAAAAGGCACGGGAGGAGCGCCTTGCTGCAGCCACTGCCGCACGTAAGGTTCGTAGCAACCTCTTACTTAGGGCCTTGCTCGATGTATGATGCATACGATTATTTCGAACGAATGGCTAGTGGGATTCGTTCTGCAGTGCCGCCTTCAAATTAACCATCTTTCGGGACTGATCTTTTACCTTCAAATTGCTCTATTTCCGATCACATACTAAATTTTGTTTTAGGCATCAAAGGCAAAGCGCAAGGTGATTTTCAAACGGGCGGAGAGCTATGTCAAGGAGTATCTGTCAAAGGAGAAGGAGGAGATCCGATTGAAGCGTGCTGCACGAACATCTGGTGACTTCTATGTTCCTGCGGAAGCCAAGGTCTACTTCGTCGTCCGTATTCGTGGGTACGTGCAGCTTCCTTCGTGATCATTTATTCTTCTCATATCTGCGTAGTATCAACGAGATTGCACCCAAACCCCGTAAAATCCTACAGCTCCTCCGCCTCCTCCAAATCAACAACGGTGTTTTCGTAAAGGTCACCAAAGCTACCCAGCAAATGCTCCGACTGGTTGAGCCCTACATTACATACGGGTAAGTCGACTGCTTATGAATATTCATGGAGATTGACGAATTTCCTTAGCGAGCCAAATATCAAGTCCGTCCGCGAACTCCTTTACAAGCGCGGTTACGGGAAGGTCAACAAGCAGCGTATTCCCCTGACAAACAATGCCATTATCGAGGAGTCCCTCGGCAAATATGACATCCTCTCTATAGAAGATCTCGTTCACGAGATCGCTACTGCCGGCCCAAACTTCAAGCAGGTCAGCATGACCAAGTCATAAATATTTTCTTCTGCTGACAGATCGGAACAGGCATCCAACTTCCTCTGGCCGTTTAAGTTGTCGAACCCTAACGGTGGCTGGAGGACGCGCAAATTCAAGCACTTCGTGCAAGGTGGTGACTTTGGTGACCGAGAGGCTAACATCAACAAGCTCATCCGCCAAATGAACTGAGTGTGTTTTTATTGTGGTCCGACGGTGGGGTAGTGGCGAGATGGAGTAGTCACAAGGTATGCTTGGCATGAAATTCATCATGTTCCTCTATTTTTGCCATGTATGCACTATGAAAACACGTATGGATTTCTTCCAACACTTCAGCATTCAATTGGCATGTTAAGACGTGTATTATATTCTACGTTGCTGTAATGCAGGTCAGCTTAGTGGAATTTGCACCTACATAGAATTACCACGGTTCCAGTCCCAACCCATGAGGATGCCAGTTGGACAAGATGACATGGTAGCACCCTTTATTCTGCGATGGCCTTACCACGAACTGTTCCACAGGACACAAGCGAAACTTCTCGTCAAGTGAACAACATCCTTCGTAATTTGAGGTGCGCTGCGGGTGGTGACAAGAGATCGAACGAAGCAACCTCATTCCTTCGTCCAGAGGAGAGCACTTTCGCCACTCACGCAATGCGCAGCATATCCCAGCCAGCCTACCCACGTCATTACATGACAATAACATCCCAACCCTTCCGATCAGCCTGATCTATCCCTCAGAAGACGGCAGGCGGAATGTAACTGCTTCAGGGCACCATTCTACAAGACCTGTCCGGGTCGCAGGACCTGATCCACCTCGCAGTTGGACAACCTTTTCATCTCCGAAGATCAGGGAGGCAGACTTGGCGGACGTAAACTCCCCTGCTTGGCGCGAGCATGCCCTCGACCTAGCGTTCTCCCCTGGCAATGCGTCAGTGCGTCCACTAGATACTAGCGCATCCCTTCGTAGCCTTCGGACCGGCGAGTTCCCTACACTCGCACTACTATCACTTCATGTCATTCGCATGGAATGCAACGGACACGAGTTGGTTGAAATCAGGCCCTATATCCCACCTCACCTCCGTCGCGTCTTAATGCGTCATAGCGCAATAAACTGTCCCCTCTCTCAGATTGAGCTGAATGCAATATGCGGAGAAGAAGGGCATGCAGACGGAGAGCTCGTGGTCGTTGGGCCGCATGCTACATTGCGCAGCGACCATTTCCGGCGCATACATTCCTCAAGAGAATCTGTGCCTGAGGAATGTACGGCAGAGGAGTATACGTGGGACTCCCTTGCAACACAGGGGAGCGAGCCTAGTGTGCTCTTCTCCCTTACCCTACTGTCCACACCGGTAACATTTGCCTTGAGCAACCTCCCGCCCACAATCACTTGCCTCACACTCATAAATATCCCTAATAAACCAGTGTCCCTTCAACGACTTCCATCGTACTGCCCTCTGGTCTCACTGTTAGACCTGTCTTACAACAGTTGGCTCATTCCAGCATCAGGGGAGAAGCTACTACAAGATTACCCGTGGACGAAATTGCGCCACTTAAAGGTCTTGGGGTTACGAGGGTGTCGCGTCACATCAACGCTTCTATCGCAAGTCAATAGAGGTCGATGGGATGACGTGGACGTCATTCATTGATCTACGTATATGTATAATATACATGAATCAAACCACATAGGGAAATCTGGACCGGAGAGAATAGTACAGATCAATGGGTATGCGAAAGTACAGGAGCCTGAGTGGAACGCAAATAAAATCATACCCGAGTATCAAGGAATAAGCCCAGATCAAATGGCGGCAAGTACTGCACTCCATGTTAGATCTCGCAGGCAATATATTGCTACAATAAACTTACCTCAACAGTGCCAGTCAATTTCTTCTCTCCTGAAGTTGGCGCACTCCTGCTAGTAGGCTTTGGTGGGAGGGTAACTCCTGCAGGTCTGCTAGAGTTTGTGGGGACTTTGATATGCAGTTCGCTCAAAGCTCCCCAGAGAGCAGAATTATATCGCACGGCAACTTCCAAATGAGATACAGACAGTAAATTGCTGTGATCTAAGAGACAAATCTTAGCATACCGCCCTGACATACAAGGTGATAAAGCGCTCACAGAGTATTGCACGGTTTATCTGGTCTGCGACACGTTCTCGTCTCGCCTGGTCAAGATATTTTGACATAGGGCTCATCTCTGGCACCTTATATGCGAGAAGGCCGCCGACGTTCTCCAGCTCCTTCAAATACGTTGCTCGGTCTTCTGGTTTCCGCAATAGTTCTACTAGCGCATAGAGCTTCTGCGCACGCAGTATTAACTCTGTCTGATAACGCTCATCAGCCATATGATCAGGGTCACGGGAAAGATTCGTCGTGGGTTCTGGTGTTGTGATGGGTGTGGTTTGAAGATGCGGAACATAGGGAAGAGGGATTGTGCGGCAGGCTTCGATGAACGCATGAATACGAAGGTTTAGTGAGAGGAGTGTCGGGTCTAAAACAGTACGGGAGTTATATTCTATACGGTCAGGGGAAGAATCAACGGAAGAGGACGTTTCTGAGGATGGTACGCTTGATGGAGCAAGAACATTGGGGAAGTGCTCGTTGAGGAGGGCAGTAGCCTCATCAATTCGTCCGGAGAGGATTTCTGTTCGTACTTCTGGACAAGAAGATTAGCATTGACAGACTCCGCCAAGTATTCGGTGCACCTTCACGACGCCGTATTTTCCGGAGGCCCTCATCCGTTAGGTCTGCTGAGGTCCCTTGTAACCTTCTGTCGGGCGACGTAATTTCGTCTCCATCCTTATCAAGGTGCCTCACGGCGGTATCCCTAGCGAATGCCTGCGCAGTCTTGGTGTAACAATTATGACAGAGATAATCGAGTACAAAAGCACGCTGTAGAGAAGAGCGAAATCAGTCACAGCGAAGTCCTTGGCGGATCGGAACGCACGAGGTGATCAGGTTGCGGTTCTGCGAATTGTTGGTTGCTAACTGGTGGAGACGGAGATGGGAAGCGCAATGGAGGTGCTGGGCTCCGAGCGATGGAAGACATGAAGTAGTTCAAGCGATACTGCTTGTCATAAAATACAAAATTAAGAAGGCACTGCTCCGCTAAAACTAGCAAGCACTGGAATATAGCTAATCTACGACAGTTCTGATCAATCTCGGACGGCTTGAAGAGTAACTCTCATATACGTATATATAATATGTTCAACGTTCAACTCGTGGGGTCTGTACAATACATATGTTGGTATAATAACTGGAGCCTTGTGTGATTACGGTGTTAAGGGGGACGTGAACCGGAGGTCCGAGTCCTGGAGTGCCGTACAGCGCTTGCCCCTCTACCACCGTAGTATGAACCAGAAAGAGCATCCCCTCCCAATAAACAAGCTTGCTCTTCAGCGAGGGAAGCTCTGTGTGCGATTGATGTACCACGGCCTCGCCGACGCGGAGGCTTCCCTCGGTAAATATAGGATTGAGATACAATCGTGACATCAAAGATGAGTGTGCCGCCACTTCCCAGTAGGTATCTAGAAGGTCATCAATAACAAGATGAAAAGATAAGACGAAGAACATACGGGATGCTCTCCTTGAAAAACTTAGTTGATGCAGGTGGAGGCATGTGTGCCTCTGGAGATGTCAATATCGAGCAGACGTAGAAAAAGTTGCCAAGGAAAGCGAAGACAAAGAGATACATCGAGAGTCCATCGACAGACTTTCTAACATACTGGAGAAATCGTTTAGAAGAATGTATTTCAACGGAAACGAAATGTAAACTCACGTTCTTCCATATCTGAGGAAGCCGAGAAGTCAAATATAATGAGGTACACAGCCAGGCGAAAATTCGGCCAATGATACGTTCCGTTGATGGGGAGTCTTCTGATGCTTGAGATCGCGACCCATTCTGGCTAAGTGTCAGAGGGAGTTCTACAGTTACAACTCCTACACCTGATGGCGTATGGTAGGCCGTGTCCTGCGCAGAGGACGTTGTCGATGGATGTGGTATGTTAACCTCATCCGCTAGTACCCGTCCGATGCTGTCACCCCTTCCTGCTAAAGATCTGGAGTGAACGTTGCTTAGAGCTCCAACACTAAACAACGCCCCAAATCCAAGCAAGACCATACTTGCACCGCGTCGACTCGCACGCGAACTGGTCCTATGGTCACTCGCCGCACGCGAGCTGGGTTGCACAACCTCAACCTCTTCCGCATCTGCCACACGCTGCTCTGGACGACCCCGGGAAAATGCTGCGAACTCGCGCGGAGGAGCTGTAATTTGCAGTGACTTTGGAACGACCGGAGACGCCTGACTTCGAGCGCTAGATTGATGATCGTGGCGTTCTTGGCTCCATGAAACGCGTTTCCGCCCAGAGTGAAAACTTTCTGAGAGTGCTGACAAGACCGCATCATCAACCTCATCCTGTGCTTCTTCGACAACTTGGGGTGCTGTGTCATCGAGCGGCTGATCGACAACATGCTTTCGTGAGACGCGATGTTCAGGATGCGATTCAGGGAATGCGGCTAATGCTGCAGCTGCAGCAACATTCCCTGCGACTGTCGATAATGTGCGATAGTGTGATGCGTCTAATGAGAGTCGACGAGCAGTGGATATGGTTCGTGATCGTGTGCGCACGTATGCCTCGGATAGCGTTTCTGGTCTCCCACTATAGTAGTAGAAGTATTGAGCCAGTAACGAACAATCCACTATGCAAAAGTAGGTCGCAAGATAAGTCTGGAAGCGAAACCAAGTCACTACTATTCAGACACGGTATCAACATCAGTAGCCCACCTGGAAGGGAAGCTGATGGGTGAGCAAACAGCCGATTAAATTCGAAAAATCGCCTAGAAAGCAACATGAGCGGATGGCGAATTGATCGATAAGGATGTGTCGTACCGAGCAACCAATTGCACAAGAACGGCAGTGCGAGGCCCTCACACGACTGCCGTTTGTGATTTTCTATCACCTGTCTACGATGGCGAATATGGCGCAATTCATTGTCAATTTCACAAAGTGCAACGTAAGTATTGATCACTCACGGAAATTGGGCACCAAGCCAACATGCTATAGAAGCATAGCCGAGCAACTCGCTGAATTTCGCTGTAAGTAGTAACATCCTCGCTGTTGGGCCCACCAGAACTCGAAGGTTCGAGGATAAAAATGCTGAACAAAGTGGGTTGTGACAGGTGGATTGCCTCCAGTTGGTTCACACACACGCTAGTGCGTGGCGGCCGTGGGCAACCTAACTTGTTTTCCACTCGGAATCGTCCTGTGACAGTGTGCTTCAAGTTAATCAACCTCTTCCGTTTCAGACATCCTCCGGCATCCGACAATGAACATGCTACAGCCTGAGAGTGCATGCAGCAACAAATCCACAATTTACTCGAGTGCATCACAAGCGCCCAAGTGACTAACTTGGGTGCTCAACGGAACGGATCCTTTCTGCAACTCTAAACTGGTAAGTACTGAACCCATGCTCTCCCAAATTTCAAGTTGCCAAGTACTAGCGTCTAATAAAATAAGATAGGTAGATAATTCTACCTCGGAAACTCTCGAGGTTATCGGGCCACCTCAGTGACTGATGACTGTTTCCCCGGAAGTCCGACTAAACGATACGGTCAGTACCCAGTTTCCATCATGCAGCACAGTTTCGGACAAACTCATCGATCTCGTTATCATGCTGCCCGAATCTGATAATGTTCTAGAATCTATCTTCATTCGTCTATTATATTTGGTCTAGGGCTGTGGGGAGACTGTTACCATGTCACATGCGGCATCATATGCATGAGTCTTGGTTTGCGGGCAACTTCATCACGGCCCCCAGCTTGTTTTATGAGTCTTGCCAAATTCTAGATCCGTTCTAACATTCAAGTGGACCTCTACACTGGTGAGTACTTGAATTCACGCTTCTTTGTTACAGTCCCAATCTCAATTGCTTGTAGATCAACAAATTTGAGTCGAGGACACGTACTAGTCACATCATCATCATGATAGCCGCCTCCCCGACAGTCCACCCATCTGGTTCATATGAACCAACCACTATGGACATTCTCAAAGTCAAACGATACTTCAAATTATCTTCTATTCCACTTCCGAATGAACTCATCGATGACATTATCGATGCTGCCTCCTATTGGGCACACACATCTCTAACAATCGATGGTTGCACTGTTGCTCATGCCGGCGGAGACAAAATGTACATGCGTACATTGCCTCTTGCAGTGCACGGGACAGAAGGAGACTTCCTACTCGACAAAGAAAATTTGCAGGGAGAAGGATTTGTCCTCGGGGGGCTACCTCCAACTGAGCTAGAGTGGACAGCGCCCATACGTACCAAACCTTTTCGCAAGATCGAGTTTCAGTTATGGAGTCATGACCAGGGCTGGGGCGGCGATCATGGTTGTCGAGGAACGTACAATGGTGCTTACTCCTGGTTCGATGCCAGTGTGGAGAGACTTCACTCCACTTCATATTTCATGGAAAGCGTCAAGTGGCCCTCTTCACTCCTCTTCACCGCAGTTGATGCACAAAATCTGCTAGATGATGTCACGTATGCCTGCCCCCACTGATGCGCCGACCTTCAATGGCTAATCCAGTTTTCCCCCTCAGGTTTACTCAAAAAGATGTCAAGCAACCATTTTTACCTTCTCCTTCCACTCTCCAGAAAAATATCGTCGCGAAAGGTCAAACAACACACCATATCGTCACTTGGACAGACCTTGACGATGTCAAAGAAGGTTCATCCGAAGCAATTGCGGCTGAAAATAGGGGACAGGGATGGAAATCATATGATGGTAGCTTTGTACGTGACTTGCAGGTCGGTGACTGCATTACTTTGTGGATGAGGGCTCGCTTCCCAGGCTGGAGGAACGAAGCTGTGAGGGCGAAGATAACAACATTTTGGGCAGTATAGGCTGATTTACTAGTTGGTGTCGAGAAATGTGGATACCTTTTGTATTATGTATATCTGTACATTTGATGTGTATCGTCTTCTCCACGTACAGTCAACAGGCTTTCAAGATACAGGTCGTAACAGGGTCAATGATTTTAGAACTCCATCGGGGCGAGTACAACAATGGATGGCGCGTATCAGTGTGCTCAGAGTGGCAGTGCTGGAAATGGGCAGCATGCTTAGCTAATAGGGGTCAACAACTGTGAAAGTAAGCAAACAGTAAGTACTGAAACTACTACCTTTGATCGCAGTCTCGATTTTACTTTTCAGTGTCTGATAGAATATGAAACAGAAGGAGACCTCATACTCAACGAAGAGAGCTTGCACGGAGACTCGGAAGGGTTTGACCTCGGCGGGCTACCTCCAGCTGAGGCAGCGCCCACACGTGCCAAACCATTTCGCAAGATTGAGTTTCAGGGCTGGGGCGATGATTATGATAGTCAAGGAACGTACAATGACTACTATTACTCCTGGTACGATGCCAGTGTTAAGAGACTCGATCTGCCAGACGACCTTACGTATGCTTGTCCCGCTGATTAGTACCAACCTTCAATGACTACAGACCGCGATATCCAACAAGGACGTCAAGTCCCCATTCTTAGCTTCTTCTCCCACTGTCCAAAAAGCATTGTCGCAGAAGGTCAAACAACACACCATATCGTCCCTTAATCGTGCTATGACAGTGTTAAAGAAGATTTGCCCGAAGCGATTGCAATACAGGTCAGTAACAACCAATGAGACAAGACATCTGCGGGAGAAACTGTATATATTCTCTCGTCGGCTGCGAGACTGTATGATGCGTACAGCCTTGGAGCAACTCTCATTGCTTAATCCATCCTCTACATCGCTTGGCGCTACACTTGCATAAGAGCGCGGTGGGTGACATCTTTCGCTTTTGTTTCCCAGTGCCTTCAGCTATTTCTTCGGCAGCACTTGGTTCATAATCAATGGTGAGCTCCTCTGCGGCAGGTATGTCTCGTGCGGCGACGAATGCCACATAAGGCATGTGTACCTATATCAAGGTCTCGAGCGACAGCAAGAATTCCAGATCATAGACAATTACCTCTCGAATGGTGTCGAAGACGACCGAATAAACCTTCATACTGGGCGAGCATGAGTGACTGTACATCAAATGATTGATTATTGGCTCTAGGCGCTAAGGCATATCTTTTCGACTTACTTGACAAAGCGAGTCCAGTTGCCTAGAGATAAATTTTAAGTCAATTGAAAAAATCGCGACATGAGGCATACCGCAGTCGTGAGAACCGACCGAAAACTTGTCTCCTTCATTGTGCTGACCACGGACCTCTGTGCCATCAAGATCAAAGACATAACCAATGTGCTCCGGAGGAAGGTTGTCCACGTCTTCCCGACGTCTATGAAATCAAGTGAGGGCCTGCGGAAGCCGGGATGGAAGAACTCACATCAGCGTCCTGCGATGAAGAATTCAGTAATTGAGAATGGAGACATAATCATACGAACCCTGTATATATTCCCAATACCTTTCCTTTTGGTAGTGCAATGGGGCAACGAGCACCCCAGCCGCACTGCTTTGTCTTGAAAATCTCAATCGGAACATCACGAGGTTTCTGAGCAACGCGATTACCGCACAGTGGATCACATCTACAGTACTGTAGCAACTTCAGTACGGTCAGTGTATTCCCTTAGATGAACCTATGCCTTGTTGCACTCAATAACTTCAACTCCTTGCGGGATACAAAATGCAAAAAGTCCCTGTACAAATTGTCAATACGTTCCGCAACAAAGAGAAATACTCACCCCGTTATAAGCGCATAACTTATGCCCTCTTTCATTCGTGACTTCTGATTCTGTCTGACAGTCGCATTGAGATGCTCTTTGACACGTCGTGCATGCACATGCAAGGAAAGCCCCTGGATCCACATCAAAGATCGACTGGAGACCATCATCACTAGTTCATGAAATCAAAAGGATTCAACAAAATGAGAGACCAGAAAACACACAAATGATATGATCTCTCCATGTATTTGAATTCGTGCAGATGCTGTCCAATGTCGCCATCTACGATCTCGTTGGAGATGCGTATATCTGCGGCACCAGCTTCCTGTGCTGCTTGGTTCCAATTACTCTGTAAGAGCGCTCGCCCGCGCCTGCAACACATAAGTAAGATAGACGCGTAGGAACGCAACAATTAAACTCACAAAGGCTTCGCAGGGCGAACAAATATAACGCCCTTCGTAGCTGACGGTACAGGTTTTGAAGTGCTGGCCTGACCAGATTTGATAGAGTGGTTTGTGATAACATTCTTGGATTTTTCTGTGACACCTTTGGATATGGCCCTGGGAGATTCCACTGTGCTTGTAGACAAATTGAACATCAAAGAGCGAAAAGTGTCATCCCCTATGGAAGGTGACCTTTTCCTTGCAGAAGCACCTCTTCTAGATAAGGGATTCGGAGGAGTTGGTCCACGAATGCGTTTGACAGAGCCCAAACGTGGTATATCAGATGACGGGGTAGAACGCGGGGTATTTCGGCGCACACGCAGGCGAGACGCCGCATTGCCGTCTTCGGCGTCGGGTTCATCTGCGTGCCTACGTGCACGTTCTATTTCCTGATCCCAGTCTGCTGCTGAGGGCTTGTCAAGTCGTTTACGTTTCTTCTCATCGTATGCTTGCGCGCGCAGGGAGGTGAAACGCTTATGCACTGCGTCATCTGGCCAAGACACTTCCATGTCTAGACCGTCCTGGGCAAGTGCATTGCGCTTATTATCCTGAAATTTTTTCCAGAGATTGATCAAATCACTGCGATCAGTTATATCGGTTTGCCAGGTCGTGTTTGTGCCATCCTTTCGCGACCAGTTTCCCCATCTCACCTGATGGTGTTTTAAGTACAAATCAAGTGTAAATTCCACTTATATGCCTACTTCATATCTAGTAGACTCGTAAATATGGAGACGGGTGAAATATGAGTGGAGCTTACCTCGAAGTGCCATCAGGATCAACTTCCTCACCTACGACCCCCTTGATTGGCCACTCTCCATTCTCATTACCACCCTCCGCATCGCTCCAGCTTTCCTCTGGAGAGGGAGACCGTTTCCACATGTCCATCATGCATCAAATTCACAACAGCGTCGAGGATAGTATAAGGATCAACAATCTTTGTCTAGTACAAAGGTCTACCCTCTAAGGATGGGGTTATTTCAAAATGATGTCCCGGTCATGTGACCGCTTAATCTACGCGCCCACACGCGTCGCGTCTTGATTTGGTCTTGATGGCTTGACTTGAAACTCGGACCATTATTCTTCACTTTTACCCACCATCATGTTTATGCTACGGCGCACCCCAACGACTTCAGATGGGAAACTTGTAGATAGGCTACAAGAGAGCACGCGTGTAAACAAGCCATTCAAGCCCCCATCGCTTGTCAACGCTTCCGAGCGCGTCCAGCCTCAGCGCAAGCGCAAGCGGGTTTCGTACAAAGACGCAGCAGTTGACGAGAACGACAGTGACGATGACGATGCGAGAAAGAAGAAAAAGAAGAAGGCAGACAAGGATGGGACTTACAACGAGGAAGAGTTGAAAGCTGCTATCAAGACCTTTCCGGTGTACAAGCCCAAGCCATTCGATATGCTGCGCAGGTTCTCAATGCCCACTATGACGAACAAGAGCGGAGAAAAGGTACACATTCTGCCTACCAATGCATCTCTGGGGATTCGTCCACCGACCAAGATCCTCCCTCGCCCGTTACATGATCCAATGGAGGATCATGCCATTGTCCTCTACGACCCTACAATCGATGACCGCGAAACTGACGAAGAGAAAAAGGAAAGAGAGAAGGAGGAAGCTAAAGAGAAGGCAGCCAAGGAAGCACAAGAGAAGACTGCAGGGATGTATAATCCACACAAGAATCTACGGACGCTCCTGGGCGAAGGCAAGAAAGATAAAGAGAAAACACAGAAAGTACCTGTAGTAATTGATCCTAGACTTGCAAAGGTTCTACGTCCGCATCAGGTTGAAGGCGTCAAGGTGAATATTTTCTATAGCGTGCTTTTGCTATACTCATTCTAACACGCAGTTCTTGTACAAATGTACCACCGGCATGATGGTGGACAACCAGTATGGCTGCATCATGGCCGATGAAATGGGTCTTGGCAAGACCCTACAATGCATCGCATTGTTATGGACCTTGATTAAGCAATCCCCTCACGCAGGAAAGCCCACAATAGAGAAGTGTATTATAGCATGCCCTTCTAGTTTGGTGAAAAATTGGGCGAACGAACTTGGTGTGTTGTTCATCTTTCAGTTCTTCTGAGACATCTCTCACCTTCTCTCAGTCAAATGGCTAGGGAAAGATGCTATTTCAGAGCTTGCAGTGGATGGCAAAGGTGGCAGAGGTGAACTTCATGGGAAGGTTGTTCGGTGGGTAGAAGCAACAGGTCGAAATGTTACACAGCCAGGTTTGCCGTTAGCCTTGATGATGACCTGACGTTGATGTTTTTCTCAGTAATGATCGTATCCTATGAAACCCTTCGTACTCTCACTGCGCATCTGGCCAACTGCAGCATTGGCCTCCTGCTCTGCGATGAGGGCCACAGATTGAAGAACTCTGGTGAGCTCACACGTTCGCGGAATTCAATCGGAGCACTATGAATAATGTGTCTTGTTTCAGGCAATCAGACATTCCAAGCCCTGAATTCGCTCAATGTCAAGAGACGAGTAATTCTTACCGGAACACCCGTCCAGAATGATCTCTCGGAATATTTCTCCCTCTTAAACTTCGCAAACCCTAACTTCCTTGGCTCCCGAGATGACTTTCGTAAAAAGTTCGAGAACGCTATTATTCGTGGCCGCGACGCGAGTGCTAGTGCAGAAGTACAGGCTCAATGTGAGAAGAAACTTAAGGAACTTGGTGGTCTTGTCACTAAATTCATCATTCGGCGAACAAATGACCTATTGTCAAAGTACCGTGAGTCGGTCTTGTTGCGCTGTTGCGATGATTTTTACTACAATTATCATACAGTACCAGTCAAGTACGAGCACGTCGTGTTCTGTGGACTTTCTGACTTTCAGCTTGCCTTGTACCGCCTTTTCATATCCTCACCTGAGATCAAAGCGTTACTTCGCGGCACAGAGTCCCAGCCACTCAAGGCAATCAATATCCTCAAGAAGCTTTGCAACCATCCTGAACTACTCAACCTTCCCTCCGACCTCTATGGTTCCGAAAAGCTTCTACCCGAAGGTTATGGTGGCGCAGGCGCCACAGCGCGCGACAAAGGCAAGAACCAGACGGTACGGTGTGACTGGGGAGGAAAATTCTTGGTCCTCGAGCGGTTCTTGCATCGCCTCAAGACAACTACCAATGATAAAATTGTGCTCATTAGCAATTACACGCAGACACTTGACTTATTCGAGAAGCTGTGTCGAAGCAAGAAGTGAGTCCATGTTTGACGGTGCTTTCGATTCATGTTGACGTACGAACTAGGTATGGCTTCTTTCGTCTTGATGGGACCATGACGGTCACCAAGCGTCAAAAGCTCGTGGATCAGTTCAATGATCCCAATGGGAAGGAATTTATCTTCCTGCTAAGTAGTAAAGCCGGAGGATGTGGTATCAATCTTATAGGTGCCAACAGACTGATCCTTTTTGACCCTGGTCAGCATGTTCGGTATTCTGGTAACCTAGCTTAGACTGATAAGATTTGTGCAGACTGGAACCCTGCCGCTGATCAACAGGCTCTTGCACGTGTATGGCGTGACGGCCAAAAGAAAGAGTGTAAGTCTGGCACGCGTCTCTTTTCAGTACATCGTTGACCACTATTATCACAGGCTTCGTCTATCGCTTTATCTCGACGGGAACGATTGAGGAAAAGATATTCCAACGTCAAGCATCAAAACAAGCTTTGTCTTCTGCTGTCGTCGATGAGAAGGAAGATGCTGAACGGCATTTCTCGATCGAGTCCCTCAGGCAACTGTTCCTATTCAACGAGACCACGATTTGTGATACTCACGATACCTTCAAATGCAAACGCTGCAAGGACGGAAGACAAGTTACCAAGTCACCTGCATTGTTGTACGGAGATGCAAGCACGTAAGTCTGTCTCTTGGAAATGGGATGCACACCCCCTCACCTTCGTGCGCAGGTGGAATCACTATACCAATGAGGAGCTAAAGAGTAATCATGACGACCTACTCCGAGCTGAAGTAGGCTTATCTGAGATCTCCTTCGTTTTCCAATACATCAGTCACTAGAAGATGGCAGGGTTTCGTGATTGCATTTGTCCGCATCATTGTGGTAGACATTCATCTCTCACCATTTGTAACACTACTTCACAGCACATACGATCATTATACTACAAAGATAATACTACAACGGTACAGGTATTAGTGCAAGGATATTTATGCAAATGCCATTGTCCTAGGCTCCCCGGTTGTCACTGATCTTTCTCACCTTAACCTTCACAGCTGGCCGCAATAGCTCAATGCCATGCATATACTATCAACTTCTGGTTTTTTTAAAATCTAATTTATGTCCTTTGGAGAACTTCTGGTTTATTTGGTACTCCCAATGCAGTCATTTTCTGTAGGAGCACACAAGTCAACAATAATTGACCACAACTAGCGCAAATGTCATATAAAAATGGAGACTCGTCAAGGACATGAGCAGAACTATCCAGCCTCAAAATAAGCTTATCGCCTGATGCCATCGATGAGAAGGAAGGCGCTGACTCGACGGCCTATCAGGCAGCTGTTCCTATTCAACGTGACCACAATCTGCGATACACACGATACCTTGAAATGCAAACAGCGTCTCCAAGGACATAAAACAAGTTATCAAGTCACCTGCATTGTTGTTAGCGAGTAAGTCTGCCTCTTGGAAATGAACGCATACCAGCAATAATGATGCTATGTTACAACATCATCCCAGGCTCCCCAATCGTGACCGACCTTTCTCACTTTGACCTTCTCTCCTGATTCACCGAAGTAGGCAGCTGTATACCACATCTTCATTTCGTCTTCACTGAAGGGCCCGAAAGTCTCTCCGGTAGATTGCCCAGGGATGTCCCATTTGTACTCGTATGTGATGTCCGCAGATGGAGGCGTCCAATCAGGTCCCACTCTTCCGCTAGAACGCACTGTGCGGACGAGTTCCTCGTATGATCGAGAGTAGATGTCAGTATCACCAAGCGACATAAGGTTGGATGCCAGATGGGTGATCATGTCAATATCATCGAGACCCTTCGATGCCTTGCTGACAGCCATAGCAGTATCATCTTTGGCCTTTCCATTAACTTTGCTGAAAGGCAGGTGCTGAAGTCAGCTGATCCTAAAGAATGCTTGCTCGACAACGTACCTGGTGGAACGCGAATTCTGTTTCGCCTTTGCGCCTAATCGTTGAAGTGCCTCAAGTATTGTTTCGCCTTTCTTGAGCATTCCGACGAGCTGAATTTCCAAAGCGCTCTTTCCACCACTTTGCTCAAGCTCTATCTCCTCCGCCCTGATCTTTTCTCTTTGTATTCGTTCCTGCTGTCGCTTCCTCCGACGCGCAAGCTTGATTTCCTTGTCGTCTAGATCGTCCATCCACCGATCGTGTACGGCGTGTGCGTCAAATGACCGGACATATGTGCCATCAGCAGCAAATTTGCCCTCTTCCATCTCCTCACGCATATTGAACGAAGATAGCTCGAATCCCATACCAGCCTTCTTTCGTCGTTCTCTTTCATCCTCGTCTTCAGGCTCATCTTCATCTAGATCTGAATCTTCGCCATCGTTGAACTCCTGTCCTTCTATGTCCCCTAGGCGTAAGAATTCTTCCTTCTTCTTTCCCTGCGCCTCGTCTTTCTTTTCTTCCTTGTCGGCCATTGCAAACATATCATCGTCATCATCCGCCCCTTCCCCATCTGCGCCCTTTCTTCTGCTCAGTACCACACCCTCTCCATCATCACTCGAGTCCGAGTCGTATCCTTCATTCTTAATCCGTCCTTTCCGCTTGGTTAAAGGATTCTCAAGTGCAGAGTCGACTTCCTCCGCAAAGTTCACTGGATCTTCATCAGGCTCAGTGAAACGCGTCTTTTTTGGAGCATGTGAAGATTTTTGGGATGTTGATGCATCTGCGCTAGACGTTGCTGACCGCTTCTGAGCCGTTCGGGGTTGCATATTGTAGTGCCAGTTGATGAGGAGAAGCTATGTCAATGTTTGATGGTGTTTGTCACTCGGGCACTGAATGTGCCATTACATCAAGCCGATTGCAAACTTCAGAGCACCCAGATTCTGCTTGGCTCTCATGACTTTTCATCGGATACGTATAAATGCATATGCAAAAATGGCCATAGCCACGTAAAGTATTTTCAAACGCTATTCAAGAGTGTATAGTAGAAATCGTGATCAGTAAAAATTACATCGCAGTGATTTGCATGACAGCATTCGCATATCCAGTACTATCGGTGATCTGGACACGCATGAGGAGCACCGTGTCTGCAAGACCTATCAGTACTTGCGGCGGACTAAGCTTGGCTGAGATCTCCATATTCTGCGAGCTAAAAAAGACGAGCAATTCTTTCCCGGCCTTGGTAACGAACTGAATTGAAGATAAAATAAGTTAGGGAAAATAACCAGACGTAAATGCAGTTGCTTACCGTCTGGCCTGAATGCAGACGTTGTTGAAATACGTCGAATTGCGTCTTGTGGTCATCGTCCGCAGAGGAATCGGGTACAACCCTCGCACTGCCGAGGCCTGAGAAAGTGCTGACGATTCTGACTGCATCTTCTAATAGATAGAATGTTCCAGCTCGACCGTCCAGCGACTTGTCAGCGTATATATCAGTGAATGAAACGCCTTTCATATTGTTGGAATCTTTCAATACGAGTGGAATAGGCGCATTTGCATTCAGAATGAGCTTGAATGTAGGAACAGATCTAATGATGGTTAGATCAGGAATCATCCAAAAATCACAGCACAAACTCGTTGACGCCGTTAGGTCCTTGAGCCGGTTCCTGTAACTTATACCTGCTCAGGAGTGAGATGGGACTATTGAGGAAAAAATAAGGACAGCCGCACATTGGCCCAAAGATAGTGTTGTCTTTTGACGTTTTCCATGACAAGCTTGAAATGGATGTCACCGAAGCTGAAGCTTGCACAGACGGGAACAGCTGCTCTTTGGCTTCTGCAAGACTAGAAACACATCATTCAAGCGAGGTCTAGTTGCACTTTGCGATATTATCTCACCTCTTTCGTGACGCTTCGTCTTCCACGGTCAGGGTAGCAGGGAGGGCTGCATCTTCGGTCGGAACATCATCAACAAGAGTTTCCACTGAGATTTCATTTATGGGTTGAGGTGGTTGTTCGACATTCGCTTCATCTTCGAAATCAGGCAATGCGTCTGCATCCGGCTTCAACCCTGCTATCTCCAACAATTCCTGTCCGGAGGAAACTGGTAAAGGAGTGTCCACAGGCTCCATCTGGCCAGCTAAACATGTATTTGCTTGATGCTCGTGATCTGTCTCGCCTGCTGCATCTTCATCACTCCAGGATGCGATGGCAAACTCGTGCTCTGGAATATGAGATGGTGCTGGAGCATCTTCAATTGCTTGTGACTCTTCCCTTACATCCTTTGCCCGCCCGAAGCGACCCTTCACGCTGGTTAGGCTGCCCTTCACAGCTGTCAACAGGGAGCTCCGGTTCTTGCCTCGGGAACGTCCACCAGGGCCAGGTTTTGATTGTGTCTTGTGGGATGCGTAACTACCATTATGTTGAGATGAGCTCGAAGGCTGGCCAGAAATCAAGCGTGTTTTTGCGGGGATGGCGGCCCCTGAATTCTTGTCCATTAGCGGAGCAGCATCGATAAACTTGACCAAAGGATTAGCCGCCCGAGCACGGTGAAGAGGTACCGCTGACTCAGCGGGAGTGCCATTTCTTGATTGTGGAGCAGAATCGAAAAGGGGGTCAGGCGAGCTGGGTCCCTCGTTGGCCGAAAGAATCACATCTTCACTCAGTACTTGACTGACTTCGATGGTATCCTGGATATCGGGAGAGTAGCTGCGAAGGTCCTCGAACTCCACGATTGTCCCATTGACCTTGGGAGGATCAGCATGGGAGTTGGGGATATCCTGAGCATCAGGGTCATCGGGGCCTATCTTCATTAGCTCTCCTTCCACTTCTTCCACTTCTCCAAAGAGTTCCATGTCGAGCTCCCCTTCGGCGTCCGTATCAGTCAGCTTAGTCAGGGAAAGCTGACGCGCGCCGCGGGGGCCTGGTGACGAAGCGCGCCTTTGTTTTGCCGGTGCTGATGATTTGGCCCTGCTTTTGGGCCCAAATGCCCTCACCCGTTGAGTCGATGCATGACCGGCGGTGCCAGGTTCTGACTCGCGCTTCCGCTTCGCCCTTGGTTCTCCCGCGGGTTTTTGATGTCTGCGCCGCTTCTTCGTGGTTAAGGGTTCATCATCGGAGGCATCATCTTCGAATGTCGCAGAACGTCCTTGTAGGACATCCCTACTAGATTTATTTTCAAGACGCGGACCCGCCCCTGACATAACGAACTATTAGACATAAGCGCTCTCTAGGGATACAAATAGCATACCAGTAAAGCCCGAAACATGAACCTCCTCTCCTTTCTCAAAAAGCTGTGGATTGGTATGCTCTCTGCCACGGGTTAAAGCATGCGCCCAGAAGGTCCTGAGGATATGCTTTGAGCCATAAGTAAAAGAGCTTTCGGGTTCCCAACTGTGCAGTAAATAAGAATAAGTAAGGAAGCCACCTAGCGAACAAAGTGACACCCTACGTGCTATCATCCAAACTATACCCTTTCCACTGCGACGCGTCAGTTGAGCAAAACGCGACCTCTTATACGTTATGTACTTACTTTGACATGATATTTCTATTTCGACAAAAGGCTTAGCATACATACTGTAACAGCGCCTTGTCCTAGACTTACCCATATGATTTTCCTGCCCCGCTTCGCCTCCACGCGCGCCTTCGTCACAGACTCTGAATCATCATGAGTACAACCATAGGATGACTACAAAGAACAGGCACTCGGAAACTCACCGACTTCGTATTCTGCGTCACTCATGGTGACATGAATAGAAAGGTGACAGTAAACCTTCGAGCCAAGGTTTCGCATTTTGGGCGTTGTACAATAATGTGGGAGAATATTTCCAATTCCAGTTCCCATATCATCACAAATTTTAATTATTGAGGTGACACGGAAGCAAAAGCAACGGAGTATCGAGTTATGTAGATCATCGCAATATTCATCGCAAAATCTGAATCAAGTTAACTATGATTAAAATAGGGCACGACTAAGTATGTTAGCAAGCGAGAATAAAATACAACAAGTAAGAAATAGTCAAGATACCAATAAGATCGTCGGGATGATATCAAGTCTGTCAACGACTGGGCAAGGCTAAAAGTCTGCCTGAAATAAGACAATCCTTCACCCATGGAACGTGAACGAGTGTTACGTCGTCCTGAAGGTCCTCGGGGAAATCCGTGTCTTCCTTGACGACAACATAGTCATATGCGGGAAGATCTTTGGATGCAAACTTGACCTCAGTCGCGGCTTCCACCCGAGAAGCTCCCATGCAAATCATAATCCAAGGGACGACTCGGCTCGGGTCTTGCGTAGCATCGGAACCACCCTGCAGGAAACAATGAGTATCCATACAGCAAGCGGCAATGTACTGCATACCTTTCTCCCCCCGCGTGACGGTAAGGGCACGAGATCAGAGCCAAGGCACAGTACAGTCTTGCCAGAAAACAACTTGGATGCTACCGTATTCGACATGATATCAGTCAAGTGCTCTTTGCAGTTACCCCAGTCTAGGTCAACAAGTTGAGATACCCGAGCACTCAATGACTCTGAAAACCCAGCAGGAAGCAGTGCGGGTTGCCAGTCCTAAATATGTTGTCAGCAGAAGATCGGGAAGACTCAAACCCAACATACTGGTGATGTTTGTTTGTCTAGATAATCATCTCGTATCCACTCATTAGACAGACATGGTATCCCAAGAGCGAGAGCCACCAGAAATTTCGGCTTCTGGTTGTAATCGTCGGCTAGAAGAAACACGCGTTCCAAACTCTCGAACTCGGGCTTCGGCTTGAACTTGAAGTTTTCCTGGGAAGCTATCCAGCGTTTATTTGACTGGCTATGGGTACCCTCCATGGGGAAAATGCTCGACCAGTCGTCAATGACCGTGCCTCCATTGTGCTTGATAGCTAGCATCACGCTTTCCTTCATTTTCTCAGGATGCTTGGTGCGAACGGTGAGCGTCACGACGAAACCGGTCTTCGCGAATGGCTTCTTATGCTTGAGTGAGGTGGTGCTCATCAAGGACATCCCGGAAGGTGAGGGCGTAGTACGTAGAGACTTCGGTCGAATGATTGTGACGATGGAATCTGCAGTAAGAGTGCGATCTTTCCAATGAGACTGGATAGCTCTTGAGGCGATCCGGACGTCCGAAATGGCGTAGTCTGAGCTTATGGTGTCAGAACCATCATCAACTTCGACACTGACGGATCCTGATTGCATCTGACTGATACCTACCACAGTACCGCGAAGATTACCGTGGCAAAGGATCACTCCATCTCCGACTCGCAGTTCACACCGACGGAGCATAGCGACATCCACTTGGTCCTCCGTCTCATCGTCGAATTTGATGAGATATTTAGTACCGGTCTGTAACGAGTGGATGGTGCCTGCATAATAATGACCATCTTGTCTCCACAATGCGAACACGCGAGTGGCGGGCTGAGCTGCAAGGGGGCGGCCTGTAGAAACAGTGTGACGAAGCCGTTTTCCAACTCGTGTAGCCGGCGCAGGGGTATCAGCGACTTTACTACGAGTAGATGCCTTCGACGGGACACGAACAGGCTTGACATCTTCAATGCGTCTCCGCTTCCGCGATGAAGGTGCTTTAATCCCAGCAGGAGCGGGACCAACGTCCATATAGTCATCATTGTCAGCGGGTTCCGTCTCTTCCTCCTCCTGTTTTTCGGCGCTCGGAGTTGAATGTATCTCGTCCTGATACTCATCAGAAGCCTCAGTATCCGAAGAGATTTTACGCTTCTTTGCAGAGGATTCTGCACGAGTGCGAGTGCTCTTGCGTGTAGGTGCGGGTGGTGCTTTCCCTTTCCCTTTCTCAATCTTGACGGAATGAGCTGCCACTCGCTCAACCACCGAGGTTCGATCTTGCTGGTCCTGCTCAGGAGCAGAACTAGGAATTTCTCTAGACTCTGGGTTCGCCTTCTTCTTCCCACGAGTTGAACTCTTCGGTTTCGTTGTAGAAGGCTTTACCTGCGGTTTCACAGACTGAGGGTGACACTGATTAAGACAAGCGACAAGTAACAAGTAAAGACCAGTCACCTTCTTGACCAGCACAGGGGGTGGAGGAATAGGTATCATCGAGGATTTGCCCGAAGTCGGCGCTGCTGTGGACTTTACAGCTGATTTGAGCTGCATAAGAGCAGCTAGAGGAATATCGCCCTCTGGATCTTGGCTACTTTCATGTACCTCCACAGAGTCTGCAACAATTTCTCCTGAGCTAAGCTCTGACATGGGGCTAAGAGGACAAAAGGGGCGCTTTATGGGACTCTCATTGAGCCTAATGTCTCTTGTGGGTGTGGCAGTGCTCGGTACGGGTGGTTCGGAGTCGGGTACGATGTCAAGGTTATCATATTCAGGCTGCGGTGACCGTGGACGATAAAAGGGTCTGATTGGCGGAGGTGCGTCGTTGTCCTCAGAAAGCAAGTCTGAAGAGTGTGCTGGTACAAAGTTTAATAGTTGGGTCTCGGCATGATCATTTGGCGTCTGAACAGGTTCAAACGGCTGTATAGCTGCTCTGCTGCCCATGGGGGCCGGAGGCGCACCGGCACCTTTGCTTTGCATCTGTCGAAGTCTGCGCTCCCGTTGTTCTGGGCGGATTAAAGACAAGAGACTGCGTGGACCCGGTGAAGAAGTCGTTCCAAGAGTGGCGCAAGCACTTCTGGAAAGCAAGGTCGGCGCGTATACCGCGACTGTGCTTGTAGCAGTATCGTCCCGTGGTGTTGATGGCTGAGTGGGCACAACCTGTTCAGGAATTGCCACAGGTTTCTTCTCCTGTGAAAGCTCATCTTCTGCTATAATAAGGGAAGATTGTGATGCATTGGCCTGGGCCCCATATCGATTGCGTCGTGCTTCGAGGGATTCGAGTGAGTCCTCTACATCAAACGTGAAGTAATGAGGTTGAGAGAAGCATCGATTGAACGAAGGGCCTCACCATCATTCAACAACTGCGATGCGTCGGGATGAGGAACGCTTGTGCTTTGAAAAGAGCCTTCAGAACCGCTCGAGTGCGAAGGAGTACCTGGCACAAGGACGCTGCCACTGGCTTCGCTGGCTTTGGATTGCTCATAAGCGCGCCGTATTTTATTCATCCATGAGTCATCGTCCTCCTGCGACGTGGATGAATGATCCATGGCGAGATCGGTTGTAGTAGTGCGTCCTAGGTCAGAAAGTGGCACGTCAAAAATCTGAGTAGCGTGCGCAATGTATTTTGCTGCAGGATCCTGTGAGACTGCGCCACCGAAGGAATCTTGCGAGCAAATGGAAGGAGACCTCTGACGTCGGCTGGGTGCCACAGGGAGGGATTTGGTAGGTTGAAGAAGTGGCTGGACTAGCTTTGCTGAACGAGGAGACTGAAAGGAAACAGACTTTGGGACTAAAAGGTAACAAAGATGTCACGATCTTAAAGCAAAAGAGTACAAAGGTTGATTAGTGGCTCACCATTCGCCTTTCCGATACCAGATGCTGTACATGAATCCGGGTGGCTCAAAGAATCGGCATGGGGACCCTTTACATTGACCAGTTTGGTAGAAGATGCTTGCGGGGACGACGAGCGAGTACGTGCAACATCTTCATTCTTATTCTTATTTGAGGCTGGAGTGTTTTCTTTCTGAGATCCTTCCTCGACTATTTCCTCCTCCGTGTGTAAAACTTGTGGCTGCGTTTGTGTTGGGGCAAGCCAGTTGAGCTGGTAGCGGGATGTTGAACCTCGAGCAGACGGAATCATCATGGAATCAATAGAAAAATTTGTACTGAGGTTCCTGTCACCTCCCTCTTGCTCGCATTGGTGATTCAAACCCCACTGGTCGCTATGCTCCGCAATTGACTTTTGTTTCGTAAGTGCATATTGTAGGAGCTGGGTCGGTTGCGATTCTATCGAATCACCACTAAACGGGAAAACTTTAATTGGAAAGTCCCGCTCAGCACGCAAGGACGACGCGCCTGTGATCAAAGATAGAGTCCATATGACCTTTGCGTTGCGCTGAGTGCGTATTTGTTGGCTGTAGTCATGTACTAATACTCTGCCTGGGCTGGACAACAAGAGACGGCGGATCTACGAAAAGGCCCAATAAGAAATTAGGGTGCATTCACAAACTGGGGTGCGACGCGAAAAATGAACCAGATCTGCGCCTGGACTCCGATGGAAGCCAAATGTATGGTCAACTAGCTCAGGGTCCATTAGAAAGAGGGTGATAAATTGGAATGAACACTGCCACTAACTCATTAACTAAGCACGATTCAGCTCCTTGGAGTTGGAGTACGTAAAACCGTCTATAAAGTTATCCGATTATTTATCTCGTCTCATCCTATGGCGGACTTCATGCTAGACTCCGTTGTGCAGCGATCCATGGAGCTCGAGCTCCGAATAGAATTGTAGGTTAGTAAAGAATGTTATACCAGGGTCAAACTGCTTACGTAAAAATCAATGCACGTGCTCTCGACGCGTCAATCTAACAGTGGTTGATTTTCTTGTTCTACTACATCTTTTCCGAAATTTAGTTCGTGCCAACCTATCGTTTCGCATTCACTCCTTTATCCCTCTGCGCCGGCCGCCGAAAAGTAGGCTGCAATGTACCAGATAGACAAAACGAACAATAATCGCTCTTTATCTTCTGTCGCTCGAACACTCCTCTCTGCGGATGACTCGGATGCCGTCGCCGCCGCCTTGATGCCTGCTATCAGCGCACAAAAAATCTCCACCTCTAGAACAACTTTCAAGAAAGCGCTTTCTAAGACAAAAGATAAAGCAAAGGCGACCTCCATCAGGCCTGTTCGTATCGCAGACTACGACTCCCAGGAGATGACGAACGTACCGAATCCTGTACCAGATACTGGCCTTCCTCCTCCGAGTGGTGATACAATATATTTCACGCCACCACCAATTACTGCATTTCCTTCGGTAATCCATCAGTCCCAGGAGTACCACGCTGCAGCGATCACTGGCAAGTCTATCAGCGCGATTTCTGTGTCAACCTTCACCCCATTGCCACCACTACTCTCTCTTGAACCCACACCAACCGCAAACAATGAGCATGCTATTGTAATAACGCCTGTTCCTTCTCGAGCGAGTTCAGTTCAGTCCCACAGTACTGTCCCATCAGCGCAAGTCCAACGTCCGTCGCCTTCGCACCAAATTTCAAAACCAGTAATAATTGCACTCTCTGTCGTTGGAGGTATCGTATTACTTGGGGTATTCATCCTGATAAGGCTTTTGAGACGTCCCTCGCCGCCGCAAGTGTCCAACACCCTCTCTCCCCATTCTCCAGGATGGTGCCTTCCCAGATCACTTTGGGAGCCAGGGGTCCGGATCCCCGGTTTTTGGAGGCAAGGAGCGATTCTCGCCCTCGCTGGGAAGTGCACGAGGAAATACAGGGCTCTGGACATGGACTCAGTATCACTCCGGAATTCCAAAGCCGGCACCAACTGTCACAGTCTCAAAGTCATCGCCAGGCGAACCCGTGAAAGGATCAAGCAGTCAAGAGAACTTACTTTCCGAGAAAAGGACCTCTTTTGGTGGGCAAAACCAATACCCTTTCACTGGGCAAGGCAACTTTGGACAAAGGACCCAACCGCCTCTACAGCCTATCCAGAATGCAATCACTCGCGCGGTCTCTCGGCTCTCCACTGTCTCCATGTCCCTTTACCCAAACTCGCCGGCCAACACTACCTACTATGGTGCGACGAACGTGGGTGTAGCCATCGAGAGCACAACGCCTCTGACAGGCGATGGACAAACTATGGCACGTGCAAAGGACAGGGTTGCGGCAGGACGCGCGCGCAATAGCATGGTCGCCCCTCCTGACGCCAAAGATGCATCCACGCTGCGACGCTCCCAGAGCTATGCTTACGGTGGAATGGACACTACCCCAACCTCACCTGGATCCGGGAGAAGCGCGCAGAATGGGGGCCGCACGCGCATCAAATCATCATATTACACACCTGGCTCACATCCTCGTACCTCCGTAGCTCCTTCGACATGGTCAAAAGACCGCGGACAGCAAGATGGTCTCCACTCTGATCGCACTTATGGATTGCAACGTTCTGAGTCTCATCGAGGCCGTGAGACACAGGCGCTGACATGTGCTCTTGGACTAGCTTCGCCTGTCCCGCCATCCCCTCATCCAACGCTATATCCGGATGATTCCATGAGTGTGATTGGAGAAGCAAAGAAGGTCACCGTGACAGGCATGCGCAGCCAAAAGAAACCAGTTCCCAAAGCTATGCCCAATTACGACAAGTCGTCGTCTCCTGACTCTGCGGCGCTTGGAAGTTTGATGATGGTGGACTTCGCGGCATCAAAGTCGACTGCATCACTGGTAAACATACGTCCGTCCGAAGCAGCCAGGGAGATGCAACAGACGCAAACTCAGGGAGGGCAGAGTTCGGGGGGGTCCGGTCAATCAAAGACGAGCTTGAAGAAGAGAGTGGAGGACAGACCACCACGTGTTCCATCACCTCCGCCGTTGCCATCGCTTGCACAGATGGCACTTGCTCACGCAAACCCCGAAGCGTATGCTGATTACCACAGCCCGACGTACAGCATCTACGGGTTGTATGATGGAGATAGGAAAAGTCGCGGGATGTCATTTGGATACTGATTTAGATTGATTCGCGTACAAGCTATACGACAGAGTGTTACCTACTATAGTTTTGTATGCCAAGGGATTGTACGTTTGTGGTTTCCGCGCGCTGAGGGCTGCAGCGCTGAATTCAGGTCACTGTCAAGCAAGTGCGGACCTGGTCGACCTTGGTGGTCTTATCTTTTGAATCGATCAGGAACTGTTCCCGGCAAGTCAATAAAATTGACAGCTGTACATGTGATATGCGGGAGTTGTTACTGAGTTGTTATGTTCGGATTCGTGAGAGGGCGTCTATAGCTGGTTTAAAATTCTCCTTCTCTGTTCTTCCTTCCTGCTGCGGACAATAAATTCCAACCAACTGCGCCAGGAATAAAAAAGCCTGGCAGCTGCGGACGACCCAAAGCCAGACCTAGGCTGAACTTGGAGCCGTTGCTGGGCACGCCCCTAGTTATAGTACTTACTACGCCTTTTCACATACCACCCGCCTGCGATACCCCTTCGAGCTTTTTTCCTTTCCAATACCCCATCGTATCTCTCATGTCCCAACTCGCCCTTCCTGCGCACCAAGAAAACCATGGCCACAAAGGCGACGACGATGACGATATCGAGTACGAAGAGCTCGGGCTGCTCCCCGCAGATATCCCGCCTGTTCCCTCATTTCGTGGCATTCCATTGAAATACATATCGTGAGTGTCGCGTCTTTCTGTTGCGACGTCTAAGCCTGGCATGATACTGCCAAGTTTTCTTGTCTCAAACACTGGGCGACCTTACTGACAACTCATGTCTACAGACTCGTGACGTTGGCGGTTCAGAATTCTCTTTTAACATTAATAATGCACTATTCTCGCGTGTCCATCCCTCCATCCCAGTCCTACTCTGCGCCAACCGCCGTTCTTCTCAACGAGCTTCTCAAAGGGTCCATATCACTCGCCATTGCTTTCGCCCGTATAAACCGTGTCACACCTTATACGTCCGACACCCCACAGCTACCACTCACTGTCAGCCGCTTCTGGCATCCTACAAAGATTCTCCTACGCGTCCGACGACTTGGCAGAGAAGTTTTTTCGCCGGATTGCTGGAAGCTGTCGATACCCGCCATCCTATATGGTATGTATTCCGCACTGCACATAAGTCGCTCTCATTAATTTCGCTTCGTGGGTTTCAGTCATTCAGAATAATCTGCAGTATGTTGCTGCCACCAATTTAGAAGCCGCAACTTTCCAAGTCAGTTATCAAATGAAAATACTTTCCACGGCGGCGTTTTCAGTCATACTCCTGCGAAAGCAGTTAAGCGCCAGTCAATGGCTAGCGCTGCTGTTCCTTGCTATCGGAGTCGGCGTGGTGCAAATACAGACTGGTGTGAGCGACACGAGCAAGGCATCCTCTCTGTTGTTCCATGAGACCTCGATGAACGCCCTGAAGGGGTTCCTCGCGGTGTTTGCCGCATGTTTCACATCCGGCCTCGCAGGTGTCTATTTCGAAATGGTTCTCAAAAATTCTCAGTCCGATCTTTGGATCCGCAACGTGCAACTCTCCGCATTCTCCCTCCTCCCTGCGCTTATTCCCATCATCCTCTCACGACCGTCTGAAACGGGATTCCTCAGTTCCTTGTTCGAGAACTTCGGAGCCTGGGCGTGGGCCACGGTTGCCATTCAAGTGCTTGGTGGCCTGGTCACCGCCATGGTCATCAAGTATTCTGACAACATTCTCAAGGGCTTCGCCACAAGTTTGAGCATTGTGATATCATTCCTGGCGTCAGTTGCACTCTTCGACTTCCAAATGACGTTCACGTTCATCCTTGGCTCTGTCATCGTTCTTATCGCAACATGGCTGTACAACCAGCCCGGGCGGAACCCTAGCACATCGAGACTGGTGTACGTGGGCAAGAACTGAGCGTCAAAAGATGATAGATAGTGCACATTGGGACATGCCACGTTTACGAGTTGGACACTTTCAGCCCGTTTATCGTCACTCCGGGAGTGCTCGGAACACTGTCTTCGACCACTTATTTATACCGATAAGGACGGTCACTCTTGTTACATTTGGACATGCATATAGTTTGTTGGACGCTTAAGTTACGGTACATCTACTATTCCGTGCCCCCATCCTCGCGTTGTCCTAATTTGATTACGCGACGATAGTCGGCCTACGATACACAATGTGATATACAATACAATCAATACTCCATGAAAGCTTTCTCGTAGTTTGTGTGATACTCTTGTTAGAGATCTCGAGAGCGATGCGAAGTATAATGTACAACACGAGCAGGTCCGACAGATAGATATACGCCCTCATACTCTCTGCTCCAAGCCTCTCTTGAGAGCTGTAAAAGAAACTTTATCAGTGAAAGAAAGCTATGGTCTCACACGGGTACCTACCATCACAGGTATCTTTAGCATCACCAAACAGCATCTTCGTATTTGGCATATAGAACATAGGGTTCGGGACGTCAGCTGCAAAAACGTAAATAGACCAATTGGCAATGTGAGGTTTATCACGCACCATATCCACTGGACATTCCTCTCTTCATCACAATGACCTGTTTGCTCTTCCATGCATGCAAAACAGGCATACCAGCAATCGGAGATCCAGGTTCAAGGGAGATAGGGTTTACAGTATCGTTGGCGCCGATGACGAGTGTCACATCAGTCTCGCCGAAATCATCGTTGATCTCATCCATCTCCAAGACGATATCATAAGGCACAGATGCCTCAGCCAGCAAGACGTTGCACTGGCCGGGCATGCGACCAGCAACAGGGTGAATAGCGAAGCGCACTTTGATACCCTTCGCTCTCAGCATAGCACATATTTCGGCGATAGGATATTGAGCCTTAGCAACAGCCATGCCGTACCCAACAACCTGGATCTAACTTAGGAAGTGCGTCAAACTGGTTCGATGATCAAGGCTTACCAATATCACATTCTCGGAATTGGCAAGAGCCTCTACTGTGTCGTCGATGTTCGTCTTCGTGATAGTGCCCTCAATTTGAGCGGTCTCACTCGGTGCAACAGTGCCAATGCCACCAAACAGAACGTTTATTATCGATCTGTTCATCGCCACGCACTGCGATATATTGTCTCAGCCACTCTAAATCTGGGAGGCCTATGGCACGCACCATGATGTATGATAGGATTGTACCACTGACGCCAATCAACGAACCTACTGTCGTAAGGAGGGGATTATCCAGCATGAAGCCTATCTAAAGGTCAAACACATGCTTAAAAGCTCGGCTCTGACACTCACCTTCTGCAACCAGCGCGAACCCTGAATAAGCGTTTAAGACAGTGATGACAACAGCTTCAAACGGCATGTTAGAAACTGACTACAAATGCTTGAAATCGTACATACGCATGTCGGCACCACCAATAGCAGCTGTCGTCGTGAAGCCCTTGATGAAACTGAGAACCGTGCTAACTCCAAGATACCCCGCAGCAACCAAGGGTACTGTTGGCGCGGTCGTAACAAATGCAGCCATGGTCAACACATTCGCTCCGAGAAAACCAGAGTTGATGATGTGCTTTCCGGGCAACATCAACGGTCTCGAGCCCATTTTTCCAGCAAGCTTCAAGAACGCGACAATGGAGCCAGTGAAGGTAATACCACCAATGACAACCCCGAGATAGGCAGTGACCAGGTGTAGCGTAGAGAGATGAGACGGGTCAGCAAGGACACTGCCGATGGAGGTGAGGACGGCAGCGAGACCGACAACGGAGTGCAAAGCGGCTACCATCTGTGGAAGCTCGGTGGCCGTGATACGGCGACCAATGATGGTACCGATTGTACCTCCAATAGTAGCAACACCGGCAAACTGAGCAAGCAGGGCAGGGGGGAAGCCGACCGCCAGAAGTGAGGCAAGGATGCCCGATCCGACACCGAGTATTCCCAATGCATTCCCTTGTCGTGCAGTTGCCTGAGATGCCAACCCAGATAGAGAAGCTGTATAGCCTATTAGGTTCGTACTCCCTAAATAACAAAATGTGCTTACCAATACAAAGCATGCTGCTTGTCAAGTAACCTGCCTGTACAAGGCCGGCCATACCAGTGCTGGCAGCAGCCAAGAAACCACCAGTAAATACGACAGCTGGGATACCGTACAACCAAGAGTATTCAGGAGGATCCGTTGGTCCTGTTATGCCATGTTAAAAGGTAGCAGACAACATCAAGGCTCAACTCACTCTTGAACATGTCAAGCATCCGCTTTGTTATGACGAAACCACCGGCGACATTGACACTAGCGAGGAGTACGGAGAGAGCGCCCAATACCTGAGGAATGGTTTCTGGGAGATATCCTCCTCCCATGACGAACAGACCACCAACACCGACTATGCCTGGGAAAGACACTCAGTACAGTTTCATACCCAAAGAGAAAGTAGATACCAGATATGGCATTGGTAACGGACATCAGGGGGGAGTGCAAAGCTGGAGCGACACCCCAGACGACTCGATATCCAACAATACCCGCAAGGCCAAACGTGAAGAAGTTGCTCATGAAGGCGGCGCCAGTCACCTTGCCGAGAGCCACTACGGAACCCATTCCAGCTGTGACTGTAGCTATCTCACGGGTAGCTTTTTGCCAGGGGGTGATAGCCAGAGTCTCAACCTTCTCCTCAGCCTTGGGAGTGGGACGCGCTGCGGGAGGAGGAGCAGGTCGGGGCACAGGAGGGAGGATAGCACCTTGGTGGACAACAATAGAACCACGAACGACTTCATCTGTAAGATCGACATTGAAGGCATTGTTCTCTCCTATGGACAACAAGAACTTGGTGATGTTGTTCGAATACAGAGTAGACGACTGCGTTGGAAGTCGTGAAGGAAGGTCGGTGTAACCTTGATCCTTTGAGATTTTATTGATCACGCAAAACAGATGGCATACCTATGATCGTCACGCCGTTCTTCACTACTAGCTTTCCAGGAACCGTCGCTTCGCAATTACCACCAGCTTCGGCAGCCATCTAAGTATAACAGCTATCAATAGCGACATTTTAATTCTTTGCCAAAGGTGACTCACATCCACAATAACCGAACCCTGCTTCATAGCTGCAACCATCTAAGAAAACGGTTAGATACGTCATAAATCCTCTGGTGGTTACTTGCATAATCGAGAATCAGTTTGGGTGCAGGTTTGCCAGGAATGAGGGCCTATAAACATTGGTTAGCAGAAGGGCCAAGAAAAATTGCAATGACACATACCGTAGTGATGACAATGTCGACCTCTTTGCACTGTTCCAAGAACAGCGCCATCTCAGCCTCAATGAACTCCTTAGACATTTCCTTCGCATAACCACCGGCGCCTCCGCCTTCTTCCTCGATGGAGACTTCCAAGAACTCTGCACCAAGAGACTGTACCTGTTCACGAGCTGCAGACCGTGTATCAAAACCGCGAACAATGGCACCAAGCCGACGGGCCTGGCGTAGCGGTATCATGAGCAAGGCATGACCACGAGCATCAAATTGTTCTTACAGTAGCGATGGCACTCAATCCAGCAACACCTGCACCGATGACGAGAACTTTGCCAGGTGGAATCTAAGTTCGTATAAGACGGCGTTAAACACGTGTGCCGCGGATGGCATACCTTCCTACAGGACGACGTTAGACATAGAAAGCAGAACGAACAATTGAGGCTGACCCAGCTGCGGTAACCTGACCCGTAAGATATCTTCCAAAATGATTAGAGGCCTCTAATACAGCCTTGTAGCCAGAAATATTCGCCATCGAGCTGTTAATACTGATCAATGCCTGCTTCTCTATGCCTAGTCGTGATTGAGTCTGACCTCAGCGCATCGAACGTCTGAGCACGAGAAATACGAGGAATCATATCCATAGCAAATGCATTAACTTTACGTGAAGCCAGCGCATCTACCACGGCCTTGTTCTTTGCGGGGTATAGGAACGAAATGACTGTGCTTCCCTGCTTCATGCCCTTGGCCTCTTCAACAACGGATGGTGCTTGCACTTTGAGCATGATATCCGTTCTATTGAAGAGCTCATCTCGAGATACGATAGCAGCTCCGGCTGCGACATATTCTTCATCCAGGAACTGAGCCTGTGCACCAGCATTTTTCTCGACAAGAACATTGGAAAAACCTTTCTTCTTAAGGAGGGTGACGTTCTGGGGCGTAAGAGAGACCCGTCGCTCATCCGGGAATATCTCTCGCGGCGCTCCGACTGTCAGAGACGTATAAGGGATGCCTGGTGTCAAGACGTGTGAACGAGAGGCCTCGTGTTGAGATGAAGGACAAGCACATACCAGAAACCTTTGGTGCCTCTGGAACGGCTTTGGCTTTGTTTGCGTTATTCGGTGACGAGTAAAATGAGCGAAGCACTAGTACTGTAAGTAGGGATATGTGAATCATAGGCCAATCCGGACCCAAATATCATAACGTCACTAACCTGAAGTGAGTGATCGGAGGCTGCTGCGCTTTGAAGTGTAAAGTGGCCGACAGCCGAGCCTCGCTGCTGGCGGCCTGAAAGCCAGCATGGACATGGTCGGGGTTGACAGAAGTAGACGGTCTGAGCCAGATGGACGTATGTGTTATTGTTACATAAAGCACTCGTTAAATACATAGTTCATGATAACGGTGGTAAATAGAGATCATCATCGGAAAAACAAGGCCCGCGGCATCCTTGCTTACCCTGAATTTCCGAATGAACCTACACTACGCGCGCTGGCCATCGATAAGTAACAGATGGGTAGGCTGGCTAGATATATATATCAAAGACATCGTGACGTCTGAGTTGATCATCGTCTCGACTCAAAAGCCGCCACGTACTACGCGTGGATATATGACTTTTGATTGCAACTTATAGAGCTCAGTGATACGCTGACGATCAAATTTCATATTGTTCAGCTTTTCGTCTTACGGTAAAGTATGAGATTAAACGGAAACGTTAACACGGGCAGTGGCGTATGCAGCGTGTGTCGCAACTAGCATGCAAGGCGGGCCGCAGCCTCCGACTCTCACGAAAACGTCACGGGCGGTCCGACCAGCGCCAATAGCCTCAAAGTACAGACTTTGATCATGCACCCATGGAGCACTTGTCAAGTCACCATCGTGTCAAGGACAAAGAGCCGCTTGCCGCAATATTCCTGGGAGTCGAATCTTAATTGCATATGTAGTATTATGGTGACATGAAATATATGTGCGTCATCATCGAATGAATGTATCATAGCGACCCCAGGCTTCCAGCACATACATCATACACAGACAGGTGCTACCCATGCGCTCAGTCCCCATTATCGCATCTTTCCACTGACCTCCTCTTCAAGATGCACCAGGGCTTGCGTATGCGAATGCTCCCACAAGGCCTCGGCTGCCACAGGGTCAATGGGCGGCAAGGGCCTCCGGGGATGGCCACCGTAGCCGTATAATTTCTGGAGAAGGTATTTCGTTCCTGAAATTGACGCCTTGGCAATGGTAGCGTCTGCACGCCCGATAATGCCTTGCAGCCGCTGTGCCTCGGGAAGGAAGGAAGGATCAACCATGGAGGCCTCACTTAACTCAAAGAGTTTTACAATAGAATACTTGAAAAACAAACGCAAATCAGGAAACATAAATTCCATCCAAATTTAGGCACGTACAGGAGCAACGTTTGCAAGGCCAGTAATAGCACCATGCCCATTTGAATACGCTGATGGTAAAAGGAAGTCGCTGAATCCGCCAAGGACGAGGAAAGACGCATTCTTGTTTGTCCGAGGGTAAAGAGATGAAAACATCGGATCTGATACCGTAGCCGCCACACGGGTGAGCTTCCCGACATCTCCACAGCTGACCGAAACGGTCATTACACGCTTTGCATATATGATTAATGAAGAACTCACGTGAGCTTGACACCGCAGGTATTAGGGCACTCAATTGCGAGCTCAGTGATGAGGTCAGAGTCTAGATTGATACCTCCACTGGCACCAGGGTCTAGGCCAATGATCAGGTACTCGTCGGCAAATATTTTCAAAAAAGACACGCACAATTGTAGATTATGACTGGTATAGGGCTCTTAGAGCTAACTTCTTGGAAGAAAGCTTTTAGTGCTTTCCTGTCGCCAGCAAGCGCACCAGCGAAGTAACCACTCGTGATAGCGATGGCATAGTCTGCGCCAGCTGCAGCGGCTTCATTCGCTAGCTCTATAGATTCGCGAGTGCTGCCGGCGCCGATGCCGGTTATGACCGGAACGTTTAATAATCCCGCATGGTCAAGTGCCTTCCTTGCAGTCTTGATCAATACCACTCGCTCTGCATGTGATAGATGGATGGCTTCGCCCATCGACCCAGCCAACAGGGGCCCCACTCCGGCAGTGGCGACACGGACGACATGGTTCTCAAAAGAGGGGATGTCTAGATAACTGATAAGTACTGCGCTCTACGACTACGAGATGTTGTTGAGACATGCAATGAGAGAGACTGACCAAGATCCTCGGACTCGGGAAGGAAGAACGATGGAATTGGTGCATAGATACCAGGTTTCAAAGGACGAATTGTTGAAACATGTGTACCATTACCATTAAGACTCATGATGAAGAAGAGATTCGTGAAGGAGACACAATAACTTGAGGTTCCATAGGTAGGGGGTATATAAGGACGGTGGAGATTCTCGTTATGCGGCCCGAAGTCGGATCCGGCGGTCCGTCACGGGCCGTCACCGGGGTGCCTATTAGGCCACGACGCCAAGCTTGTCAAAGAACATCAAGAACCTGCATAGAAAACACGATCGATGAGTCAATGTGATTGCACTGACAGGCGACGGGGAGGTTGTCGCTTACCTACTTCTTATGCTTGTGGAGCATTATCGCCACCCAGGCGCCGCATTCAACTCTCCACCGTTACCGTTATATGAAAACCTGCATGTTATGAAGTTCAATTGAGTTGATATCCTTCTAGTGTCATGTTGGTGAAAGAATTTTATAGCAAATTTGGTAAAGGTGTTAGTCGAGACAACTTTGGGAGATAGTTCGCAGATTTTCGCCGGCAATCAAAGCCTCATGGACGGCTACAATTATCAAACCAATTCAATTTGGCGAATTAGCTTCACGCACAAAGTATCCTGACGTGCTTTGCCCAGGAAATGTCACAGGTTTACCACTGCACGCCAGTACTTATGAAAGTCACCTGGGCCCACCTGTGAATCCAACAATTCGAGCGATCTCACATGTGACTGTATCTGATCCTCTGTTCTATTGCCAAGCACCTGTAAATGCACCTACGGGTAGAAATAAGGGTCAGAAGGTGCCCATCAGTTTGCAAGCATGGAATGTACTATTCCAGAGGTAAATGAAACAACGGAGACCATACTGACGGATTAATACGTCAAGAAAATCATGTATCAGGGCAAAGGAGCCAATTCCGCACCTCATTTTACGGAAGCGGCTTAACAGCGCTGCGAACAACGATAAACACTTCTCCCATTGAAATTAGCAAAACTATGACGCCTCCGAATCAAGATACGAACATGAGGTTCTTCAAAATTCCTGATCAAACTTTGAGTAGCGTGAGGGTGATAAGAACCACACACTAAGCATCGTACTGGGGCGCTCAAGCTACTCATTCGGATTGCAATGATCCCGCTCGCATGCCGCCCGGACCGTCCCTTAGCCTTCGTCTGATCACAAAGGAACAACTATCTCCCTTCGATTAGTCTGGCTAGGGGAGACTAGGCCATCGTCAAGCGCATAGAGCTATAAATGTACGATAAGCTGTCTGCCCAGATTTGACGTTGAAATTTGCAGTCAATAAACCGCCCAATCAAACAGACCTAATAGTAATACAGAGAATGACATGGAGACAGCAAAAGGGCGTACTGTAATGTCAAGAAGTTTTTTGGGGCTTCGGACCTTCAACGATTTCCAGGTGATCGATGACTTCCCGCTCCCATTGTGTCCAGCCGTCTTCGCATACATCGCCCTCGGATTCAGAAGCCCGCGAAAATACGTCCCAAGGAACACATCCTTTGTCTTCGGAATCGGTGGCTGGTTCGAGCGCAAAACGGCCTTGTCGAGAACGAGTTAAAGTTACAACGTGAGCAGCTGATCCGACCGCATGACCCAGATCATGCACGATTGAGCGTACGTATGTCCCACCGGAAACCTTCATACTGAGTACGAATGCCGTCGGAGACTCGTCACCCACCGCAGGCTCTAGTTCATCTTTGATAATAGAGTTTTCTTCGACTCCTTCTAAGGCCTTTTCCATTGCTTTTTTTTCATCAGAAGTGAATTCCTTTTCTGGCCAACGGAATTGGTGGTCACTTCCTTTCCATTCGAGAATGTCTAAGGAGTGTATCGTGACTTTCCTCTTTTCGATAGGTCGAGGCAGGGGTATGCCTTTCCGAGCATAGTCATACAGCGGTCTACCTTCCATCTTGAGCGCGGAGAAACTGACAAGGAAAATATGAAATCAGAAAGGTGCAGGGAAATCACAGGGAAATCACATATTTACATTGGGGGCGCTTGGTGTATTTCCCCTCTGAAGTTGCTCAATGCGGATTCTACGGCTTCTCGAGTGACATGTCTCCAGGGTGCAACACGCACTCGGCTACCTTCACTATCGTAGGTATCAGTTTCGCATCCCAAAAGCGCCGTCGTGCGGTATTCCTGATGAGCCTTGGTGAACCCTTGAACTTAGATTTATCGATGATGCAGGAAGTACCTTTACACAATCCAAGAACTCGTTAAGATGTCTAGTCCCTTTTCCAATACCTACGACTGGATGAGACAGTCACAAGAATGAGATGGCTCCAAGATCTACAACAACGGGACGCGACCATACCCAGAACGCCATCAGCAAGAGGATCGAGCGTCCCTCCTTGTCCTATCTTCACTATCCCTCGTGCCCGTTTCCCTCTAGTGGGGATTTTACCTTTACCGCGCGTTTCCAATTTGTCTGCATCCACAAACAAACGCGAGTTGCCAACCAATTGTTTGAGATCGTTGATGACAGACATCGATGTCGGTCCGGAAGGTTTCATGACGGCGAAAAGCCCAGACACAGGTAGCTGTGGCAACGTTACTTTTGGCATCTCGAAGTAGGAACCTTTACGGTCTGCGTGTAGTCGGATGCAACTGACTCAGAGTGTGTAAGATCCCCGAGGAAATCTTGACTCTTTGTGGTACTTTGTTTGTACACACTAACTCAGGGCCCGGTCTAGATCTAAGGGCTGGGTGATCGATCAGGTAGGCGAGGAAGCGAAGACTGAGTTTTACTAGAAGTTGCAACGTTGCACAACCAAGCCGTCAAAGCGGCCACAAAATTGCACCAATTGCACCATTATTTCAGGGAAATACATATCAGGACTCGGTACAATAATGGTTAGAGGGAGATGCAACATGATAACAGTATCTAGGAAGCAGCACAGTACGGCGCAGTGTACCATGCGTACTAAATATTTCCGTTCACCCAAGATCCCCCACAGATGCACCTCGCCGCCCACATCCTTTCCCAAATCTTCCATCTCGGAGATGAATGTCCCGCAACCATCACCTCACCTCCGACCTGTGAGCGTCCACCACACCTCAAACAAAGCAGCCCAGGTTTTTGTGTCAAAAGCCTTCCCTTTGTCACCACGTCCATCCCCGGATCGTCTCCCACAGGACGATCCGACACTGACAGATTCGCAAACCCATCAACAAGATCAGACGACTTGATGAACAAGCGAGGCCTGTCTATCGCGGATGATGTGGTAAGCGATCGGATGGTCTTCTTCAATTGCTCGTGTTGCGCGGGCACAGGATGTCCCTCAGCGAACGAAGCCATGACTTCTTCAACTGAATGAGGAGGTTAAGCTTTCAACGACAACTGCATACATAGGGAATTGTGATACACACCTGGAATTGCACTCGCTTCAGGAATCGCAGAGCTGAGAATGTCTTCGAGAACTTTCAGGTCCAAGCCTGATGAATTGACGAGGTCCAGCATGGTATCCCTCGCAAACTGCGAGTTCTCCCGTTTTGCCGTCATCGAGGTCAAATATTGGTGAAAAGAGCTGACGTGAAACACTACAGCCCTAAGATTTGTGAGAAAAAGTGGATGGACTAGATGGAGAAGTATCGGTGTGTCTAGTGACACTGAATGAGGCGATTGGTTCGTGACTTGTTGGGAGGGAGACGTGAGCCAATTTTGTAGAAATGGGTTATCGTCCATGGGTTCCTGCTTCGGCATCACTTCGTTGGAGTTTAGACTTGTGTTTGGGGTTGGGTCGGCCAGGTCAGCCAGAAAGACGCATTCTTTCATGAGATCTTCCAAGAAAGCAACCACCCAAGTTGACAGGCTAATTAACTGCCAGACAGGCTCTTTTGAAATAATGAGAGCGACTACATTAAGTGCTTGCTCTGACGGTCGTGAAGACACAACAGACTCACCGAGGTCATATCCCTCTGACTCTTTGCAGTTTTCAAAAGCAGCGGAACAAGCAGAGACAGAACACACATTGAGTGCGTTTCGTGAGAGCATCAAATATCTCTCTTTCTCATCTTCGCTCTGCGTCCAACGTGCCCTCGTTCTGTTGCACATCAACATACATGCACCGGAATGACGTGAAATTCATCACCTGTAGATCTCAACAGCAGCTCCCATCACGTCGACCATCGAAAACGAGTTCGCAGTGCCAAGACGGGCATTCACTTCATAGGAAGTCAACGTACCAAATAGCGTATCATGCAGCATCGTGGCTGGAGTACTTGGGAGAGACAGAATGTGAGAGATATCTGCTGTCGATCTCCGAGATTGAAGTGCAACAGTCAGGGCTTGTGCGAGCGGCAACTGATGTAGGGTATCTATAGTGCGTAAGCATCGACGCAGGTGGATGCTAACGTTACCGACCTTTTGATCCTGAAGTGATCCGTGCCCTTGGAAGAATGTAAACTGAAGTCTGCAACATCGAAACTGTACAGGCGAGCAATCTGTTAGGCGATGTGAATATACTCAGAGGACCTGTCCCGGGGAAGTTAATCATTGCCCGCAAGCATGAAGATTGACTCACAATCGCTGCTCGTTCTGTTAACAGGTGCAAGAATACTTGGATGATCGCAATCGGGATCATCGGAGAGGTCTGGTCTGGTAACAATTAGAACAAAAGAATTAGAAGTAAAATGGATGGCTTACAGTTGCAAAGCGAAGAGATTGCCCACAGGGATTTCTTTTGGTTTGGTTGCGCCTCGTACCAACGCCCCCCCTGGATTGGTCATTGCAACAACTATTGTTGCCTTTCTCATCGCGACTGACAAAGAGCCAGGGGCAACAACTGTAAGAATGCGAGGAGAGAGAGACCGGTCTCCCACAAGCCGTGCAGCCTACCCGCGGTTCAATCAGAAATTCGCTCACAATGAAGTAGTAGGGATACTCACCCAAGGAATCTTGCTATTTGGAGGAACGACCCTGACTATTGAATATGCAACTATGCGAGACTTTGGCAGTGACGCGTCTTATAGTTAATCGATTATTGAGTAAAATGATTGCTCAAGCAACATGAGTGAACCCACATTCCTCGAAATCCAAGAATGATGCAACTAGATATGTCATAGGCAGTTCTAGCTGACCACGTTGGGGTTGCTTGTCCTTCATCGGTGATGCTTTGGGCGACGTAGAAGTATCTGGTTTGGACCCAGGTACCGAGACGAACATGAAGTCGGTCAGGCAAGGCGCAGGATGGTAAATAGGTGAGAGAGGCGCGGTGAAGATGGCTAGATGAAGGTATTAGAAATCTGCGTTTCTACATTTTGGAGGACGTACACATGCACAAGCCGTCAAAACGCAGTTTCACCTCACAAAGCTCGATCATTTGCTCCTCTTGGTAAGAATTCCAATCCAACAATGGTGGGCGCTCATCCAGTTGATTATCAAGAGAAAGTCCAAGATCATGGGAGTTATCCGATGCTGCTCTTAGGGTATCTGATAATGGATAGCGTCGGGATCGCATGGCGACCACAAACACAGACTCTGCGAGACGCGTGCGATCTAAAACACGCACGATCTCAGATGACTGTAACTGATGACCAAAAGTACAGGCTCACCGTGGAAAATGAAGCCGAACGAAGCTGCACTGCAGAGCCTGGAAGTCTTGGGTCCACGGGGAGGATCATGAGCAACTTGGCTCATGTTCTCAGCAGTATAGCACGCCTGCACGAGGGGACAGGTCAAAGATTTTACACCTGACGCATAAGTGCGCAAGAAGTAGACATTTAGTTGGTGAGCCTGGGTTACTGTGAGTAGGGTGGGGTTAGATACAGGGGTCAGAGGTCCGCATTGAGCCAAGCGAGTGGTGGAACCATCTGGGCATGTGACCCACTAAAATGACTTTTAATGATTTGAATGACGAAGAAAATAGATGATGTCACCTCGCGTTCGGCGCTGACGAACACAGCATTGACTATACCAGCGCCTCGTTCGCAAGCCCAGTAGTCTCTTATATTCCACTTGTCAATAGTGTATCCACGTTGCCACAGACATCCGACGCCGTCACAGTCGCGGCCTGGAAAGTATGCAAATAACCAATGGTCATTGGATGAAACTGTGATAACATTTGGAGGTTCGTAAGCAGCAGGATTGTTCAATATTTGATCTGGGGATACGATGAGAAACTGTTTTGAGGAAGAAAAGGATCTCCCGAGTATTAAGGGTTGAGAAGGGTGGGGAGTGAATATGGTTGATGTATTGGACCACGCGACGGGTCTTGAAGCAGAGACACCAATTAGATAAAAAGTTGTGAGTGAGATTATTGGAAGTGACCTTTGGAGATTATCTGCTAGTGGATGAAAATCCCACCAGTGGGAGTGCCAGTTTTGTGCATCAGCTTGTTTTGCTTTTCCCTTGGAGGGAGAGTTTCGGGCGTCGGGGTACATTTCTCCTTGAAGAGAACATGCGTTGACGGAACAAATAGATGACAACGGGACTTAAGGACTTTGATCTCCGTACTGAACCGTATCTCCTCCACAACGATCATCATGCTCAGCATACATTCTACTTCAGTAGAGCTGGAGGGTGTACCTACGGAAATCATGGTACAAGGATTTGCGGATCGTATCCTCGTACTTGTTACGCAATTAGGAAAAGTTGGCAACTTGGTGAGGCACTTTTAGCATTTGCACTTGATTCAACTATTAACGATGGATGTAAAAGATTCAAGCATCCATCCCATCGACGACGCCACTATTATCGGCTGATCTTGATGAGGATTCAACTAATGGACTCCCTGCGCCCCCTGCGGCCATTCAACTCACACCACTACTTGGTGGCGCTTCCTCTGAACATTTGCAGACGCTGCATTCATTATATGCTGCACAAATCGCCACCATTATCTGGGTCGAAGAAGCAAAGAAGATGGCTGTGAACCGAAGAAGTGTTGTAGTTGGAATAGCGCTTCATAGAGATGCTGATGAAAGAAACACATTTCACGGAGTAATGAATCATCTTTACCGCCTAGTTAAATAAGATTTTCCATTTATAGGATACACTAGGGTTAGGGTTAGAACTACTAAAAATCGAAAAAAAAAGATGGCCTGCTTAGCCAGAGTGGCCATAGCAGGACTGGAAAATATTGAGACGGTGCATGAGCCGGAGCCCATACAAACCGTAGCTTACCCTCTGTATGGACAGGGTCGCCGTGCTATGAAGGGTCCCCACGGCCCACAAACCCAGGTACTTGAAGGAGCCTATGCCATCAAGGTAAGTATGAGTTGTTACAGTGTCAGCACCCCGCTTATATACACAACAAAAACGCGCACGGACCATCAGTTACATGCTTTCCATTTATGGAATGCAAGCAACAAGCTAAAACTTATTGCAAGCCAGCACACAGAGCTTGTTCTGCTGCAAGATGTCCCGAATATTTCGTCGGTCCCTCAGTTCCTTCAAAAGAGCTCCTCAAGCACTCCCAATTGCTGAGGATACCGCACAATTTGCTGCTCACCTAAATAACATCCTCCCCTCCCTCCATTTTCCTCCAGAGCTTGCACAACGTATCCTCACCCATGGAAGTCACAAGGCAGCTATTCACGGTCATAATGGACGGCTCAGCTTCGTAGGAAAGACTCTGGCTGCATCTGTCATATATATTAAGTACCTAATTATTTTTTACAGGACGTCGCGTGCTTGAGTCTTATTACCTGCTCTTCCTACATTCCGTCGCGCGAAACCAAAATCAGCACGACTATGAGTATCTCTCTTCTCGTGCTCTAAACACCTACCTTCTGGGCGAACACGTTGCTCCTCGGTGGTCCTTGGGTCGTATTCTGCGATGGACTCCTACTGTCTCTCAAGATGTTTTACTGGCCCACAAAAATGTCAAAAAACCATTCGCAAAACAGCCCGCAGATGTTGAGCTAGAAAATGCATTAACGAGAAATCCTGGTATAGTCAGAAGTGTCGGTCTTTACAAAGTCATGGGAGAAGCTGTACAGTCCGTGATGGGTGGTGTCTATCATCAATTCGTACGTCCCTTTACGCTGCATCACATTACAAATCTGAAGTGTTGTGATCATTGGTCACGCGTCCATTTTGCAGGGTGGTTCTGTGGCTCATCGCTTGTTTCACACTCGTATTCTACCCCATATTCTGTTGCCAGACAAGGCTGAGGGTGTGCCTGTGGAATTCCATCACCAGGCATTGGCGATCTGTGAACGCATGGGTGGCGTGGACGGGAATTTGTTGGTTCAGGAGCTTGCCTCAAAACGTGTTCTTTCGGAGCTTGAGCTCGAGGCTGTAGAGACAGTTCAGCCAAAAAGAGTTGCGTGAGTGTGTTCTTGGTAGATCTTTTGCTCTGTTTGATTATCTTTCCGCAGTGCTGCTAGCGCATGAGTCCACTTGACTCTCATTTTCTATCGTGTTTATTCTATGGATCGCATTAATTGCAACAACATTTTAGTAGTCTTGCTGGCGTGTCACTCGAGAGCAAGACATTATGACAGTGCCGCCTATAAGACAATCAACTCTACCGATGCGCAGGCGTAACGCAAGGACAGAGCAACAATTGTACCTGAGGTATAGGCATTTCATTGATGGCTAGCCATTCAGACACTATAATGCACATGGACGAATAGATAGCTAACAGATCAGTATCCATTTTCTACTGCAATGAAAGTACGTTTAATAGCAGAGTCGCTTTTTCTAACACCGGTGCTCTCAGTAATATGCGTCATCGCCCCAGCATCATGGTTCTGGGAGAAGCCTGCAGATGAACGAATATCACACATCTGGTTGATATCCTGGCACCTCCGCAGCTCCTTCGGAAAAGGTCACCGTGATCATCACACCTGCTATATTCCTTCATTATGTGCACACTACCTGCTCGAAAGCACACGCATCTGGTGTTGTGAATTCTGCAACCAGACATCTTCTAGTCGGCTTGTCTTTCATCTTTTGCTATCCTTTGTAATGCGCCCCGCCTTGCCTTACCGGATGCTCTTCATACTGCTGGTGCCTCCTGCGAACCATCGATTGGCTAGTTGGTTTTCTACGGTTCGGAAACCTTTGCACAAATGAAAGTACATCCTTCGCCAGCCACATCAACAAACGCTTCTAACAGCGTTGCGAGAATGGTCAGTGAGTTTGCCAAAGACCTCACTGCAGTGCACTTGAGAAAGTAGTGGTCATAGATGTCGCATGAAAGGTGCCTGCTTCCATGGGCTATGTCAAAATACTGCGCATCCTCGAATGTAAGTTATCGTGTCTCTATCCAAAAATACCCCAAGTGGGCTAAAGCATTCCCCAGGACAGTTCTACGTATAGTGATCATGATGCTGATAGTATTTGCAGACCAGCCAATAGGACCTAGTTGTCGCCAATAACTCGATTGCGACGGCCTCGAGTAGTATCTGCCACTTACACGTCTACGGTGGCGTCTTGAGCCTCTTGATCAAAGACCTTCCAAGCAGAGATTGTTTAAACGACTCAAGTCCATTGAGATAATGATGAAAAAGAGTCGTAAATATCTGAACGACATACCTTGCAGAAATAATGCATATACATCAGTTTTTCCGCTGATGCAAATTGATCGCGTCCGCGACAGACATACTTCCCAAGAATCCCGAACCTCCGAGTCCAACTTAGTCCTCCCTGAGAAATCGCCAATACCGCTCGACACGTAGCGCATTTTGATCCTCAAAGTTGTCCAGAAACCCAAATTTGATTAGCACTGCCTAGTGACCAGGGTTACTTAGCCAACTTGAAGTTGATCCAAGATCATTTCATTCTGATGCTTGATCATGATTCCTCGAGACTCAGAGGAATGATTGTATTGCCGCAGATCTCACGATGGCTGCGTGAGCTAATGCGCCCAGGGCTGTCCGTAGCAGTACATAGAACCGTAGATAGTTATGAGCGTCGAACTGCCTTTGGGATGCACCATGAGGTTTTCTGATGAACTTACTACCGTAGTGGTGGGAACTGGGGTCTCCATCATCCTAGATACAACGTTAACAAGTTCAATATTGTAGTCTTTTCAAATGTACATGTGGAACAAGCTGTCGTATCAGAACAATGCATGAACTCGTGGAATCGATATAGCGCTTGTAAACTCTGAATTTGGAACACACTATACCCATTCGATAATTAAATTGTACGTAAGTGCCGCTCAGGCTGATTGGATCAATCGGTCGTGCCTGCACTGCTCTTCAAACTATCATTGCCATTCATCATGATCAACTCAAGTCGAAGCCATTCTCTCCGTCATGTTTTTTTTCTCAAGCTCCAGGCCGTACAGACCATTAAGTCTGACACCACAAGAAGTCATTGACTCTGAGAGCGATGACGACCACAAAGCAAAGCTGCATAAGACTTCGCGAACTGTACTCCATTGGCCTCTTGTCGTTGTAATCTTCTGCACGCTCATCAACCTATTTCTGGTCTCTACCCCTACCTTTCTCCAAATTGCTTCAGTATCTTCAGATAAACTTATCACTCGAAAGAATATTCACCTTCTCCGTCGTCCCTCTCAATATATGCGGTTCGACGACATCGCACGGACGTCGCCTTCTATTCCGAGGGAGTTCACAAATTTCCCCATGTCTGTCAGTTTGGTGGATCACTCTGCGCCAAGTCATGTTTTCAATGACTATCTTGCGATGCGCACGACACGTGCTGGCACAATCTCACCTAATGACCGCAAAGTACACGTCACACAGACTGTCAGTTTATCTTCCATTTTTTTCTGTGTTTAATAGACTGATGGAATGGAAGGTTTCAACAATATTTCAATTCAGAGCGATTGACTGGGGCATGGAAAACTGCGAACTGCACGTCGCCATTCCGCCTGTGGACCGACCGACTACACTTGCTTTATACCGCCTCAATGCCACTGTACCACTTGATATTTCAACATTATCTTTTAACGTCCGACCGCCACGGGTCGCGAAACTCAGTAACATAGTGCTAGGGCAGGACAGCTTGGATTGGCACAGAAAACTTTCTTGTGCTATGGACGACGTCCTTGTTTTTGAGTTAGCATGTTCGGAGGACGAAGTAAGCGGTAGCTGCGATATCGAATGGTGGCAGGCTCGCGAGGAGACTGCACCGGGTGAGTGCTTTACCACTCTCTATGAAATTCGCTGACAGCATGATTTAAACCTCTAGCTGTCTACATGATCCAGCGTTCCACTGTGTAACTTTATTTTCCTTGAATTTTCGTCGTCGAGACGAAAAGTTTGGTTCATTTAACAGGTTTAGTTATCTGATTACAATCTTATGCAATCACACTTGCCATCAGCCACCTTACTCGTGTACTTGCGAATGTGGTCCAGTCCCATAAGCCAGACCACCTCCAAAGTGAGTGTGTGCAGTATTGAAACTTCGTCACAGCACATAGCGACAGCTGGATTTTTGCCTGACTTCGACACTTTCAGTTTCAACTACGTATCTCACTCAATTCTACTTCCAACGTGGTCGTTCAACCTCGTAATGAGCATGAGGGAGAATGATATCTCCTACATTTTGTGTTTAAGTAGTTGGAAATACGAATTTTGTGAAAGTGCCGACTTCTATGGGGTGCTAATTGCACCGGAAGGGATCCATGTTGATAACTAATGTGCCTCTGGCTTCACGCACATAAATATAATGATCAGGTACGAATAGATTTGCAAAGATCTAAATGGTTTTATGTGAGCATCAAAATGGTGGGGCCATTTTCCAAACTACTGCACATGGGCGCTATGCACCCAAGCTATTCCACACTGCCATCTTGATCGGCAAGCATCGCGTCTTGCGGAGATCATTATTTTCCGCACTGGAAGCAGAGAGAATGTGAACCAATGCTCCCAGGGAATATCATATCCGCATAGTCTGAACCCCAAAAGCTGGAGCACCGTTACTTGTTGTTAGCTACCGCACACTGCATACGCATATGTACTGGTTTAGTCGTAGTAAGTCGGCTCCGGTCACGATGCATCTGCTATCCATGCAGTCACCATCAGAGCATTCACAGGGTGAGATGCAACCAATCGAGACACATCTATAGATTATTTTGACCAAGTCAATTGGATAATGCTAGAGTGTGCACGATGGCTGTTTGTTATGCTTCATTACATGTGCCCATGAACTGGTATTTAAAGGGTGTAACTCCCAATCTCACTTTAAAACAACACATCCTAAACACTACACCTCAGTAAAGAATATCATTAAGATGACCGTGCTTAACATCAACAAGCTTAGTATCTATGCTGTACTCCTGTCAGCAGCCTTCGCACAGATCCTAGTGGTCAGTGCGGCCAGTATTCCCAGTGCAGAGCACCGTGACTTGACAGTGGGTTCCGACGATTCAGTGGATGGCATTAGTGAGTGTAATCCCGACGATTTTGTGGGGCAGGACTTACGAGCTTCTAGCAATACACTATCCTTACTGAAACCCAAATACAGCTGGAGGGTTGAAAGTTGACGCAAAGGAGGACAGATCAGCACATGGGCACATTGCAGGTGACATCCCGGGGGGGGGGGGGCGGTGATATTGAATGTACTATATGTTTCTAGAGATCTCCTGTTATTTTGTTCACTACCCATGTACAGTGATTATCATCGGTCCACTCGGCGGTACCATTTTGGTGTTTACATGATCTTGCACTGTGCAAGGCTTAATCTGTCGGAGGAAGAAGTTGAGAAAATTGAGTCTCGTATTCATTGTCGCTGTTGCTTCGAGAGTGTGCTGACAATTTCGTGAACCGGGGATCAACAAAGTGCGACACGCACGTTCCTCATCTCAACGATGAAGTAGCAGAAGACAGCTTCGAAACAAAGCTAGAAAATATATACCAGCTGAGATGAACATCGAATGAATAAAAAAATGCCACCGCCCTGGTCTCCCTAGCCTAAACCAACGCTGTAGTGGGGAGCGCCAGGAGTACCTGGCCCGTAGTCGGTAGTCTCGCGCAGCGTTGTAGTCAGTTCTCGATAGATGGAGCCGTAGCCTCCCGCTATAGAGGTTTGGCCTGCAGTCCGTACCCGTTCCAACCCTCTATGACATTCCTTTTAATAAATTCTCCACCCATGGATGTGACTTACTATATAGACATGTGCGTGGCACGCAGCCGCGGGCTTCAGTCGTCTTGTGTTTCAACCTGTACTTGAATCGAATCGTAAAAAAACCATTGCGATTGCGATTATCAGATAAAAGAAACGGAGCGTATTCAGTCGCATTGCGCTGGCAAGCTGCTAAGTTGTCGACATGTCACATGTCAACACTAGAGGCCGGTACATGAAAGATACAGGCAACTTACATTTGGCACAGCCACTCTGACTACGAATCTCAGACCCTGGCATGACTAATCATTTTTGCGTCGAGCATGCCAACACCCGTCTTACTGTCTCGGTAAGTACAACCCTTGCTATTCGAAAAGCTAGCGCTTATAATAACTAGTGGACTTGACCCGGTGTTAGGCATTTTCACAGGTTTCTTTGCCTATTACCTCCACGAGACACATCCACGCACCGCACCCCCACCGGACAAGCGACTTGCGGCTCTCGTGCAGTGGAAATGGGCAAAATGGAAGCGTGAGCGGGAGGAAAAGCTAAATACACTCGAGAAAGGGGCAGAAGAATCCTCTAGAGTAGCCAGTTGACAGCTCAGCTCAGTTAGGGTGCATGCCTGGGATTTATGCACTAATAGCAGTTGGTATGTAGCAGTCAATTTTGGGATTCTTTGAGCTCAATTATGTGTGCAGCGGTGGATACTATCTGCTACGGTTAAAACACGCGCTGCTCGCAGTCTTGCGTTACAACAGAACTAGAGTCCAGATATTATTTCGGCTTGAAAATGTTTGGTAAAGTGTTTGCAGCTGAGAATATGACCTGTGCTGTAAATGTTAATGAATGATTGATCATACGCATGAATAGGCTGCATCAATGCCATGATATGGTCATGCCCCTGTGGCCGTTACTCGGGAAAGCAAGGAGCCGCCGCTGCACGTCATACAGGACAAGACCATGCACGGTTTGATCCGGTATGAAGTTACAGACGCTCTGCAAAACCGCAGGTTATTGCTAAGCGTGGAGGGATACCTGCTACATCGATCGACCAGAACAACAATGTTGAACTCCAAAAATCAGTGAACTCCATGTTCGTCTGGTATCGCCTCTCAGTACTTGCCATCGCCAACTTATCGGATGTTCTACCTTTGTCGAAGTCTGTCGCACCCGCAAACAGCACTTGGAATACACGAAGATGGACTGTCCAGGAATTCCTCGCTCCTAATGTCGTTTTCTCCTACCAAGCAGAATGGACCCTGTATCTCGACGATCGCTCAACCAGCCACAAGTCGCTATCACGCAGGTGTTGGAACGTTCAATAAGCATAAATAAACAGATGCTCATAGCAAGGCCCACTTGGTAGACATTCTTGCTCATTCGTCCATGGAATCGTCAGGAATACAAGAGAATTGCCCCTGATCATAATATTATGGCGCAGGTCAAGGATATGGCTTCTGTTCATGATATGATGGTCATCAGGACGCTGGAAATAATGCAATTGCATAGATTTCGGAGAAAGGGAGTCCCTGACGCGTTCTCATTGATACCTGCATGGGGCGTACGTCTATAAATTCGTTAAATGAAATCACGTCTATCATGATGTCTCACGGAATAGAATTTACCCTACTCTATAGCTATAGGCACACGCATCGAAAACAACTAACAAGTACTGGCAGTATACGACTACATAGCTACAGCTATAGTACTTTCTGTACTCGTGTAAGATATTCGCTTTGTGTAAAAATATTACTATACAGACTCGAAGTATTAGCGTGGGTAGCACGGGGCTCCGCTACGAGTGTGCCCAGTCTGCTTCATTTGGGTGTGGAGAACCAGATATAGGTCATTGTAGACCCCAGACTTGATAAATGTGTCTCGTAGGGATGTCCGACAGTTAACGAACGAGATCGTTAGTAGTACTAGAGACCGCATGCAATGAGCAATGCATCTGGATTGTGATCAAACTTTGTAGAGTTACCGTTTCGGGTCACGGCGGAACGCTTGGCGAGAAAAGTTTCAAAGGACTAAAAATTCGCGTGGTCACCACACCCAACTCGAAGCTTCTTTTACTGCTTCGTTGGACCCTTCCACAAACCTCTTCAGTTTAGTTAGATTCTCTCATCGAATATGTCAGAAGCTGCACTCGAACGTCAGATTCGTCCCATCTATGGTTAGCTATCGTTAACGTATGTGCAAGTCGGAACTGACCCGTCACGGTGATAGATGCTTTGGACCATGGATCAAACAAGTCTGCTATTAATGCATGCAATAAAGTGCTCAAAAAGTATAATAATAATACTCTTGTCAAAGTATGTGCGTCAGTATCTCTGTGTAGGCTGTTTAACGTTTCATCCATGTAGGCTCTGAAAGCACTTGCATTGACGCGTTCGCAGAAAGTAGAGGAAGCGTTGGTATTATGCGATGAGATCCTTGCTACCGTTGTTACGGATGATTCCACACTATCCGTGATGACCCACGTCCTCAAGGGCCTTGCCAGAAGTACGTGGTAGTCCCGAGTTCCTCATTGCCCGTATTGAACCCGTCTTGTAACACCAGACTCCGACATGGTAGCCATGTTTGATAACGCATTCAAGCAGCAACCTCAGAGCGAGGAACTCGGTGCACAAACGTTCTTCGCTCATGTGCGAACCGGCAACTGGAAATCTTGTCAACAAGTGAGTATTTCTACCTGTTCCTTCCTTTGTACACAAGTCGAATCATGTGGTATTTAAGGTTGCAACCCGAATGCACAAGCAGTTCCAGGAGGACCGGTACGTATACTGGGCCGTGACAGGCGCAATTCTCCAGGTTTGTGCATCGCGTTGCGTTGTGAATAACACATTCTAACTGTGAGGAGTAGGCGAATGACCTTGGCACTCCTCCAAACATTCGCACATTGCTCTACAAATTGGCTCACCGTCATGTCACATCATGTCCTACGCCATCATATATGGCCGTGGACCGCTTCCACTTGCATCTGATCATCCTGCAGGAACTCCAATTGTGGGACGAAGCAAACACCTTGCTAGAAAGTGATGTCGGGAAGTCGATCTGTTCAGCCAGTCTTGTGTGTAATGAGACTCGCAGGGAAATCTGGCGCAAACGTGGTCTGTACAAGGACGAGGGGGAACGAGCTCAAGAGAAGATCAAAAACAAGTGAGCGGACATTAAGGGTTACTTCTGATGTAATCTGATGTGCACTTCAGTGACCGGAATTGGCTGGAGTTCGTTTCGGTAATCGATGCCGCTTTTGCTTCAGTGCAAGGGCCCGATGTTAGCGAAGAGGGAAAGTCAGATTGCTTCGAGAACATTGCGAAAACACGCGATTTCCTTACCAAAATCGCCGAAGTAGATGGTTCAAATAACCGTTCTGCTTCCTTGGCACTTTTGGAGCTCGAGAAAAATGCGGTTTCGCATGGAATATCCTCTGGTATGATCCTTGCCTTGGGACCTCATGCACTGATTTTAGATTTCGACAGATGAGAACACCCTGGTTGACTCGATGGAGAACTACTTCTCCCAGTATGGCAATAAGGCGTGTTGTTTCGAAGATTTGCGGCCTTGTGTAGACCTTGGTGCTGACGCGAAATCACGATGGATAAGCTTCTTGGCATCTCAAGAATCCTCCTTTGTTAGTACTGTCTTCCTATCTGGGCTTTTCCGTGACCTGAGCTCGTTTGGTAATGAAGGCTACTACGGGGGATCTGCAACGGGTGATAAACGTTCGGAAGTTACAACGAATCAGTCTTACGGCTTCAGAACTATCCACAGACAAAGAGCTGTATTTGGCATCCACCTATATCAAAGAGTACATGGCTGGACTAGAGTTGGGTTCTAGCTTGCCTGTGACCGAACTCCAGCCGGCCGATGATCTAGCGATCCTCGTTGGCCATGCGTTTGTTAGCCTGTGGACAATGACCAAGGACGAGAGCTATCTATACAACGCCGCCGTTGTGCTGGAGTTCGCTTTGACGAAGAGTCGCATGTCATTCCAGATTCGGTTGCTACTTGTACGCATATACCGTTTACTTGGTATGTGTTCCTATGGATCACCCAAGGTCTTATACCGATGAATTTACAGGTGCCTCATCACTGGCTCTGGACCACTACCGTGCCATCAATATAAAACAAGTCCAAAATGATACTCTTTCCCACTTTATTCTCACACGGGCATCGACCTTCTCCCTTTCTGCAACTGGAGACCTGACATACCCCTCAGAATGTATAGAATCAAGCCAGATCTATGTTAGTAATTCCCAAGATGTGAGTATCCTTCCTGTATGTTAGCCTCCCTCTTATTGTTCATAGACACCGGATTTCATCATTCGTGCATTCACATCGGAGAAGTACAGTCAGGTTAGATTTTTTACACTCTTATGCTTTCAGGATGGTTACCCCCCACAGATTCCAGAGTTTGTCTCTTTTGACGACAGGTTGGAGAACTCTCTCCAACGTGACGTCGTTAAGCTTGAGCACGTTCGCATGCGGATGACGCATGAACCTATCAATTCTGATCTGATAGACATGGAACTAATAGAGCTGAAGTTTGTCTTTGATCGCTGTAAGGGCCTCCAGTATCGTACATATACGATTTTGACTCCTGCTCGCAGTTCATCATGACAACCGGGACTTCGGCATGCTGCCCAATTATCAACCAGCATGTCAGCCTTCGCTGAACGACCAGACCCTGATGTTTGGCAACTCGACTGGAGTATGCTGTTCATATATGCCGACACTTGCATTTATTGACTCCTTCTCAAATAGCAAGGATGGCTGTGGTTTTTCATCAAAATTTACATCCGTGCTTTCCAGCATGCAAGTGATCTGGATGATATCGTCGAGGAGAAGCTACTAATTGGTGATCGGCCAAAGAAGAGCCCAGAACCAGAAGTCCAACTTCCTCTCAGGGAACGTCTAGCCATCCGAAAACCTGAAGAAGCAGCAGAAGTAAGATATTATGGTCGAGTTATGATTCACTCTTACAATTCGTTAGTTGACGGCTGATGAATTGCAACTCATGGAATGGGCCACTGCTGTCAGTGACTGGCTAGAACCCTACCACAACTACACTCGCCCGCCTCCAGCGGTGGTTCTTGCTGAGGCCAACAAGCAGAATGAACTCAGGACTGGGCTTCCGCTCAGAGGTGTTGACCTCAAGGCTCTCAATGGCGACGCCCACGCCAATGGTCATGCAAAGAAGGATGAAGAAGCTCCTCCTGTGAAAGAACCGCCTCAATTGGTGGCACAGTTCTTCGAGCGTATGTTCAGTTTTTCTAGGCTGGCTCGCTGCTCACTCGTCTCACAGATATGCATGCTCGCTTCGTGCAGTTACAGCAGAGCCAGTGCCTCCCCTCAGACCTACTACATGTAGCAACACTCACCCAAGAGGTACACTTTCATTCGAATTCTAGTCTACGCTTTGTTCACTTCAAATCTAGGCTTTCCTTCTCTTTGCGGTGGAATCTCATCGCTTCAAGACCGCATCTGTTGTCAAGATTCACAAATTGGGGGCAGTGAGTGGGATGATAGTCTAATAAAAAGACACGTCTAAACCCATTTCCTTACATTCAGCTCGTGCAATTCCTCAAGGATATTCGCTCGAAGGCCTACACGGTACTCAAGACAATGTCGAATGATCTTTTGAAGATGAGCGAGGTGGCCGGGTCGGCTGAACGACGGAAGAGCTTCGTTGAGTCTTGTAAACCCATCACGGACTTCCCGAGGGTAGGCGTGCGTTTTTGATTATCAGATCATGCTCTAACATTATTCATTAGCTGCATCATGACTTTGTGCTCAGTATTGCAAAGAACGTTGGGGAGTCGCGTAAAAAGGTACTCGAGGGCGTTAGCAAAGGAATGGTCAAGATCTGCACCAATTATGGCCAGTGAGGCGGCCCTCCATCTTAGATATCGACATCGCACATTACTTTACACCTACACTGCTCCCCACTCACTACTCATGTTACTGCACACTACGTACTTAGGCTTGTCGGATGTAATTGTGACATCTTGAATTATGTCATGCAATACGCGTGACTTGTGACTCTACGCGTTTCTCCTCGTCTCGTGTCTTGCTCACTGCACCATCACAATAAATTCACTCACTAAAAAGAACGTCGACGAGATGAGTCAATGTAAGCAGTCATACTATCTCTGAAAATCTCACTAATTATACTGAGAAGTCAATGACTACTACGCAAACACTGGTGCTGGAGGTGGTGGATTCATGACTGGTGGATCGCCATATGGAAGCGCAAGCGGTAGCCCGGGAGGAGCTAGTCGAGTACGTTGCATATACTCATTCTGACTCTCTACTGAAATGAGTGCAATACAGAAAAGCGAGATAGCCCACTCCTTACGACCACTGACTGTACTTCAGCTCCTAAATGCAACCCAAGCACATTCGGACGCGGAGTGGATGCTGGATGATACAGAACTCGGCCAGGTAAGTTGTATTCATCTTCGCGTAGCTAGCTGGACGAACCGTGTATTTGCAGGTCACCGTCGTCGGCCACGTCGTTTCAATACAGAGTCAAGCCACCAATAACTTATACTGGCTCGACGATGGCACGGGTCGCATCGAAGCCCGACATTGGATTGACTCCTCAATAGAAGAGAGTGAACCGGGATCAAGCGCCATCACGTAAATTTTCTCCTTCACATGTCGCAGTAAAACTAATGCGAGGATAGTGAGGGATCATACATACGCGTATCCGGCACGTTGAAAATGTTTGGCAGCAAACGATACGTAAATGCGACGCATATACGGCCAGTCAAGTCGCCTCATGAAATATACTTCCACCTTTTGGAAGCGATGACGGTCACACTAATATGGGCGAAAGGAGCGGTACGTTACACCGAATTACGACATCACTGACCTAATCTTCATGAGCAGCCCCCTCGTGCTGGACAAAATCCATCAACAACAATTCCACAGGCCCAGGTTGCCGGACCCCCGGCAGTCGGAGGCTCTGCATACACAGCTCAGTCGCATCCTCCGGCTACGAACAACAACCAGTACTCCCATTTGCCGAAGTTGGAATATACGATCATAACTTTCATGCTGAGCCAACCTTCTAAAGAGGAAGGCGTGCACGTCCGTTCTATTGCGCGTGCTGTCGGAGGTGATGCTGCCGCAATTAGGTATGTTGTCTCGCAAGGCATACTCAGCTCCGCTAGTCTGACGCAATCCCCAGTGATGCTTTAGATAAACTCATGGATGACGGTCTCGTCTTTACTACTATTGACGATTCACACTTCAAGGTTGCTGATTGATGAACCCTCGATGGACATATATTTTTGACGATGAAAGTTACTTGCAAGTACTTAGGTAGTATTGAAACTGCCGAGATTCTTGTTGAATCCTGATTGATTTAGTCGTCGATTCGTTTCTGCGAAATTTCTAAGTAGATATCTATATTTGTAGTTACCTCAAAACGGAATATTGTAAACACTGTTACACAGGGTCTTCAAGCTTCGAACTTCAGGCTTAGGCACTACTAGTAAGCTGGAAACGCTTTCGACACGTCTCTGTTGTGCTCACAACGATGGAAGACTACGAACCTTTGCTAGTGGAAACAACAGTCATCAAGTCATCTGATTCCGAATCAATCAGACCGATCACGGTCTACCAAGCGCTGCAGGCGGAACGCTTACCCAACGATGTTCAGTTCTCGCTTGGTGGGGCCAAATTCGATAAGGTGAGTCACTTCTATTTGAATGTTCCTGAAAGATCAAACATACTCAGCGTAATTCAAATCCTTGAAGGTCCTGCTGGTCACCCATGCCATGTTGCGAGATACCAGTGATGCTCGAGGTGCTTATAACCTCGATGATGGTACTGGGAGGATATCCGGGTCATGGGTTAACAACGCAGGACTGGATCATGCCATGTTCTCGGCCATGATACATCAATTGTGCGTCGTGGTTTCAAGTTACAACACAATCCGATTTTCTAATCTTATCATCATTCATCAAGTGACAACAGTCTGGCTTGTGTCATGGGCAATATTGTCCAGCGTGGCCAGTATAAAATGATCAATATTGAGTCCATGGTTGGGGCAAGGTATCACCAGGCTATGTATCATGCTCTCGATTGCATGAGGACAAGTTTGATGATTGAGAGGCACAAAGAACAAGTATGTGCATATTCCAGATTTATGATTGACACATGTATTCCAACTTCATGCAGGCTCACAATACAGACGAGATGCTTGTCGTCCAGGAACTCAAAGTGGATGTGGAAGACTCGATAGCAGCCGACTCACGGACATTTGAACAATCCTATCGTTCATTTTTTGATCTGCCCCAGAATGATGAAGGTAGAAATGTCAGTTCTCCTCAGACTCTTGCTAGGCCGTTTCTCCAGTATGGTGATCATAGTGCAGGTCTGAGTTCCGCGTCAACCTCAAACCAAGCTGCATCCCAACTTCCTGCACTACCTCTCGCACTTAAGCATGAACCTCCTCATTCTGCCATTGTTCGTGTAGCCCATCCTTGCACAGTCACGCGAACACCGAGCCCCCTTTCTTCCTTTGGCTCATCGCTCCAAATCAGTTCTCATTATATTCCACAATATTACAGCCAGCTAGCTCAATTGACAGCAACACAACTCGCTATCGTGTCCAGCCTCAATCAGCCCCAGGCTAATAATAAGTATGGGGTTCGGATACTTGATGTGTACGAACACGTGAGACAGGTAATCGAGATCACTCAGGAAGAATTCAGGTAAATGAATCGCGTTCATCATCGTAATGGTTCATGGTTCATTTTGTTGCGGCCAGCACCGACATAGAATGGCTTCTTGAAGAAATATACATATTCAGCCCACTTGAAGATGATCGCATTGCGCTCACGCCTCGTGCATCAGTTTAGTTTGACCATTTGCACAAATCAGTAAGTCTCACTTGAAGCAATGGAGCTCTCCTTGGGGCAATGAGCTCATGAGTATCCGTCAAGCCTCATCCAAAATTATTCAGGAATGAGACATTGGGAACCCTGGTATTCGAGTTGTGTGGTTGCGAAGTTTGTGCAAAGTCTACTTTGATTATGATACTATTATGTTTTTGGTACGCGCTTGGACGAAAAAGGCAACTCCGAAGCACCGGTGTAGTACTTTCAGCTATACCCCTGCACCCCCGGCGCTGCGTGTGCCCATCTGGCTCAATACGTACTTCTACAATATCATGCAAAGTACTAGGTCATGAATCAACCTCGATCTTGAACTCATCTTCAAGTGACTCCCAATTATCATGTCTACTTGGTATCCTTCCTGGTTCCCCGGACTTCCGTCGTTCGACTTCTCCTTACCCTCTGCAATTCAGCGTCGGTTTCTTTCTTTCGTGCTCAAGAAGTCACTCGGACATCTCCTAAAGCCAGGGCAGCTCGATCTTCATCAGATAGATTCACAGATAGGCTCTGGAGTTGTACAAGTAAGGGATCTTGAACTTGATGACCAGGTTCGGCTTTTACTATCTCTTTGTCTAACTGTTCATTCATTGACTACTGCAAAGGCGATTAATAAACTTCTTTCCGGATCACCCTTCAGGCTCTATGATGGCTCCATATCTTGTGTCACTGCACAAATACCTTTTCCCAATCCTCTCTCTTCCAGTGTAGGGCTTTCGGTACAATCGCTACACCTCACATTGCATGCCACCCCTCCATCCGACCTCGGCTCTCCAAACAGTATTGATCTCACGCAATCTGTTGCCTCAGTAGCGGAAACATTTATCCATGGCGAGCTTAGCCCTCGGGAAGAAGCCACGCTCCGAGAGTCTTTACATCCAGATTCCCGGCCACAGCACATTTATGATGAGAGTCATCACCTTCCCGGAGGACTAGATTCATCTGCCCGTGCATACCCTAAAGAAGAAAGTGGCATAGATTCTGACCCTTCTGGGGTATCTCTATTTGCCACCCTCTTCGAACATCTGCTTGCACGCTTCGAGTTCTCTGCTGTGGACACGAAAATAGTCGTCGTCCACCCCGGGCACTCAAGTTTTACTCTGTCAATACCCGAAATTGCGTATAGTACAGAATCGGGTGTCCCAAAGCAGCAAAGTACCGGAGATGGGTCATCGAGCAACGTTGCTCTTGAAAGAAGCCCACAGAGTGGTCACATACGTACAGTTTCGATATCAGGTGTCGCCATTACCTCTCGGGACATTCGAGCTACTTTACAACGCCCTGTGGCCTCGCCACGAACCATGTCGCCTGTGTCGCTTACTTCGTCTCGTGTCACGCTGCACGATTATCAGCAGGCTCCTCGTCCGGTGTCACCTGCGTCTTCTTGTTCCTCCATCGATGAAGACACGCAGATGATGATGTCGCAGTCCATTGTTGCTCTTCCGCCACGTAGCCAGTTTCGAGCTTCCCCGTCTAGCTCAGTTCTCAGTAGCATGTATCAGAGCGCGGTCTCTACTACTGGCCGCACTTCTCCAGCCATCCCCTTTGAACCCCTCGGCAACCTTGATACGGGAGATATGGCTCGACCACGCTCGTGCGATTACGTAGCAGGCAATGGAGAGTCTGCTCATGTACCTCACTGGGCTACAGAAGATCTTGTTTTTTCTGTCGGTGCAGATCCTATTGTGGTTCGACTACAAACGCCACCCGGCCACACTAAGCATGACCTTGCGCACACTTCGAACCCTGAGATAGTTTCGCCTCCTACGGAGAACATCGCGGTCAAGCAGGACGAAACCTTGTGTCTCAGCGTCAGTGTTGGCATCATGTCCTGTGCTCTTCGGGCTTGTCATGTCCGCATGCTATTGGAAATGCTCAATTACTGCGGATCCAAGGATGCTGGTACCACTCCCAAACACCCTGAGACTACACCAAGCCCACCGACCCTCCCGTGCGGCTTGCACGCAAGTCTAAACATCCGCGGAATTGTAACCCTTTTCATCACTGAGGCCCTAGATCAAGAAGTTCCTTCGCTTGAAGCATTTTTCCAATCTCCACTTGTCCCTCCAAGATTGCCTTCGACATACTTCCGCGTATTGTTGGAGAATATTGCAGGCTCTCTTGATTTATCCGGGGCTCCTGGAAATCAGACTGATGTAACACATGTTTCTCCAATAACATCCAACATATTCATCTCAAATCTCTCGGTCTTCATGTACCACTCTTCCAGGACTGTCGATAAGAACGCGGCGCAAGTTTCGCTACCCCTCCTGATTACAGACCATCATCTGCATAATCAGTATATTGTCAGTCATTGTCGCCCATTTTTCTCTTCGACGCCCATTCCGGCACAGCCGCTTTCTGAAGTAACATTACCGACTTTCGAGGTCGTTGATTGGACTTCTGTGAAACTTGCAGGAGGCTCTTCAAAGCTATCGACCTGGCGAGTGAAGTCATCTACAGGGAGGGATCAGCTAGTACACAGTCCACTATTGAAATCTTCTGCGTTTCCCACATCTCCCAAATCACCCACGGTAGCGTTGTTGAAGGAGGAAGAGCTCGAGGAGATGTCTCTTTCTAGTGCCATTACCTTCACCGCTCGTGTCACCCCTGTGACCGCCCGTTCAGGGGGTTTGACCGACATCTTACTTCGAATTGCACCATTACACGTATTCTTCGACCTCGACATCATGCTGGAGGGCGGTAATATACTCAAGTTTCTTGACGAGATCCTAGCAGTGGAAGGATCTCCTATTCGAAACACTTCCGGTACATCCCAAGGGCATAGTTCACTGGATGACACAGAAGAGAGGGATTCAGCAAGCGATGATGAACTCAACTATCCATTCATCACACCAAAGCAACTCGAACGCGAGAGGGAGAGAAGACGCTTGGAAAGACTTGTCCTCGAGGATCTAGATTTAGACATGGACTATCGGACCGGGGCACCATCGAGACAGAGAGCCCACAGCAAGCGAGCTACAAATGCCAAACTCAAGGTAGATGGGAGCTAATCTGCAGTTGTGGATTATATATCTGACTTATTATGCTGTTTGCTTGATAGTCCAAACCCAAGCAGGTGTCGCGTTCTAAGATCACCGTTGTCCTACCTGCCCTCCGCGCTGAGGTTCGATGCAGATCACCATCCCTTCAGCTCTCCCGATCAGGAGGCATTATACTGGATCTCCATGACGTACACGTGTCTAATACACCCCTTGATCAAGAACCACCGACTATCAGATTTGGGGATGATGGTGAATCAAGGAATCCCAGCGTCAAAAATTTGCCGGGACAACTCTTGAGTGGCCAGATCAGAGGGATTGTTCTATCGTATGCGCCAGTAGGAGATTCAAAAGCTCATGCCTTCATATCACTTGGTTCCTTACCACGAACGGATGACGTTCGCCCCGGATCAGCTTCATTGCTATTGTCGGAACAGGCGCCGGACTCACTTCCCATTCACTTTCAACTTACGCAGGTAGCTCCATCAAAGTCTGCTATTTCTTCCTCGACACACAGGACTTCAATCATCATCAACGTCCCATTGGTCAACGTCGTCCTTGAAAAACAAATCTTCGATGGATTGCAAATTTGGGCTGACAGTGTCACACAAGCAGTCACCACTGCCACGGAGGAGACAGAGACTGAAGTTGCTCAGAGCCGCAACCCGAGCCTGATTGGCAGTAGGTTTTTTGCCAAATCAAGGCGCGTTGGGAGTCGTGGTAGTGATGAGAGCAGCTTCGGTACTATAGCGCCAACGCCGAAACAAAGCGAGACGGCTGTGAAAGTGATCATTACTGAAGGTAGAGTGGATTTTGGGTTTAGTTATTGCTCACGTTCATATCTTCGAAATGCAGCTCTAGTAAGAATACTGACATCCCGTTCCCAATCATCTGCATCGTCAATTCGTCCTTTCGACATATCTGCCTCAGACATCGACGTCCTTGTTGAACTAAAACCTGAAGGCAAGGTTTGTAGAATCGTAAAGATATATCTTCGAATTCTCACCTCGACTTCGTTTCCTTTCAATCAGGATGAGACTGTCATAACCTCAAGCTTGATGGACCTTCACGTTGGGGAGGTATCGCCAAAGTGGGAGCTCGTACCCCTCCTCGTGTTGACATTACCTCGCAGCCTGGTGCGTTGTGTAGATTATCTATTGTAGCTGCGTCCCTCACGAAAGTCTAGTCTTCTGTACCAAGACCAATGGTAAAGGCTCGCTTCACTTCCCTCGTTGTTCCCGAAACTGGTGCAAAGGAGACCAAGATACGGCTGGCTCTCTGGGGCTTCACTTGCCATGTTTATCCTAATTTGCAGTGGATTTCGGACTTGGCTCGGTTTATGAAAGCTCCACCGGGGGTGAGTGTACCTTCCCCGGAGTAGAATAGATTAATGATCTTTTCAAGGTCTTCGAATCAGTTGTTCCTTCCGAACGACTGTCTCTTTCTTTCGCAATTGTAGACGTATCTATCAAGACGTATGCCCCTGGCCATCCTGGCTCTGCAGTACTGTACATTGGTGAAGCCGAACTGAATACCGAGCTTGCTGGTAATTCCAGCGAGTTCAAGTTCAAGTTGCTAGTTCCTTCCTTGTCATTCTTATTTGTCGATTCCATGGCCGATTCCCCCGACGGTTCAGGTTCTACCAAAACAAACGGAGGATCCAGTCTCAACTTGTGGAAGGTGATTTCTCCTTTAGCTCACAAGTAAAACAATGCGATGATGCTCGTTCACAGAATTTCGGGTTTGCATTGATTGCAGATATCGCAGATCTGGACTTTGTGTTCAAGACTGATAACGCATATGTCCCTCCAAGTGTTGGCGTAAGTCGCAGTGTGCTGGGTCACCTTTTGCCACTCAATCAAGTCTAGGTTCTTGTGAATCAAGTCAGCTTACGGGTGCACCTATGTGCAGACACTATAGCTGCACTAACAGGTTATATGAGTGACTTCACGTCCATATTCAAGTCCCCTTCTCCCGTAGAGTACGTCATTATTTAAACTTTCTATATCACAATGTCGCTTATAATCATTCCACAGACTAGCAGTGTCTAAGAAGAAAGTTCCCGCTTCACTTGTTCATCGTCCACCTGAACAAGGCATGATGGGTGATTGTTGTCGTTGCAGAAGATGCGAGGGTAACTGAATATTTTTTCCAGCATCTCTCGACGAGCAAGCTTTCAGGCGGATTCCTGATGTTGGCAATGCAGCTGATATGATCAACGATGATTTACCGACGAATCTCGACTACCTGGACGAATCCTTTGGTTCAGCTGCTGGTCTGCGGGAGCTTAGGGATGACGACCTAGAAGACTTTGATATGCAAGAGGACGGCCGAACAACACCAGTAGCTGGCGAAACCGGAGTCGTTTCCAAAGTAGGAGGAGAAACAATCCGCATCATCAAGCCTATCCGCTCTATCGAACATTATTACGACACGATTCCTGCAGACAATACGGGTGATTTCGCTAGGTAAGTTTTCGCCTTTGACTTGTATTGTCTATGATCGAGCTTTCGGACAGTCTACGCGATACTATTCTCCGAGTGCGCATCCATGACTCTGACATATCGCTTTTCCTACACGACGGTTATGATTGGCCGCGCACACGAAAAATTGTAGAGCAAGAAATCAAAGACATGCGCAAGAAGTTGGCCAAGATTAGGCAGCTGATCGCAAATGGCCAGACCCAAGACCCCAGCGTGGAAGAGACAAGCACGATGTTGTTCAACTCAATTCACATCGGCCTTGATCAGGACTTTGACAGTCTTGATCCGACAGCTCTTGTCGCTGCCATTGATGATGAACTCGAGAACGCAGAAACAGAAAGCCACAGCTCTTGGCAAACCCTTCCTCCAGCATCACCCGGACAACAACAGAGAATGCCTTCCGCTCGCATTCATGGGCGAAGATTGACAAGGTCTAAGGGCCCGAGTATCGAAATCAAGCTAATTGGCCTAGATGCTGAAGTCGATAATTATCGTCATCTGGAAGATGCACTCGTCTCCAGGATGCTGGTTGTAATAAAGAATGCTGAAATCCTGGATCACGTCAAAACGTCTACCTGGAGAAAATTCCTGACCGAACTACGGTCGGACTCTCGAGGCAATATTCGCGAGACGGACTCCAGCATGGTTCGCGTCGAGATCAAGACTGTCCGGCCGTCTCTTCCACATCCATCCGAGGAAACACGTTTACGCGTGAGTGCTTATTCAGTTAAGACGTACTGACAGGGCTGAGTCGATATTTCCGTAGGCTAAACTCCTGCCGTTGCGATTATATGTTGATCAGGATGCACTCGACTTTTTGAAGAAATTTTTCGCCTTCAAGGATCCCGATAGTCCGTCCGCACCCGCCGATACTCCCAGCGAGGAGGCATATATTCGTACGTTCCTGATTCGAACGCTGAATGGATGGCTATATTGATCCTTGTCTGCAGAGCACGCCGAGGTCTTCCCGATTGATCTTAAGCTTGATTACAAACCTCGACGCGTGGACTACAGGGCTCTGCGAGAGGGAAAAACGATCGAGCTTATGAACTTTTTCCATTTTGATGGCGCGGAGATGACTTTGAGACACCTGACTTTGCATGGGGTAGGTACTGCTTTGGTAGGTTGTTTCATGACTTGACTGGCTTTCATAGATCACGGGTTGGCCCCGGTTTTTCGATACATTGAACGACCTCTGGACGCCAGATGTCAAGGCAACCCAACTTGTGGATGTCATTTCTGGCGTAGCACCCATTCGTTCTATGGTCAATGTTGGCTCTGGAGTAGCAGACCTCGTTTTGCTACCTATTGCGCAGTACAAGAAGGATGGACGGATCGTTCGCGGTGTCCAGAAGGGTACCAAGGCATTCGTACAATCAACTGCAATGGAGGCTATCAAGCTTGGAGCTCGGCTGGCAACCGGTACTCAAGTCATTCTGGAGCAAGCTGAAAACGTGCTCGGAGGCCAGTTCAAGGATTCCGTTACGGCCGAAACGTTCCACATACCGTATGACGATTCTGGAGAAGGACCGGATGAAGAATTGATCAGTAGATATGCCGCCCAGCCCGCTGATGTCACAGAGGGAGTTCAATCAGCATATCGCAGCTTGCAAAGAAACTTGCATTCTGCTGCCCAGACAATACTGGCGGTTCCTATGGAAGTGTACGAGAAGTCCGGAAACGAAGTGAGTTGTATCTATAATATTTGCTCGATTCCAAGCTGACATGGAGTAAGGGTGCGGTCCGGGCTGTGGTGCGAGCTGTCCCAATTGCGGTCTTGAAGCCCATGATCGGCGCTTCGGAAGCAGTCAGCAAAACATTGATGGGACTTCATAATACCCTGGATCCGAACGTTCGCCATGAGAATGCGGCAAAGTATAAACATCGCTAACATTCTGTTCACGCACTGTAGTATATCATCGTGGTTGTATTAGGACTTGTATCTCATGGTGTACCATCCCTATCATTAGCCTGTATGCGCCAACCGATAATCATGCTTTTATGCACTGTTCCTCTGTCAACGGAGTGTTATTCCAGAAAGTAACTGCTGGTTGCGTTCAACTGTTTCAAGTTCTTAGCTATGCTGTACTTGCCTGCGCTGTTAAACAGGAGGAATTATAGATGTTACTCACACTCGTATACTCTATGGAGAATAGGGGCTTCAAGCTTCAAGCTTCAAGACCCTCGATTGGGTGAAATGGGGCTAAGTCCTTGATCATCAAAAGAACGATCTGGATCATCTGATGGGATGAAGTTGTAGTAGTAGTTAACTCGGCAGAAGAAGACTGATTTGGTGCTAGGTTTGAAAGCCGCGTGTGACCCGGTGGGCTCGTATCAATATGGTTGACTTAAGTATACGATCACCGCGGAAACGATCTTGAAGGTAGCGATGAAGATAATAGCTAATATTGGGAAACTTCGGCCGAGTAGAGAACGGCCACCCTCGATCCAATATGTGCTAGGGTGGGATAGTCACCTAGCTAACCCGTTATCACGCTTTTAAATGAATCTCGCGTCCTCAGTACTAGTGCTTCTAGCGATTTATGTTCCCCGTGACGGGCCCTCGGTTGGTTATCAAGGCTATCGAAGAAGTTGGGACCATGACTCAGATATTTCACGGTCCCTGCAACCCGTTAGCTAAAAGCAGGTGGGACAGGTAGACAGCTGTTCGTTGCCTGGTTAGAGACTTGACGAAAAAACAACAACAAAGGAACTCACGGATCGGGTTAGGTAGATGTGGTCTTTCCGGAGGGTGGATATCGTTGGGTTATGAGTGTTGACACGGTGGAGAGAAAGGTGAAAACTCAAGTCTGCATTGGGTCGGGTTAGGACAGTTTACTTTTCTCGTTTACTCGCAACTCCCGGACGCTCGAATTTTCATCCACATCGAGTATGAGTCTGGAATAGGTCTTATATCTGGGTTATACACCTAAACACCCTCGGATTACAATGGAGCTAAAATTCCATGCCCATCGATCGCTCTTCCCCTTTCATAAGTGCAGTTCTGCTTTTTGCTGGCACTTTTATTTTATCTAGTACTTCAATGGTTTCCTCCATTGCAGTTGGCTCGAGCAGTTTGACAGACACCGACTTCGCAGCCAATTTCTTTGTCCTGTGCGCGCGTTGTTTTTCCCGAGCAACTGACATTCTGCAATGATATAAATCAGTGCGGGAGACAAACATTTGGGCGCGGGAAGTACGAACCTTGACTTCCAGAATGCGTGCTCTCTCCGCTGTTTAATCTCTCCAATGCGTTTCATGGCGTTGATTGTCGTATGTATCAATTCGCGATCGTAGCGGACAGGTACGTTTCTACGCTTCTCAAAGTCGATTGTAGAGTCCTTGTCGCGAGAAGTGAGTAGAAACTTCTTCAGATCGAGAAAACAAACATACAATCGTCATTTCCTTCCCTGCTGCTTTACGGAAAGCCTTCGTCCATCTTACTTTGCGAGGATTTCGCTTCATTCTAGGAGGGCATTAGATATGGGTCGAAAAATATGGCTAAGTAGCTTGCTTGAAGTTTTTGTGGCATCTGGCGGTTTGGTTCAATAACGCACACCTTGGTTTTCTATCATGGGACTCACTTTGAAGTGCAAAACCGGAATACCTTCGAATCATTACGGACGAAGGCACTTCCTGAACATGTTGTGAGATGTTGTACTGATAGTCTTATGTTTCTATTGCTCACCGTGCCCAGGATACACGTTCGTTGAGCAAAAATAACATTTCTCGATACGCATGTCTGCTTGCTACACCTGTTGGCGAAGAAAGGATAGCCGTGGGAAAAAATACCATCGCCGAGAACACGGAGTCAAGTTATCCTCGCGGATCATTCGTTGACGGGCTATATCTTAGAGTAGAGTACTCGCAATATTTTCAAAGCCAATCACGACTAGTATATTGCTCAATGAGCACAGGCTCAACATGATGCCTGTTCTATCATTGTTTCAACTTCTCGACCAGCTCTGGCACTACCTCGAAAAGGTCTGCTACTAATCCTACGTCCGCCACTTGGAAGATGGGTGCGTCGGGATCCTAAAGACGAATTACAAGGGGTTGGCAGTGTTGTAAAGACTCACTTACCTTATTTACCGCCACGATGAGTTTGGAATCCTTCATGCCAGCAAGATGCTGGATAGCACCAGAAATGCCCAATGCCATGTACAGTTCAGGAGCCACCACCTTTCCTGTCTGTCCAACTTGTAAGGAGTTGTCTGCGTACCCTGCATCCACAGCAGCACGCGAGGCTCCAACCGCAGCACCAAGTGCATCAGCAAGAGGATACAGAGTAGCCTGGAAGGTCTCGGCATTCTTCAATGCGCGTCCCCCAGAAACAACGCGGCTCGCAACACCCAAGTCAGGGCGATCGGATTTCGTCAGAGATGTGCTGATATGTTCCGTGGGTACATCAGATACCTCAACAGAATCGAGAGCTTTGACTTCGCTCTCTGCTGCATCTCCTTCTACAGCAGCCGCAAATGCAGTAGATCGGACAGTGAAAAACTTGATGGGGATGGAGGAGGATGCACGAACTGTAGAGATGGCGTTCCCGGCGTAGATGGGACGGGTGAAGGTAGTGCTTCCCGATGCTGCGTCATGTTCAAGGGATGTGATATCAGATACAGCCGGAACATCTAGTTTTGCTGCAACTCGAGGCAGAATAGACTTGGCAGAGCTAGAGTGAGCTGAGACGACGTGTGTGAATGGCGAGTCTTGTGATAAGAGCTTCTCTAAGAGTGGAGATACTGTCTCAGGTAACGGCGTGCTGTACTGTGGGGATGCGCAATGCAGCAGTGTATTCAAGCCGTTTAATCTAGAAGGGATTAGCGATGGACCTGAGGAAGTTCACAGGTGTACCTCTTAGCCTTCTCTACAACAGACGGCACCTCCTCGGGGCTACCCACGACAAGGCCAGTGACTTGACCGCCCAATTGAGATGCTGCCGTCAAGGCAGAAAGTGATGCGGAGTCAAGATCACCCTGCCGGTGCTCCAAAAAGACCAAAGCATGGGGTGGGGCAGCTGTCGCATAGCTACGAGCGAGAACCCTGTTTAGCTGTGAAATCTGTGCTCTCAACATGTTGAGCTGAGGGCTTTGCCGAAGAAGATTCAGATAACGAAATAGTTTATGCTAAGTCTCTATATATACATGCCATTTTTGTACTTAACAGTTACTCAATCAACTTTATCATTTCTTTTTTTGGACTAATACTTATAGCCATTCTACTAGTAACCCACCTACCTCACTCAATCGTAGCGGTGCGCGCGCGTGCACCAAGTCCTCGATCGACTTCCCCGGCATATTCTGCAGAAAACTCAATATGAGTCTATATTTGATTACTCGCACATGAATATTACCTAACATCAGTTTCGTATCTCATCATCTATATAATGGCATGCCGAGTTTCCCACTCACATGGCGGTAATATCTCCAGCGTCCAGACCAAGCTAAACGCTGGGTCCAACTGATCTCGCGATATACAAAGCTGGATTGGTAATTTAGCCAATCGGCCTCTCAGCTTTGAACTACTTTCTCCACGTCCAGTTGCTCCGGAACTACTAATACTGCCATGGCGCTTAACGTTAACGTTCTAGAATGTTGAACCAAAAAAGACAGGCTGTTGTGCGAAATCGGTATACAGGTGCCTGGATATTCCCTACAAAGCCCTCCCTACTTGGTATAGTCAGGGCTAGTCAGGGATGAGGTTTTTTCATATGCAGCAAGACTATCGGAGTAAGCTGAGTCTGATTGTGTGCCGAGGTGCAAAGATTACAGGCAAAGACATATTACTGATATCGGATTGGATGAAAATGGACAGCAGAAGCTCTTTCCAGAGCTTGCTTCATAGGACCCTATCCTACCAACTCCCCATTTTTCTGATCAGCTCTTTTCACCTGCTGTCAACTATGCTGTTGACCGAGATGTCCAAACATCGGACAGCGGAGTGTCGGCAAGTCGTTTGGTTGCTCGTGTTTCACTGTCCCCGACAGGGGATAGCATACAAACCTTACTTGACAGTTATTCGCAGTTTAAGTATTTCGTTCTGCACACTGCACTGAGTCCGACTTCCCACAGCATTCTAGATTTTGATTCAAACCCTAAAAGTCAGATTGTCGTCTCGCTAGAAATAAATTGCAGACCAATTGTCTAATGGTACAGTGTTGCAACATTGAGACCTAGGCGCCAAAGGGCATGTAAGCGACGGTCATAACATAGTCACAGAGTTTGAAATGCTCATTATGTGTTGAACACCGTTCTAGATATCACTTTAGAACAGGGTGTTTTGGACATGCGGACTTGCAAGATACGGACGTTTGACGTCGGCGCGTCGGCACGAGGACTTTGAAATGTAGATTTCGATTTAGAACGACGTTCAGAATAAACACTGCGGGAAGTCCTAGTCATCCTTAGAGTAGAGGGTTAGTAAGTAGCTCGCACCTAGTAAGCGCCATTTACCGGTCCGTTTTGTCATTTCTGTTGACTCTTCGTCAATGTGACGGCGCCCTCGACTCCTCTGATCACGTGCAGTGATTCCTACATCACTTATCAAACTGCATTCAATAAGTTTCCAACCTCAACGTCAAATTTCGCTCGTATCGTTCTTTCTGTGCCTCTGTCCAGCCCTCTGTACTATGTCGTATAAGCTACTTTGTTTAATTAATGGGTTATTGCTCACCGGTGCACCCGTCGACGAGAACTTCGCGTTCTCCATCCTTTTCATCACTTCCAGTTCTTAGGAGGCATACTGGCTGACACCAGCTATGCTTTATCGTCTCCTGTCCCACGAGAAATTCGCTGACAGATCTCCTGGCATCCCTCGTCTATGTATGTAACATGTCTCCTGTCCTGACAGATATCAAAACGCACCACTACTCCGCAGATAAGCCATCTTTTGGGTGTCCAGCGCTGAGCGTTCAGGAACCAAATTGCCTTGTTGCGAGCGCGTTCAACTGCTACAGAAACGGTGGTGATAACTACCAGAATGTCTGAAACTCACTCATACGGAATGGTGACGACAGACAAGCGATTGAAATAGGCAGATGCAAAAGATATGCGGGGTCTCACAGTGATGGTGTCCTCAGGTCCACCACAATATATGGGGGAATCAGATATGTCATGAATGTCAGTGGCTAGTCCGCTCATCGAACAGACGAGTGGCGCGGACGGAGCCTTGACGATAGACGGCCTGTAAAATATTCTGAACGCAAAGAATAAACTTGGCACATAGCAGGGGAGCAAGAATCCGAACTCAGCCTGAGGTATCCACGTCCACAGTGGTAGAAGAAGAGACTGAATAAAGGTAATGAGCACCGTGACATGGAGAGAGGCACAAGTAATCACCCCATTTAATTGGTGGACGAGAGTCAAGCTAAGCTGACGTGATGGGATTACGCGATCGGCGGCCTAATTTCTCCCGTAAGCGGAAATAGTCAATTTGCGGTCAACCTCCTCGAGCTCACCGTGACTTCGTGGGAGTCCAAGGGAACCTATCATCGACTGTCCATTTGATACAAACTTGGGGGTACGCAACGTTTTATCGCAATCCTATGATCATCTGTCGCCTTGATGAGTCACCGGTATCGGCCCACTATCCTATTCTTACATCCCCCGCATCTTCGTTATCGCGAGGTTCACAATACAAGCTGTCGTATATACCTCAAAGGTTAGCATTGTAATACCAGGCTTTAACACCGTCTATTCATTTGTGAACTTCGAGCTGCTTGCTAAATAGTAGACGTTCATAACTTCATTCTCACTCATTCACTACCGCTTAGGTCAGTCAACTCAGTCCAAGTTTAAACTACATTCAATCACTCACTGGCGTCTCATCACAGACTAAGACATGGACTTGGATGTGCACGCGCTTCTATCAGGTTACCAGCATCTCGCGTTTCCCGACCTTTCTGATAGCCGCGTTCATGATCGTTCTACTACCTACCTCAAGTCAGCATCTCTCGACTTGATGGCTTTCCAGGAGTGCGGTATAGACATACCAGGATCCGCTGCCCTACTCCTTGCCTCGTTTTGTAACATATTGGGCTTGTACTGTGCATCCTCGGACATCTTGGTCGGGATTCTATCAGCAGGCACAATTCTCCCCTGTCGTTTCTGTTGGAGTGCCGAAACGGTTTGGGGAGATCTAGTGGATGAGGCTCGTCATTCACTGGATAGAATCGCGGGTCCAAATATCACAGAGTCTGAGTTGAAGACTGAGCTCGGCTTGAATGAGGACCAATCACCGTTTACTGCTCTCTTCGTCCTTGATGACTCTCGACCAGAGAACGCATACATCCCCGACGACCTTCTTGGATCTCCTTTGCTTTTGTTCAATCCTTCGGCAGCTTTGTTGTCTGTCTGGACATCATCGCACCTTGTACACCCTGCCGTAGCCGATCAATTACTTTCCCAGATTGTGGTTTCGTCGGTGCACGCAGCTCAAAATCCCATCTCAAAGATCTCGTCACCTCCTTCCTACCCGGCTAATGTTGCGTCTGCTGTCCAGTGTCTTTCCTCTGAGGCTCGTGCGTCCGTTTACCAACATATCCGTCCTGTTACTATTGCCACAGACTTCATCCTCCCATACGTCCAAGTCGATCCCAATGCCCTAGCAGTGTGTTGGTACCCTACTTTGGCAGCAGGACCTAGAGACAACCTCGTTCCCGAAACATTGTCTTATGGCGATCTCCATGTCCAAGCCAACAAACTAGGTCGATACCTCATATCTCAGCAGTTGAAGCCCGAGGACAGGGTTGCTGTGTGCATGGATCGCAACACGCTGTTTCACATAGTCTTGTTTGGAATTTTGCGTGCCGGAGGTTGTTATGTTCCGGTTGGTATCAAGAAATTATCATCCTTATATGCGCTGACTTAATGCGAAGATTGATCCCGAGCTTCCGGACGAAAGGAAGTCATACATCGCAAAGGACTCGGGTGCTAGATTTGTCATTTTGGAGTCTCATAGGCACTCTCCTGAGATATATGGGGGCAATGTCCTCGATCTTGACGATGATCATATTTCGCGAGACATACAGGCAATGACTACAGCCGATATAGATGTCGCACTTCCAAACAATCTGGCGTATATGCTCTACACATCTGGTAAACAACATCAGAAAATTCATTTATATCCAGTGAATCTAACAACTGATTTAGGCACCACTGGCACTCCAAAAGGCTGTCTTCTCACCCATGAAGGTCTTGCTGAAGCGATACTAGCGTTAAGCTCCTTCTCCGCTGCTGTCCATATGGACAATATTCGGGATGGAAGGTATCTCGGCGTTGCCTGTAGGAACAGTCTTTCCCCCTCATGTATTCTCCTAACTTGGGCTCTGAACCATAGCTGTTGCGTTTGATGTACATCTCTCAGAGACCCTTGTGTGCCTCTCTCTGGGCATGTTGATGATTTCTGCGCCACGCGGAATACTGCTGGAGAACCTTCCATATTATATCAGTCTTTTGGGCATCACGCACGTTGGAATCGTGCCCAGCCTGATTGACGCGACCATGGGCACTATTCAAGAAGACGAAGCGATGGGTGGCTCGAAGTTGCGATTCATCGGCAGTGGTGGAGAGAAAATTAGCGACACAGTGAGGGTCTTACATCTCAATGCCCTACGGATCCTGAAAGACGAATGATAGATTCTAGAAAAGTGGGCGGATCATCCCAAAGTCAGACTTGCGAACTTCTACGGGTAATTGATTAATTCCCTCCTACCGCCAATCTCTTTCTCACCACCTCCCCAGGCCCAGCGAGGTAACCATAGGATGTTGTGCTCGTTTTATGGATAGCAATACACCCAAAGGCAACGTTGGACGAGCCTTCAGCAATGTTGCGGCTTATGTCGTTGATCAACATCTCGATATATTGCCGCGGGGAGCTGTCGGAGAGCTCGTCGTTGGTGGCCCCCTTGTCGGGCGCGGTTACCATGGACGTCCGGATCTAACGGATAAAGTATTCATTGAATGGCCACAGAAAGGTTCTTGGGCATATCGCACAGGGGATCTAGCGCGAATGATGCCTGATGATACATTGGAAATTATTGGCAGAATCGATACTCAGATCAAGCTACGCGGAGTGCGCATCGAGGCGGAAGGGATATCCGCTGTGCTTCAGCGAGCTGCTCGGTCCTGCCTGCAGTTCAACATTGATGTTGGGACCATTCTTGGGACCCATCCGGAGATTGGAGGTGGCAGCTCACCGCAGCTAGTCTCTTTCATTTCCTGGGACACAGGTGTATCAATTACTACGAGACGGGGCGGTTCTAGGCCTGGACTAGTGAAGTCCGGAAGGGACCTGTTGCGCGTTTTGCGTGATGCCTGTGAAAAGGAACTTGCCAGTTATATGCGTCCTGCCCATATAATAGCCCTCAGTTGGCTTCCGCTCAGTGCTAACGGCAAAGCGGACATCAAAGTCTTAGCTTCCATCTTTTCAAGACTAGATTTTAACGAACTGATCGGACTTCAAGACCCTACTGGCCACGTTGACGACCCAGACAGCGATAGCCCTGCTTCTGACCTCGAGGAACGGATACTAGAGCTCTTGAGAGAAAGCTTTGCGATTGCAAGTTCCGGTGGACCTGTCGGTGTGCACACTAGCTTATTCGCGCTCGGAATGGACTCATTGTCACTTGCGCGGTTTGCATCCATACTCAGGAGGGCCTTCAATATCAATATCACAGTCGCAGAAATCATGAAGTCTCCCACCGTTCGGGGTCTGTCTACTCGATTGGGAGATATCGTTGTTTCGCGACCAGGAGCAGATGTACCGGATATCGACAACTTCTCGTCACTATGGATGCCAGAAATTCGGAAGAAAATGCCGCATCTCAACATAGAGCGTGTTCTTCCTTCTTATCCTATCCAAGAGGGTGTTCTGTTTCGTTCTGAGAGCGCGCCAACGATGTGTGTGCAGCATATCGTGATGCGAGTTCGAGATGATGTCTCTATACCGCAATTGCATAGCGCCTGGGAGAAAGCAGTGGCAGATATCGATATTCTAAGGTTTGAACATTACGCTGTCTCCGAATTCCTCTCATGATATCATAATAGGACTGTATTTTTCTTTGGCAAGACCCTGGTCCAGGTGCTTTTGTCGCGTGCAACCTGTCACCTTCATTGGGAGGAGTCTTCCGTTGCAGCGAGCGACGGTGAAACTTTTGCCAACCATTTCTTTGATGAAGAAGCCACGAGAGTTTCTGTGGAGATCAACACCCTCATCACTTCTGTACCGCCCGTTCGTCTTCGGCTCTACCACCAATCCTACGGCACTTACATTGTACTATCCATTCATCACGCGTTGTTCGACGCTATTTCTCTGCCTCGCATACTGAAGTACGTCGAGGACGCATATCTTGACGGACCGCTTCAGAATCTAACCCCTCCCAATCAAATATTGGAACACACAACGTTTCGGGACCTGACTCCTGCTCGAGAGTATTGGACGTCGATTCTTCGTGATTTTAACTGGTCTTACCGCAATTTGATGGATGTGACCCAATCAGCTTCTCCTAAACGGATCTCCATAACCCTTGATACGCCGCTTTCATACTTCCAACAAATGCTTGCCCATTGCCAAGTGACATTGCAGGCCGCGTTGACTTGTACATTTGCTTCGATTCTCGCAAACCGTTTGTGCCTGTCCGACGACTTAATCTTTGGGGTAAGCCTTACCGTGCTTGAGCTGGGCATCACTGACTGTGCAGCTCAGATCATTAGATCGGGGAGGTTAGCACCTGTCGAGGGTATGGGCGACGCCCTTATCCCTCTGCTATCTCTTGTCCCTATGCGCGTCAACCTCAACAACCCTGATTGTCTTCGTCAAGTCCAGGATGACATCATTACTGCGATTCCATTCGAAAATGTTCCTCTTGGGCAGGTGCAGAAATGGGTTAGACCGGGTGCTGGTTTATTCGACATTCTTTTCTCGGTCATGTACAAAGACGAGCCTGCGTACGAACTTTTTGATGTCGTGCGGAGTGAATTGCCTCAACCTGACGTGAGTCTTCTGTCTCATACTTCAACATGCTTAACCTTAGCCACCCTCATCCAGTTCTTTCTGTCTGTGGAAGTCGTGGTGGATGTCTCAACAGATCAGCTCATTCTTCAGGCAGCCTTCTATGATGACGGATCCCAGGCTGCTGATATTGAGTCGATGCTTCTTCAATTTGAGTCTGAGGCTCGCGGTGTCGTGACTTCTGGAGTGCCCCATGTCACTGTTCCACAAACGTCCCTAGTCAATCGAGCGGAATCCACACCACCAGTCAATACCGCTAATGGCACACACGATTCTAATGGGGAAAGGGGCATCAGTGTAGCCCTCCACTCCGTGAGGAAGATCATAGCTGAGTTTTTGGGCGTTGATCCCCAACGGCTGTGGTCGAGAACATCATTCATTGCCCTGGGCCTCGATTCTATCAGGTCTGTAGGGCTTTCGCGAGCACTCAGGGAAGAAGGATACCATGTAACTGCAGCAGAACTTATGAAGTCTGCATGTCTGGCTGAACTAGAGTCCTTACCGATGCTACTTCAAGATGCTAGTCGTGCACAGTTGGAGTTGGAAGCCCGAAATCTATTTCAAGAACAATGTCGTATACTGGAGTCCCATTTTGACGTCGCCACCTGTCGGTTTTCTGATCGTGATGAAGCCAGGATACTTCCAACGACCGCTTTGCAGGCAGGCATGTTATCACAGGTAACAAATAACTCTTCTTCTTTGAGTGTAGTTACTGATATGCTGCTTCATCAGACGGTTATCTCCTCAGGCTTGCTCTATAATCATGTATTCATGTTCAAGCTGGCATCTTCCGTGGAGCACGCCCGTCTTCGGCAAGCTTGTCAATCCATTGTCACGAGCTTTGACATCTTCAGGACAACATTCCATTACATCGTCGACCTGGGGAAATGGGCACAAGTTTCGCATTCTGATGCACCCATGGTTTGGATCGAGGTCCACCTGCACGCTGGAGAATCTCTAGATGCGATGATCAAAACTGTCACCGCATCAACGACCGTATCAGAGCAGGGAACGTTCAAGCCTTCATTGGCTTTTTGTTTGGTCGAACAGCAGGAAGACGCGGGGACCAAGAACTATTCCCTTGCAATTGCCATGCATCATGCTATATATGATGGTATTTCCATTGGAGCGCTGCTCGAAGAGTTGGAGCGGGCGTATCAAGCCCATTCTTCCACGAAAATTCCCCAATTCTATGACGTGCTTCCTTTGATACTACGGGAAGAACATCAAAGCATTCCCTTTTGGGTCCAACATCTGCAAGATTTTCGTCCTGTTCCACTACCTCGCGCGGAGTCTAGTACACAGCCTTCATCGGTCGTCTATTCTCGTCGATTGAAGCTAGACCACAATGTCCTGAAGACGGCTGCCAGTGGTGCGGGTGTTACTCTTCAGTGTTTGGGGCAGGCAGCTTGGTCAAAGTTCATCTCATCAAAAGTGTATTCCTGGGATGTAATGTTCGGGCACGTTGTCTCTGGACGCTCTTTTCCAGGCTACGAAGACGTTATTGGACCCATGTTGGTACGTATTTTGACCGAGGGGCAGGCTTGCATGCACTGACTATACGGGGTGTAGAACACTATACCGTGTCGTGTTCGTATCAGCGAAACCACGACAAATAGGGACTTATTGCGTTCTATCCATGCAAATAACTTGGCTGCGTTAGAGTGGCAACACGCTTCACTTCGTGACATACAATCCGAGACGGGGCTCTTTGAACTATGGGACAGCATATTTGTGTTTCAACCTCTAAAGTCTAAATCTTCAAGTCCTTTGTGGAGTTTGCTCAATCCAGACGAGTCTGAAGCCAATATCCAGGTACATACTTCGCACCTTCTGTATCCCTCTACTAATCAAGCTACTTTAGTATCCATTGAACTGCGAGTTTCACGAAATGGATGATGGATTTTCTGTGACGTTGGCTTGCCTGTCAAATATCATGGATCCGGAGTCTTTGGATCATGAAATTTCGCGGCTTGAGGCCTTCCTCAGTACTATTATCTCCCAACCGAATGCGAAGGCCGTCGCAGATCTTCCCTTTGACAGCAGAAAACTTCCCCTCCATAGCGATGTGTCGACCGCCAGCATCGCACCCCGCAGAGGAATAGACCATTTACCTCCTGCGTTAGTCAACGTCCTAACTTCTGTCGCCAAATGCTCTGTCGACAAGCTGGACCCGGACAGACCAATTGCAGCTATTGGGATTGACTCGATCACAGCGATTCAGCTCAGTGCAAAATGTAGGGAAGCAGGAATCGCGTTGAGCATTGCGGATATTATCGCTTGCCGTACAATCGGTGATTTGGCTGCCAGGGTAGTCGAAGTGGAAACACAGCCAAAGACCCATCCACCGCAACTGGATTATTTAGCCCCTGAGATCGATTTCCAAGCTTTCGCTGACAGATTCCCATCCGACCGGCGCGGAGACCTCACGATTACTCGGGCAACTTCTGGCATGAAATGGCTTATCTGCGCTTGGCAAAGAAGTCATTATGCGCGATTTCAACATGTGTTCGTCTGGAGAATGACCCAGAAAATCGATCCTGAACGACTACATAGCTCGTGGACAGAGTTCATTTCCCGACATCCCATTCTCAGGTCAACATTCGTCTCCACAAAGTCTCATTCGGACGTCCATATAGCGACCTTCAGTACCGACAAAATGGAAAGCTCATTTGCCGTTGAGCCATTCGATGATTCGGCCGACAACACGGACAACCTGCAGGCGCGGATGAACATGATCATCTCTCACCCACCTCCAACTGATGGACCTCAGGCCTACGGACTGCTTTTGAATGGCTTGCACAACCAATATTTATTGATTAGAATGCATCATTTCCAATACGATGCATGGAGTCTTGCCCTTTTGATCGAGGACCTCTCCCACATCTACCTTGGACAACCTTCGTCGATCACGTCAGATTATGAAGCGTTCATGTCAACGTTTGCACCAACGCCAGAAAATCTCCAGAAGCAGGAAGATTATTGGCGGTCCACCTTCTCACCCTCTTTCCGGCCGGCATATTTTCCCCAGCTCAAACCTCTCGCAGTTCGGGATGAGATCATCCCTCGAACTATCGTTATCGCGAAGGATGTGGTGCATGGGGCATCCACCCTTGAACAGCGCGCTCAGGTGCATGGCGTGTCGCTACAGAGCGTTTTGCTGGCATGCTGGGCATACATCCAATCTTCCTATATGTCGCCAGAGCAAGTGACATTTGGATTATGGCACGCAGGTCGAACAGGGCCTGTCAATGATATTGACAGATTGGCTTTCCCATGCATGAACGTGCTGCCAATGCACACTCGTCTCGGAAGCAACAGCATCATAGATGTTGCTCGTAGCATTCAAGACGACCTACGGTTGCGCACTCCTGTCGTCCAGCAGACGGATCTTCAAATGATTGACAAGTGGATAGGAGGCACGGGTGCACCATTGTGCAATGTGTTTGTCAACTTGATTAGGCCCTTGGCATCAGACGATGAGGAGGCCGGACTGTTCGGATCAGTAGATGTCAGTGGTGTCCCAAGCGAGATTGCTCGAGATCTAACTCTCACATACAGATCGCCTACACGGTACCGGAAGACGTCTCAGAATCCGATCCGAAAACTGTCGACTGGATCCCTACGTCGAATCTTATACAGGTCAGATACATGACATAATTCTCGCCTGGAGACCATACTAAATTGCAATTTAGGACGATGTTATGGTTGAAATTATTGTACACCCTTTGGAGGATACAATAACGATGTCGATCGAGAGTGCCCCAGCTATCATGGACACGCAACTCGCCAGGAAAGTTATTGATTACTGGTCAGAGATAGTTGGAGGCCATTGGGAGAGTGCTCCTGTCAACATGAGGACTATATCAATGTAATGGACAGTACCCAAGTACTCACAATACTAGACTAGGTGTGATGACCTCTGCGGGCAGCGTCTAAGCATTCTTGCTCTAAGCCGCCGTACCAGATAACCTCGATACCGACATCCTTCATCTTTTGTGCACCCTCACATTTGACAAAGTCATCTGGCTCTCGTACACCTATAATGCAACGTCTGATTCTGGCATGAATGAGGGCGTCGGCGCAGGCAGACAGGCCCGATGTTCTGACTGAGCATGGTTCAAGAGTGGTATAAACGTCTACGAGAGGAAGAAGGTCTTCTACGACAGGTACTGCTTCCAATGGCCATGGAGAAACGAGAGATTGCAGCTGTGGGGAAGTGAGACTCTCAAACTTGGCCAAAGCATTTGCCTCCGCGTGAGTGTTCCCTGGTAATTCCCTCGAGAAACCCTTGGACAACACAATTGGTTCTAAGTCTGGCAAACGCGCCACAAGGACGCATCCTACACAGAATGCTGTCTGTACAGGTTCGCAGAACGCAGCCTGCTCTAATGCCTGACGCATGAATGGATCATGCTCGTGGTCTTCTGGAATCGGTGTCGGCGTCATGTGTGGCAGGTAATTAATAAGTACCGCCGGATTGCTGCCAGAGCTTCAAGTTTGCATTTCAGCTTCGTTACTAGTGACCATATACATACCTTACTTGGCCTGGAGGCTCGAAACAGGTCGCGGGACCTAGTGATGACGATGTACAACCCCCGGTGGGCTTGGCTAAGATTGACTTTCGGTATTAATACTTTGTATTACGTAACAGCGTGTGGCGCGGCGAAGTCCGCGTAAATTGAGCACGTCTTGCTCATGAACCATCATGTCTTCGCCTTCAGCAGATCCTGTTGACCGTGTCATCGAGGACGATGAGACAATGGCCTCTGTTCAAGAGGAAGAAGGGGAAGGGGATGCCACTATGGCAGATCCCCAGGTCATTTCGGACGATAGCTCTGAGGAAGCGGAGGAAGACGAGGAAGAGGCGAGAAGAATCAGGGAAGGCTTTATTGTAGACGAAGATGAGGACGAGGAGGAAGACGATGACGAGGCAAGGCATCGACGAAGGAAGCGGCGTAAGAGGAGACATCGGAGACGCGGTAAGCATATGAATTGGGCTTATTAATACAATGTTCTAAGTATTTTCTCAGACGAGGAGGAGGCCTTGGAAGAAGATGACCTTGAGCTGCTAGAGGAAAACACAGGCACTTCATTCAGGAATCGACTGACTCGTTTACGACGCGGGCCAGAAGGTGGTTCTCCACCCGCTCCATCGACCTCTAAGCGCAAGCCAGTTGTGGAATCGTCAGAAGATGATTTAGATGATGAGGACCTGCCGCAAGTTCAGGATATTCAGCGGATTTGGGATGATGAGCGCGCTGGAGGTGGACGTGATGATGAGGAAGACATGGACGATTTCATCGACTATGAAGATGAAGACGAAGGTGCTGGTGCTATGGATGAGCAGGAGCGAGAGGAAAGACGAAGAGAGAGGAAAAAGCGAGAGAGGGAGAGGCGGAGAGCTATTGGCTCTCGTCCTGAGCTAGCTGGCATCGACGATATGTAAGTCAAATGTCAATTCCTTGGGTTACATCATTCACAGTGGGTGCAAATTCAGGGCATGGGACGAAATACATGGTGTCTTCGGAGACGGTCATGACTATGATTGGGCATTGGTGGGTGACGATGAAATGGATTTCGAGGAAGAGCGTCTCAAGCCGGAGATGAGATATCAAGACGTACGTATACTCATCCGACTCCTCTTGTGGAACATATTTACTCTCTTTCATTAGGTATTCGAACCGTCAGAGATCCGTGCGCGTATGTTGACTGAGGATGATGATCTGATTCGGGCGCAAGATATACCAGAGCGCATGCAATTAGCAACTTCATCACTTTCTCAATCATCGACGCTATCCCTTCACCAGAACCTTACTGAAGCTGATTTGGACGATGCAGCAATGTGGGTTACCGTCCGGCTATCCCCTCGAAAAACAAGAGATTTCTTTAGTCCGGATGGCCCGTACAACATGTATCGCGAGCCTTTGGTCATGGCCGTGACATACGCTCTTCGCTTTCTTTTCGTCCAGGAGTTCGAAGTCCCGTATATTTGGACTCACAAACGGGACTACATCTCGTATTTCAACCCTCAAGAAATGCGCACTCGGGTTCAGCTTATCAGCCTCGCCGAACTCTGGCGCATATATGCACTTGGCCAAAAATATCGGTCTTTAGCTCAAAGGAGGAACGCCCTAGCCTTGTCATATGCGCGCCTGAATGTCGAGGACGAGTATTTTGAGCAGACAATTAGGCCAAAAATTGACAGTGTGGAGGTCGTCACTGATGCAACCGAATGGTTGACCATGAGGTATAAACTCAGGAAGCAGGATGCCTTTGACTTCCAGTTCCACGACGACGACGATCAAGCGGAAACCAGAAAGCGAAAGGCTCCCAGCCGCATATCTGCGTACGAGGTGGCCAAGAAGAGTATAGTTTCTAAACTTGCTGATGTACGCCAATCCCCTTCTGAGTTACCTGCATGCGTTCATGTTTTGCCGTATTATAGGGCTTCGGAATTAAACCACACGAGGTGGTTTACAACTTCGTTGCACAAGAGAACGCGCATTTCGTCGATGATCAGGAGTTGAATCCCGTTGCGTTTGCCGAGCAGTTTACGGATCCAGATGCCGCTGTGGCACAACCCGCTGAAGAGTTACTACGTCGTGCTCGGATGATTCTTGCAACAGAACTTGGCAAAGATCCTTTGTTGCGTCAAGCAATGCGTGATCTTTTCAAGACTGATGCTTTGATCTCTGTACTGCCAACAGAGAGGGGAATGACTAAGATCGATGAGCACCATCCATACTTTGTGAGTACTGTCGTGACTTTTGGTCGAGCACCTACTCAACTTTTTCTGCATCAGAATTTCAAGTACCTTCATCACAAGAGTATTACGCAGATGATGGACACACCACAGTTTCTTCATATCCTTGCGGCAGAAGCTGAGCTTTTGGTCACCGTATCAACATTCCTTACCAATGAGGCAAAGTCGAAGTTCGAGCGTAGACTCAACGATGCCTTCGCATCTGACAGTTATAGTGATACTGCCAGAGCTTGGAATGAAGAGCGATCACGCGTCGTCCAAGAGGCCCTTGAACAACACCTCATACCTGTGGGTGTTAAGTGGGCGCGGGAATGGCTTCGAGAGGAAGTAGAAGACACACTCGCAGCCCACTGTGGCAATGTTTTGAGAGAGGTGCTTTTTCACTCTCTTACTATTGATCTGTCATTGACACATTCTCAGCGCATTGACGTGGCTCCATACATCACTCCCGAAATGAAACCTGGTGACACTGCGTCTGTACTTGCCGTGTCTTGGGGCAAGGGGGATCCTCAAAAGGATGCCATCACCTTGGTTTTCCTAGACGAGGCAGGGAGACTGCGCGAGCATACCAAAATTGACAATCTTGTTGATCGTGATTACCTGGACGAGTTCACAGATCTTTTGAAGCGGAGACGTCCCGACGTTATCGTCATGGGTGGCTTGAGCATGGCTACGACCAAGCTGTCATCGAAGGTTAGGGCTCTTATTAAAGGAGAGCCATCAAATTCGGATCCAACAGCAAATGGTGCGGATGGCTGGGGACTTCCAGAGGCTCCCAAGGAAGCAAACGAACAGGCGTTCAACATTCCTGTGATGTACGTCCGTGACGAAGTTGCTCGTATGTACCAACACAGCAAACGAGCTGCCGAGGAATTCAGTGCACTGTCGCCTGTTGCCAAATATTGTGTTGGACTTGCTCGGTATGTTCAGAGTCCATTGAACGAGTACTCCGCGCTTGGACACGACATTACTGCCATCCCCCTTGAGGATGAAGATCAGCACCTGGTATGTAAAGGCTGCAGCCTTCTAGACTGATGCTGATTAGTGCGTAGATTCCCAAGGAGAAGTTACTCTCAGCTCTGGAGCGAACTCTGGTTGACGTCACGAATAAAGTTGGAGTTGATATCAACCGCGCTGTCAACGACTCCTACTATCAGCATTTATTGCCTTTCGTCTGCGGACTCGGCCCACGAAAAGCCCAGGTTTTAGTCAAGAAGATTTCTGCCATGGTCAATTCACACTTTTTTAAAAAAAATTGGACTTACTCACGTGCCGCCAATAGGGTGGAAATCTGATAAATCGTGACCAATTCATCAAGTCATCATTGTTAACGACCAAAATTTTCCTTAATGCCGCTGGATTCCTGCGCATCTCACGGGATCCTGAAGTCAAGCTTTCCAAGAATCGACATGCTGACGACGACGTTCAAGATCCCCTTGATGATACTCGTATCCACCCCGAGGATTATGAATTGGCCCGCAAAATGGCAACTGATGCCCTGGAGTTAGATGAAGAAGACATTCACGATGAACACCCTTCTCATGTTGTCTCAGTCATCATGCAGGATGTTGACAACGAAAAGAAGTTGAACGAACTTAACCTCGACGAGTTTGCCGTCAGCATGTATGAGGCGAATGAAGACCGTAAACGTCATACATTGAATGTCATTCGGGAGGAGCTGCTGAAACCGTTCTCCGAACAAAGGGCTCCTTTCCCCTCTCTCGGGCCATGGGATGTTCTCACGATGCTCAGTGGAGAGACTCCTCGAACTCTCCGTATGGGTCTTATTGTTTCGATTATGGTGGTCCGCCTTGAGCAAACTCTCGTTCATATTCGTTTGGATTCCGGTATCGAGGGCGTCATTGACATCGGGTACCTTACTGAAGAAGGCAACATAGCCCCCAAGGATGTCGTTAAGAAAGGACAAACTATACCAGGTGTCATCGTCGATGTCAAGCTGGATTTACCTGCAGACCAGTTCTTTGTTAAAGTGTCCGTTCGTCAGTCTGATCTTCGTGCGGGTGATGGCCTTTTCAGATCTGTCAAACGAGACGATCAATGGAACCTTCCACAGTTTGAACGGGATTCGGAGATGCAGGCTCGTAAAAAACGCGCAGAGATTGATCGGACGAGGAGAGTAGTCAAACATCCCAATTTCCACAACTTCAATGCCACCCAGGCTGAGAATTACCTTGACAAGCAACAGCGTGGCGATGTTGTAATTCGCCCATCTTCCAAAGGCGTTGATCACCTCGCTGTAACTTGGAAGGTTGACGACAAACTTTATCAGCATATCGGTACGTACATTGATCATTGGAAGTCAACTTCACTCTCATCCCACCACAGACGTTACCGAAATTAATACAGGCCAAGGAGGAAATTTACTCATCGTCGACGAAAAGCATCAATATGCTGATCTAGATGAATTGATTGTTAATCACGTTCAGGCGACCGCCCGTAAAGTGGAGGAGTTGATGGCTCACGAAAAATTCAAGCACGGCTCTGAAGATGAACTTCGTACGCTAAAGGCCCTATATTTGAATGTCTGGTATTAATATTCGTTTTCCAGATCTGTTTTTGAAAAACTTCGTTGCGGCCAATCCTGCAAAGAGTATATATGGCTTCACCTTGAACCGGAGAAAGCCTGGCCACTTCAACTTGTGCTTCCTTGCTAACAAGAACTCCACCGTTCAGACATGGGTAAGCAGGCGTTACTTGTGTGTATCTCATGCTTAATTGTATTGCAGCCTGTCCGAGTTATGCCCGAATCCTATTGTCTATTTGATGCCGCAGTAGCTGGTGTTCCTGAGCTTTGCGATGCCTTCAAAGTCCGGTGAGCTTGAGCGGTTTCTTCCAAGCAATTTTTAGCTGACCCTTGTCCAGGCATCTACATCAATCCCAAAATTTAGCTGGTTCTGCTGCTGCTGCTGGAGGGAAAACACCATATGCAGGTGCCGGTGCACGCACACCTGCTCGAACTCCCGCCCACCCAGTCCCTGGGCACATGTCCATTCGTCAAGCCGCTCGGACACCTAATCCTTACGGCGGCCAGACGCCTGCTCCCGGGATAGGAGTTCCGAGCTTTGGACCAGGCGCTCCGAGCTCCAGCTTTAATATACCCCCTCCTCAGACACCGTTTGGTTACCAAACCCCCGCATATTCAGGTCCACCAGTACCTGGTATCCCTCCTGGAATGAACCCTCAACGAGCCGCTATGATACAAAATACCGCAGGTTGGGGTCAAGATTCGGGTTGGTCATGATATGTTATTGTGTTACTTCTTGTTGTGTTATTTGTTACTTTTTCAATGCCCATTAACTGTTTAGATGTAACAAGGTATCGCCTTCGGGCGGAAGGACGCATAATTTATGGGAGTGAGCCAATGAGATCTCAAACTATTTTTGCGCAGTCTTTTGTTCGTCTGAATCTCGAAACGTTCAGAGTATGTCTCCTTGGCGGCGCACCGAATACTCAATTGAAAAGGGTTCATGTGGGAATCAAGGGCGGTGCGTTTGGGCATGGTACCTGCTGAGCGGAGAACAGACCTTGCACGCATATCCAAAGTCATCACATCTTAGACGAATCGCACATCTAAAACAACCGGCGGGGACAGCGGCCTGGTGGGGCACGTCTCACATCAAAGCACTTAAGAATTCCGAGATGCATCTGGGAAGTGGGGCCCTTGGACCAGATCGTACTGGCCTTTATAGAGCATACTCTCAATAGGACATAAAATTGGATGCTTTGGACAACAAAAGAGGAGTGCCTTAGAATTGTTTGCAGAGCACTGCTATGAGTGGACTTTGACAGAAGAAGTTATACACAGAGAGATGACTTCCGACCGTTGTCCCTGGCCAGCATCGCATTCGGGAGCCTTAATGTATAGGAATATAGGTTCCGTCCCTGCTTGAGCTACCTCAGCGGTGTGCTATCGATTCCCTTCAATTTGCTGAGGTATCAAATTTCGCAAGGTGAAAAAATCATGTCATTGCTACACGAAGCAGGCAGAAAATCAATGAAGCAAGTAACCCAATGACTGCTGATGATTCAAGGATTGGTACGCGTTCATCCTGGCACCGCAGGCTGCTTGCCACGTATCATCGTTGAACTCGATATCGGTGCTGAATTTATTGGCTCTTGTGAATGCATCCAGCGAGCAAGTCCCAAATCGACGATCTTTCTTGGTTTCTGCGCAAGTCCGCAAGGGATATGTCTCTTCGTTAAGTACCAGTCGAATTTGTGGTCCATCGAATCTTGACGGTGAATTAGTTGACAGATTACAGCCCCGACTCGGACGAAAGAAGACCTACGACTCTTTACAAGTGAAACTTTCCCAGATCATCTGGGCAGCAAAGGGAGTTTGGTACGATGTTCGGAACCTTCGGTGCGGACGTAGTTCTTCTGGAGACAGTTGAGGTTCATCTCTGCAAATAAATATATGAAATGGAATCTCCGACTATGAACATAGAAATGTACTTATTGAGATCCATTGCAGCCATCGCAGCCATGATGGTAGCGTCGTGCCCGAATTCGAGATAGAGGGACTGGGCTTCCCCACTAGTGTTGGAGAATCTGGCACACATGTCGTTAGGACTAGTCTTCACATGCGTTAGAACATACCTATTGATTAGTTTATTAACAAAGACACTTCCCATGATACGTCCGGCATTATTGGGCACCAGGTATCCGACACTTGCGACCATAATGAGATCTAGTTCATACCTAAGTATGATATGTCAGTGCCGCGGCGCCATGATGTTCAAATAGCCTTACTCAAAATCTGCAAGTTCATCCTCATAGAAAACATCGCACCATGGTGACTCATACCCTGCGGCTAGGTCATATGCGCATGCGTACAAAGCTCCGTGCGTGTTATTATCATTAAAGGAAACGTCGTAAGGAAGAAGGTCATTCAAGCGTTCGGTGATTTTAGGGAGGTACGAGTTGCTCCATTCATTGCCCACCTGAGCAAGTGATATGTTATGAGACAAGAATTAAAACCCGATTTACTTGCCTTAGATGCGTAGTGCCAGTCAATGCCAGGGCACGAATTCCACGGAGTGATCCAAGACACTGGATCGGGTATATCGTTGACTGTAAGTAGGTCCTTGTCCTCAGCTTCGCGACCAAAACGTCCCTGAGCAAAAAAGTACATGGAGTCAATCACTCTTTGTGTAGTGCTGGATAATAGTGTTTCCGTGGTGAAGTTCGGATACTTCAACCCGAATCTACACGGCACATTAGTACAACTCGACAAAACCAATGGAGGGATAAGCGTACTCCACACCATGGGAGAAGAGCTGCTCACGCCCGATGATGGTCAGGTTTTCTGGAACCAAATGTGATTCATATCCCTTCCCAGTCTGAAGGAAACGCAAGTTCTCGGGCAGATCAGCATCCTGGAGAGCATCGTGACCATTCCTGAGCGTTTGGACGAGGGAGTTAATCAGGGCCACCTCTTCGCTCCCAGAAGGTCCACGAGAGCCATGTCTGTGCAACTGCCACTGCGTCAGATGTTTGCACTTCGCAAGGAGACACTCAGTCATACAAGCATTACTCGATCGACACTGCAATCACCAGGTAACTCTGCCTCAACTTTGTGAGAAGCAGGAGCTACACGGTACGGAGTCAAGTTTGCGAGTCTCTTGAGAGGGTCTTCATCTTCATGTTTATGTGAATTGAACGTTAGAGACGCTAGGGTCAGCCAGTTTAGAATACCCTGGACGAACATCGTTGGGGATACTAGTAGATCTTTAATTCAGTGTACTGGGACTAGGCCTCCTTTATATTGGGGTTACGACCACCATTCCATTATGTTGCCCGGATGCGAGAAGATCCCGAATTCCAGTTCGGCTCGGTTAGCGGCCAATGACCATTCCCCAGTCCCGAGATATGTCATGACCTGTTAGCTTTCTCGGCTCTCAGAAACCACATCACGAGTCGTAGGTACTATTCGAAGTATGTTGTACGTACATTACCTGCGTTCGGCGGAGCGCCGTGGCAGCACCGTACTGAAAGTTAATCATTCCTGAACAAAGCGGACACCACTTCAACGAGAGCCTGACCAGTGGTCACAACTCCATATATTCAATGCCCAAACACCTAGGCACCCTTACAATTGTAGGTAACTGTGCTTCAATTTAGCATGCACAATTTCTTCTTTCCAAACGCCGTAGCGAAGTCACTGCCTATTGCTCACAGAGGGCTGCATCCTACGGACACAACAAGGCCACTTCGAGGATCTTGATGTAACATGGTCAGACCGCCGCCGCGCATAACCGTTACACCAAAAGGTGAAATACTGAAAGCTTATGTTTCAGTATCAGCGACGGTATATGTACTGATTATGAGAACTCAGGTAAGCCAGCGTGCTTACACTTGACACCGGCAGAGCCCGCCCATACCATGCACCCTGAGTTCAGTATCATGTCCCTTAATTCTGTCGACGTTTTTGAAATGGTTAGATCCAAGGCGTAAACCTGCTCCAAGCTATCTATGGATACACAAGCTCCCACGGCGCGGCGGCCCGCTACATATGCCTTTCCCTGAGTGTCAACGAGCGTAATATTTCATCCATTCCACAAAGTAGTCCCAATGAAACGAGGAATTTCGAGCAAGTCGCCATAGCGTCAGAGATTGTCTTGCGCCGAAATTTAACTGCGGCTTCTGTAGGACAGAAATATTTAGTGTAGTGGTAAGATTGTCTATTGCGTTGGTCGATTCAAACCCCACAAGTCGCATTCCAGGTCTCATCCCGGAACCGAATGCTTGTGCTGTAATGGTTCGCATTCACGAAAGTATCGAGGGAACATGTCCCAAGTGTGGGATCCATGCCTTGACCGCAAATAGTCAAGGGCATGGTAGCATCGTTTAAAATAAGGCGAATCTGGGGTCCATCATATCTGGAGGAAATATAAGCACTCCAAGCATGGATTCATTAAAACAGTGTGGTACTGACGAGCTTGTGCATGTGAATTTTTCCCAGACCATATTGGCGGCAAATGGCGTGAGTTCAGAAGTCTGAAACTTCCGCCCAGGACGTAGCTCGTCGGGGGATAGGGGAGGGTCATCCCTGGAAGATCCACATCGTAAAAGCCCCCACGAATGACTATGATGCTTACTTTGCTAGGCCTAAAGCAGATAGAGCAAGCAAAATTGTGACATCGTGCCCGAATTCAAGATATAATGGGCGGCTGTTTCCTTGAGAATCTGTGAAGCTGTGAAAAATGTGAAATTATTTTATGGTGAAATGTAGAACACGTGCATACCGCTCAATCAGCTTATTCACAAACACCGTCCCCACGAGAGGGCTCATGTTATCTGGTAACATATAGGCGCACGAAGCGTCCATTAAGATATCCCTTTCGTACCTCGATAATAATAATAATCAAAAAGCAATGCGTGCTTAATCAATCGGTCTTACTCGAAATTAACCAGTTCGTCGGGTCGAAAGACGCCACACCACGGAGAAGCACCAAGGGAAGCCAAATCATAGGCACAAGCAAATAAAGCCCCATGAATATCGTCTCCAGTGAACCCGACACCAGGTAGAAGCATGTTTAGGCGATCAGTAATTACAGGCAGATAGTGTTTGCTCCACGTCCGGGTAGCCTGCTGTCCAAAACTGTAGTTGAACTTGGGACAAGCTGGTCCTGGTGCAGGAGTGATCCAAGAAACTGGATCATCTGTGTTATTGACAGTCACAATGCGAACATCTGGATCCAGTCCGAAAAAACCCAACGCAAACCAACGTGCAGATTCGACCACCCGACCTGAGTCGCTAGATAGGATTATGTCGGTTGTCAAGTGTGGGTATTTCAAAGCGAACCTTGTGGGTTATTATAATTATTGCCTTTGCATAAAATTGAACTTGACTCACTCAACTCCATGGTCAAAAAGTTCCTTGCGCCCAAGTATAGTCAAATTATGCGGTGCCAGGCTGAAATTATACCCTGCTCGCAGAAACTCGAACTCGTGAGGCAGTTCTACTTTCTGGATAACATCTGTTGCGTCATGCAGTGTTTGAATCAGCCGCTCTATATATCTCTGCTCGCCAATGGGACCACGAGAGCCATGACGGTGCATCTACCTCGTGATTAGTATATAAAAAATCTATTGCAGAAATGCAACTTACAAGCATTACTTGGTCAACAGTACAGTCGATAGGGAGTTCTGAATTGATTTCTGAAGCATGTTGATGACGGGCACGGTGATAAGGGGAAATGCTGCCAAGATGGTTCAGGACATTGAGAGTGTCGTTGAAGTAATTCTGGACATAATGCGCGGACGAAAGGAGGCTTAGAATCGCCTGTATACGCATCCCGAGATTTGAAGCGCGTGAGGTCTCGACCGTGTCTCGTGAGTTTGGTTCCACGTTGCATTGGTATTGGTTACCATCAGTCACAAAATGTCACATTGTTCAATTTCGCAACATTTTGAAAACACTGCGAATATGACAAAAAAAATCTTTACGGCCTGGAAAATACGTCATTGATTTCTTGTCAGATGGCATTCATTTAGGCTCGTAGGGAGAATTATAATTTAGTTTTGTTTAAGTAGCTTTAAGATTTGTACCAGACAAGGTGTAGTTGTTTGAGAATTACTAAATTTGGTAATAGTATTAAGTTAAGTTTAATCTTACATACAACGTAACACGGACTCTTTTGAACCTTGCATGTCCACGTCAAACATTCATGTCCAACGACATTGAACTTGAAGACTTTTCTAGCAGAAGACGTACAGCGTGTTCAAACGATGAGACTAATGTAGACTCAGTCGATGAATCCCTTTCCAGCCGCCAAGACGGAGCAATATGTCTCTGGGCTTGGATTTCAGCCGCCTTGTAATGCCAACCTGCTACCTCTTCGAGATTATTATATTGAAACCTTCACTCCAGCTTCATTGTGTTTGCTACAATCTTGACGCTGTTCCCAAGGTTTCTTCTCTTCATGACAGAACCATCAGGAGGACGAAGTATACTCTCACCCCTTGAATCCTTCCTCGCGGCACTACTTGGCGTTACAATGGGCGCAGTCGCACTCACTCTGGTAGTAACGGTGAGAAGTCTTGCAAGAGACCACATGCTCCGAATTTTACTGATGCCGGCATTCACAGATTCCAAACGCTTCGCCTATCGATTTCCAGCCCGAGCAGCATGTAAACTCCCATCCACTCCTCGTGCCTGTCACTTCTGCCTCAGTTATTTTGGCATTGCTTTCTTACAATAAGACTGGTGTTGGCTCTCTTGGCAACTTAATTTTTCTAGGGTCATTTTTCATTGGGTTATTCGGACTATGGGCGGTACGTGTTTCCAATGATTTTTATCATCACTAAAACATGCGAACACGATCTGGGGTCTCCAGCTTCTTTTTGCGGGGCCATCTGTGATCTCGAAGAAGACTGGAGCTGACAAGCGCACCTCCGCATTCATATTCGGGAACAGAAACGCGGCTTCCGTCCGCAAAAAGGAGTGGAGTAAGCAGCAAACAAGGAACAAGTCCATCAAGTGACCTGCACTGCCTAGCACGACCCTTGATTGATATAGAACAGACCAGCACTGTATTAATAACCATCTTCTGCATTAGTAAGGTATATTAGCAGAGAAGTGACGTATTTCATACATCCTGAACTTTATTTGAGAATTCATCGTCCAGCGTTGCCGCCCATACCCATCATTTTAAACATATCCCCAAGGTTTGGCATGCCACCTCCCATGCCAGGCAACCCTCCAAGCCCGCCGAGACCATTGTTCATCTGTCCCATCATCCCTGGGGCGATGATCGACAGATTAGCATATGATAATCAATCAGAAAAAAGGACTGACTTTGCATCTCTTCCATATCAAATTGGTCACCTCCTTGACCCTGCATCATGGCTTTCATCATCTCTTGCATGCCACCACCGCTCCTTAATTGTCGCTGCATTTGTTGCAGCATCCCTGGAGGCATTGCGCGCTAGAAGGGAAGGGTTAAACCCCGCTATAATGACAAATCGTCTACTCACTTGCATCGCTTGAATCTGTGCAGGGGTAGGCATGCCGTTGGCTCCACGCCCACGCCCCCCTGCTGCGCTTTGCATCTTTTGCATCGCTTGTAACCTGCGGTTGTTATTTAGCCAATCACTTTTCAACCGAAGATCAGATCCGGCGTACCATCCATTCTTCCCACCGGCTTGCTTGGCCATGTTAGCCATCATCCTGTACTGACAAAGCAATTCTTCGACTTCCCGCACACTCGTGCCGCTCCCTTTTGCCACACGCGTGACTCTCCATGTGAGTCCTACCGGTTTACCGTCCTTCCCCATTTCCATAAATAACGAACCGTCCGAATCAAGCTCGGCCGATGACATGCTGTCAGTAATATAGATCATGCGCTTCATTCGCATTGAACCTTCTTCGTCTGAACCTTGAAGTAATTCCTGGGGAAGGCCCGGTATCATCGAGGCGATCTTGCTTATTGGTCCCCTGGGGCAAGGTTTATGATTACGGAATGAACCTTAACAAAATAACTTACATATTCATCACGTTTTGTATTTGCTCCCTCCAGTCCCTTATGCTGAGTTTACCTTCCTCGAGTTTTTTTGCCATCTCCTTCTGTTTATCGGGGTTTTGAGTGGCGAGATCTTGCATATGCTCCATGAGACCCTGCATGTCGCCCAATCCAAGAAGTTTAGATATGAATGGCTGAGGCGAAAATCGATCTAGATCATGTAGATGTTCCCCAACCCCAAGGAAAATGATCGGGGTCTTCGTCGCGGCGACACTGAGACATGTCAGAAGTCAGGAATCTCAACAATTATTGAACATGATCATACGCTGAGATGGCACCTCCACCCTTCGCATGGCCGTCCATTTTGGTGACAATGATAGCACCAAAATCAGCGCTCTCCTTAAATGCTCGGCTCTGTGCCTCAGCGGCCTGGCCTAAGCCACGATTTAGTGGCCGTTGCGATTGGAGCAGAGCAGAATTACCTATGCTGGCATCGAGGATCATTACAGTCATGTTAGGCTTGACGGCTTCTCCGATTTGTACCATTTCTTGGAATAGTTCAGATTCTTGCTTGTGCCGACCAGATGTGTCGACGATGATCACTTCAAATCTCTCTTTTTTGAATTTCGCAACACCTTGAGCTGCAATGGCGACTGGATCTGTTTCAGTGTATGAACCAAAGTAGGCTACCTTGGCCTTGGTTGCAGACTGTCTGGTCTGATCAAAAGCACCCGCGCGGAAAGTGTCCGCACAGACGATACATGACTTGAAACCACGTTTCTGATAGTAGACAGCCAGTTTTGTACATGTGGTGGTCTTCCCGTTTCCCTTAAAATTATTGTAAATAGGCGAAAGGATAGCCTTATGTTGGAAGAGGTGCTTACCTGAAGACCCACGGCCATAATAACATTCGGTTGGCCTTTCTTTGGTTTGTATGGCTCGACACCTGGATCAACCAAGTGAACTAGCTCATCAAAGACAGCCTGGGTGACAAGCAGCATCAACACCGGTATAATATTCGACAAGCGTGCGGACCTTCTGTATGAGATTCTTCCGGCTAGAATCTTTTGACTTCTCTGAGCCATCCAGAGCTGCCTTTACCTTTACCTTGACTTTCTGTCGTAGAGATGCAACTAGTTTGACATTCACATCTGATTCTAATAGTGCAGCTGTAATCTCCTTGAGCGTTGCATCTAGTACCTGTGCGGCAGTACGGTAAGTGGATGTATTTGTAAATCTAGAACAAACGTGCCTTTTCGTCAACGACAGGTGCTCTATTGAGCGATGACAGGGCAGCATTGAGTTTACGGCCGAGGTCAGCGAGAACCATGACAGTAGCAGCTGAGGAACGGTATGATCGCGAAGTTGCCGCCACGTGGGAATCTTAATCATAACATGGCTCACAGCGACTCTGAAGGAGAAACTATCGATGACCTCGAATTCGATACAAGAACCACGGATGGCGATGCTGAAGAAGAGAACGATATCGACGAGGATCTCCTGGGTGCTTTGGACAACGGCGTAGATGAGGCAACAGAAGCAGACGAGGTAGATAGAAATTCACCCTAATTACATTCCCGGTAGCTTTTCACATTTTGTGTGCACACTGCAGGACTCTCCTTCGGACGACTCAGAAGATGACGAAGACGACGAAGACGAGTCAGAGCCTCCTGCTGAGGTCCATCTAGGTGGAACCTCTTCGTCGTCTGTCGCCGTTGTCCGACCAGATGTCAGTAAATCAGCTTCGGTTTCACCCAAACCACCAACCCCTGAACCGCCCAAAGGTACGCAGGACTTCCAAGTTCCGGATCTACCGTATCATATTGCTTATACTTGTAACAAATTACCAGTAATAGCTCAAATTCACCAGCGATCACCATCCCCTGCAAGTGTTCGAAAGAAGGCACTAGCGTTTCGCCGATATCACAGCGAACTACAACCGCGAACTTTCACAGTGGAAGCAATAGGTGCCATACCCCACCCGGTGCCTACACATGCACTTGCTTCGTCCTTCTGCATGACACACCTCCTTACCGGTTCGGATGACGGATTTATTCGTGACTACGATATATTCGCCACCGTAAATGGCAAGACCACACTAACAGCACCGCAGAGACACCACTGCAACGTCGTCGAGGGAAATATGAAAGCCGGTCAGATACGATCTTGGTGGGAAAACCCAGATTTTGTTCCTCAATCGGGGTACCCTCCGATGGGTCATTCTTCTCCATGTCCCGTTTATAGTCTAGCGATGCATTCCGACGCAATTTGGGCTCTAGGAGGCGCTAACGTATGCTTTCTAAACAGCATAATTTTTCCGACAACACTGAATTGGGAACTTCTGCAGCGTGGCCACATCAATCTCTTTACAGTACGACATGATCCGGGCCGTTTGGTTCATGTCCTGGCGAACGGACACCGAGGACCTATATCAGCTCTTTCCATTGATCATGACGAGAAAGGCTTCTTCAGCGCGGGATGGGATGGTGAAGCTACTGTAGGTTATACCCCTCGGATGGTGCAAGTGATTACTTGATTGAGAATATTCAGCAATGGGATTTGAATACCGGGCAAGGTATCCGAAGGTTCACTGCCCACGGCGCGCAGCTTGTTGCTATTGCTGTTCGACCGCTCGGTTCCCCATACTATTCCGACCCTGTATCCTCCGCGGGAAGCTATGGTTCCTACTCGGTATCACAACCTATCAGGGAGAATGATATTTCCAGGGCCGCCAACGCGGAGCCACCGATCGCTACCACTGACACTCAATTCAAGCAATCACCCAGCGTTTCTATTGATCCTCTTTCAAGCCACAAAATGCAAGACGCAGATGCTAAATCTGATGCATCTTTTGATCCCCTATTTGAT